ATGCGGTGGTGTTCTCGCCAGACGGACAGCTGGTCGCCTCAGCATCCGGCGACAGGACAGTGCGAGTGTGGGAGACGGCGACAGGCACGTGTCGTAGCGAGCTGGAGGGCCACACAAGCACTGTCAGGGCGGTGGTGTTCTCAACAGACGGACAGCTGGTCGCCTCAGCATCCTACGACAGGACAGTGCGAGTGTGGGAGACGGCGACAGGCACGTGTCGCAGCGTGCTGGAAGGTCAATCTCCGTACATCTACGCACTCGATTTCTCGCCGGATGGTCAATTGTTGCACACTAACGAAGGAGACATTACGTTGCATCTATCCCTAAATCTAACCACACCTGTCCCGCAGGAAGAGCAGCGTTTGTGTTTCTCAGTAGAGGACCAGTGGGTGTTGTGCAACACGCAGCGCTTTCTGTGGCTGCCGTTTGAATTTCGAGCATTCAGCACAGCAGTGTGCAGAGACATGGTCTGTCTTGGGTGTTGGTCTGGGCGCGTGGCTCTGCTGAGGCTGCGATAGAGGTGTGCGCAGGGTTCTACGGTTGTTTGCAGTAGCATGCTCACAAACGCATAAAGTACTGGTTGGAACATCTGAGATGCGAGCACAGATCACGTCTACAGTCGTTATGATGAGAAATGCATTAAGTTTACATAGTGTCCGTAAGACCTGCCAGTTGGTTTGCGCTCCTGCAGCACCAAGTAGCTACCAATACTTGAAGCATGTACGCGGTCTCCGCCCCGTCTTGCTGACCATGACATTGCAGAGGTTGTGTGAGGATTGTAAGCAGTAACTTTTTCGGTACTGCAGTTGGGTCGCATGCGCTAGGCGAACGCTTCTTCGCCGGCATCGGTGCGCAAAGACGATGCCCAGCCATAACCGCAGGCGATGCCATGTAAAAATGCCAAGTTATCTAACGTTGTAAGCAGCGGGTGTGGCGCGTAAGGCTGTCTCGCGCTAACCATTGTTAGTAACGGTTCGAATCGAGGTACCAGCTTGTACGTCGAGGATGTGTGAAACCCTGCGCGACAGCAGTCACAATGCTTGTGGCGGGCGTCTGCGTAGTATTGCAATGTCAACAGTCTTCGACAGAATATGTGTATACGTTGCAGGAGGAGAAGGACTGCTCTGGTGCTGCTGTAGAGGGATGAGTTTGTCTTGCAGCAAAACAGGGCATCGTACAGAACAGGCACGGAAGATTTCAACGCGACGGTATTTTTTTTAGCTGCGAAAGTGTCCGCATATGTAGGATTATCGACAGCAGATTATTACATCTAGTGCATAGCGATTGGCAAGGCGTGGTGGAAGCAAGAAGCCTTCGGAGTTGAAGTATCGGTGATTTTGTTCGATGCGGGGGGCTGTTCGAACTGCAGGGAGGGAGGTTACGGTAGTTTCTCTGTTTTCTGGGCGACTTCACGATCTACATTCTGAGTAAGAGTTCTCGGATGGGCAAGGGCGAAGGAGGAGCGGCAGTGGGACATAAAAAAAGACGGAGTGCGAAGCCTAGTGAGAGAAGATCGCTACTTATTGAGTTTGGCCGACAATAGTAAGGATGGTCGAAGTGAAGTAGAATCGAGGTGACGGAAGCAGCGACAACTTTCAAAGGAGGCTAGTAAAGGCAGCAGCGCAAACAGTATGAGGCAAGAACGCTGAAAACGCCAAACTATGTCTTGTCAGTACTCGATGTTAAAGGACTCACTTTGTCATTGAGTGCGATATGCAGTCCCTCATTCAGATCTCTACCCGCGCTTTTGTGGCCTAAGAGCATCCGGAACAACATCCACATCGTCACCGTCCCATTTATCTTCAGCATACTCTTCACCAATACCTTCAAACCCCGGGCTGGGTGGCGGCGTAACATGCACCATCTTGAACTCTTCCCCACCGTGTTCCTCCTCTCCAAACGCGCTATACATGCTAACTCGACTCGGTTTCGGCAGCAAGCGGCCCTGAAACTCCATCGTAGCTTCACCCTTGTTAGCCTTACGTTCAAACGATGTCCTCGCCATCATGTTACGGTACTTGTCTAACCGCTCTTCTAGCGACTCCATAGGATCATAGCGCTGTGTACGGGTTTGGTGGGGAGCCGATGTGGGGTTATTGTACGAAGCGATTGATGTTGCGAGTGTGAGGCGCGAGGGTGATGAGTAGATGGATGACGCTGGGCGGGGAGGGTAGATGGGTGGTCCTGAGGAGCCGAGGACAGAGTCGCGGCGCTTGAGGTTTGCGTGAGAGAGAAGGGGGAGTGGTGCGAGTGTATCGTTCTCGATCGTGTGGACAGCGTGAAAGGAGTGGGTCGATTTGGTAAAGTGTGGAGTTGGGGACTGGATGAGGATGCTGGCTCGTGGGAGGTCTGGGACGGGCTTGTTGTTCCAGCCTTCGATGATAGTTGGTATTGTGGGATCGAGAGGGGGGATGGGGCCAATATTGGGATCATGCGTGTTTGTTGTCCAGTCCTTCGGGTTGTAGGGATCTGAGATGTCCAAACAAGCTTCCTCCTGGTCGTCCAGACAATGACGAGCGGTGACTGGCACCTCGTCAAGGCTATCTCGTGTATATTGCGTAGGCTGCCTAGATCGCCGAAGATATGATTTTGCGTCACGATGTAACTCTCTCAGCTCTACGCCGAGGTCGTATGCATCCTGAGCTGCTTGGTCGCCGTTTGTGTGGGTATGCATCCAGTATCGCACGAAACGTAGCCGTTTGCTCTTGATCTTGTCTACACCCTTCTGGCCGCCACTGCGTGACCGGTGATGGCCGTTCATGCCAGCGAAGATTGCAAATAACGCACCCTCATCTGAGCCGATGCGTGCCAGCATACAGGCTGGACAGCCATTCTTTTGGTACGCCCACTTATCTCCGGTGTCGATGGGCGGAACACCTGGCGGGGGAGATTCAGCGAGCGTCCACTCCGCAATGAACATCTCGACGACTGGCTCCAGTTGGCGAACTCGATATTCATCTGCCTCAGACAAGATCTTAGACATGATGATTGGGTACAGAAATCGCCCAATACCAACTTCAAGCTCGTACTTGATCCAGGACCAGATATCGCCGATTAGATGGGCATCGAGCCCCTTGTGAGTGCGACACAGTAGCCCATGCGATGACAGAGGTGATGAGCGGAGACGTCGTGGTAGCTTTTTGATGGCAGCTTCGGTAGCCTTTTCGTGCTGAGCCCCTCCAGGAGTGATCGGGAAGTGAGGGTCGTTGCGTAGAATGCGCACTATACTCTTGATGTCTGAGCCGTGCAGACGTTGTGTTTCCATCTTTCGAAAAAGTAAGGGCATGGTGGAGACCTTGTAATACGAGCCGAGGAAGAATTCAGATTATTGGAAGAAGCGTATCGTAGGGTTGTGCTACTTGTGTGCAAGTGGACAAGTTTGTGAGTTTGTCCGGGTCGATGTCTACTTGGCAAGATATCGAGACGCAATATTTAACGGTATCCAGGCGAGACACTATGTAGGCTCAATGTCATTACTTAGGGCGCGCGTGACTGCATTGTGAATGGATGTTGGGCGGTTCCAGTTGCGCCTAGGGCAGCCTGAAGGCGAGCGCGCAGTGTCGGGAACATTGTAGACAAACCCGCCTCTTTGTTTCGAAAAGGTCCACCACATGAGCGCGATTGAGACATGGATGGGGCACGAAAGACAGGTTTCGGACGTCTCGCTTGTTGCATGGTGGGTTGTGCGATGACAACTCAGGTGCATCGACTACCTCCCCGGTGACTGATACTCCGTCATCGAGAGTTATGGCGGGGAAGCAAAAATCTGCTCCTCGTTAGCAAATCCCGCAATGGCATCTTGTTGCTAATCTGATAAAATGCTCGCATGGGGTAGTCAGGTCGTGAAGAACAAAATCGATTTAGTATCGTGATCCAATCGCCCGTACGCCAAATCCAAACCTCATAAAGCCCATAAAGCGAACGATGGGCTAGTAGCCACAAAGCAAAGAGGTCCCCAAAGCGCCACGCCGGGCAAGACATAGATGTCGAAGAAATGTTGAGTAAAGTAATACAGTTGAAGGCGAATATTGGGTACCAGAAACTATACATTAGTTATCGCAGATACATGTATGCAACAAGTCGAAAAACGCTTAACGTGAGCTCTCAGCTCGTAAAACACCGGCTCCCCTGCCATGTAGGTTTTGGTTGACTTTGTTTGTCAGGTCTTTGAAATTTCCCGCTGACGATGAGATACTCAACGCTTTCTTTCGCGAGATGCGAGGTGTTGATGCTCCCTGTGCCCGCAAACTCTCGTCGCTTGTAGCAACATCCGCCAATACGGCGTTGAGCTCGTTCTCTTTCTCTTGATCGAACTTCTCCTGTGCAGTGCGACGCGCACGCTCGTACTTTGATGCTGTGTCACCCTTGTACATGGTGCCGCCGATGCGGTCGAGGTAAACGAAGAAAGGTTGCGAGAAGTTGGTCTTGATGCCCCAGCTCTGGTGGTGAATGTCGTGGTAGGCAGCATTGTTGGGGAAGATGTAGTGGAGAGGGTCGTAGGGGAACTCGTAACCGCTGTGGTCGAGCACTGTCTTGATGGTTGATCCAGTGAAGAACCACATCGACTGGCGCATTGTCATTCCTGTAAGCAGGTACCCAAGACCGCCGCCGAGGGTGTCAAGAGCAAATCCCTCGAGTGGGTGGTTGTACAGAGCGCCGTAGGCGTAGGGAACGTAGAGGCGGTGGTGGCGCGAGTGGAAGGTCACTGCTGCTGTCAGCTGCGATACCGTGGAGTTGAACTTCGTGGTGCTTACCATAGAGCCACTTGTTCATGTGCATGGCGCGGTGGAGCATGTACTCCCAAGCGTCAATGATGATGATAGCAGCCATGAATTGAATCGCAGGTACTGCATACCAGTACAGGAAGCTTGCAGTGTTGAGCTCCCACGAAGCAAAGGCAGACAGTCCGGGGTACCGTCCTCCTGCAACAACTGCTGCCAAGGTGGGCTGTGCTGCAGACAGCTTGGAGGCCAGTGCGGTGGGGTTAAGTCCAACAGTCGACAGGACGAAGGGGATGGCACGCTGTGCGAGACGCAGCTTCTGCGCATACCAGGCTACGTCGTACTCTGATGTGCCGGTCGTCGGCGCATCATCGTAGTAAGAGAGCCCCATAAGGGCTATCGACTGAATAACCTGCTGCAGAACAACATCTCGAAACACCTCCCATCGCGTGACATGGTTGCGCTTGAGCACTTCGGCGGGCGTATGCAGACGGTACTTGGCGAAGAGGTCGTATACGTCGATTACGTGGAAGATCAGTGAGACGACCCAGTATGCGATGATGGGCAGTGCTGTCTGTATGGCGGCGTCTGAGGCCCAGAAGACGAGCTGTGGGAGAGGCTTGAGGGTGTGTTCGGGCAGTGGCGGCAGGTCGTAGGAGGTGACGTTGCTCGCCATAGGGGCGGTAGTGTAGGTCGCCGTGCTATGCAGTGTGTTGTGTGAAGGTGTGGTGCCTGGCGGCGAGATATGTTACTGCTGCTGCAGGGCAAAAGACAGTGATGCTGCGCGCACTCGGATGCCGCGGAACAAGGAAATTAGGGGGAAAGAACGTCACGAGCGCGAGTTGGAGAGGGCTGACGGCGCAATTGAGTCTATAGGGCTCGAAAGGAAAGGCTGAGGTGGGCAGAGCAGAGTCGGGGGTCGTGTGAGAGTGGTGCTGACGCTGCTGAAAACAGGCGCAGGCATGCATAGGTCATGATTCCGTCTCCCGTCCGAGTTCCCGATCGCGCCCAGCATTGACTGGCACTTCGCCACCAAGCAAACCGAGCAAAATGGCGGGCCCGTGCTTGCATGGATCCAGAAGCAGGCTAGTGGCCGAATTTGGGGTGCAATTTTGGCGGGGCAGAAAACATACCAACTCCCTTCGATTTGCTTTCCTCTTACCCTTCAGACCTCACTCACTCACTTCTCTCATTCACAAACCCTCACAACCGCCACCATGATCATTTACAAGGTGCGTTTCTGCTGTTGCTGTTAGGTGACCTGACTGCGCGCCTGCCCCGCCTTCCTCTCTGGGCGCCAGCATGTCCCGCACCTATCGAAGCCTTTTGCTGGCCACTTTTCGCTAACAACGTCTTTCAGGACATCCTCACCGATGACGAGATCATCTCCGACTCCTACGACATCAAGGAGATCGACGGCGTTGTCTACGAGGCCGACTGCAAGAAGATCTCCGTTGGTGGTGAGACCTTCGGTATGCTGAGCCCCACCATAGATCGTTACTCAAGGAGAGGGGCGCTAATAATGCGCAGACACCGGTGCCAACGCTTCCGCTGAGGAGGCTGAGGAGGGTGCCGATGACCAGTCCGAGACTAAGATCGACGTCGTCTACTCTTTCCGCCTGAACGAGACCGGCTTCGACAAGAAGGGCTACCTGACCTACCTCAAGGGTGAGTTTCAAACATTACGACCTTTTCAACGATGTTCTGACAAAAGTAGGCTACATGAAGGCTGTCAAGGCCAAGCTCCAGGAGAAGGGTGCTTCCGCCGACGAGATCACCGCTTTCGAGAAGGGTGCTGCCTCTTACGCTAAGAAGATCGTCGCCAACTTCAAGGACTACGAGTTCTTCACCGGCGAGTCTATGAACCCCGAGGGCATGATCGTCCTCCTCAACTACCGCGAGGACGGTGTCACCCCCTACGTTACCGTCTGGAAGCACGGTCTCTCCGAGATGAAGGTTTAAGTTCTCTCAAGGAGGGGCATGTGTGGAGGAGTGGGGTTGAATTGGTTCATTGATTTACGAATACCTATTGCATGATCGGATATGCGCCATAGTGCGAAAAGCGACACGAATCTAGACGACCCTTCAGCCATTGCGGCAACCATCTACGGATCCAACTTGCTGTGACTTCGATGTTCGACGTGGAACTGACCTTGAATGAACTCTGATGTGAGAAGGGAGCGAAGACTGCACCAGAGACTGTTATCAGAGTAGCCCCAGGAAGTATTCAGCGTCTAGCTATCGATTTGGGTCTACAAAGTGATGAGGCTCCTAGCGCGTCGGCGGTTGACCAATCAAAAACATGGAGGTTGTCTACTTGCTATTATCTCCCAACCGCACTTCCTCTACACTACTCTGGCGCTTATACATTGCAGTGTTGATCGCACGTGCTCACGCGTGGAAGGAGCGCGATTGAAGATTGGCCCCTGCGTTCCGCCGTCACCAAGAGCCATCGCGGCCTCAGGCATCGTGTTTGCGCTTTTGGCGCTCACTCTGTCACCTCTCTCGCCCACTCCATTTCTTTTGAACGTTTGGCATCCTTTGGAATTGGTTGGCCCTAGAACGCCTGCATGGCTCGTGGTCATGCAACAGCCACCCCGCTTGGCCCATCCAAAGGGCAATGGTGGTGATGGTGTGGGCCAACCCGCCTCGGTACCACCATCAACCCCGCGGAAGAAGGGCGACGCCCTCAGCCACCTCAGTAGCTCGCTCGAAGAACAATATCAATTGGGCTTCAGATCTTAGGCTGAGCACAGGATGCCAGTTCATAACAGTCCACAGCAGATTCAGTAGCCAACAGGATCCAACCTCTTTTCTACTCTCGCAGGCCAGCCCTCGACGAGGCTCTGGCAGCATTTGCAGCAACAGCGACAGTCATACCTAAAGACCAACGATGGGATGCATTGTTGAGCACCATTCGAAGTAAGACCCAACATGAGTCGCCAATCTCGAGAGCAGGAACGCCTATGAGCGCACGAAACGTGCTCCTAAAAGCCTCCATTCCTTAGCCGTGTAAGTAGCGTCCAGGATTTGTTCTTACGCCTGGGTGCACGTGGCGTGTCGTTCAGTGGTATGTTTGAAATACTTTGGTGCTATCCTGCAAAGAAGTCCGTCACACTCCATCTTCGAGCGACGCCATTTCCATTTCCAGTTCCAGTTGTTCAGATTGTCTGTTTGCCCTCCCTACCGTCAATGCCAGCTCTCTTGTTAGATCTTTTGGCAGCAGGCAACTCTCTTATTTCGTACTTCCCATCGCTCGATGGCATGTATGTGCGTTTCGTCATTCCAGGTACCGACAATACATAACAATTAAAGACACGCCTCGATCGCGAGGCCTTTTCGAAAACTACAGGCAAGATGCATCAGCGTCTCCGCGTGCAGCTATCCCGGATCATGGGTCTCTCACGGAGGAAGATGAGGATGACTTCGTGACTCCCCCATCACCACAGGCATCGTCCAGATCACCATCGCCTTCGGTCACCTCCAAACCCGCGAAAAGAAGAGTAGAGGCCAATGCCCACCTCTCCTTGCAGGGCACCGCCCGGAAATGACCCTCCGACGGTTCGAATGAAAGTGGAAAGTCCCCGAAGTTGACAAAGACCTCGAAGGGTGAACAGCCTTTCAGAAAGCCACAGGTACCAGCTGCATCTAAGCCTACACAACCCCTTTTCAAGAAGCCTTCCCTGGATATGGCCCGCTCCTTCAATGCCCTGCCTGTAGCTCAGTCGACTGTCAACACGTCGTTCAACACTGCGTCCTCTTCCCAGCAGATCCAAGCGGATATAGCAAATACGTCCTTTACTTCGCATGTCGACCATACAGAAGCTCCGCGCACTTTCATGACGAGAAATCAACGATGGCCAACTGAAGTTCAACCCACATCCAGAGAATCTTTCCGACGCTAGCTTCGACCCGCTTCGACTTACTTTGGAAGTTTCGATCTATGGTTCAGCACCATCGCACTCTGATCCCCACATCTCTTTCATCCCCATGGCCGACGGGGGTGTACCAGGAGACATCGTTGCCGACTCCATGAAGGAGTGTCTTGACGCTGAACGAAGTAACCTTCTCGAGCAGATTTGTGACCCTGTCGAGCTGTACGAGTACGTTCACAGGAACAGCTCGACATCGAGGAACGGGTCTGACAAGTCCCGGCAGGCAGCTTTGCGTTTGGGGCTAGAAGGGAAGCTCAAGCTGCTACTGGAGTCAGGATTCTCCCCTCTCAATTTACAGGTTCTAGCCAAGCACATGTCACGCCTCGTCAAGAAACAGCACCTCCCCCAGGAATCGAAGCTCCAAAGGCCGCTCGGGAAAGCAACATACTTTTACGGTGTCGCAGATCCCTTGGGAGTGCTGAAGCCCGGAGAAGTGCACATTCCGTGCTCCTCGTCTTTTGTTGACGAAGTGACTAACGAGAAGTTTGATGCCAACGATGACCCAAGCGTCGATGGTGTCTTGCAGAAAGCTTTCGTGTTTAGAAGCGCCCCGTCGCTCCTTGGCATCGTTGCGACGTTCCTGGAAAAGCAGTCCTATCTGGAGGATCGCGGGTTCAGGAGGACGAGCTTGCTAGTGTGCTGGAGCAGCGGATCTCATAGAACGAGTATCGAATATCCACGAGTGCCCGGGTACGTGTGACAATGGCTCGGCATTGTTCAGAGTGGGGTAAAGCGATAACAGTGAGATGGGGTAGAGGTAGCGAGACGGGGTAGAGAGATAGTAGCGAGACGGGGTATCATAACTTGGCGAACGCATCCTCCAGCGCGTCCTACGCCAACGCCGTCGCATTCGCAACTCTGCCTTTCCGGCCTTCCTCCTCGCGTCGTGCCTCGACACCAGCCAGGAAATCTCGTCTGCTCATGTAGTTATCCTTGGATTTGCCGTGCTCCTGCAGCTCCTCGGCAATGCCCTCTTTGTCCACGAAGCCCGTCCAGTCCATACGGCTCTTGTCCACGACGTTGAGTTTTGTCGCCTTCTCGGGCTTCTTCGGCCCATCGAGCGTACTGTGCGGCGGTGGTGCGGCGGGTAGGGCGGTCTTGCGCGGCCATGTGAGTTGGTGCTCGGGCGCGAGGGCGCGGACGTAGCCCGTGGGGTTGGGGTCGAAGCGGCTTGGGCGTCTTGGCGGACGGCGAATCTGCGCGTCTGCGGTCTTCGGCGTGGCGTCTTCAGCGGCTTCTGGGGGCTTGACGGCGGATGCGGGTTTCCAGCCTTCTGCGGTGTACGCTGCGAGGGCGGAGCGCGGGATCTGCTTCTCCTCTGTTGTGTGTTGACCGGCGAAGACAAAGGTCTTTGTGACTGTGAGGAGCCCTTCTTCAACGGGGGGGTCTGCTGTTTGGGTGACTGCTGGGGCGGCGGCTGGGGCGGCGGCTGGGGCGGCGTCTTTGCTTGCAGAGGTCTCGTGGACGGGCGCTGGCTGTACGGGGCGCAACGGCGCGGCCATCAGCTGTGCCCATAGTGCTTCGACATCCACGGTCGCCCCCTCTGTCCTCGCCAGTGGTCTCGTCGCCTTCTGCTCCACTGCGCGCTGTGCTCTGGTCTTGATCAGCCCACCTTCGCCGCCTTCGTCTTCCGACACTGGCAAATCCTCGCCGCCATCGTTGCTGCCCTTCTTCCGCTTCTTGGCCCTCGTCTTCCGAGCGGCTTCTATCGTGGCCTCATCACCGGAACCGAGTTCGTCGTCGGTGCGCGCTTTCCGTTTCCCGGCGCGCCCTGTTGGTGCTGCTGCGTCTTCCTCCTCGGATGAACTTGGGGCGTCGTCGGCGGGGACGGAGTCGGGGTCGAAGTCTTCGTCGGAGGATTCGTGGTAGGGCGCTGCAGGCTCGTCGCCCTCGTCTCCGTACGTCTTGGGCGCCATGTGGAGGATGGTGGAGATGTCGACCTCCAAGTCATTCGCGTGAAGCCGAACATCGACGCGAAGACCACGGCGGGTTAGCGGCGACGGGGGGTGGCAGCGCCGACGGGGGTGGCAGCTCCGACGCCAGCGGGGTGAGCCCGTAGGCGCGTCGCGGTCCTGACAACAGCCGGGCGCGCGCGCTTTGCTACCGACCCCCGCAATGCGCCTGCCTCCGTAACTGAACACCACAGCAAAGGACGCGAAGAACACGAAGAACGCGAAGAACGCGAAGAACGCGTGCACAAGATGGCGCCCGTCGACACCGACGCTGCATCGCGCAGCAACAACCTGCCCATCCTCATCTTCGGCGGCCAGACGCTCCTCGTCGCTGGCCTCACTGCCCATGTCCTCCTCACTACGCGACGCGCTGCAAGAGCCCTGCCGCCGTCTACGCGGACACGCTCGCAGAACGAGATGCGCCGCCGCCATGCGCGCATCTTCTCTGCCATTGCGCTGCTGTCGCTGGCGAGCGTGACGACCTTCTCCGTCGTCTGGCGCTTCATCTCGTACGTGCAGTGGGCAGAGCTGGCGAAGCACGAGACGCCCGGCAGCTTGTGGCAGGGCTGGTACGGCACCGGCGACGGGGGCGTAGGCAGCTGGCACCTGGCCGCCTGGATCAAAGACATCGATCTGGTTCGTGAGTCCGACGCTGTGGCTATACTCGCACCCGAAGGCTTCTTCTACACCGCACAGCACTTCGTGGCGCTGCTGGCAAGCGCCATCTTCATCGGCGTCCAAGGACACCGCCGCGACCTCTCGCCCTGGACCATCGCATCCTTCGTCACGCTGGGTGCCTTCGGCAGCCTGGGCTATGCGCTCAGTCTGTTCTTCGTCGCCATCCTCTACACACCCGTCACCGTCCACAACGACGACACGCCCCTCCACGACGCCCTCTTCACCCCCAGGCCAGCCGTGTACTGGGCGCCCATCGTCTCCTCGCTGCTGGTCCTCAATGAGCTCCCCAAGATCCTCCTTCATGGCGACACGTTCCGGCTTCTGCGCCTGGGCTACCTCCTCACCCCGCTCTTTCTCGCCTTTGCGCCCCAAATCACACCCGTGGCCCTGGGCATCTCGCACCCCACCAAAGCACACGCCCACCGCTCCTACGCCACCGTCTTCCACTTCCTCTCCATCGTCGCTTTCGTCTTCTACGCCCGCGTCTTCTACCTCAACATGCGCCACTCCGTCCCCCCACCACCCCCCCACCACATCTGGGACGTCTTCTCCAACGCCGTGGGCCGCGAGGCATCGCGCACAAACCGACTGCTCCACGGCCTCGGCGCATTCACGCGCAAGCTGAGCAAGATATCCCAGCATCCCGCAGTCAGCGTGACCTCGCTCGACGTTTTGCTCACAGGCGTGTCGTTGCTGACCTGGACGTTCACGCGCGACCTCGACGTCGAAGCGCTCCTCGACAGCTCCATCCTCTCCTTCTTGGTCCCAAATCACAGGCAGCACGTCCGCTTTTTCGAGCCCATCATCAAGCGACTCGATGCTGCCACCAATCTCTCCGACCCCGCCGAACTCATCCCCACCACCACGCCCAAGAAGCGCGGGAGGAAGAGCAACGCTGAGAAAGCGGCCGAAGCGTCTGCCACAGGCGCCTCCGCGTCGCCCGAGTCAGGCCGCGCAGGAACGCGTCGCTCCACCCGCCGCTCTGCGCTTGCTGCATTCGATGACGCCGTGGAAACGGTGACTGGCACAAAGACACCGCAGAGTCAGACCGTGAACGATTTTGCCAACGCCGAGCCTGAGGAAGACGACGCAGACGACACGTACGTCCCGGATGAGAAGACGCACCACGAGATCCAGGAAACAGAAGCCGACGGCGCATCAACAGACGACTACGTCGAAGCCGCCGAATCAACCGCACTCGCCATCTTCCTCACCTTCCTCGGCGGGCTGGGGCAGTTGGCGAGCGCAGCGCTGGGCGCTGAGGTTGCGGGGCCGCAGGAGTAGAGGTTCCGGGTTCCGCAGACTCGAAGACTGGTAGCACTGGCGTCGTGGGACTCGCTTCTTTTGTTTCCTTGTGCTGGCCTCTCCTCGCCGCCAGCTACGAGGTATCCTGTCTACGATGGTTGGAGACTGTCTTGTGTTGGATGCCCAAGCCTTGGGCGTTAAGGCGTGTTGCGTGGTGGGGTCAATATGCGCGCTCAAACGTCTATTTGGTTGTTCATGACTTCGTTTCGATGACCGTTAGCTGTGATGGGAACGAGATCCATTTGTTGTTGTTGTTGTTGTTGTTGTTGTTGTTGTTGTTGTTGTCATCACTGTCTGAATACAACTGGCATGGTCACCACAAACAGCACTCTGCTCCCGAAAGCGGTGGGTTTTGTGAAGCCCAGGATCCTGAATCTAGCGAAAAGAGCGGGAGACGTAGAGCACGTAGCCTATCCTTTCTCGTGTCAAAACACCAGCCTGAACTCTAGCCAACAGCGTCTCCATCAGCACCTTCTCCGTACCCGCCTCTTCACCTCACCCCTCCCTCCCTCGCTCCGCAACCTCCTCCCATATCCTATATACTCTCCACCCCTGTGGACAAACCCTCCCACCCCCTCCGCCGAACCTAGTCTCATTCCGGCTGTGTATGAGGCCAAGAACCACTCGTTTCTGGAAGCACTCGGTGCGCCGTGCACCGACTGAGGACCTAGTTTTGGTCAGGGCCAGCATTCCGGACAGCAGTGTTGTGAAACCCTTGTTATCGAGAATGCCGATGACAGCATCGCGAGCGGCTCGTCCGAGACAGGGTGCGCTTTATCAACAGTGTTGCACCGCTCCTACACAGAACGAGAGCAACGGTACAGCTGACAACGCAAGTCTTAGTATGAGTGTTACTATATTTTATATATCATGCAGTTTGTTCACCTTACACAGCTTCTTGCGCTTTGTTGGGTTGTTACGGAGACTCTAAATTGCCTGTTAATTTTAGGATGTTAGGTTTGTGTGACTGGAGTATGGAGTGAGTGTAAAGCTGAAGATGAGTATGAGGGTGCCATGGAGGATGTCAGAGGCACGTGAGTTATCGTCGGTGTTGAGGAATACGCTTGTTGGGTACATGGGAAGAGAGATAACAAGGGCAGTACATGAGTGTCACAAAAACACCCTACTGTTTGCAGCACTGCTTGCAACGCAAGACATATTTGGTCTGAGCATCTCGTGGACTATCTCCTTCAGTAGTGAAATAGAGAGGTATCGGGAGAGTGAGATGATGGGTTTCTGTGAATAGATATAAGAAGGCGTGGAAAGTATCTAGGTATGGAACTGGATAGTTGTATCGTTTGGACAAGCACAACTTCATCCGACCTTTACAAAGGAACCTGCTTGGTGTGACGCGGTCTCGTGGTGCAGACACCACACGGCAGTTGATACTTTGGATTCTTACTTGCGAACATGACTCAGAGACTCTTCAAAATTATGTATAGATCCATAACGTCATCCGACCCTCCTTTCCACTTTCCATCACCCTCGCCCTACAACCTTTAATTCCGCCAGCCGCTGGATTTCATCGAGCCCCTCTTCTCCCCTGAACACCTGCCCAGACGTCTTATCAATGGAAGTACATATTCTCTTTGCCGCACGGCCAGTAGTGTCCGCCGTCAAAACATTCAAGCAATCAACCGGCCCATAAGGTTCTGCGCAGAGAACACGGAATTCCTTGAGATTCTCAAACTCGCCAATTTTGTGCACTTCAAAATGGTAAAACCACTCCCACCCCAAAGCTGGGCTCAAACTTGAGCCGCTGGAGCAAGTGGGCGATGGGCTTGAAACATGCGAGAGGGGTGAGGCCGATGTCGATTGTGTCGGGTTTCCCGTTCAAGCAGACGCATCTGCACGCCGCAGCGCAGCGCAGCATTAGCAAATAAAAATAGTCCGGCGAGCGCTGGCTCAACACTCACTGCACCCCCGGTTTGGATTGTCCACCTCAAACAACCCCTTCTGGTACACGTTCAGCCCATGCTTGCGGCTTTCCCGGCAAATATGCAGCACTGCGGGCGCGGGCGTGGACGAAACTAGGTAGTCTGACCGACGCTTCTGGCCCTTGTTTTTCGCTCATGATTCCCCATCGAGGGCTCTTCACGCTGATTGAGATGGTGCGGGGCGGGACGGTCAGTTCCCATGTTTGCATGCGGAGATTGTAGGGGAGGCGAGAGAAGGGGTGGGATGTGGTCATGCTGGCGAATCCGATTCCCAGGCCGATTTGTCACAAGCTAGATTTGCCGTTGGTTCGTTTGTCGCAGACATGTTTCAATGTCTTATATCGGTCTCATTGTTGGGTGATTGTTTTGTTATCTGAGTTGCATGACTGGGAGGTAATTTGGAGGATGAGGTTAGACCATTCGGGCACAGCTGCCACCAACGCTCGTGTCAGTAAGGATAAGGTAATAGACTAATGACCTTTTGCTTTGGAATGCAGGTCCCGCGCCCTAGTGTCAGTGAGTTTGAGGATAGTGATGTATATGAGGATGTTAAGAATGGGCTCAGTGGTGCGACCGATGATGGTAAGGTCAAATTCTCAACGAGCTTTACACGTCGACTTACTCTACGCCACCTAGCTCATATTTCTTGATTGTATTGTTCGCTGATGTGTTAGACTTGATACCGTATTTCTTGAAAGTCGCTAGTCTTCTCACGCTGGGAATACGTTTTTGTCTTTTGTTCATTTGCTCGATCATGGTGAACCTGATCACTCTTCGGAAGCTCCTATTGAGCCTGCAGCAAGCTTCTGAAAGCAGTCAGCAACACGATGAAATGCCTCTTTAGCCTCCCAAGGCGGCATGCTCTTCGCTCTCTTATCACTCTCCGGCCACGTCCTCACCAAGGAGAAACTCATCATATCCAGATCTCTCGCCCCTTCACCTGCGCGCATGGCTGGAAAAGAGAACACATACACAAACACTGCATACACATCCGCTTTTTCGAGAAGAGCTAACTGCATACTAATATAATCAGCCTGCTCGCGCTCGCTCCGAGTTGGAATGGTGTTGTTTTCGAAAAACCCCGTGCCATCGGGATTCGTGCCTTCGAGGAGGATGAAGCCGCCGTCGCCGCGCGCGGCTGCGCCTTCGTACGCGCAACACCCTAATTCTAGAACTGCGAGGGGCTTGTCGCAGCGATGACGTTCAAGACCGGTAACATATGCTTCTTCGCTTTCGCCGCGGCGGTAATAGTCAATGCCCACGATATCGAATATGCTCCAAACCACATCCCGCGCTCTTTGAAGTTGTCTCCGGGAAAGATGCCCTTGCTGAAAATCGAGTACTCGCAGCCTGCAACAAAGGCGATGTCGACGCCTTCGGCCCTGAGCTGCTCAGCCGCTTGCGCCGCCTCTCCCATATAGACACGCGTCTTATCTATGCTGGCGTTCATCTTCCACGGATTGAAAAATACTGTGAGGCCCACGGAATGAGCAAGGCGCGCGGCAGTGACCAGGCGATGGATCTCTTCGCCCTCGATCCGCACGGCGTTGGCGTGTAGGTTGTTGGCTATGACGCGCATGTCGTGTCCAACCAAGGCGGGATTGAATGGTTCAACGGAGAATTCTCCTGTGTCGTTGAAGTCTAGGCCGACATCGTAGACTACTCCGCGGTACTTCATGGTCAGTCGCTTTGATCGATTGGTAGGGATCCAGCTGAACTGCGTGGAAAGGTTGGCGCGTGAGGCTGAGTGGTTCTTGTCGCGGATGCTGGTTCATATATGTCCTTATGAGATACTCGTATTTCATGCGTTCCAGCATATTGCCAAGAACCACGCGGAAACGGCTGCGGGAACGGCTGAGATCCGAACGGAGACCAGGTCTTGATTATGGATACTGCAGAATGCATCGGGGTGGATGAATCCGGCAAAGGAATATCGTCGCGCTTAGCGGAGTGATAGAGTCCGTACAGTCAACAGAAGAAGTGTGCTGTCCGGGTTCTTCGGCATGTTCAGATTCTTGAATTTCCAAATTGTAACATAGGCAGCAAAGTTGTAGAGATGAGCGCCAACCGGCGAAAATACGTATTGGCCGTATATCTCCACTGTTAGCACTAAGACCTGTTGTTAGCGTTGTGTAATCTTACCAACGTCCGAATGAACGAGTAATGTCCTTAGGAGTACGTGGTCTCACTTCCACCTTGTTCGGTCTTGCGAAATTCCGCCCACGGTTCTTTGTTTTCATCCTCGAGAGTTTTGCTGAATTTAGAGCACTCTACCTATACGATTGTCCGGGCCCGACGGAGTGTAGGCACCGTCGGTTGTCTCGCAGCCCTGATCTTCAATAACTTCCTACGCCATCTCAAAATATGCCTAGCAATGCAAGTGGCAGCCTTCAATTCCCTAGCCTTCTCAATCTTGAGCATATCGATCTGCTCCTGCTGTACCCCATACTCGTCTCGGATCTTGTTCAACCATTGCAGCCGTGGCACCGGCTGCTTGTCAATAATGATCATATCTGACGATATACTCTGCCACATGTTCTGATCAAATGGCGGAAGGTAGAGCAGCTTGTGTTCCTTGTTGCAAATCAAAGGATGGAGATCGTCTGCTTGTAGCTTCCCGTAGCAGGCTGAGCACAGCTGCACGCAGAGACAGTGTTTGCACACCCAACAGTCGGCCAACATGTCTTTCCATTGTGTCTCACATTCCCCATCGCAGTCGTAGCCTGAGATGTACGCTTTCGGCGTAGCATCGACTGATGTAAATACGCCTGGATCATTTTCAGCCTTGTCGACAGATGTTGCTAGCGGTGGAACGGGGTGGACACCACTTGAGTTCGGATTAGCGGGCTTCAGAGCATCGGTAGCGCTTGCATCAGTTGTACAAGGCTTTTGCGACTGGTGCGAACTCGTCGCTTGCCATGCTGCAACGGCATCGATGTCTTTGTCAAGAACAGTCAGTGTCTGTGCAAGATTCTGGAAGCGAAGTTGGAGAGAATCATCATTCGCATCCTCAGGCCACTTGTCGAAAACACTACAAAGTCGTGCCTGCGCTTCCGCAAATGCCGATTGATGGTTCCCCTTAAGGCGGTACAGCCTCGTCAAACATAGACGAGGGTCCGTTTGACCTTGGCGATTGTTGCGGATCACCGTGTTGTTCAACTTGGCAAGCGCTTCCAGTTTGCTGACATAGCTCTCAGAGGGACTTGATGATGCTGCTGGAGTTTCAGTAACTGCCTTATCAAGAAGGCAAGGAGCTAGTTTGCGACTAGCGTTGTAAGCTGTCCACCAGGACGATGATGGGTCATCAGACCTTCGAATGATCTCTTCCCACAACTGTATGCCCCGGTCGTGGTTGTGCTGGGATCGACTCCCATGGAATCTAAGGGCAGCTTGGAAGTATTGCAATTGTCCTCTGATATAAGGATCAAGGCCATCTCCTTGGTCATCGATCGTGGAGGTACTCGCAGCCATGTGGTCAATGACATCCTGATACAACGAGCAGATTTCTTCCACGGCTTCGACGTGCTTTGCAGCAACGATGATACACCCATGGATTTTGTCGACCCTTGCCGTCTTCTGGAACCAATAGATGAGACCTCGTTCCTTATTTTCAGCGTTTCTCCAGCTTCGCATGAAATCTGTGATCGAGCGATAGCTCTTCATTTCGGTCCACGTTGTGAAAAGCCCCGAGAGCGCATGTTCATGAACGCTTCCTGGCCAAAGCTCTGCATCCACATCCTGGTCCAGAATGTCTCGGAAGCATTTGACAGCTGGGTCGTAGTCCTGGCACTGTCTATAACAATCGCCTTCTGCCAAAAGCACGGACCAGTATGCAAGCCTGTACTCCTTGTCAATCTCAAAAGACGGCCCGTTGAATGACTTGAACTTTTGTATGTACTGCAGTGCTGCGTGGAAGTCCTTCAGCTGTTCGTGTGCACGTGACAGACCAAGGGCCACGCCCCAACTAGTCCTTGGGTGTTGCTCGGCTTCTTCGAACGCACGAATAGCTTCTCTGTAATGTTGAAAAGTCAAGTTGGTCGCGCCCTTACGGTAAGCCCATGTGTAATCATCGAGGTCGAAATCTTGCATCTTGACCCACTGGATGAAGTGATCAACCTCAAGGAGAGTTGGAGGCGTGTTCTCGTCGAAAGACTTGCCAGCTCCCTGCCCGAAACTGTCAGCCAGCTACTGGTCATTATTTGAGGGATATCTCACCTTGACTATAATGCCATAGGATATCCAGAGATAATCCGGGGCTGCTGTTGTCGTGCAGCTGAACCAATGGTTTGCTAATCGTGCTGCCACTCGTTCCAGGATCAAGTACTTGTTTGCGGAGTCTGCAACGACCTTTCTGACCCATTCACTTTTCTTCGCGTGTTTTCCATAGCCTTTGGCTACATGAGGGTTCTTCCAGAACTTCAGTAGAGGGTCGATGAAATCATCTTGGTAGAGCCAATCGTACTTCAGCCAAGTCAAATTCGTCTTGAGGAACCATGCGTCGATCAGATCTGGCTCGTAAAACAAGTCAACAAGTTTGGCCCCGATCTCGGTCAAGGATTGCCTATTGGGTTCGAAATCGTCGAGCCTCTCTACCAGAGTCTTGAGGTGCTCATAGAACCACTTCGAGGCATAATCACGCAGTTCTCCGAGGTTCTCATCTTTCTGGGTATCGCAGAGGACGTCGACACACGTGCCAATGATTGTGACGCTCACAACATCTTGATCGCCGAGGTAAATATGAACTTTGTGTGCCATGGTATCGAAGAATTCATCGAATTTAAACCTGGTGTAATCAACTGCGTCGCATGCGTTCCTGATGAACCGACGGCAAAGATCGACCTCAGCTCGGCTGATTTCTTCAGTGTGTAGATCCGTAAGAGCCGATCCAGGGTTTGGGGCATCGCTCGCGGATAGGATGTCTTTGTAATCGTCAGATTTGAAACTGACCCCACCTTCCTTGTCGATTTTGAGCAATGCTGAGTACGTGGTGGCAACCTCAGATTCTAGAAGAAATTTTTCGCCCAAGGCAAAGTAGAGAGCGCTTTGAAGAAACTTGATCGAAGGACTACCGATCATGCCAGAGACCCACACGAGAAGCTCGTTGAGCTTTCGAACTTGGTTTGAATCCAGTGAGGCATCAAGAGCCTTTAGGTTGTTTCTTTGTACAGTGTTGATGTCGTCACTGTCGTTATTGATGACTTCTTGAACCTTTCGTTCTGTATCGCAAGCGTTGATCTCTGTCATCTTCGCCTCGAGGCGGGCATAGTTCCCACGAATATTCTCAACCAAAAGCTGGATGTTCGATTCATTCAAGATTGCTTTGAGGTCTGGCTTGGTCTTGCATATGTCCATAACACGGGCCCTTGTGACGGCTTCCAGGTCACTTGCATTCAGCAGTGGCGTCAACCGGGGTTGGTCTTCTCTATCACTCTCCAGTGCCGTCGGCTTGGCAGGGTCCTCGGATGGATCCAAGGTGATGATGCGGATACCCTCGACACCTTGTGGACTTTTTGAAAGTGCTTCGTCACTGCCCGATATGAAGAGACGAATGGAGACTCCACCGGAGCCAGTCTGGGACGTGGCATGATGTACGATGGTCGAAACGGTTGCCTCTAAGTTGTCAGGTTGACCTCGACCGTCGAGTCCATCTATACAAACGAAGTAAATCCCCTTCATGTGATTCTGTAGTCTTTGTACAAGATGCTTCCACCGATCTTCAGCTCGCGCGGTACTCGCTGGTCGCCCGCACGCGTTGGCCACCGCTTTCGCGTATCCAACATCTACGGCTGCAAACTGGTGAATGATAGATCCAACGCACTTTTCAAGGGAATCGTCCTTGTCGGCACCATAGTAGTAATAGGCCAGGTAAGTTTGGTTCGGCCCAGCCCCAGCCCGATATGTCTCTTGAAGATACGAGATGACATGGTTAGAGACGTATGTTTTCCCGAAACCAGAGTCGGCCTTCAAGAGAAGCACCTTGTTCTCGTGTTGGTTGATGTCAGCCCATTTCATGAACCCATCAACAAGCTCAAGCCACTTCCCAGTGTCTTTCACACGAACTTTGCAGATCTCATTGTGCCGCTTGTCCCACGAGTCTTGTTCACCAGGTTTTTGAAACGCCAGACTCTTCCATATCTTGGACTTATCGTCGTTATGTTGATCCTTGGTGGTACGACCGTCTATGGTTGCCTTCATGTCCTGAGTAACGTTCAGTACCTGCTCGTTGACTCTGTATACGTGCTCGAGATATTCTTGGATTTCAGACTGGTGACGTTTTCTGTCCTCGTCAGATTCACGAAGATATCTCGCAAGCCCCTTGACGTCCACCAATATTTGATCGACCTGGGCATTGGTGAAGTCCTTGATTCGCATCTCCATGAGATTAAGAGATTCTGCTACACCGGCATCCGAGTTAAAAAGCAGGACGCCGACCATAGTCTTGAGTCTCTCCCTCCTGCTGGTGGCCAGACTATACGAAGACCGAAGAACGCCAAGGAACTGAGACAAGATGTCGTATGCGGGCTTGCGGAGGTGGTTTGGCAGTCGAGAACCGGATTTATCACGTTCTTGTTGCAGGAAGAAGTTCAGACGTTGGAGGAATGCTGATGAGCGCTCCATCAAGGTGACGAAGCCATCCAAGACGTCGCCAAATTTTCGCGCCGCCGTGATCACGAAACTAATCGCATTCCAGCACTGAGCGGTTGGACCGAAGACTATGCTCGCCCCTTGTACGATGATGTTTCCGAACTGTTCAAGACAATACCCAACGTTGTTGAGCACTTTCCGAGCATGTTGATGGCTCTTTGTTGCGGAACGCTGTATGTCTTCGTCGATTTGGATTTGGAAAGCCGCGAAGGTGGTTCTGGGATCCAGCTTCTGTCTCGTGATTTTCTCATACTGTTGTACAACTTGCGGCCAGATCTCGTCGAGGTCTTTGTCCTCGTCAAAAGTCGGTTCCGGGTCGTCACGCCCACGGCCCATATTGCAGGTTCTTGGGAGATCAACTTCCCAGGATCAATGATCAACGGTGCGAATGCCTCCCAGATTGCTGATAGCCGTGATGTCTGTAAGGATGAGCCTGCAATGCACAGAAGACTTGCTGCTTTTGAGATCAAAGAAAGTCTAATCTCATGTCGGTACATAGAACAAGACTCGGCTGAGGAGTCGAGGACGATCTCAAAGGTGGTCAGCGCCGGAGGGATTCGGTTTCAGCCCCCAAATCCCAGCCACGCCTCCTCACGCTCTGCGTCCATGATTCGCTGAGGACTGGCATCACACCAGCCCAATCTCAATAGATCGTGACCGGTCAAGAAAGTATTCCTCTGGATAAAGTGCTATTGGATGTGGAATTGCTGCATGATGTGGGATCTGACACGCGCCGCAGATCGTGAACCTACAGCTGTGTGCAGGTTGGGTGCAATCCTTCGAGGAAACTCATCCATCGAGCACCATCATGTTGACTGAGAGCGTAGACTGAAGATGAGCAAGGCAGGCTGGTCAAAAAGTTAAAGGTATTTTGATAATTCTCGCCGTGTTCGAAGGCTAGAACTTCGTGGTGGGTTTGTGCGAGGACACGGGCCGGCCCAGTCGTCGAGCAGCAGCCCCGCTCTCGTCGTGGACCGCTCAGATCCTACCTGCTCAACACTAGTGCCTGCTTCACGCCTGAGCGCCAGCCGGCCACCATTGATACACCTCAATAATGACACATCTCAGAACCACATAGACAGTCGGAATGTCAGGTGCTCTGCATCCTGGATCTTCGAAAAGATGGAATGTCTTCGTTCGACGAGGCTGAACGTGGCTAGGCCTGCAGCACTGCTCCGCTCCGCCAGGCTACGCCTTCTACCTCACATGCACAATTGTCCAACTTCCCATGGGACTTACTTCTCTCAAGGCACCGGTTCAAATAACTACAGGCTGTGATAACATGGCTCGGTGAGCCTGTTGGCGATGATGAACTTGCCTTTCAGGCCGCAGAAGACGTATCATAGTGACCGATGACTACGAAAGTGAACGCTTAATACGGCACAAAGGCGGTCTTCAAATATGGACGTTCCGGGGGGGAGTGATATTCCGTCGTGCGGACTTATCATAGGAAAAAGTCATACCTATGGTGAGCCCGGTTGGGTAGTCTTGGGTTTGGCTCTGTTCACAGGCCGACAATCACAGAGCTCAGAATACCTCCACGCTGCTCCAGATGATGCTTCCGACGCTCTTTGGTGGCGACTTCGCCTGGCGGATCTCCTCAGAATATAGCGCTCTCTTGCGTTGAGCGAATCACAGTTAAGAACCTTTATTCTCTCTAGCTGACAGAAGCTGGCATTGGGAAGAGGTGCGCGGGTTAGGGAAGTAGGTTTCAAAGGGGTTGACATCAACAGATTCTTAAAGCATTATCGCTGAAAAATCCGACAGAACCGTGATTGCTTAGGTCTGCGACGTTGTGCTCACTTCCTTCTTGCACAGAAGCAATCTCTTCTCACATGTGGGACATCATTTGCCCCTGGCGGCTGGATGCAGCACTACTCCCAGCGAGCAACCCATATAACAGAAGTTTAGGTCAACGCAAGACCCATAGCAAACCAATCGATGCTAAGGTATTGTGAAAGCCTACAATCAGCCAACATGAATGTGCAATTGACAGTGAAAGTCTCATTGGAGGATGTGCTTGAGCTTATTAACGAACCTCTGACTGTGCATCGAGAAATATGAAATACAGCACGGTAGCTGGCTCACCCAGTAATTCCCAAGGAATGCATTTAGACGTTGGCAACCATGCACGCGCGTTATTTTCAAACCGGAATGCTGGTTGAGTGTAGATCGCTTTGATACCACGCGATACAACATCTACATTTTATTGAAATTACCGCTGCCATCATCTCCTTCCTTGATGAATTGCTCAACATCCTGCCTCTCGTCAGACAGCCTCTCTTCGGTGTGCACAAATTCGCTCATGGACCCAAGTAGCGTTGTCGTTTCGGTATGCGAGGTCCTCTCATGCAACTCCTTCTCTGTCATTTCATCCCTCAAACTCTCCAGCAACACACTGCTCCCAGCCTCCGCACCAGCCATCAGATCAAATGACTCTCCGCTCTCACTGTGCTCCTCAGAATCCGGGTTCGTCTTCTCGAACACGTCAACACCGCCGTCCCACCACCGCGCTTGCTCGCCAATCCAGTCCTGGCCGCCTGTTCGGCGATCGCGGCGCAGGACTTCCTTCTCCTCGAGCGGGAAGACAGGCATCTCGGTCTTGCTTGGCAGCAATGTGCGACGGTGCCATGCGCCAAGGAACATGCCCTGGGGATCAACTTCGTTGCGCACACGCGTCCACTCGCTCAGGTCCTCACCGTAAGCTTGCGAAAGGTAAGAGTGGTCGACGGTCTGGAAGTTCTTGGCCCAGTGCGGGCGGCCGTTGTACTCTTTCATCAAGTGCTCGAAGGCTTGGTAGTAGCGTTCGCGGCAGGGCGGGTCTTGGTTGTAGGGGCGGTATAGCGTAGCGTTGAGGTACAGGGTGGGTGTGTCAGGGTACGTAGTGTCGAGGAATGGGCGCGGTGATTGACGCTTGGTGGTGTTTGCGACGCGGACTTCGATGGGAGAGTGTACGTAGAGGCCCTTTGAGGTGAATGGGATGCCGGAGGATACTTCGTCGCCGTGGAGCCAGTTGGTGAGGCGGGTGAGGGCTTCAGGGCCTTGGTGCAGGGGAATTGACCATTCGTTGACGAACTGAGAGTATAAGCAGTTCATAAGAAGACCGGTGCGTTGTTCTTCAACTGCAGAGATGACAGCGCCGTCTTTGAAGCCGTATTGCATGCCGAAGACGAACCACTCTACCCAAGGCAAGAAGCGGGGGACGTATTGGCTGATCCAGAGCAGGATGTGGTAGGTGTGGTAGCCTACGCTGCCGCCATACCAGTTGTACTGGGGTGTGATGTGTTCTTTCTTGGTGGTTGAGGCACGCCAGACGATGGCACGCTTCATGTAGGGCAGCCACCACACGCGTACGAACTCGTTCGAAGTCCAAAGGCCATTATTCCAGTCTGCGAGTACGTCTTCGATAGGGCGGATAGTCTGTATCCATTCAATGTCGGTGTGCGGCACCAGCTCGAATTCGATTTCCACGATAATGCCAAGGCCGCCGAGTGAGACGAGTGCTGCGCGGAACAAGTCTGGAGACTGGGTGGCAGAGCAGCGCACCGCCTGACCGTTTGCAAGAACGATACGCAGACTGCGCACGCGATCAGACAACAATCCATGTTCCATAGAGCTGCCGTGTGTCGCTGTGGCAATCGCGCCTGCAAGACTCTGCACGTCGATACTGCCCAGATTCGGCATTGTAAGTCCATGCTCCCTCGCTTGCTCATTCAAGCTATGCATTCGGATACCGGCTTGTACGGTCATGGTACTGCGCTCCTTGTCCACCTTCAAGACTTCCTTGAAGTCATCGAGGTTCACCATCCACGCCGAGGTACAAGTGAGGTCTGAAGGCGAATGTCCACATCCCACAGTAACGACGCGGCGGCGCATGCGGCGGGCGAGGGTCACGACCTTCTGTATCTCCTGCAGCGACTGCGGGCGAATGTAGAGCTCCGGACGTGCATGGAAGGTGCGCGCCCATGTGTGGTGGATGTGCGACTGAGAGGCGCGGAATGGCACGTCGGCGTCGGCACGCTCAAGCTCGATGTTGAAGCGCGGCGGCATCGTGAGCGTGTTTATCGGCGATGACGCCATCTTGATATGCTTTCTCAATGGTGTGGACGTGTGCTAGGTATGCGCGGCGAGATGCGCGAATATGGATGTGTGAATGACGTTGACAATGTCCCACGCTGGTGTCGCCGAACCAGCGGCAAACTTCAGAGGAAGCGAACAACTCTCGCACGCTGCCGCGGACTGTTCAGTATATATAGTCAAGGCAAACCTGCCATATCGTGAAGCTTGGTCGAGTGGAGACTGATGCGATCTGGAGGGGCGGCGGTGAAAGTGGATCCTTGCTATCTTGATGGGGTTAGTACGCCTGATTCTCGCTCCGATGTGGTTCTCGACTTCATTCGACTGATCTCTATTCATCACAAAATCATAGCAACAATGCATACGCAAGTGCACATACAAGATGATAATAAGCCTTGCTTTATCAGTACAAAACGTTCTGTAAACAATCAAGCAGCCTTGAAAAACATGCGATCCGGTCCGCCGCGTACAACTTACGTCAACTTGTGGACAACGAAACTTTCTGTGCATCAAGGTAACGCGTCCCACAATCGAAGATCCAGACCCCTCAACCGGCCGACTTCAGCATCATGGCTTCGCCGTAGATACCATAACGCTCTCAAGCCGATTTTCCGTTCTGATCGAAGATTGCTCTGACAAAAATGGACTATGAACACGATCACCAACGTACTCGACAACCTCCAGACTAACCATTTGCAGAGAGCAACCCGGTCAAACTTGCCCAGAGGCTTCACATGATGCCGACCCCAGATTTCCACTCACAAGCACAACCAGTACCGCAGCATACGCTGCAGTCGCCGCAAATATATCCGCCTTCTTCGCTGTAGTCAGCAGCCCGACGCTACTGGCAAACAGAATGACATACATCCCAACGACGATGAGTTTTTCGTCATGTTGAAAGAGCGTATTCTATCAATGAGGAACCGGAGTTCCTCTGTCAGAGCTATCAACTAGTAAACACACTAACAAATGTAGTTACCCAATGAACCGTAGTTCCTCCCTCATAAGCGCAACCGTTGTTTCCCTGCCCATAGGCAGCCGCTTCTCAACATTTTTTGTTGGATTCGCATCAAAGTATAGAGCCACGATGGCGCTGAACAACAGTACGACGGAGAGTATGATGCTGACTATCGTCACAAATCTGGCAATACCTCTTTGCGAAGCGTATGCCATATCGTTGCTACTTCGCCCTGACTGACAGAGATCAGCGCCTCAACGCACGTCTTGTCATGTATCCATGGTACGGGAGCAATGGCAGTACTTACCATGAAGAAGATTGGCATACGATCCTCGGGAAAAGCAGTCAGTCTGTCGCTGTGCTCAAAAACCCTGAGCAGCACTAAATCCTCGTTGGTGCTGTACAGTTTTGCGCTATGCCCACCGAATATCGAATCTCGCTGGTATGTATCATCAGCAGGTCGAGTGGAGGTGTTCATGAAGCTTTCGAAAGTGCGAACAGGCGGCGCCTTCGGAGTGGCTAGCGTGCTTTCAAACAACAATGCTTCCCCTTTACTGGTCAGCTTGATGATCTTGGAATAACGCAGGCATGATGTGCGGTACTCCTTCATCTTGACACGCACATTTCCAATAAGTTTTATGCGGCGTTACTGTCTTTCGTTCCCAACCAGCATTGCCGCGTCTCTAAATGTTGCAGTACAGTAAGAGGTCATGTTACAGCACTGTATGAGGTTGTGTAAAAGGACCAACTGGACCAGACTCCTTCAAACAGTATCAGTAACATAACAGCTTCACGGTCAGTTCTTCTTTCCGTTCATTCACAGTATATAACCACACGGCTTGAGTACAATACAACTTCAGTGAACCTCAATATCCATTGCCCAATACCGATTATCTTCAGTACCGTCACACTAAACGCCTCCTAATCCAATGCGCATCTCGTAGTGTGGAGGTCTTCATGTTTGATGCTCTGGTCCTCCCGATCGTACTGATCTCGGAGTGTCTCGAGTTCCACTAGCTCACTTTGAATATATAGCAGGTTTCTTGCGGCAAGCCTGTCGAGTCGCCTGAAGACTAACGAGGTATGATCTGGATCGCTAGCGATGAACTGAGCAAGAGAAGGGAAACCATCAAGAGACGCCAGGGGAGAAGCCGACTGGGACCGATTTTTTGTCTCTGATGCTGAGACATTATGAAAGAACAGTTGAGGCTCAGACACAATCCCATATTGTGTGACGCCTTTGCATGCAAAGATGTCGTGCGGTCTGCCTCGGGGCTGCCTTGTCCCATCACCGGTAGGATCGGAGGGCGGTGCATGCAAACCCCGCTCTCTCCTTGTACAACACATCGTCCCTCTTGTATGATATTTGAATTCAACTCACCGCCAGCACCGGTCTTGCGATCATCTTTCATCGGCATCAAGTTTATACATCCCTATCGCAAGATCACGGGTCGTCAGTTTCGAATACAGGTGAGAGGGACACAAAGGATGAGGGCAAAAAAGCATACATATGTCTGGCAATGTGTGAGTGCCCAATCCAGATGGCGCCATTGTTTTGACGTATCCTGATATTCGTTGTCACAGTGCTATTGCGGATACCCTTCTATACCTTATCGATCAAACGCCTGTCCAAGTCGTGGATATGGTCGGTGCGGAAGTTGCTACATAGTGATGAACCAGCTTAGGCCAGAGCCTATGCAGGATGATGGACTTCGGTGTCACCCCTGTGGTGATATTTCCATCCAGAGGCAGGACGATATTGAAGATACCCATGGTCCAACGCCGGTCAATGATACCCACGCGCCAAGACCGGTCGCCATCCCCATCCCAAAGTCCATCGCTAAGGCTCCTGTCGTGGCAGTTAGAAGAGGTCTCTCTCTTATCCTCGACTGCAAAGACGGACCCAGGAAGATCATAACTGGCTATGATACTATGACGAGAGCAAAGCATATTTCGCTTCGTCTTGCACACACCATGGATTTCAAGGTGGATAAGGCATTAAACACATATTTGAACTCCCTAATGGAAGGCTTATGCGGGCCTTCGGGCGCTTCACTGCGAACGTCCGATTTCCATGCGACAATCCGGAAATCACTGCCACGGTGCCGTGTTCGTTCTACGTTTTCTACAGATTGGCGACTCCTACTCTAATTGGTTTTGACTTCTTGCTGTTTACGGGAAAAATCACTGAGCACCAATACCGTCTTGAAAATCTACTCAAATTATATCCAAACAAGCGGCATGAGCGTCCACATCTCGTGTGTTCCATGGGGGGAGCCATAAACTATGCTCCGTGCATCGTCGAAGGATAAATGATTTATGCGCAAGCAGACACCGGTTCTGAGATTGCACTCACCAGTGAGTCCTACAGCAGGGCTCGCAAGCTTCCACTCGAACCTTGTAGTGAGCGAAGAGCTCGTGGTCAAATTTGCGCTTTTCCAAAATCCACCTGTCTTTCTTGCCGCTGACACTGACGAGCTGATACCGAGTCTCGCTTCCATCATCCACCTCGGGCCAGTGGAGAAGGCAGTCACACACGTAGCCAGTAAGACGAACAAATGGGTGGCATCCAAGGTGGCTCTCAAGATACGTGTTCACGCACAAACGGAACTCAGTATGGGCTTGAAACTTCTTACTGATTTGAAGACTGACACCACAGAGATGATCCACACCCCCACGAGCAGATAATGCTTGAAATAATTGCTTCTCTCGACTAAAAAGAGAATCGACATCGAACCCGAGCCAGTCAATCAGCCTGCTCCCTCATTCAAGCTCGAAAGAAGCTTCAAAGGCAGAGATCATACAAACAAGGGCGGGCGAAGCTTGTTCAGGACTACTACGAACCGATGGGAATGGAGACACAAGCACTAGGAAGCTGATGTTGCTGCAAATTTTGCGATGTTACAGGACAGCCTGATGTGATTTTATGTGGGTTATATATTGTAAATGCGACCTACTTTATCACATACGACCATAGGACGTTGAAAACAAGGCTTCCCGTTCGCTCAGCCCTATTTAAGCAACGTACCGGCGGATTAGTAGTTAGGTGGGTGACCACTAGCGAATACCCGCTGTTGTATGTATAAGTTTTCTTTTTTGGTTTTATTGTCTGGTTTTTTTTTGGTTTTTTTTTGGTTTTTTGGGGGGGGGGGGGTTTGCAGTACTGCTTGTTCCAAGAATCTGACCCTACAACGCATTGCAGTAATGTCGCTGACCTTCCAATGATAGGCCTCACGACATCAGAGCGAACCCAGACAGTGACAGAACCTGATCTCTGCGATGCGATCCTCACCGCCTATGTGAATGTCATTGTCAATCTTGCTCAAGAGATGAGCGAATTGCCGTATAGAGACGCACTGTTTGGTCCACATCCGTCCCCGGGGCAGGATTTCCGCCTCCAACGCATGTGGTTGAGTTGGCGCACGTCTGCCTTCCAGTACCAGCAAGTACGTGTATTCGACGAGAGTAGGAGAGGCGTTAAGGGGGAACCAAGCTGCTTTCTTCAGAATGTGGTGGGCTCACTGACTCAAGTCCAGACCAGATTCTGCGGGCTGCTGTGTGCTACTCCTTCATTATTTCCTTGCCCTAGGAATTTCAGCATCGTCCTCTAGGGCTAGAGTGTTCGCTAGCAAAAGGGGTGTCGGTCTGGCCGAACACCCAGTCTAGTTACAACCTAGCTGAATCTTGCGAATAGTGCCAAGTTCAGCCTCATATCCATAGTGAGGTTAGCGCCTCGCTTGAAACATCGTACAATGCTTCGAGGCTGAATACAAACAAACTGTGGCGCATACAAACAGGAGATGCAGCAGCTGAAGATGCAAATTAGATTGTTTAGTTCCAAATAATTCAGCACTATTGACTTTCGCACGCACGTTGCATTCTAGCTTTGTGGCTAAGATTCGCCCTAGTGTTGAGGGGTATATATTCGCGCAACATATATAGCGACTGTTGTAGTCTTTTTTTTAACACCAGTATCAATCTTTCTACTGTCTGTCGCTCTTTGCCCTAATCGTACTCTAATCGCACTCCTTTAATCGACTTTCTAGAGCACCTCTGCTCTACGCGATATCTAAAATGCGTCTCTCTGTAATTCTTACTTCGACGCTAAGTCTTATTCTTTCCGCCGATGCCGCCGCCATCTCAACGAATGCTCGCTGCGGCAGCTCTGGCGGCGGAAAAACCTGTCTAAACAGCGCGTTTGGCAACTGCTGCTCGCAGTACGGCTACTGTGGAAGCAGCGCCGATTACTGTTCCCCCTCGAAAGGATGCCAGTCCAGCTATGGAACCTGCGCCGACCAAGGAAAGACGACTGGTCTCACACGCTCGAAGAACGGCGCGTGTGGCAAGAGTTCCGGACAGACGTGCAAGGACAGCGCGTTTGGTAGCTGCTGTTCGCAATACGGATACTGTGGGTCGACATCTGCGTATTGCGGGATAGGCTGTAATCCTAAGTTTGGAAGTTGCCGCGCGGTTTCTTCTCCTTCTGTTGCCAGGAAATCTTCGACTTCTGCGAAATCGACTGGTACCAAGTGTTCTTCAAGCGCGACTCCCTACGGTGGCGTCGCCTCATCCACCCGTACACCTTCGTCTATTCATACAACGTCATCCATCCGTACCGCTTCGTCCAGCGTCCCACATTCCAGCTCCCAGTCGTCGGTTGTGTCTAGCTCAACCTCCAGCTCGTCTTTGAGTTCAACGACGACTTTGTCGAGTACCGCAGTCAGTTCTTCATCGAGCTCAGCTTCGAGCTCGGAAATTAGCTCACTGCAGATTTCTTCGACATCTTCGGTTAGCATCGCACCTACTATCGAAGTCCCTTCTACGTTCTCTTCGGCTATCGTCTTACCTACCAGCGATGCTCCTTCTATGTCCCCTTCGGCCAGCGATGCTCCTTCTATGTCCCCTTCGGCCAGCGATACTCCTTCTATGTCCCCTTCGGCCAGCGATGCTCCTTCTATGTCCCCTTCGGCCAGCGATGCTCCTTCTATGTCCCCTTCGGCCAGTGTCTCACCTACTAGCGATATCCCTTCTGTGTCCTCTCAGATTGTATCAAGCCTACCGACATCCTCCAGTGCTTCCAGTTCCACACCATCTCCATCACCGATACCAGCTGCTTGTGCCGGCCCTTATATGACCTGGGCTACGTTCGATATCGTCCCTCAGAACGTTATAAAGGATCTTCCGGGCGAGTTCACCATGGAACAGTGTTGCCAGGCCTGCCACAGCACTCCAGGTTGCACTTATTGGAGACAATACTACGAGGGGACAAACTGCCAGATTTCTGTGCAACCGGGCAGTACAGCGGCGGACCAATGTCCCCTAGGAGTTCAGAGTATTCCGTATTATGAGGGAGCTCCTTCGTGGGGCCCTGCACAATGCGGTACCCCAATGGTGTTATAATATGTTGCGGTATTAGTCGGTCCATACAAGACCCTATTACCTTTGCTTAGACTGTTCTGGACTAGCATGTTCCAGAGCCAGTATATAGTCGTCTTCTCCTCACTAGATAGCAACTCGGCGCAGTATTCCATCGACCCGATAGTCCTACGTTATCGTTTACCGTAGCTATCAGTATTCTACAGCGGCCCACGCCGCTACATAATAGACTGCTAATATTAATCTAATTAGAATTGTTCATAGATTCAATATATATTTATTTACTATCTGTCACTAGGTTGAAAATAAGATATGATACTTTTATCATGGCATATGCGTTGAATTGTTACTGGAGCCCGTACCGAACAAACTAGCTTGACGTGGGCTGATACTGAATACTTGCTGCTGTGCAAGAGCAGAAGTTGTTCCGTGTGGCTGTTGCTGTGGTTGTAACTGAGGCTGTGGTCGAGGTTGGAATTCGTTCTGTGAGGCTACGGCCTGTCCATGAGAACCATTTGCGACAAAGGGCATTCCGATCGATGAGGGCATAGACTTCGAACCTTGCAACTCTATCAAAGGTGGTGGTGCACGAACTATTGTCGCGGCTCGTTGTCAGGGGATACGTGCATGTCACGCATATGCCGGCGGCACCTGGCCAAGACCTGCTTGCTCTGGAGTGACATAGTAATGGTTCTGGTTATATGAGCAATCTGCCCAATTTATACTGTACCGCCCTGTAGGAACGACGGAAGGTACGCACCGAACGAGCTTTCTGCATGTGTATTACGGCTCTGGAGGTCATTCCACAGTTCTTCGGCCAATCGAAGCTGTGCGGTACCATGCCAAAGAGCATCCGTAGTAAGCCGTCCTCCTACTCTTGTTCCTGAACAGTATCTGATTGTTCTACAGCTGGTCAGTCGGCGCCCTGATTCTTGCAATCGGTATGACCGGGTTCATCGTATGGGCGGGCCTCAACTTGTTTGACTGGTTCGTGTGGGGCTCGCTAATCGTGGATCTTGGTATAATCGATCGCGCCGGCATCGAAGCCGTGCTATCAATGGGAACAGTTTTGAAGCATTGTGTGATGATTCGTCTCTTTCTGAACTACGGATGTGAAAGAGATTCAACGCTGTGAAGCCAACCCCGACGGCGGCCAGGTCGACCTATAACGACTATATACCTAACCTCAGGCCAGTGACCGGTCACACTAGACTAGGGTAGTCTGTCAGGGGTACAGTCAGACCTTGTATGGACCAACCAATACCGCAACAAGAATAAGTACGAGTGCACGAGGCGTACTCTACCGTAAGCTAAGCGAGGTAGAGCATCTTCTCCAAACTGTCTAGCATTCACAATTTCGGAGTATGAGCTTCGATTTCACTGCATGATTGCCTGTGTTGCAGAAGGCATTAGCCCTGACAGCTTGCCAACGAGGCGAAAGTCTGTTTGACGATGCGTCAAAGGCCTCCAGAGACGGAGTGCGTTTTCCTTGAAGTTCAAACCTAAAACTCGGCAGTCATGAAACTCTTGCGGACCGCATGAGGAAACTGGGGTGATGTACCGATCCTTGCTCCTTCTCTATATAGCCTCGGCTGCATTCAGTGGCCACCTCTTAGGATTGGTTGGATGATTCCATGTTCGTTGAAACACCTCTTGGCATTCAAGAACATCTTGATTGCTGCAGGCATATTATTGGGCTAATGTTAGGATCTGCCCGTTGTGAGTGTGCAAATTCCACTTCTGCATATGCGAAATGGGGACACCGGCAACGGGAACAGACGACGGCAGATCATCGAGCATGTGCAACTTTCCATCAGGCTTCTCGTAAGATATATAAGTATGCTGTGCTTTGCAGTGTCCATATACTCAAGACGACGCCCAGGAGCTCTACCATTAAGGCTTACCGCTAAAAATGTATTTTTCCACCTCTTTTCTCATCAGCCTCAGTGCCGCACTTGTGACCGTCAATGGCGCCCTCACTCGTGTCACAAACTTTGGCAACAACCCGACAAACCTTCAAATGAACATCAATGTACCAGCTAAGCTCGCACCAAAACCCGCCATAATCCTTGCCGTAAGCCGACTACCACCTCTCACGACACCAACTAACACTAGCCCAGCTCCATGGCTGCTTTGGCAGCGGCGAAGCCTATGCTCTCCAAACAACCTACAACACCCTCTCTGAGCAGATAGGCTTCATAACCATCTTCCCCTCTTCCAAACGCGACTCCAACTGCTGGGAAGTCAACACGGCCAAAGGCCTCTCACGCAACGCCGGCGGCGACAACCAAGGCCTTGTGTCCATGGTAAACTACACCATCGCCAAGTACTCCGCCGACGCCGCGAGAGTGTTTGTCACAGGTTCGAGCTCAGGGTGCATGATGACCAACGTACTCATGGCAACCTATCCGGATGTGTTTGCGGCTGCGACATGTTATTCTGGTGTCCCTGCTGGCTGTCTGGCTGGCAGTCCTGGCGCAAGCCCCATCTCAGCAGATCCGAAGTGCGCCAACGGTCTAAACATTAAGAGCCAGGCTGAGTGGGTGAGTATAGCGAAGGCAATGTACTCTGGGTACAGCGGTAAGTATCCCAAGTTGGCAACGTGGCATGGAACCGCGGATACGCTTGTGAAGCTGCCAAATTTGGGCGAACAGTTGAAGCAATGGTCGGGCGTGCAAGGGCTGGGGTTTGCGAGAAATGAGACAAACATACCAGAGGCAGGGTACACGAAGATTGTGTATGGTGATGGAAGTAAGTTGATCGGGTATGAGGCGAGAGGTGTGGGTCATACCGTGCCGGTGCATGAGGAGGATGATTTGGTGTGGTTCGGGATCTGATCCGTATGCTGGAAGGCTGAAACAAAGCTGAGTCAATATGTAACAAACACGTACCGTAGGCGATGGACTACCAACAGATTCTGTATGAGTGAAAGTGTGTCTCTAGCTGTCTTTCACTTGTCAGTATTTCCAATTCCAAGTGAGCAGTCAATACGAAAACGAATTCCAATTTCCCCTTAAGCACATTCATAAAAACCACAGAGCATTCAACATGCCACCGACTAACTCAAAGCAACAATTTCTCGCCTCACTCCAAGAACTTACCTGCCCTAGCTGCGAAGACTCTTTCAGCAGTATCGATTTACCTGTCACAGTAGACGGATGCGCCATGTCTTTGGTGTCAAATGTGTCGGAAAGTTGGTCGAATCCGGAAGCCCCGGCCGAAACAAGTGCCCTACGTGTCTTGCAGTGATGTTCGAAATTCCCCAGCCTGCACGTATTCCTAGCTCGGTCGATATGGAGCACGGAGCAACTGCGGCAGAGCGATACCTACAGCAAATGGTCTTGGAGCATTACGGACAGCGACGCCAGGAACAGCTGCAAAGAGAATAACTTCAACACGAAGCCGAGGTGGCACGCACCAGGGAGACGATACGCGCGCACCGAGCAAACAGTCCTGCCAGCGTTCAACAAGATGTTGGAGTCAACGGTCGCACTCCAGCAGATATCGACATCGCCCCAGTCGCATCCGTCGCAGTTCCAGGTCCACGTCCAGATGTCCGTACGGAAGCCGAGATGGCACGCACCAGAGAGACGATACGTGCGCACCATGCAAACAGCCATGCCAGCGCTCGTCAGGATACCGAGGTCAGCGCTCCTATTCCTGCGAATTTTGCCCCTCGCGAAGCCGCCGCACCTGTTGTGAGAGATCGTTGGGACGCAGCTCCAGTACCACACCCACATGCTCGTCCGGAAGTTAGTCAACAGGCAGTACATGCATCTGCACCGCGCACCGAATAACCTTGTCAGACACAGGTGAATCAGCCCGGATCACTATCAAGTCCCTAATCATGTTCATGGCTTTTGCGTTCCAGGCATCGATGTTTATGATAGTGGTGTATGTGCTCTTTCAGGCCATCTCGTGGATCTCTGCGGTGTCCAGACTGATCGAGGAGTCCTGGTTCTGGTCCAGTCTTCTTGTTTCCGTTGTTTTCTCAATTTGCTTGCCTGATACCGGCGATGGCTCCAAGACCCCATTGAGGCCCTCCCGCGTGCTCTACTGGACGTTGGTCATCATGATGCTGCGCCTCGTGTACAGCATGCATATCAGATACGGAATGTGGGCCAGGTTCGGGATGCTCACTGGGTTCAGATCATGCTTGAGGCACCTTTCTTGTGCTCGCTTCTTCTCTACGCAAGAGCTGGCAAATGAAATAGTAGACCCTTGGCCGCTGGGACGGCGAGCCTTCTTTTGAATGAAGGTATCTTGATGGGTGGAGGCATCTGAGTCGCAAACCGGGCTCGTTGACCGAGCGACGCGTGCGTATCAGTCGCCTCTTTAGAATGCAAGATATGCCGCATAGCATCCTAGTTCTCCAGTCAAGTTCCATGAATTTCGAGAACTTGTTAGTTAGTGTTTGTGTGTAGAACGTACCGTATGTTTCTGTCGGATAACCAAACATCTTTGCTTCATACTCCCACATGTTTGATCCCGTATCTTGTCTGGAACTAACATGCCTTTATCAGCTCTGCCAGCCCAGCTGCGTCTCTATTTCCACAACTCCAAGTCAATATCCGTTCAACATCTACAGATGCCTCCACCAAGATACGTCTGAGAATTCCCGGACTCGTTTGAAGAGCTCTGCTGCCCGATCTGCGGTGTTCCGTTCGATCAGGTCGAAAACCACATGCCGGTAGCAGTAGAAGAATGTGGTCATATTTTCAGCTTCCGCTATCTCGAAAAGTGGGCAAGATCCAAGAATGCCGCAAGGAACAGGTGCCCAGTATGCGGTGGCGCCATGTTCAGCAGAGGCGAGAATGTTGATCCAGATTTGTCCGACTCATCTGGCTCGTCTGAGGGTTCCAATATGTCTGACGTTGAGTCTGACGACGACCTAGGAATAGATGATGGCTCGTCATATAGCGAAGGCTCAGATTATGAAACAGACAGCAGCAGCGACGCAGACTCCACGAAAGGGCCGGAGTCATCCCGAATATTGGGTGCATCCGACAACTTGGCACTTGCTGACAGCTCGAATATCTCTCATGGCCAAGAGAAATCTGGTGGTTCAAAGGGATTATCCACTCGCGAACCATCTTCCAACGCTGGAGCCTTGTCAGGAACATGATCTGACAACGCATCATCCAATGACGAAATGATGTGTGTTGTGGCGTGACAGGATACTATTGAGTCAGAAGGACATAGACGGAAAGAGTCGTCGAGAGTGGTGTGACAGAGTGAGCCTCGCGGAAAGCCAGTGTAGAAGCCTCTTTAGCCTATTTAGGTTCTATAGAATGAGCGAGGCATGAACATTCGTGATTGTGTCATCCTTGCAATACCAGGGACGCGTGCTGGAGTCTTTCTTACATTACCGTGATGTTCTGAATGAAGTCACCTTCCACGCTTCACCAAAGTATCAATCACTCAAGGTGTCGGCCCTTCTTACAGCGATATCGCACAGATGAATGCGGTCGTCGCACACAATCACAAGAGGGTGTACGAGGTACAACGTCGAGTTGGCGCGTGAAATGTGACTTTCGGGGACGGCGGAGAAGCACCCGAGTGAGTTCTGACTAGCGCACGGAGCTGTAAGCTTTCGAGTCAGTGGTGACCGACGAGAACAGCCGTCCGGCCCGAGATGTAGACTTCGGCACCGGGGGAAAAAGAAAGCCACATGAAGCTAGAGTGTGGTGTTCAAAACTTGATGTTAGCGATGATGACGAAGGATGTTGCTGGCACAGGCGGTGCCTGAAGATCCTCGCCTAAGCGAAGGGTCTTGCAAGCCATTTGCACGTACCAAGATTGCGGCTTCCAGCCCGGAGTGACATGTCGTGTTCGCGCAGCGCTGTGTGGACAACGTAACTCACACTTATCGGACCAGCACCTCGATCGCCGCGCAGCGTGCTTCTTCTGATCACAGAGCACCTGCAGTCGCCCAATCAGCCACTCACAGCGCGGAGATTAGGAAGGAACATCCTTGCAACCTTAACGCTCCCGCCGGCTCTCTGTCATCGTTCGAATCGAGGACGACGTCCAGAAGCCTAGGGAACGCATACCATACACCGCTGCGCTGACCGTGCGCTGAAAGAAAAAGAGTGAGCTATTACTATTGCCATCTTGCTTATTGCACCGGAGCCCAACTATGGAGGTGAGCGCCCACTACATTATTTTCTTCCTGCTGCCCTACCCTGTTGCGTTATCTTGTAGATAGCTTTCCTTCTGCTCACATTGTATATCAACCGTACTCCCTTTGTCTACAGCCGCACGGCAGCACTCGCTCCTTCCTCAGCCCTACCGCTGCGGTGTTGCCATGCCTTGAGGGTCGGGCTCTTGTACTATCACCAAGAGTACCTGCCTACGCGTGTTACTCTTGTAGTACCACACGGCGAGCGCTTATTGCTCCATCACTCTATCATTTTCTTGTCTTCACCGCGACTTCTCCCTGTACAGTCCCTGCATTGGTGGCTAGGGTGTTTACCTTTTCCCACGTCATTTTCCATATCTACGGGCCGGCATCGAAAGTTAGGAAGGAACCTGCACGCGACACTGCGACATGCCAGACAGGTGAAAGGAAAAGAGAAGGTCAAACATCGCTTGCGATCTGCTGCCTAGCTTTTTCACGAGTCATTCTATCTCTCTTCAATCATTGTTTTCAGCTTTATACCCTGTACTACTATACATCATGAGTCGCCGTCCTAGCAGGCAGGTATCTGCATTCTCAGCAGTGGGACTTGGGCAGCAAATTTACGAGGAAAATGGAGCCCGAAGGCCGTCGGTGCAATCTGTCGTGCAAGCGTCGAGTTTGAAGCCAGGAGCACAGTTGACCATGGAACGTTTTCTACAGGACTTACCGAGCGCCGACCAGCCGCTGGTCGACTTCAGTCAACAATATCACACAGGCCGAGTCCCGAATAGTAAAGGGAGAGATGGAAAGCCTAGGTTACTTCTCATGGGTCAGAGAAGGTGAGGACAATTGCGACTGGTGAAGTTTCGCGGCTGACATGATGTATTAGGAGTGGCAAGTCATCAATAGCCAATGTAGTGTTCCACAAGCTGCCTCCAAGCGAAACGCTGTTTCTTGAAACTACTTATAGGATCAAGAAGGAATCGATGCAGTGAGTGCAGGCCTGACACGGAGATGTGCGTTGACTGACCAGCTTGGCTAGCTCGTTTATGGACTTCCAGGTTTGGGATCTACCTGGCCACCTGGACTACTTCGACCCCGCGTTTGACACAGATAACATCTTCGATGAGATTGGCGCACTCATCTGGGTCATCGATGCGCAAGACGAGTACCTCGACGCCATTGCTAGACTCAACCTCACGATTCTCAACCTGCAGCACTCGTACCCCAACATCAACATCGAAGTCTTCGTACACAAAGTCGACGGCTTATCAGACGACTTCCGAGGCGACACATTCCGCGACATCATCCAAAGAGTGCAGGACGAGCTCAGCGACAACGGCTACGAGCAAGCACCCATATCATTCTATCAAACCAGCATCTACGATCACTCCATCTTCGAGGGCTTCAGCAAAGTCATTCAAAAGCTGATACCGCAACTACCGACACTCGAAGCGCTACTCAACAATCTCTGCGCCGCGTGTAACATCGAGAAGGCGTACCTCTTCGACATCATGAGCAAGATCTACGTAGCTACCGATACAACACCCACAGACATAGGGAACTATGAGATCTGCTCGGACTACATTGATGTCGTTGTCGATGTGGCAGAGATCTACGGGTACGAACGTGAAAATCAGACACCAGAAGAGGAGCTACTTGAGAAAGGCAACGGAGATGCAGAGAGCTTGATCACCATGGAGAGGAAGGGGGCCAGGTATCTGTACCTGCGGGAACTGAACAAGTGAGTATTTCCAGTCCTTCGCTCAATTATTGCTGACAACCATAGGTATCTTGCACTCGTTTGCATTATGGGCGATGACAGCCCTGCTGAGAAGAAGGCCATCATCGACTACAACGTCGGTGTCTTCCAGGCAGGACTGAAGAAGGTATTCCCTAAGGGTGATCGCGAGGCTCAGGTAGAGATTGTAGCCACCAACGACGCAGCTTCATAGTAGAGCTTTGCTGCATTGTACCCATACACAGATCGAAAGATGAGCCATGCGGTGTTTTTGAGGGACAGCCAAACGGGCATCTAAGCAGGCAGATAGGACCGACAGTGATAGCTATGGAGGACACATCATTTAAGCAGCACCAATACAAATCCAAACTCACGATACTCTAACTCGCACCAAAGCCTCCATTGAGTGTGGATGCGGCTAAGTTAGTAAAGAGGTCGGAGCCAATAAGTGTTCCCAGATTTCGGATGATCTGCGTGACTGCCGCTCTTCTGCCGAATGCAGGCTGTCACAGCTCCAGGCTTGAACGCAATTTATCTCCGCTACATCGGACCGCTTTCCACCCCTCTTGTTGTGTGTGTGAAGAGTTGATCTCTCTGTCCTTGCTTCCACTCTTATGACATTGTCGTTTGCAGTGTGATCTTGGAGCAAATCTAGGTACGAACTCCACGGATTTACAAGCGATGCTTGGGAAAAGCACACACTCAGGACTGTACTGACTTGAGCAGCTATACAACCCACGATCTTGCACCACCCCACATACCACATTGTTCGAACACTCAGAGATTAACCCACAAACTTCACCCACCGACACAATGTCCACACCAGCCCGCTACCGCAAGCCAGCCTTCGCGACCACAAGCCATGAAGACACACTCCCCATTCCCCGCGCGCCCGCCTCGACTTCAGAAGCCAAGAAGGAGCTCAAGGCAGCGGTCAACGACCAAGCAGCCAAAACATCCAAAGGCTTCTCAGTCCTCGACATCCTGCGCGTCCTCGGTGGCCTAGCGCTCCTCAGCGCAGGCCTGTCATATCTGAGCACAAGCGGAACAAGTATGACATGGGGATACAATGCAAAATGGACGCGCATGCGGGAGTGGAAAGGGCTATTCGTACGTCTCCCCTCCCCCTATCCATCCCACCATCCCACTCCGAAGTCCAAGAGCATACATCGAACTGCTTGCTAACGATTGGCAGAAAGGACAAGTAACCCTAACCGACGCCGAGCTCCTCTCCTACGACGGCAGCGATCCCCAAAAACCCATTTACCTCGCGCTCAACGGCACAATCTACGACGTCTCGGCGTCGCCACAAACCTACGGGCCGGGCGGCAGCTACCACTTCTTCGCTGGCCGCGATGCCGCGCGCGCCTTCCTCACAGGCTGCTTCGTCGAAGACGCGGTGCCGGATCTGAGGGGCGTGGAGCGCATGTTCATCCCTGTGGACCCTGAGGAGAAAGCCGACGCCACCCCCGAGACGATTGAGGCAGCGAAGCACAGGAGGGCGCCAAGCAAAGGAGAACTGAAGAACCGCACAGCTCAGGAAGAGAGGACTGCCAAGCAGAAGGTGGTGCAGGGTCTTGAGAGCTGGCATGCGTTGTTCCGCGGCGACAAGGGCAAGCCGTACTTCAAGGCTGGTGTGGTCAATAGGCCGAATGGCTGGGAGAAGTACCTGCCTGAGCGGTCGTTGTGCGAGCAGGCGGAGAAGAGCAGGCCGGTTAGGAAGTACGATTAGGTGGTGCATCAAGTGAAGTTATGTATTCTGAATGTGCGTACTTAACACGGGCTTTTTCGTCATGCTTGTTCATGACGCAGGCCAGTACTGATGAGCACGTTGCGGACGTTACAAGGCAAATCGAGACGAGTGTCGCAACGGCGACTGTTGCTGGAATGTTCGAAGGCCGAATCAGGATCAAGCGCATCGCAGCTGGCACCTATTCTCAGCTTTGTGGTGCGAATGTATGTGAGGCGGCATTGTGCAATCAAATTGGTGGTTGAGGTTAGAGAGTACATGAGCTGGGAGGTCGGTGAGCCTTCGTAATGCGCGTATTGTCGAGCCCAAACACTATCACGTCGAGATATGGCAATGGCGTAATGTGCGAAGCAGCGCGCTTCGTGACACGGCTGGACTGTTCATGAGTGAAGCTGCCAAAGAATCAGCACCCCGCAAGGTCTCTGCCACACACCATCATATAAAATTCATGATGCGCACATCACATCCACGTCCAGCAGCACAGATCGTTGAGTTCGGATATCTTTTTCATTCAATACATAACCGACACGGCCTACAGGCGCGGTGCTGTACCGATCGCCTGTCCTCCTTTCATGCCCTATTGTCCGTGAAGACCCGTTCGTGATGACGCCGTTGGTAACTGGGAAAGAGGAATGTCGTTGAAAAGCTGAAAAGAGCACCGAGGTCCGCGTCTATTCCATTTCGCTAAGGGATGATTTACTCGGCATCACCGACAGCGCGGGCTAAACAATCGTCAGTACAGGTTCTTCTTTGAATCTTCCCCTTCGGAAGAGGGGTAGCTGTCATCTTCGCTAGCGCCCGGTTGGGGTGTGAGACATACTGTAGACGGACAGCTTCGAGTGACCGACAACCTTCTTGATCTGACCGTTGGCCTCGAGGTCGTTGAGGGCTTTCCGTGCGAGCGAACCGTTGATCTTGAGTCGATCGACGAGGGTGGCAACGGTGATCAGGCGGTACGACTGGACATCCTTGTTAAGCTTGTCGGTGACGTTCTTGTCGAGGACGACAGCGTGCTGGGCCTTGTCCTTGACTGCGGAATTGTCAGCCCAGTTCTCATATCACAACTTTCGGTGTGCGCGTTGTCGGGTGTGGGTGGTCGAATTGCGGTTCCTGACAGTTTGTGCGTGCGAGAGGATTTTGGTGCGAGTGCGGCAGCGGTCACGTACCCTTGCCCTTGGACCACTTCTTCTTCTGCTTCTTGCCTCCGGTTGCTGAGGGTGCCATTTTGTCGGATGTGAGAGTGATGGTCTGGTCGTCGTCAGAGCAGAGACTCAAGTCGAAATTGAGCTGGTGCGGAGTCGCGCTTGGCGCAGACCACCTGCAAGCGAAGGCGCTAGTGCCGGAACAGGAAGTCGCTACTGCTGTCTTTGAACATCAATCTCACCTTCACCTTTGTAAACTACACAGCACATGTGAATGGTATTCATACTGTAGCATTTGCTGTCACTCTTGTTACTGGAACGAATACATTTGTTTCCCTGGCTGGTCGGATCTTAACATATGCGCCGATAGTCTACATGACTGCACATCCTCCGCCCGTTTCCTTCCCCTGCCGACGTATCTGCTTCCGTTCAGTTTCTGCTGGTGGAGGATTCGCAATAAACAGTGCACACTGCTCACACACGCCATGCGTGCACCTCGGTCTTTTGAAGAAGTTCTGGCACGGCGCCTTCTCGTCGCTGGGGCCGCGGTTGTGGTAGCAGCAGTGGCAGCAGCGCCAGCCCATTGTTCCAGTATCGATGCGTAGAAAGATTTGGGAAGAGAGTAATTGTTTATGGTTTGTGTATGCGAGTCGTGAGGTAGATTGGGGCTTGGTGAACAGAGAGGAAGCGGGGAGGGGTTATGTGTCCGTGTACTTCCCGGTTTGAGGAGGTCACTGGTGTATGTGGTGATACCTTCCATGGTGAATGTTAGCTCTTCAATACTTGTGCATCACATCCACTCTTAACGGGGCGGAGGCACATAAAAGGACGCTCGCATGTCTCTGTTCTCGGCCATAGACAGCGCATCATCCACAATGTATAAGCCCAAAATACACGCTCAGCCCTGCTGTATACTCTCCCACCTCGACCCTTCGCGCAAGCGATCGCCCTTACCTGGGTTTTGCGAGCACGGGGCCTGCTGCTCAGCTCATGATAGTCAGAAACCGAACCGCGAGAAAGACAACGTGGGAGAACAAGCGAAGAAGGCTAAGATAGAGGAGGTATACGACATTAGAGAACCAAAGACAGTAATGCAGGATATCGCCAGAGCGACGAAAGAAGAGGAGCGGGATGAAATAGGCATGCGGCCGCATCACACAGACGAACGAGTGAGGGTATCACCGGAGCAATTGTCCATATGGCTGCATCACACAGAGCGGCCTGGAAGGCAAGAATGGGTCAGCAAACAGATTTGCAGCTCATTAAGCAGTAAAGATTGTAGTAGCCTGTCCATATTTGATAATCGATAGTCGTAATAATATATGTCCATATGCACCAGCAACATGCTAGTCCCCAGCCCAAACGCCGAGTATGCAGCCTATATCGATCTCTCGATCAAAGGGGTATCTTGAGGAGACTTTTCCCAACCCAGAACACCTCTTATACCCATACAAACGCCTTTCAAACAGCAAATCCTTGAAACAATGGTAATAATCAACACTAGGTGCTTATGACGCACCGGCTGCTCGTTGTTCCCAGTTCAGATTCTGGAAATATCTCTCGATCTTCTCACCGCAATATGAGAAGTGCTATCTCTGAGATCCCTGGCCCAGTCTTTTGAGATTGAAGCATTCTTTGATGTTCCATCGGAGGTTCTCAATGGTATTGGGTGAGACCTCGCGCTCTTTGCGAAAGGATTGCTCTGGCGGTAGTTGCCGCTCAGGCGACGGCTTCGGTAACGAACGTGGTGTCTTTTACACACCGCTCCAGTTCATGTCGCCTCCGCCCTGTTGCTGCATGCGCTGCTGCTGTTGTTGCTGCGCTTGGCGCATCATCATCATCTGCTGCACTTGCTGCTGGTTCATCTGGCCTATGTTCATGCCCTGCATGCCTTGCATACCCTGCATGTTCTGCATGTTCATGCCTTGCATGTTGCCCATGTTCATTTGGCCCATATTGCCCATATTCATGCCTTGCATGTTGTTCATCATGCCTTGGGGCATCTGACCACCCTGCTGCATAGCCTGTTGACGCATGCGCATGAGCTGGTCGTTGCGCTGTTGGTGGGCACGCTGCTGGAGAAGAGCTTGCTGGTACTGCTGCATTTGCATAGGGTTTTGACCGCCTGGCATCTGGCCTTGCATACCCTGGTTCATGGGCATCTGGTTCTGACCCATCTGTTGCTGTGCCTGAACTTGAGCTTGTTCCTTGCTGCGGATGAGCTGCTCGAGCTGGTGCATCTGCTGGACATGTTGCTGCGGAACTTGGTTGCCAAATGTCGTCAGCAAGTGTTGCTTGCGCTGCTGGTAGTGATTTCGCAGCTGTGCCACGTTCATGTTAGCCATATTATTCGGAGCTTGTTGATTGGGCATGGCGTTCTGGGGACCCTGGGGAGACATCTGGTTCATGGCGTGTTGTGTGTTCTGCTGCTGCGCTTGCGCTGCCTGAGCTTGCTTCAGCTGCTGGAAGTAGCCTTGTGCAAGTCGCTGCTGGTAGAGCTGTGGGTTCTGGCCATTGGGTATACCTTGCGCCTGGACGTGCATCTGCGCCTTCTGCATTGCCATCTGTTGCAGGTTTTGACCACCAGGAGACATACTGTTCATCTGCTGGTTCTGCAACTGCTGCAGTCGAATCTGCTGCATTCTCTGCTGGTTTTGTTGGGCTTGCACAGCCTGCATCTGCTCAGGGGTCATGTTCTGGGACTGAGGTATCTGCATCATGATCGGCGTCGCGCCCTGTACCTGCAGAGAGGGGCTGCCCTGGTTCATACGTGGTGTAGGCGTCATATTTCGGTTGGGCATAGCAGAGTTCATGACAGGCGTGCCTTGCATCATCTGAGGTGTGTTCGTGCGGCTCATCGAACCCTGCTGCTGACTAGCAGTACGTGCCATAGGATGATGCGAGATAGAGGAAGGCGGTCGAGCAGGGCTGGCGATAGCATGGTTTGAAGCAGTCGCGACCATGGAGGTACCGCCCATGGCGTGACTTGCTTGCCCACCAACACGTGGAGAAGCTGCTGCTGCTGCTGCCATGGGGGTGTTCTGACGCACACTGGGCGAGAACTGGTTTTGTGTGGCAGACTGGGGCGTCTGTGAGATCTGAGCCGCGGCTGCGCTCGACATTTGCGCTGCCTGTGCGACTCGAAGGGCTTCGTTCTGCTGCATTTGATTCTGCTGCAACATCTGCTGCTGCTGTGCTTGTTGACGTGCCAGCAGCTGCTGTCGCTGCTCTTGAACCTCGGCCTGTTGTCGGTTGGCCTCCATGTCCCTCCGTTTCTGCGCTTCGGACTCCATCTGCGCCTGCCTCTTGGCCTGCGCCTGACGAGCGTCTTCTTCCTTCTTGCGGCGATCTGCTTCCTCGTGGTTGGCCTTGATACTCGCGAGGGTTTTGAATCGAGCAAAGGACATGGTGTTGGCTGCGGCGCGTACAGCACCCTCATCGCCACCAGCAGTGGTAGTGTTGAGAGTCGCCTGCTGCTCATCACCAGCAAGCATGAAGCTTTGAAGGTTCTGTGCGTCGGCCTCGTCAGCTGCAAGCTCAGCAGTCGTCCTCTTGCGGGACTTGCGTTCTGGCGGTGGGTTCTTATTGTTGGGGTGGGTCACAGCGTCTATCAACGCGACTGATTCAGCGAAGCTCTTGGTAGGTTCCAGGTACAGCTTGGGGCATGTTGCATTGAGCAACTCGGCCTCGAACTCGTGCACGTTGCTGTCGTCGATCATCATTTTCTGGCGCTTGGGACTAGGCCCAGCGGAAAAGGTCGGCGTAGGTGGCACAGCAGTCAATGGAGTGGGCGGCATGCCTGCACCGCGTCCAGCGGCCTGCATCCTCTTGAGAGCAGCGGTGTCCGTAGCCGGCGTAGTAGCGAGTATCGACACGTCAGACAATTGTGCTTGCGTAGAAGGGAACAAGACGACGGTGGTAATCTTGGGCCCGCTCGCTGGCTGCTTCTGCGACGCACCATTCGATCCAGGCGCGAGCATGTTCTCCTTGTCCTCCTTGTCGCCGGCCTCTTTGGCCTGTGCTGCGGCTCCGTTGGCTTTGGGGTTAGGCTTGCTGTTCGGGTGGGTCCCGTAAGGGGACGGAGTGATGAAGTTGTTGTTGTTGTGAATCGAGAAGGCTGTCTTGCTGCCATCGCCTGCGCCGTTTGCACTGTCCTTGGGTTTGGCGGTGTTGTTGCGGTAGTTGTGGACTTCGACGATCAGGCAGCCGTCGTAGAAAGGTGTGCCATTGGCGTAGAGCTCCTCAAGCATGTTGTGAGGGAGCTTCTTGTCGCGCAGGGCGGTGAGGATCTCCCTCATGGGCGAGGCGTACGTCAGCGTCTCCTGCGAGTCGTTGATGCGAAAGTGGTTGGGGAAGAGGTGGACGCGCATCGAGGGCAGCTTGCCGCGGTGCCTGGCAAGGATAGCCTCTTGTGTGTAGACTGCGCAATATGTTTAGCTGCGCGCTCGCGCATAGCAGTGTTGTGTGGTGCGTACCATAGAGCTTGGGCTCTGGCTTCGCGCTGTCGTTCTCCATGTTGTTGGTCTTGGTGACGACGCGCGCAACACCAGGGCGCTGAGACTCGCGGCGCACGCGCAGAGCCTGGGTAGGCCGAGCTGTCGCGACTGCGCCCGACATGGTGGTAGGTGTTGTGGGTGCGAAAGCGGGGTGGAGCAGGTAGTCGCTGGGGTCTGGGGAAGCTGCGGCCAGCGGTGAGGTCAGGCAGGCAGGCAGCTGCGGAATGTAGCCGTTGCACGTAAGAGGGCCGGCGCAAATGTGCGCGCAAGACCCGGAGAAACTTCAGGTGCACAGCTGCAAAGTCGTGACTCGATAGGTTGGGGTGCAGTTGGAGGTGTCTCAGGTAGATGTGGTTTGAGGCACCGCGTTTGTGAGGTCTGAAATGGCTTGGCGTTGTATGTTGGAACGACCGCCTCATCACATGACTTGATGGTCTAATTTCATCCTACACCAAGGCATTAACTGTATATTTGGACATGCAACCAAGTCTGCAGAAGCTTGGCTTGAGCAGTCGCGCCTCGTGGGCCATCGTTACCGTGTCCGTGCACGTAATGCGCGGATTCGCGTAATGCGCCGAACCATCTTTTTGCACCCATACTTCGCAGTTCAATTACTCAACGCCACAATGACTATGAAATCTGCCTTTATGTCGTCCTGACATGGCTTGCAGCCAACAACAATCCTCTTGTTCCCTAAGGCTCCCAGGATTGCCAAGTGTCAGCTTGCATCATTGATTGTGGAACAGGTTAGTGTTGAAGTCGTACTTTAAGCAAAGCTCGTAAGCACTATTCTATTGGTTCTCGGGGATGAATACGGTGACAGGATTCCAATGGGGGTTGGCTGCAATGAGGAGTACAGATACGATCTGTCTGTCTCAAAAGCAGGGGTGACAATAAGTAGTACAGAGTAGACTGTCTAGCAATTGAGATCCAGAGACAAACTTGATTGACTAGGTTGAACAAGAACCATAAGGGTTGTGTTCCTACTTGCTTATATATTGTCCACTAGATTCTGCTCGTTGACGAGCGGATTTGGTCCTGGCCTATCCGGATGGATTGTGCCTCGTTGACGAGCATCGCGCCATGCTCGTTGACAAGCACCACGTCATTGAGTCGGCATCTGTCACTTCCAGGTTGACACCATCCGCGGTCAAGGAATGACAGAAAGGTCCCAGGATCTCCGGCACAGTAATGAACTCGCTGGCAATGGTTACCTTGAGCTTGAAGCTCTCCTTTTCTGGTATGCCTAGATGAGCCCTGGAGTTTTTTGCCAATACAGTTTGCCAATTGGGATAGATGTCCGTAATACCATCGTGGACGTCAACGGTCAAGTTATGAATGAAGTCGCCGGCCCGGACGTCTGTGTAGTCAGCTTTGCTCCGCTGCATATACTGCCGTATATAGTCCGAATGCATTGTAACTCCTAGGGTCATGCTATAGCACCACTGCATGGCTTCCGTGTCCGTATCGTTTCCAACAATGGCTGGATCCAGGAAGGAAACAAGCAGTCCATCGGCATCCTCAGTAGAGCTCGAATACCAGCGTTTCAACAGGAGGACTAGAAGGCATTTTGAATGCAAAGCACTTTGAACATTTCAGAGGGTGGCAGTACCTGCCATGCTCGTGAGCAAGAGCAACAATAAGCTTCTTCCTCGTTCCGCACGCAGCGTACTGGCGGCACACGACATCTGAATCGTATCTCAGGCAAAATTACAACCTACAGGTAAGCATTCGTGCACGCAAGTCACGTGTAAGCAATAGTAGAGGCCCACGCGAGTTCCTCCATTGCTACTTTCCTGATAGCTATTGAAATTTACCTACTGATCTGCCCAGAAGAGTGAAGGCTCGAAGTAACACTCGATATGACCCAGTTGATCCTTCCTGTTGACGGATTCCTTGATAGCTGAATCAATCGCAGCTGTAAATGTCAATAACATGCACTCGACCTGCGTCACACAACGCACCGTTCAGGTCCGACAACATCTTTGGATCATCAGAGAGCTGATGGAGGAAACGCCACAAACCGTTATTGAGGATTTCGAGGCTGCTCATCGAGTCGGCTGCGGTCGCCGCTAGAGCGTCCAACTCTTTGCACAGCACAACCTGGTCCATATCGTCGTCGCCCGACCCATCCTTGACCGCTCGTACCACCTTCTTGACGCTATCGTAGCCACCAAGAGCCTCCTGCGCTACGTCAAGCTGAGTTGTGATGTAAGACAAGGACGGTATATCCGCCTTTGATGAATAGAAGGCTTTGGAAAGGGCGTCAAGAACCCGGAAAGAAGCTTTGTAGAAGCGGTTCAATGTCTTGGTCTCAGAGACGGCAGCAGCAAAAAGCTGGGATTTATGATCCTTGGACGCGGCGTACTCGTATGACGCAATCATCTCATAGAGTTGCGACTTCATAGCAACATGTTGATCCTCCAAAGCACGATTGTGCTCTGCTAAGGCGAGATTTTGCTGCAGCAGATCGATGTTCTGTTCCCGCACAGCAAGAGGATCGTCTTGCAAGGCATCGACAAGCGTTTCCGTGTCGTCGGTGTCGCCGGACAACAAAGAGTCAGTATCGTCAAGTGCAGCCTTGATATTATTCGCCTCCTGGACTTGCAGGTGGAGTTCAGCGAGTAACTCGTCCTTCTTCGCCAGTTCTTTCTCCTTCTTCGCCAGCTGCTTATCCTTGCGCTCAAGTGTCTTTATATCTGACTTGCGTAGTTGTTCAAACATCGTTTCAGACTTGCGGTTATCTTCCATGAGCTTGTTGATGACGACTTGCTGGTTCTCGATCTGAGTTTGTAGATTCTCGATCTTCTCGGCGGCGGAAGCATCGGCCTGCTGCTTGTCCACGATCTCGTTCAGCTGTTCCCGGTAACGCTCGACGCGCTTCTGAAGGTCATCCGACGTGTCCTTGTAAAGGGAAAACTGGCGCTGAGCTTGTTGCAAGTCGACCTTCATAGCTTGATATTCTGCGGGAAGATTGTCAATTTCCACCTGCTTCTCGTCCAGGTCCTTCGTTAGGGTCTCGTTTGTTGCCTGCAGCTCCTTCTCGCGACCTTCGAGCTCCTTGATATACTCTCGAGCTGTCTTCAGTTCGGTCATCTCCTGGAATTGTTCACGCATATCCTCCGGCAGGATATCCTCGAACTCCAGGTTATTTGCTTCAGCTGCGGCCACAAGAGCAGCCAGCTGCTTCTGGTATTCGCCGCAACCAGCCATCGTTGTTTTGAGTGGGGCGTCTGAGGCTTCCAAGGTTTCTGTTAGTTCCGAGGTTTCGTGCGGTCTGGTTGAAGGTGTCTGTTTGTCTTGGTTGGCGGAAAGAGCTCCTTGGCCCAGAGCGGGAGGTTCTTTATGAGTTTGATGGAGCGAGCGCTATTGGAACATTATTGACAAGTAGTGAGCTGAGATGATGAATAATATGCCGAGAGAACGATGAGTGAAAGTAGTGTGTGCATTGTGCTTTCGTTAGTCGTCGTTGTTTAGGAACACTGTAGCCATTGCCACGCTCAATGCAGCTGCCGCCTCTGATGGCAAGCATCTACGAACATCGGACCCGCCGACCCTACCATAGCTGAAGGCAGTGTCAGTCCGCTGTCTCCTTGTGCATGCCTGCCTAGGAGGTATACGCAGATGTTCGCGTGACAGACGGTGAAATGAATCCTTAATGAGCATACGCAGAGCCACGGATCGGGTAGTGTGTGATATGCAAAGCAAGACAAACTCCATCTTTATCCCTTCAAAGACGAGTCGTGCGTTTGTGTAATAGAATGACACCACGATGTTTGTGCGTGGTGTTGATTCCCAGTCCGCCTTAGAGACGAGGATGAATCGGGCCGAGCGCGCCGCTCCACATTTGCTCGAGGAGCTTCAACTGAACTCCTTCCTTGTCCCTGATGTTCCCTCATCCAACAACGCTTCACTAGCGTACACGCACAACCAACTAGTGGGCTTTCCTTGACTTCACTTGGCCTGTCAGATGAAAGAGTATGAGGAGATGGCGTACTCGCCAATACTTGGCATCGTCAGACTGGTGCAGGCCTTCTTTGGTTCAGGCCTGTAGCCACCCCGCAATCCCACCGAAGCTTGATGTTCACTCCATGTTGCGATCTACCTCCTCCATTTTTTGGTCATTTGGCACACGATCTACCCTCGTCCACATGGGACATGAAGATACACAGCCTATAGCAGGCTGTCATGGAGCTTAGGACCTTCTTCATTTAAACGCTTTTCAATATCTGGCCTTGCGTCTGCTGACAACTTCAACAGGCCAACAAGCATAATGACGTCTGCAACTGGTAGTCTATTGCCGAATAGCTTCATCAGTTGTTACGTTACATCCGGCAGAGCTCCCCTTTATGGATCAACAGCGGGGTAGAGCAACGCAAAGTGTGGGTCGACGTTGAACACGCGACCTTACGGTACCTCGTGCGCTATCGTGGGATATACGAAGTACTTAACCGGACTTGAAGATCGTCTCTTTGTTGTCTTACAGACTCTTTGTTCACAACTCACCTCCTTTGTCTCGTTCTTTGCAATGCGGCAGTTCAATGTATTCAAGGCTGCTTGCCTCTTGCCCGCCCTGATATCAGCACAGTGTCCAGAGTATATCGATTACGCAAAGGAGATTCACGAGCCTTCGAGCTCTGGGAAATACAAGCTTGCATACCAACGTCCTTCAGAAGAATGCCGAACGTTTAAGAACCAGGCACTGGAAGACACGATCACGCGTCTCGAGACCGTTATTCATGACCCAGATCTTTATCGACTTTTCCAAAATGCGTACCCTAACACACTCGACACGGCAATCCGGTGGAAGGGAGTCGCGGCAGACAATGCTGAAGAAGAGCTTACGTTCATCATTACGGGCGATATTAACGCGATGTGGCTCCGTGATTCATCAAACCAGATGCAAAGCTACCTGTCACTCCTTAATGCTAGCAGCGACCCGAACTCAATCGCAAGTCTTTACCGAGGTGTCATCAATCTGCAGGCTCGCTACCTCCTCACATCGCCTTACTGCAATTCCTTCCAGCCGCCTGTGGAGAGTGGAATTGAGATAGCGCTAAACAACGCCGCTAGTGAGGACACAGTCTTCCCTGCCTACTCCAACCAATCCGTTTTTGAATGCAAGTACGAACTTGACTCACTGGGGGCTTTCCTGCAGATCTCTACAGACTACTACAGAGCCACGGGCGACTACGAGTTCTTTGGCAAGTTCAAGTGGATCTCGGCTGTTGAAGCAGTCCTGAAGGTGGCACATGATATGATGTTGCCTACATACGGACCAGAAGGAGTAGTTCTGGAAAGCTCATACACTTTCACGCGTCTTACAACACGTGCAACTGAGACGTTTTCGAACGACGGCATTGGCAACCCTGTTGCTAACGGCACTGGCCTCATCAGAAGCGGTTTCCGGCCCAGCGATGACTCGACAATCTTTCAGCTATTCATCCCAGCAAACATGATGTTCAGTACTCTCTTAGCCTCCACATCGGAGATCATGGGCAAGCTGAACGTGGGGAATTCGGCATCACTTGCCCAACAGATGTCCGATCTGTCGAATTCACTTCACGATGCCATCGAAACGCACGGCACGGTCGATCACCCCACCTATGGCAAGGTTTACGCCTTCGAAATTGATGGCTTTGGTTCTACAGCGATTATGGATGATGCAAACATCCCTTCGCTGCTCTCTGCACCCTTTCTTGGGTATCGCATCGATGAACAAACCTACATAAACACACGGAATCTCATCTTGAGCGCCACTAACCCGTACTACATGCGTGGACCCGTCATCAACGCCATCGGTGGGCCACATCAAGGTCCTGGTATGGCATGGCCGATGGCTTCTATTGTCCGCATCTTGACAAGTGACAACGATGAAGAGATCACCAACGAATTGATGCAGATTGTCAGTAGCACTGACCGACTGGGCTTGGTGCACGAGAGCATCAACACCTTTAACCAGAGCGACTGGACAAGGCAGTGGTTCTCATGGGCCAATGGTCTGTTCGGGAACATGATTCTCGATTTGGAGAACCGGAAACCAGGCATCTTGGAAACGAGCTTTCAGTGAGCAAGGCAGACTTGCTTGCCACGTCAATTATGTGCATCAATGAATTTATGTGCTCTTGCAACCACTTCGACGATGTCGTGCAACTTCCAGTTCGCACGTATCGGTGTACGCATGCCATCACACAGCCTGGTGATCAACTCTGTGGTGTCACCTGTTGCTTCCCCACTGACCCTGCATGCTGACAGGAGATGGCGGCCATGCTCATTCCCGCAGCGGACGGGTGTTACCAGCCCCAACCAACCTCTCGTGGCACTTTCTCAGAGTACATGGACTGTTAAGCCGATATCGATGATGTCCGACCTTTTGAGTTTGTTGACGAGATCGATAAACTTTCTGTGACTTCCGAGCCGGCATCCGAGACTATACCCTGCTGGAGATCAAATAAGGCTGGGAACCCCACCAGGTGGATGCCAAAATCCAAGGAACAACGATTGCCTCCGGCATGTCTTCGATCAAAGCGCTACCGTCATCGATGCGTAACAGACGCTCGTTCCAAGGTGCAACAAATCGCAAAACATGGCAGTGCTGTCTCAGGGTTTGACACAGGCTGACAGCGGTTGATAGCGCACTGGATCTGCGCTGTGCCGCCTCCAGCGCTTCGAGGCTGCTGAAGTTGGCGCTATGTAAGCCTTAATATGCCTGAGGCGGAGTGGAGGCCGTAGGTTTCAGCTCCTCACCGGCAACTGCGTGAACGTTGTTCGTGTCCCCCAGCCATGTTGCGTGCTTCACGAGACCACGTCTCCCTCCTCGTTTATCGAAAGATGCCAAATCTTGATTGTGCACGAGCAAAGGTACCGCAGCTGCTGGCGTTCGTCAATGCATGGTCGGCGGGATGCTAGGCCCCTCGTGGATGGCTCTGCTGATATGAGTGGATCTCACTCCTGAAGCGTGCCACTTTGGGGCAAGCGCTTCTAGTAACGCGCGCGAACTAGAGTCGCGTATGGCACGTTGCTGGCCAACAATGGTAGGAGATGTCACCAAATGAGATCTGCTCAGCTTCCGACGGAGCGAACAACCCTGCTGATTTCATCCTACGAGACGCCTCCAGGACGATGAACGATGCTACACCATGGTGATCTTGACGTGTGGCTGACGGCGAGTCCGGATGCAGGACCACGGTTCACTTCCCCTTAGAGCTCACGGTATCTGGTTGGAGGTGTTCCTCAAGTCATGGTAACGCATTTGATGGTACTGGAAATGAGGGATATCAAACAGTTTCCCCACCGGCCGGCGTTCGCCGCCAACGATAGCTTATTGCGACAGAAGCTTGGTTACGGGCGTGCACGATGGCGTGTCTCATCAGTGGTCCTATCCAAACCTTGCAATTGCTGCAAGTTTGTTCTTTCCACTCGCTAACTGAGAAGCCGCCGTGGTTGCCGTCCCTTAGGTTCCTGCCATGTCTAGTCCCTATTTGACAGCTACATCTCAGCCTCGGCCGCAGCTCTTGTACCTTCTCTCACCTCGACTTTTGATCAACAGTATACAAGGCTTTTTGGACCCCGCCAGACACTGTGTTTCAAATAGTACATCTATTTACCGAGTTCAGACGGCGTCATTAAGCGCTCAGGCTGGATCATCACCACACCTCGCCAACATCACCAACTGGCGCTAATTCGACCAATACGGAGCAAGCACATCGCAACCACCGACTCGAAAGCAAACCTCCATCGCCTTGTCTGTCCGTCTGCATATCTGCGCTTACTTTTGTTGGACTCGACCAAGGCGTCGGTCCTTCCTGGGCCTCCAGCCTGCATCAGCCCCAGTCAGCCTCGCCGCAAGCACACATCGGCGCATGAGGATCAGTTTCATCTTGCAACCAAACACCACAGAATACCTTCCAGTTGACAAGCGTCTTCTTTTTGACTGCAGGACTATTCTCCGATCAGACCAAACTGCCGAGGCGGCTGCTGCAGTCCAACACACTGTTTCCCATGGCATACTATTTTTGATACCTTGTACATGCAGCATACCAGCATTTAGACGCCTATCCGCTTCACATCTCATCCTTCTTACTCAGAGCGGCTTAACTGCGCCGCGCTTATGACCATGGACAACACCACGCTGCATACGTTTCTTTTGTATGTGTACCCCTATGCGCCGCCGCCAGACATCTGCAGTTTATAACCTTTTACAGTCAATGTCCGGGTGCACTTCGTAGCGTAGTCTTACTCGGATCTTGGGACAACTTCTCTAAGCGCTACAGTCTTCATCTTGATACTCGAGGTGGGCGCAGCATTTGGAAAGGTTGCTTCATTTTCTTCGACATCTTCTGCGACGGTGACCTCAGCATGCTATCACCGAAACGAGACGGCCCGTTGAAGATGGGTGGCACATACTGGTACTATGTAAGTATATCGTGTTTCCATTTTTGATGATGCTGACCTGCAATAGTATGAAGTCGATGGCGACAAGGAATGTCACAATCCCTCGCAGCCTTCGACAACAGTATGTCCTCTGCTGCCTGGGCAAAGCGTCAACATACTGGAGATACCCGTAGAAGAGCGCAGTCGTAGCAACTCCATTGAAAACTCTTCGGCATTTACGCGTAACCCCAAAGACAGGTATCTGACGCCTGTTCCTCCAGGCAAGCCGTTGCCTTCTCCTAGACCTCGAAGTTCGAATCGCGAAGCTTACGCTTTACCATTGCCTTCACCATGGGCTCCCAAATCTGCCACATACCCTCCAGCGGACCAATTCTTGTCACCAAATGTATCACGACATGCTCGAAGCGCATCTGCGTCGCCACTGCTCCCCTCAACGCCACTCTTTGCAGACTTCAAGGATCTGAAGGAGAAGTTCGCTTCAAAACGAGCTCGCTCAAGGTCACGAAGTTCATCTGATGTCAGAGAAATGCAAATCAGCGCGCCTGTACTAATCAGTACAACGGCTGACGGCGTGTTGCCTACTTACCAGCCCACACCACTACGTTCGCCCAGGAACTTCTCTCGGCCACAAAGAACCACCCCCCCACCACTCTCAATCCCAACCATCACCAAAGGCTTTTCACCGCTTACATCACACCCTGTGGACCCTTTCACGGACGCTCAGCCACTCATCGCAGAGCTGCCAGCCAACGAGACACCTGTGCAACGACGTCGATCCTACATGCCATCGACCGTCGTCAGTGACGAGTTCGACATCGAGCCTAGCCGTCACCGGGCAAACTCAGCAGATACCAAACGAACAAAGCGTAGCCTCTACGCAAACGACCGTTGGGTCTCATCACCAAGATTTCAGCACGAGTTCGACAGCAGCATCCAGCAAGCGAGGGAAGTGCAGTTCTTCAAGGCTGCACCAGTTCTTCGGCGCCCGATCCCATCTCTGGCACCACCAGCTGCGGATGAGCGTCCTTCGTCGAGCCATGGAGGAAGTCGCAGCCCTAGTCTGCGAGAGATGCCTCTTGAGAAAGACCTGCCTGCTCTTCCTCAATACCTGATTCCCGCACCACTGTTTGCATGCAATGCATGTGCATCAGAAGAGGCAACACCTATCGATGAGGCAGGGGTCGAAGATGCAGTGACTGACGACATTCTGCAAGCATATGAGGATGATGAAGAGCCGATCGCACAGGTCTCCGAGAAACAGCGCAGCCACTTCTCTACGTGGAGCAGCTTCGACAGCTATGCAACTTCGGAGGATGAAGGCATCACATCACCAACCTTCAGCTCCGCTACCAGCGTCTCAAGCGATGCAGGATCACCTCTACGCCAGTCGATCCGCTACTCCTTCGCCGAGCATGCCTTCAACAAGGCCCAACAAACCACTACGATCACCGAAGTTGACGAAGAAAACGACTTTACCAACAATCGCACTTCGACACCTCCACAACTTGACGTTAATACTCTCCGTCTTTCCGCAATATCATTCAGCTCTGATCTCTTCAACCTCGACATCCAGCACGCAGAGGCTATGCCGAGACGACAGGCTGCCTGCTTTGGTTTGGGCTTCCAAGGGTACAGTCTGCCCGAGGACGGGACGAAGAGCAAAGAGACGGTTCAGAGCGAGGTTACGCTTCGATCGAAACGGATCAGCGTTCAGCGCGAGAGCCCGACGAGCCAATTGGACATGCTTATGGACGACTTTTCATACCTCGGGGATGCTGTTGTCTGAGCTCGGTACTCGCATATTATGCCCTTCTACCCGATACGTTCTCACCGCACCATATTACGACTATCGCATTTCCAGCGATATCTGTTTCACGGCCGATATAACACGAGGGACTTACGGCCGAGCTTACATCTCGCACGAATACGTTGCATCCATTTGACCATGAGTGTATTTCCACCATATACCAGCAAGCGTTTAGCAGGCGGCATTCTGTATATACAAAATTGAAGCGTTCATGTTGGATACAACAATTTGGTGCATAGGAGGTTTGCAGAGTATATAGTTGCATGACACGATGCATTGAATCTTTTACAACCTCCAAGTCACTCCGATTCACATCACCACGTGCCTGCAGTCATTACATGTTCATGCTCTATGACTTTCTATGACTTCAAGAGCGAAACCTTCCACCATTGTCTCCCGAGGGAAGTTGCGGAACGGTGATGTGTGATATTTTGGTATTAAATTATCGCTTCTTTGCAGTGTTCGTTGTTTGCGGAACAGGCAGGCACCTATAAATCGATGGGAAAATGGCGCTGGTACCCAGAATGCGCACATTGTCTTGCAATGAAATTTGACAAGACAGAATGATGTGGGCTTGTCCGGGAACGTTAGAAGTCCCAGCAGGATGTTGTTGCGTTATTTCATGGGTTCATAACGAAACACCATCACGGAGTATGGACAAGTCGGGAAAAACAAAACAGCATGCAAGCAGCTGAAGTCGCTCGTTACATTCAGAAGATTCCGCTCTAATCTATGCTTTTCCGACACCCACCAAGAATTCGCAAGCTCGTAGAAGTCCATGTTACGCTCATGCAATCTCATACACATCAGCGATGGACTTGACGTCCTTGGTGAAGCCAATGTCCTGGTTCATGGAGAGAAGTGTGACGTTCGAGACCTGATCACAAGATTAGCACGTACTTTGTACAGCCGAGAGTGGTGAAACTTACATCAACATCAACGAATGGCGTGCTCTTGCTGAACCTTACACGCATAGGGAAGAACTCAGAATCGCTGCCAGCCTGTGCCTCGAACTCGAAGCTGCCAGAGCTGTTGCTCTCATCAACAGCGCCAATGTTCCACTCAATGCTGTCGCCGCTGACCTCGTACACCGCGTCGAAGGAGCCGACGTTCGGCTCGTCAGTTTCGTATGGGATGGTGACTGTGACGTCCTTGAGCGGTTCGCTGCCAGTAAGCTCGTACTCAACAGTGATGTTGAATGTGCTGCCCGACTCCTCGACCCAGACGCGGAAAGTGATTGGCGGGTCCGAGACATCGTCGGGCCTTGGTGCGAGCTTCCACTTCATGACACCAATGCCCATGTTTGAGGGGAAGCCCTTTGTGGTGTCTGCAAGCTGGATGACTTTGTCGTTCCTGAAGACAGTCTTGTCGACCTTGGGATGTGTCATCAGCTGTGCGCCCCTTGTGTCGCCGGTCTGAAGGTCAAGCTTGACTTGTGTGAGGGATGCGTCGGTGATCTTGAGCTGCATCTCACCCTTGACTTCGAACGATTTCAGCAGACCTTCACGATCAAGTCGCGCGGAGATGGTCTCGTTGGTGGTGATGTGGATAGCTTCACGGTCAGTCGAGGTAGACTGACGTGCGCTGGCTGGGGCTACAGCGGCGGGTGCTGAAGCCTTGGGTGCGACGAGGGGTTCGCTCTCGGGTGGTAGATCTCCAGCGATCTGGTCGAATGCGCTGTTTGTCTTGTTCTTCTTGCCGAGTTGCATACCCTTCTTGCCCAATGCCAGCGGCTTCGCTGGTGCCTTCTTTGACGCCTCGTAGCTGTCGTACGTGTCTGGGACCGTCTGTGTAGGCGCGCTGGGTGTGAATGCAGGATACGATGACTGGCGTCCCATGCCACCGCCCATGCCACCGCCCATGCCACTGCCCATTCCACCTCCCATACCTCCAGCTCCAGCGCGTTGAGATCTCGACATCTCCTTGCGCTGCATCTCCAACTGCTTGGCCCTGCGTTTGCGCTCCTCTGAAGCCTCGAGCTCCTTGTTCCGTGCTATAATCTCCTGGATGCGCTCCTCGTGTGACTCCATATCCAAGAAGGTCTTGATCTGGCTCATGGTGAGGTTTTCCCTGTATCCCAATGTAACGATCTCATCGAAGGCGGTGAGAAGCTCGAAAGCGTTCCTGAGAATCTCGCGCTCGTCGAGAGACTTGCATGTTGACGAAACAACCTGGGCGAAGAGGTGTAGCGAGTTGATATCCTGCAGGATGTTGGATTGCAGGTTGGTGATCAGCACCATGTACAGCTCGTCCAAGGGCTGGTATACATAGCGCACGTTGTCCTGTTCGCAGGTGGTGTGCTGGGTGTTGCTGTCGGCGAGCTTGGGAAAGGAGGCGAGGAGGGCCTCGATACGAGAGCGCTGCATCTCTCGAAACTGGCGTGAGAGGACGGCCTTGCCGCCTCGCGTGCATATCGACGCTGCGAGGACCACCTGCATTCGTCAGCTTGATGTTGACAGATGGCCCTTCGAAAGAGCTGTTGTGTTGTACCATTGTCGTAGACGTTCAATTGATAATGTTCAGAGAATTGCTCCCGTGCACTGAGCCGTGTCTTTTGTTGTGCAGCGCTGCGAGCTCGGAGGCTGTGTGGTTGAGTTGGAGGGTCGAAGATGGAGGGGGTTGTTGCTCGAATGGAATTTACAACACCACCCAGATTTCGAATTGGGGTTTCTGACTGCGGAGAGAGGCGCACTGTTCGAGTGGGCTCTCTGATAGGCAGCTGTGAATTCAACAACCTAATCGGACAACCCTATCACAAGCACTACCTCAAGTCGCAACACTGAACACCTGGAAGTTCGATGTGGAGAATCACGTGTGGCAGGGGCCCTGTGCTAGCGCCTTCCGCAGCACTTAAGCAGCTCCTCCCTTGCCCGCAGCTCGACACATCAAACGTCGGCCACATAGTACCAGCACCGCACAGCGACACGCCTCTCTCACGGTGACAGCTTCTGTCTAGTTTCTTGTTTTCGGTTCAAGTTGCGGTTCGGGAGCATTCACTGCAATACCTCGCCTCGCAGATTGCTACTACCCTGCCTTGGCGCGTCACGGTCCCACGGTTCCCTCTTTGTCTTATTTCACCCTTCCCCTCGACCCATAAACACTATCTACCCTCACACCTTCGAGAGTGTACTTTCTCGACGCGATGCGCTAGTAGTCCTCAGTGTCGAGATTGCAAAACAATCAGCGCAGCTTACATATACCTCTCCGCCGCCTTGCCACACGTGGTCGTGACGCGCTTGAATTGATTACGCCTCGAGGTGTTCCCCCTCCCACAGTATATGCCAGCTGAGCTGCTGCTCTACACAGCCCAGACACCATGACTACCACCGCACAAGCTATACCAGCCCTCGAAGTCTCCGCACCTGACGACAACATGGACGTACTCTCTGATACTGGCTTCGACTTCGGCGATGGCGACATCGACCTCGATCTGGATACTGCACCCTTGGTCCAAGATGATAACATGTCACTCAACGACGCGGCGACAGATGGTGGATTTGACATGCAAGAGCTACCAGCCGACCAAGACGATTTTATGGCTGATCATGGCGATCTGATCGAGGAAGATGATGTGTACAACGATGGTGGCGCCGCTGCAGTGTCACAGACTGTAGCCGAAAGTGCTACCACTTTCGAAGCAGACATGCTTGCGCCGCCAGACGAAGATCTGATCGACTACTCAGATGATGAGGCACAGCAGCCAGTCAAGATGCACAGCCCATCAGTGCATGAAGAGGAAGATGCACGAGTATCCTTTGATGTCGAGGCTACATCTGTGCCAGCCGATGACCACAACGAGGACATCCAAACGCAAGAAGACGCGCAGCCACTCGAGCCCATTGAAGCCGCTGACGATGAGATGCAAACACGTGAAGATGACGTCGCGAGGACCCTTGAACGAAGAGATGCTGGTCCTGAGAATCAGTTACAAGACGCTGAACTGCAGCGTGAAGGCGACGACGAGGACTACGTTCATGCCGACGATGATGGTGGCGTTTCGCTTCCAGCAGATGAGCATGCTCACCATGACGATGACGCCGCTGTGGAACAGCAAGAAGAGCAGCAACAAGACGCAGGGAACGACAATGAGAGCAATCACCACGATGTCCAGCAGATCGAGTTGCGACCAGTGACCGTGAACTACGCAGGAAACGAATTGTGGCTGTTCAAGCAACATGACCTCGACGAGAGTGGTGACTTCTTGCTTGAAGATTTGTCAGTGGCCAAGTCTAGCATCTCGGATCTCTTTCAAGCATGCAGGCTGTCCCTTGGTGACGACGTATCTGGCGAACACGAGATCGGGTTCCGTTTCGACCATTTTCACAACCTCGAGCTCTATGAAGACAACACTGCCTGCGTAGCTGTGTCTTTGGAGCGCCTGGTAGATATGTACCACACATTGCAAGCACAAGATGGCAACGATGATCCGGAGTGCTTCTACATCACCCTGCAGTTCCGTCCACGCTTCGCTACGCTGCTCGCTGATGTTGCCCAATATGCTGAGCAGGGCAGTGGCTATTCTGCCTTGGACGCCGCAGTCGCAGCAGGCGAGACCCACTTTTCGAATGTGTTCTCTAGTGCTTCGACAGAACATGATCATGTCGAATGGGACGAAGAAGAGAACGAAGAGGAAGAGGCTAGCTCTCCTGGTTCCGTCCACAGCATCGTCCCACAGGAAGCGGAAGCTGGTGAGCCTGATGAACAACAGTTCGAGGATGTCGAGAACCGGGAAGACGAGCAGGAAGAAGATTCAAGCCAAAATTATGCACAGCATCAGCAGGGTGTAGATTTGGAAGGAGAGTTGAATCAGGCTCTGGACGCACAGGACGAGGAATCTCACACCGCCCAAGAAGCTGCTGACCTGGACCTTTCGGAGAGCGTAGCTCCTGGTATAACCTTAGATCACGCAGAGGCAGCACACGAGCCAGAGTCGGAAGCAGCGGAACGACACGCCTCCGAGACCAAGGACGAGAGAACGCCCGACCAAATTGCGCATGAGAAACAGGAAGCGGAGGATTTTGTCGACTACAGTGATGATGAGGATGCTCAAGAAGATAAGTCCGTGCCAGCGCATGTGCCATCGCCGTCTTCGTCTACTGTTCAGGGAGACGAACCTACGGAGATCCAAGTGTCAGGGCTCGCTCCTGAGCATGACGGCCAGGATGAAGGAAACATCGTTGAGACCGGTTTCGATGAGCACGATGACGATGCCACTTTGCTTACGCAAACACAATATGGTGATGATGCAAACCACTATGCCTTCCAAGACTACACAGAGACATACGACCAAGGCGATCCGTTCCAGGACTTCGAAGCAGATGGCACCGTGGGAGACCCATTCGAGGCGAATGATACCTTCAATGGCGACACTAATCAAGATTTCGCCGACTACGGCTTCCAGAACATGGATGGTGAGGAGAACCTAGGCTTTGATGAACAGCCCTTGGACGAAACCAATCACGGCGATCACGTCGACGAGGCCTTTGGGGCTGTTGAGGATGTCACACATGCCGATGCCTTCTTGGACCTGGATAATGCCCCTGAATGGGCCATCGACGCAGACCCGGCTTCGAACCTGCCAGGAGAAGACGCAGTTCTTTTACATGATGATGCCACCGCACATGAAGATGAAGAGGGTGGCGCGGTCGAACAGCCTGTGGCTACGTCTTCAGCTGCAGACCTTGCGTTAACCTCATCATACGATCATAAGCCGTCTTCTCCACAAGGACAGAAAAGATCTATCGATGAGGTTGGCGATGAGATTGATGATGCGCCCGACTGCACAGGTATGACTCTGTCCTCACCGTGCAAGAGACGTCTCGATGCTGACTTTTGCTTGCCAGACGCGAAAAGACCCAGAGTGTGAAGCCCGCCACCCTCAGAATCTTACGAGGTTTCTTTCGAGTACTAACCATTAGCTCTGCCTTTCATGTTTCCACACCAGCCTTGGATCTCTTCACCATCTTCTCTCTCGGATATTCCTCTCGGCAACTACTCTTTCTCCAACTCTTCGAACATCTGGCGCGCATTGACTTCGACATTGAGCCTGGCTCCGTTCATATAGCATCTACTAATAATCAACTAACCACAGTTTTGATACGTAAGAATCACAGTGAGCCGTTGCTTCCCTCGGGGAGCTTTGCAAGGATGGCGCATCAGCAAGGTATGTCAGTCTGTGTTCACAGATTCTTCCCCTGGATCGTTACACAAAGCACAAAACACAAAACAAAAAAACACAACATGGAGGGCACAATGGTGCACATTATTGGGAGGTTGAATTGAGGCGTTTGGGTTGGCATGGCAGAGACGGCGATGAGATACCCCAGGTTCGAAGAATTGTGGATTTTGTCCGGCGCTCTGTGCTGTCGCAATCGACGTTGCAGGACGGTCAGGACGCATGCGTGGTTGCAAAGACACCAGGAAGACGAGCTGCGTCACTCACGACAGCAGTGGAGTTCAACATCGACTGTGGAGTCGGCAAAGACCTATTTCAGGCATCTTTCGCCAGCCTCGTATTGCGCTGACGTCGTCTGGATGCTGCGATTGGACGTTCTGTATCCTAGATATCTACTTTTACTACTAGTTGAACTCAAGTACAAATGCAGAATGCTGACTACAGATGAGTACGAACGCAGATGCGTGACCAAAGTTTGAATGCGTGAGAGTGATTAAGGGATTCCTTTGGACACGGAGACAGCCAGCCAGAAACTGGTAACTTCTACGAACCAAAGTGCGAGTGCGCCATGAACTCAATTGGCCAAGAGTTTGAAGACGCAGAAAGTCATGGCACACGAATGAACAACTGCTGTCTTTGATCAGCGTCAACAATTGCATCAGGAATGAAGGATCGACAGGCACGCCGGGAGTCCGTAGAATCCGAAGTTGCAGACGCGTAACCCCAACACAAAGGCGACCGCGGCCCCCGTCCCGTGTTCGTTCGCTGGCTTTGAGGCTGAGCAGCACAGAACGCTAAGAAAAGAACCCCTGCATTTGGCAGCACCACGGTGAAACCTTGGGAGGGAAGGCCAGCCAGGGCGAAACGGTACCTGAGCGATAGCGTTACTTGACACTTGTTGAATTTATCGATAACCACAGCTGTTCCCCGGACGCTTTGCTCGCGCTCAAGTCCTGTTGCTCTCCTGTTGTCATTGTCGCTCGAGCTGTGCGAGCACTGTGCTCTTGTTGTTCTAGACAGTCGTTACTACCGCTAGTCCCCACCCATCCACCCATCCCTCGCTGCAGGTGACGACGTCGCCCCACGGTCGCAGTCGCTCCTTTCGTGCCTGGAATCCCTCGGCGGCGTTTGGTGAAACGCGCATCGATTTCAAGGCCCTGCCTGTCACGAACATCGACACATTCGAACTTTGCCGAATCTCCGCATCGCACCACGTCGCAACGCAGAGCTCAAGTGCTGAGTTCTGCTGTGTTGGATCGAGGACAGCGCGATCACGACACGCAACAGATTGCTCGCAAGCTCATTATCGATAACCGCAACACAAGCTCATTATCGATAACCACACCGCACTGCTTGCGCTTCTCGCAACACAGCTGTAGCGATTACACGGCGCATCTGAGCGCATTGCCATACATACACACATATCCATATCTTCCCGGCTAGGCGATAGTCGCTGAACGGCGTCATGGTGGAAGACAAGTACGCAGCCGCGCACAACGCCCGCCGACCAACATGCTAACCCTTCGAACAGATATGTCGGCCTCTGCCTCGCAGTCTCGTCCTCGCTCGCGATTGGCGCCAGTTTCGTCATCACAAAGAAGGGCCTCAATGCGTCCATGGAAAAGCACGGCTTCGACGGCGACGGCTACTCGTACCTGCGCAACTCGACCTGGTGGGCCGGCATAATCACCATGGTGCTCGGCGAGATCTTCAACTTCGCGGCGTATGCGTTTGCGCCTGCGATTCTTGTCACGCCGCTCGGTGCGTTGAGTGTGCTTATTGGCGCTGTGCTGGGTAGCTACTTCTTGGATGAGCAGCTGGGCCTGTTGGGCAAGATTGGCTGTGCGATTTGTCTGATTGGGAGTGTGATTATCGTGCTCCATGCGCCGCCCGATAAGGAGGTTTCGTCTGTCGACGAGATCTTGCATCTGGCGCTCCAGCCTGGTATGTGTCTTGCGCCAGGAAAGCATGTCTGCGCAGGCAACTAACCCTGCCTAGGTTTCCTGATCTACTGCCTCTTCGTCGCCATCTTCTCCATCTTCATGATCTACAAGATCGCTCCCAAGCACGGCCGCAAGAACCCGCTCATCTACCTCTCCATCTGCTCCACAACCGGCTCCGTCTCGATCATGTTCATCAAGGCCTTCGGCATCGCGCTGAAAATGACCTTCGCGGGCAACAACCAGTTCACACACCCCTCAACCTACGTCTTCGTCATCATGATCGTAGGCTGCATCCTCACGCAAATGAACTACTTCAACAAAGCCCTCAGCCAGTTCTCCACCAACATGTACGTCTCCCTTTCCCACGCCTCCCTAAATCGAAGCCCAGCACTAACACCCTCCAGTGTCAACCCTTTGTACTACGTAACATTCACAACCTTCACCCTCATCGCCTCGTGCCTCCTCTTCCAGGGCTTCAACACCACCTCTGCCGTAAACACAATCTCCCTACTCTGCGGCTTTCTTATCATCTTCTCCGGCGTATACTTGCTCAACCTGTCCCGCGACGATCCCAACGGCACGAACGCGCTCGGCAACACGCTCTCCGACGGCATCCCTAGCGACGCTATCAGCGGCTTTCCGACGAGACGCAGTATGCAGGCGCGCCGCAGCCAGGAACTGTATTTGCAGAGTAATGGAAGTGGGGTGCGGAGGAGTAGCGGCATGGGCGGTGAAGGCGCGGGGTTGATGCATGATTACGATGTGGAGAACCAGTTTGAGTTGGGGAATTTGGCGGATAGTGACGACGAAGACAACAGGAAGAAAGGCACGAGTTTCGATGAGGATGGCAGGCTTGGTGGGAGAGCAAGTAGCGGGAGTAATATGCGCAGTTTGAGAGTGCAGAGGGAGAGTGTGCAGCCTAAACGTACGAGCAGCCCGCGGTAGATATGTGAGGCTTATGAGAAGGGTTGGCCGTGAGCACATCTCCGGCTCAAGACAGAGCCCAGATAAGAGGCATGAGGCGTTTGCATAGAGAGAGGGGTACCGTATGCTTGGCGCCGCGGTTCGGCGTTCAGGATGTGGCATTTGGCATATTGCATGGACATGACGAAGGATTGTGTTTGTACTATGGCTGGCATGAACTGATATACCCACGGGATACGGTCTGTATGCATCGCTTCGCTTTGCTGGAGCACAAAATTATCAGCTTATTTTCAGCATATACAAACTTGAGTCCTTCACGATTCACATCACGTTCTTGAGCTCGACTCCTCGGAAAGGGCTTTCGCGACACAGACTCGCCAGGTGCTTGGCCATGGTATTTTGGAAGCGTCCTGTATAGAAATCGCTAAGGATGCCCGGTTTTTCAGAGACTTCCATCTCACCTGAAATCAATACATGTGTCGCTGTCAAGAACGACTGCCTCTAAGAGATCGTGACCACACGATGCCACTAGTCCTGTTTGTTGCTAGTTCCACCTTCAAACAAACACTCACCTCCCACGCCATATCAACCACCTAACTCTCATCCCGACCTGAGGGTCATTGCAAGCACAGGATGGAGTTTTCAAATGCGCCTACGTTGCTCCAACAAGCGGAGAAGATCTTGCTGCACCCAATCCACCCCCACCTGATCGCCTATTGCCCAACTATGGACCTGATTGCCGTCGTTACTACAGAAGAGAACTTGGAAGTGTACCGTATCAATGGGCAGCGAGCTTTCGGCTTAAAAAGGAAGAGCGAGGAACTAGTCCTCGATACGATCAAATGGGAGTTCAATGGCAAAAGCATCGCAGTCAGTTGGAGCGACGGCAAAACAGATCTAGTCAGCAGCGAAACGGGAAAAGTCGGGTTAAAGGATCTCGACCTGCCGAAGAAAGTTTCAAGAGATGGATCTAACAGCAGGGTGAAGTGCATTGGATGGGGCCTGAACTTCATTGATGTTGAGTCTGTCAAGAGCAGGACGAAGAAAGCGGCGCGGGGTTTCGATCTCTCGACTGAAGTTTGGGATGAGGCAAAGGATGGCGCAGATGTTGAAGACTTCCTACAGAGGCAGCCTGATATACATGCTGTGGATTGCGCGCCTGATCTGCCGGACCAGCTGGCTGTTATGGATGTCGAGACGCTGTTGCCGAAGCTGCCTGCGATTCCATTGCCGCCTGCGCTCCCGTTCATGAGGGTCTCACAGGCAGATTCGGGCGCGTTCAGCTCGCAAGCCGAGGTCGATGCGTTGTTACATTCACATCATCTGAAGGACTACAACTCGGTGGACATGTTCATTCGGTGCTCGGAACGCGGAACGGTACATCCTTCCATCTACGACTCACTGGAGACAGTCACGGTCAGCCTACCTCCAGCATGGAACATCGACAGCACACCCTTATTACACGCGAGTCATCCATATGGCTGCAGCCACAGCCTCCTCATGCGGACCACCACCCCAAACTCGCAAACGAAGAGCATTAGCTTTGTCCCACTAACACTCAACTTCGTCCCGAGCGCAGGCATTTACCTCCACCTCATCGCCTCTAAGACCTCACAGCTTCAAAACCTTCTCCTCTACATAACACAATGCCTCCAATGCATTCGTACATTCTTCAAGCACGCCACAGATCTCCCTTCGAAGTTCATGATGAACATCTCCGAAACACTCGAAGAAAAAGGTCAAGGCGATCTTACTACGAACCTCTTTCACCTAGCCTGCACCAGCGCATGCCCACCTCTCATCCGCGAATGGCTCGTCGACGAGCTCGCCGAACAGGGTCACAAGCGCTGGGACAACACTGTCACCTCCTCGCTCACCACACTGCAGGCACTTGTACATGAAAATCTCATCCCGGCACTTGATCGCACGGCAACAGTCATTTCGCGCCTGCGTGGGCTAGCGATGTATCACGACACAGATTGGATCTTCAGCAGCCCGACCACAGAGTTTACATCCCTCCTCGAAACGCTGAAAAACATGCGCTTATTAGCACATACCGTGCTGCTCTACATCGCAGATGAAAAACGCCAATTCGCTGCATTCAGCAGATGGCTGCGCTTCGTCATCGACTTCGAAGCCACAGAGCCCGATAGCCAAAGCCGAGCCGAGATGGAGGGGCGAGACTCGGGTGTTGATGTCAGCTTGGTACTGGAGTATGTGCGCTATGGGCTGCAGCAGAGCAGTCTGCAGCCGTATTTGATGCCAGAGGTTATGCTGGAAGCGGAAGATAAGGAGAAAGCGAAGGCGAGCTATGAGGATACGAAAAAGGCGATTGAGGTGTTTGAGGAAGGGCAGAAGTGGAGACCTGAGGCGCTGTGCTTGGAGCATGTTCTGGGCCATTTGGCGAAAGGCACGACGGGGTTGTTGAGGCAGGTTAGTAAGTGGCAGGAGAGCGGGATACAGATGGACAGCGGTGTCGTCCTCGAGACCTCCCCGAATGGAGAAGAGGACAGCATCGTGGATATGAAGATGGTGTATGAGGTAGGCCTTGCGCCATGCACTTCCCATGACCCAAGGACACGGCTAACAGGAGACCAGCAGCAACCGGCACTCTCCACGACATCAAGCCGGACAGAGATATCAACCTACATCGCCCTCGCCTCCCCCTCTTCCCCAGCAACGCTCCACATCCACCGCCTCACCCACCTATCCAGCATAACCTCTCTTCCCCGGGACCTGCGGAGCCACAGTATCGCGAGCCTCTCCTTCCCGTCCGGCAGTTCAATCCTCGACTTCAAATTCGCCGACGACTTCGCCCTACTCGTGCTGCTTTACTCCCCCAAACCTCAGAGCGCAAATGACGACGACGGCATACAAGGCTACAGAATCCTGCGCATCCCTTACAGCACGCCCACGCAGGATGATGGCAAGGACACATCGATACCCTACCACACTCTCCCTTCTTCGAGCTCCACACATCTGCTCCCCACTGGCACCGCGCCTGCCCCATCAGACCGCACAATCACGAACATCACACCTGCAGTGGTGCAGCAGTACACGATCCACGTGTTTGAGCGCGAGGGACGCTTTGTACCGGCGAGGTTGGTGGTCAATGGGCGGAAAGGGAGGAGAGTTGTGGTTGTGCTGGCGCAGGATGCGAAGCATTATAGGGTGCTAGATTTGGATTATCCTGGTCAGCGGGAAGAGGAAGGTGAGATGGAGGGCGAGGTGGGTGAGGATGGGGATACGGTTATGAGCGGGCTTGAATGAACGCGTGTGGTGAGCAGCTACGTCAAAAGGAAGAGCCTGAACATTGTAAGCAGTTCAAATTCGTGCAACTGGGAGCAGAGACTGGTGGATTGAGAATCAAACGTTCACATTGCCAAAAGTACAGTCCAATGCATTTTTCGGTATCACATTCCCTATAGCCTATCATGCATGTAGACCTTCTGAGAAGCCTGACCGGAGAAGTATCATAACGCCCAGCCACCCGCATGTTGGTGTGTGGTATGAGAGAATAACCGAGTGCATCATTGTCATTGATCCAGATAACCGACGCCACCGTTTCAAGAAACCACTTAATCCTTGGTCTTCTGGGTACCGCGGAGCAGACCTGTCCTCCTGGCGGCGATGAGACCAGCCTTCTGACCGGCAACGGCGTAGCGCGAGATGGTCGAGGCCTTTCCGATATGCTGGTGGTTACCACCACCGTGGGGGTGATCGACGGGGTTCATGGCAACACCACGAGTCCTGGGCCAGCTGTTGCGCTTGGCAGCGAACTAGAAATTGTCAGCACTGCAATGATCGCACTTTGCGGGTTTCTACTGACCTTGTGCTTGGCACGCGAGGCCTTGAGGAGGGGCTTGTCTGTACGTCCACCACCGGCGACGATACCGACCATACCACGGCAAGAGCTGGGAAGGACCTTCTTGGCACCGGAGGGGAGCTTGACACGGGTCTTGCCCTCGTCGGGGTTGTGGCCGATGACGGTAACGTAGTTACCGGAAGTACGGCCGAGCGCACCACGGTCACCGGACTTGTCCTCGACGTTGGTGAGGACGGTACCCTCAGGGACGGAGTGGAGGGGCAGGATGTTGCCGATGGTGAGAGCGGCGTGCTTTCCGGCGTAGATGAACTGCGCTGTGTTAGTCTACGAGCCCGTCACTTCTCGTACTTTGCGGGGGCACTGACCTGGCCAGTGTACATGCCCTCGTTGGCAATGAAGGTCTCGGTGTTGTGCTTGAACCTGTAAGGGTTGCGGAAAGTGACCTTGGCCAGAGGAGCGCCTGCAAAATCGTCAGAAAAGCCCTGTCGCCCATTGCGCGCGGGTGCACTCACCACGACCGCTGTCGTGGACAATCTCCTTGACTACACCGCGAATGTATCCATTGCGCTCAGACTGCCTGCTGTTAGCCCCTCACATTCCTTCGTGTGCGGTTGTTGCGGCGGCTGCGCGGTTCGAGAACGTACGAAGTCGAGCGTGCGGAACTGGGCGGGGGCCTTGTTCAGGCGGGTGTTGGCCGTGAAGATAGAGCCGCGACCCTTACGCTGGTTGCGGATGACACGACCCATGGCGACTGACTTTGCTGGTGGTTAGTGGTCGTGATGTCGAGTTGCAACTTCCACCAAGTAGGAATTTCGCAGACTCGCTTAAGCGTGGGTGCCACTAAGCCCGCCGCCCATGCCGTATCGGGCTCTAGCGTTATTGAAATCGGTAGGCGCGACTGGGCGAACACTAACATCACCGTCTTGTGTGAGCGAACAGCGCGCGTTCTAACGCTGTGTGCCATTGTCTTTGTCTTTGATCATGCATATCAGCATAGTTGCATCGGCCTTCGATCACTGTGACACTTCATTAGCCGACTTACGGATGACCCAGGATCGATGAGGCCGCTGAGGATTGGCGAGTATTACTAACATGCTCTCGTCGTGCCCTGAAGCAAAGGGCATGGCAAAGTGCCTCTCATGTAGCAGAAAAAAGCCGGATACAAGTGCGCTATAGGAGGGCTTCGGGTGCAGATTCAGAAGCTACTTGCACTTTCACAAATCGTTACAGGACTACAGTGTTTTTTGCAAACCTTGTAGACCCTTGTTAATTGTGCGGAAGGCATCCAGGAGTGTGTTGTTTGGGTGATTATTAGGATGCTGCAGCCGGCATTTTTCGCCACGCGAGAGAGTGCCAAAGAGAAGCCGCACTGATATTGTCAGCTCGCAGCAATGTTGGTGGCCCGGAGTCACCAGCAAGGACAGCCTTTTATTAGCAGACGAAGTATGGTTCTCTGGTACTGACTCCTCTCGACTCACCCCAATAATTGATAACCGTTTCTCTTCTTCACGACTTCTACAAGCCATCACACATTCACTGTCTCTGCTTCGATTCTATTTCCGTTATCACACCACCTTAGTATCAGCCGTCATTATCGATCATCCAGGAGGTAGTCACGATGGTTAAACGCAAGAAGGCAGTTATCAATCCAACAGCAAACTTCACCGGACCACTCCGTATCTACGACCTTCCGCAAGAGCTACGCGACCTCGTCTTAGCAAAATCTGCTCAAGGCTTCCAAAACCCGTGCACCTTGTTAAACAGGGCAACTTAAGAATTACGCTCCATATCCTCCCTAAACACAGGGAGGACGTATTGAACACCCGCATAGAAAACTTTCCACATGGCTAGACACTCACAAGCACAAGCATTTCATCACCAGTCGCTTCTCTTACAGTGGCTAAACAGCAGCACCACTAGCCTCCGCCCCTACGACAGCATTCTTTATCAGCAGCGAGAGTTCTTCAGCCGCAGGCTCAAAGAACACGCAGGATGAGCTGATGCGGGCGCAGAATCTGCGCAACCGCTCTAGGCGAACCATCAAGGATGCAGAGAACGTCACCATTGACACTGGGCTAAGAGAGTCGATCGCTCCATGCACAATGCTGCTGAAGCGCCTGGGAAACATCTTATGTTACTACACTGGCCAGCGAGCGCTGTACTTGAGTTTTGGTCTAGGTACATCCATATTCGACAGCGCTATGGGCAAGATCACGATTGACTTAACTGGGCTTGAGTTGATTGGGTTCGAGCTAGATCGACTCGTAGTGCAGGTGTCAATCAGCTGCTTCTTCTCAAAGGGGGTAGAGGATCAGATAAGCAAGAGTCTTGGTGAAGCAGGAGAATTGGCGTCCAATCTCCTGCCGACTCGGGTCTAGATGGCTGAGGTGAAGGTGACCTTAGGATGAGTATTGTCCTAGGTCCATGTTTTGGGTCGCTGCAGAGCCCATTGGATACCTCCATGCTTACTTAATCGAGGCTGATCAGGATGTCCTGTTTGTCGCTGTCATCCAAGACCCTGGAGGAAGTCAATGATCTCCAAAAAAATGGCCGTTGCTCGTTACTCTTTCTGGATCGAAGTCCAACAAGCGCACGTGCGCTAGCTCATCTTCACCTTACATCGCATACGAATACTCCGCCACCCTCTGCCCTGACCTACCTCCTTGACAACCTCCACAACGCTACAGTACTTCGACATTTGCATTCAACTGGAGCAAGCTCAGCATGGCACCGTTCGACCCTACAGCCAGCTTCACTGGACCTTTCCGCTTCTTCGGCCTGCTACACGAGCTGCGAGACCTGATCTACCACGAAGTTCACTCGGACTCTCCTGACTTTTACAACGGTCTCCACCGAGATGCGCGGAACACCGTACTATCAGTTGACGCTCAGAACTCGAACACCAAGTTTCAGCGCCCGAATATCACACTTTCCGTAGTCTGTCAGCGCCAGACGACTTTTGGGCTTTTCCAGCTATAGAGGTGGAGGTCAAGCGATTGGGGGCGCGGTGGTAGATCCGGAGGTGCTGGTGAGTGCTAGTACTAGACCGTGGGTGCGTAAGGGGAAGGTGTATGAGTTCTGGAGCTTTGAAGTCCTGAAGTCACCGTAAAAGCTTCAGATTCTCCAATATATACTACCGATATACTCTCATGATTTCTTGTCAAAGCAGTGTGGTGATGTAATCCATATTGCATTGCCGTTCTTATTTTGCCCAGAGTGATTTTCAGATCGTTCATCTACCGAGTGTGTCAATGCCGCCCCCCGTTAGCTTCCGCCCCTACTCTGTAGTAGCACCTTCTGTCCTCATCGGTGACTGCTCCTATTCCGTCTCGCTCTTGACAACCGGGGCCTCCGAAGAGACAATCAGATTGTATTCGTCAGGCGAATTACCTGTGTCCTTGAGGATCTCAGCCTGCCGATCCTCCATATAACCAGCCCATCGCAACCGGCACTCAGCGTAGATGCATCAGGGTGGAGGCGAGACGTCCGCTTGAAGCTAAAGTCCCCTTGCTCCTTTCATTTCGGCAGAATGATAGTACCGGTTGGCGAGACGGATGAGGTAATCTATGATCACTTGTTCTTCTTTCATTTGCTTGGCTTCCTTCGCCTCGTACTCACTGAGCCGGTCCTCAAGTGCAGCTCGAGCGATCTAGTTCTCATAGAGCTGTTGTCAAAGTGTCGTGTGAGCCGATGTGAGATGCGTGTGAAACGATTTGAGTGTCCTGTAAGCCGATTGGTATGTCCTGTGAACCGCTTCAAGTGTCTTGTCCTTGCGGAATTCTGCCCAGCGATCTTGACCTCGGAATGCCGATCTTTATTGCTATCTGTGTCGGCCTGAAGGATATGGAACCGCTCATCTGGCGTCGGGAAACCTGGAGGCCACGGTCGCGAGTGGAAGTCTAACGGACCCCTTGCTACACTGTCGACGACCGGACGTAACATCGTTTACGTAGAGGTCACCGTTGCGAGTCGTGGCCCAAAGTCTGTGGTATAACCTATCGTCGCTCGTATTGTTACGAGATGCGAATGGGTGTTGGAAAGGAGGGCTGTTGGGTGTTGATGGACAGGTGTGTAGAGTGTAGAAGGTGCGGTTGAGAAGCTAGGATGTGAGCGCTTATCAAGCTATATAGTGATACCTGCTGCGTTCCAAGTAAAAGACGATCGATTGCTGGCTTCTCTTACTTAACCCTTGACAGTGAGATTGAAAATGTAGACCATTTTTGATAGAGGCAGGCTAAGACGTCACCAGTAAGTAGTACGCCTTTCGCAAGTGAGAGAAGTTCACCTGGGCTTTGGCCTCATTCATCAATCGCTGGCAGGAAAAAGATTGTGGCGCATAGTAAGGCTGGAACTGTCATCAAGTTGGCGACCCGTATTTGAATCGCTTTGATAGGCAGGTCGACGGTAGTGTTTCGCAGCGTGGATCTAGTCGGCTTGGTAAGGCTCACAAAAGCCAATTACCCACTGAAGTCCTTCTCGCTAACACGTTCATAGTCGGCCCACGGATCAATCGCTCCATTGCTGTGGCCAAGTTTTGCGGGATATCTAGTAGTAACAATTGATCCTTGACCAAACCAAAAACGAGAGGAGAATCGAAAAAGTGGGTCCATCATGTAGGTTGAGGCGAAGGCATAGTTGAGCGTCCTATGATTTGGTCACTATAATGTCAAATGGCGGATAACGCAGCTCAACCCCGTTGCTAGTCTCGACCAGCACAACCTTGGTCAAAGGCCACCCGTTCTGATCTTTGTACCTACGAGTCATTAGCGAATGGGACGAAGCCGATTCCCCAATTTAAACCACTTACCCATCATAATCATACCAGTTACACACCTCCTCTCCAGCAAGGGTCATTCTGAAGACTTGCGCCCCTTCACCAAAATCTGCTACCTCACTTGCTCCTCCAGCAGGCTGTAGCACGACACCCTCCGGTCTGGAAAAGTATCGTGTTTCTACGATGTTATCAAGCCAGCTTAACCGGTCGATTGCTTCCAGAGCGCTGCTACCATTGACGATGAGCTCGCGCATGTACAGAATCTGGTCCTGAACTTCGAGTCTAGCGTACGTTGTCGAGTTGGAACCAATGCTGCTCACTACGTCTGTAATGATGCCCGTATCTCGCCCACTTCCGTAGGTGCCCGCGAACCTCATCTCGACTTGCGCAGTCAGTGCCTCTGCAAACGCAGGGACAATGATGTCTTGTATGTCGCTATACATACTTCCTGGATACAGCGTCTCGTACCCCTCCAGTCCAGCGGTCTGACTGAGGATCACATGCCCGTAGCCAAGATTGGGCACGACATCGATCCAGGACTGCCAGCCACCACCGCTCCCTGACTTGCCGTAGATACTGTACGTCTTAGTCATGTTGGGTTTGCTTGCATTGGAGCTTGTGGGGACTGTATGAAGGCTGATCTCCCATCCTGGGCCGACTTGCTGCTTGCCGTCTGGGAAGGCGTAGACTGGCTTCAGCGCGCGACGGCGGTTGGAGGGCGAGATAAGTGAGGGGGAGTGTTGCAGCCAGACGCCGTGAAGATACTTTGCTAGATCATTTGCTGAGCTCTGGAGTCTGTCAATACTGTCATACAGTCATCATTCGAGACGAAGACAACTCACCCACATGCCCGCGGCCGGATCGTATCCTTCTCCAACCACCAGATCAGCCCAGTTGTCGCCTCCAGGCACCGTAACGAACGGAATGAGGCTATCAAAAACGGGGCCTATGAAGCTGTGTGTCATGTTCAATGGCTCCAGTAGCTCCTGTGTCGCAAGCTGACTCCAAGTCAGATTGCCGCGAGTAATCTCGTTATAGTACGAGGCTACTGCAGCTCCGAGGATCCCAATGCCCGCATTGGAGTACGCGGACCTCTCACCAGGCCTAAACATCAACTCTGTCTTTCCGACCCCCTCAACCACGCTCTCCACTGTTTGGTCCGCCCATAACGCTCCGATTTGCTCCGCGGTGGCTTTTCCTGTACTTAACACTTGATTGAAGTTCGTACTGAAGCTCTCTCTCGTAACACCACTTGTGTGGCTTGCCAACATACCCAGAGTGATGTCGCTGCCGCCATCTGCCCAGTCGAGCGGCGGGAGGTGAAAAGACGGTAGAAGGTTCCGGACTGGAGTATCGAGGGTAATAGCGTGGTTCGAAAGCCGGGAAAGGATCAGAGCGCTGGCCATGGCGAGGTTCTTCGTAACGGAAGCGACGCGGAATATGGAATCGCTAGTGATGGCATTCCCGGTGACGTTTAGAGGATAGAGGGAAGTTTCGTTGAACTTCAGATCGCCGGCATTGAAGGTATAGATGGGTGTGGGCGAAGAGGCGTGGACGATTGCGAAACTCAGTGCATCACGCGTGACGTTGTCATCGTAAGGCTTCTGCAGTAATTCTTCAACTCTTTCAAATGCTTTGAGTACAGCTGGATGGCTAAGAACCGGGGTGTATGCAAGTAACTCCTCAGGCACGTCTGGTACACAAGCCGCTCTTGCCCAACTCGCAATCACGAGTGCCAAAGCACACGGAATGCATCGAAACATCGTCGCAATGGTTCTAGAGCAACCGGGAGTCAAGGAATGAGGATTGTTGTATACTTGCGAGCACTTCTTGTACCTGGGTGATCACAACCCCACAAGTGGACCCGATAAGCACAGTTGCTACGGCGCACCAATGGAATGTTGTGCCCAGACAGATCGACGGTCCTGCCTATCCGGATTCGCGCCGATAGTTTGGTGGTGCAATTTAGTGTTGCTCGAATACATTGGGCTCATAGGGTGTGTGCGTGAGGGGTTTGTAATTAGCATATGCGCGACCCCATTTGTTCCAATATTTGGTCGTCCCGAAGTGATACTATCGAACCACACCTACTTTGTTTTTGTTAGCTCAAGAATACTTGAAAAACTACAGGTAGTCTTGTTCGCTCTACACTTTAATCAACTTCGCTTTGGAAGCCTCCAGGCGGGATCGTCCAAAGTGAGGATTGGTAACTGATGCATCGGAGCTTTGCTGCAATGTGAGGGCCATTAATATATATCTTGAAGTAGAGATTCAATTCTTGCGTACTGCTACGCAGTCAACACCTGTAAATGCCGCTAAACTCCAGATCCATGCCGCTAACAAACATCATCAATCGCAGACATGGTGGTACGCTGGCCTTGCGTCGGGTGAACGTCATCATGTCGGTCCTAGCCCTCGTCCGCTCACTCCCGCGGCTTCTTCCACAGCTCTTCCTCGTTCATCTGCCGTAACGAGGGTACGCCGTTCGGAGACTGCGATGTCGAATATTCGATGCCACATGCGCCACGATCCAGCGCAAGCGAGTTCAGGGTCCAGTGCAGCTGTTCAGACGCGTCGCTTGGTAAGCTGGACCGACCGCGAGTTTGCGCAAGTTGATGTTGAACTGCCCCATCGCCAGAAGACATCATTGCCAGTGATAAAGAGTCCAGTTCAGCCGCAAACTCTGTCTCTTCTGTGCTCGCTTCTTGTGCGGAACAGATGTTGCTTGGCCGCATGTTGGCCTTCAATTCCATTTCGTAGAGCTTGTGCTCTCGTGCAAACTCAGCTTCCAGCAATCGGCGTTCCTCAAAGAATAGATCGTACTGCTCTTTCGACATTTGGTCGATAGGCGGATAAGATGCGCCGTGTTGCGCTTTTCGCTGCTCCCAAATGTCGATAGCTTCTTCCTGGATACATTCATTGCAGACGAACGCAAGGCCCGTGGAATTTCCAAAAGGCTCAACGCAGTTGCCGCCACAGTCTTCGACGAGATCGGTCCGAATACGATGTGAACACAGCAACTGGTGATAGAGACGGCCCTGACATGGTGCAAATCGTTTGCTCCGAATGTTATTGAAGGGTGTGGTTGATGTGGACTGTGGCGCGGTTGAGGTGGTAGGCTGTGCGTGTTCTGAGTCAGGTGTGCTGGACCACCCCCATTGACACGCCATGACCAGATTTGCGTGAGACATCATATCTTCCGAGGCCTTTGGGGAACCCGAAATGCGTTATTTGAGAAGTCTATGATAACTTCCTGTCGTCTTATGTCGACTTCAATGATATCAAATGTGGCGTTTACTAGCGTGTCGCGTTGTTGCCTTTTGTGGCGGTCAAAAAGTGAGGCTTTCAGGGTGAGTGAAGCGGCGGGTCTGTAAGACTTGGGTAATGGTTAAACGGTTGTGTGATATGTAGTACACGCCTGAAGATGTGATCTCGTGAAGAGCATTATCTGTGCACAAGGCGCTTCGATAATCCTGAGTGTGACGCTATTGCGAAAGCGCCAAGTCCAGGTACACAAGGCCGGTTCAAACGTGAGAAGCCTGATATCTTGATAAACGATAGTGTTGACTAGGCCAGAGTGAAGTACGGGCGCGAAGTGATCTGATAACGTGAAGTGCTGGGGTGGATGGAGGAGGTTGACACATGTTGGATGACGGTGATCGCGACGCGCAAAAAGTGGGTCGGGTAGCGCTAACCGGATTCAGCGTGGAAGGTTCGAGTGCCCGAAACTCAATCACCAACCACCTTAACGCCATCACTACTTAAAAGGACTACAGGCATGCACATCATCAATGAGTTAAAGCGTTGTGTTTGTATTCGATGATCATGCTCTAAGATCTCTAGAACCAAGAGTTTTACACCAAGAACCTGAACCCTCGCTCCTGCGCCTCGCCAGGGACCGCATTGATCGCTCCCTCAACATGCTCTCCTCTATCCAACTTCTTATTCAGTCTACCCAGAATGATCCTCATGATGATCGTCATAATGATGGCCAATCCCGCAGTCGCGCAGTCAACACTAAGAGGGATCGTCAGGTTGGGCTGTGCGCCGCTCTTGGGCTGTGGATACATGTAACTCGCGTAGATACTGCTCGTATTCGAGATCGCATTGATGAAAGCGAGCGCAGCAGCACGTTTCGCGGGCGGTCGCGGCATCGAATTTGATATCCAGGCCAGAGCCACGACGTACCCGGTGTATACGCCGGGAACCATCAACATCATAGCTGCATAACGTGGTCCTGTGGTATGCGTAGCAGCGGCGAGGATGAAGGCGAAGACACCAACGCAGAGCGGTAAGACGATGTGCCAGAAGCGCTCGCCGGTCCTGTCGGCGTGCCACGCATTCAAGAACGTCGTGATGACAGCGAGCACGTAAGGAGGTGCTGTCAGGAGCAACGTATGGATATTGTCGTAGCCGAGCGTCTTGACAACGGTCGGGAAGAAGTTCGTTACGGACGCAGAGGAGACGATGGACAGAAGCAAGACTGTGAAGATCCAGGTCTTGATGTCCACCAACGCAAGCTTGAGGCCGTGGAAAAACGTCTGCTGCTCGGCGGAAGTCCAATCATCCTCGCCAATGTCTTCCTGCAATCGGTAGACAGCGAGTTGGCGCTCTTCCTCGCTCAGCCATTTTGTCGTACGCGGGAAGTTCGGAAGAATGAAGAACGCTGCAAAAGCGATGATGACAGTGATGATGCCTTCAAGAATAAAGACCCAGCGCCACGCCCGCAAACCGTGCGTTCCGTTCATGTTGCTGGTGATACCCGCTGTGATAAGACCACCGAAAGCACCTGAGATGAGCGAGCCGGAATACAGAATCGCAGTTCGCAGACCAAGTTCCTTGCGCGTGTACCAAGACGAGAGGTAGAAGAGACATCCAGGAAAGTACGCTGCCTCAATGAAGCCGAGGAAAAAGCGACAAGCAGCTAGCCCAGCGAAGTTCTGGCAGGCACCAGTCAGACCACTGATTATGCCCCAGATGATCATGCAAGATGGCAAGTAAAGCGCAGGCTTTCCAGTCTTGTTCAGGAACAAATTCGACGGCACTTGCATACCTACGTATCCGACAAAGAGGATCGAGACGGTGGTCTTATCGGCAATTAGTATCGTGGAGGTTTTCAAGGAGTTGGGGCATATCCAAACTGACCTGATACTGCACGCTGCTCAGGTTCAACTCATCCTGCAGACCCGCCAATCGAACTGCCGCGATGTTGTTTCGATCAAGGTAGTTCATGATGTACATGAGAATGATCATCGGTAGCAACCTTGTGTCGACCTTCTTCCTCAACTTCGCTTCAGCCGCCACTCGTTGCTCTTGGGACATGGCCGCAACAAGCGGAGGAACAGTCAACTTCGACTGCCCTGCGGGCGCATGAACAGCATCATCGATGTAATCAGCCCGTGGCTTCTTGTCGATGTCGTCTTGAATCTCCATGGCGATAGTGGCGAGTGTGGGGTCGTCACTGACCCTCGAGACCTGATGAAGTCGAAGCGGCAAAAAAGCGAGGCTTCTGAACACCACAGAAGACAAGCGAACGTCAAGCAGCCAGGCGCACCAAGGCAAGTCTTATACGAAGCTTGCACTGCACGTACGTCTCGGCAATTCACCGATCGGAAGCAAACTGATCATCACACCGTCGCGGCTTGCCCGCTTAGGAAGTCGTTGTGGCCATCAGTCCGGACGTTCAGCCTAGGTTTGTACGTATCCGTGGATACATGCAAACCCCTTGTATATCCAACCTGTATATCCTGTATATGTACATATGCATGGGTCTCTTGACACATTAGTAAGCTCATCAGGTGAGTTTTCTGTTCTGTAATAGGGCAGAAGCCTTAGTAAGGAGGTGCCAAGAAAGCATGTGTACGAATATGTCAGCGAGGGCTCTGTATATACGCCAATAGATACGAACATATCCTGTATATATGATTACATGCCGGTCATCCCTAATTCAGCCGCGTGTGCTCGGGCACGACGGGCCGGCGAGTAAAATGTGTGATGAAAGTGGATTCGACGCGGGTGGAGTGCCTTGCGGGGTGATGATCAGCCGAATGCTCTGGGGTAAGAAGCCCGGGGTCAGCCGAGGTTCAAGATAAGAGAAGCCATGCCATCATCGAGCGTGGACGTATACAAAGTGCCCCGAGTTCGATTTCGAGATGGCTCGGACGTTGCGAACCACACGATATGGGTATCCCGAGACCTAGACCTGCAGTGGCTCATTACCAACGGTTAGGTATTTGCGTACGTTGTGACATTCAGATGCTGATGTCATATCAATATCTGTAGCATCTGACATCACTATGGAGGCCTCCACATAGCTACCAGCGTTGACCTATCTTCATCTTCATCACATCTTCGTACTCGGTCTGCTCCGCCTGAACCTCAACTCAGGTTACAACAAAACTCTAATCTACCTTCAAAACTTCTCCATACATAATCACAATGACCGATGTTCAAGAACAGCAAGCCTCGAAGCTCGAGAAGAACAACCCTCTCGCTACTTTGATCCCCTCAATCCTTTCCTTCTGCTCCTAATACTCCACAGGCAAGGTTACAGACAAGGTCAAGGACGTGCTCTCCAGCGGCGACAAGAACGGCCCCGCAAACCTCAAGTCCGACAACATCGGCTTCAAGCCCACCGACCCGACCAACGAGGACGGCCGCCGCGCAGTCGCAGAAAACGACACCAAGTCTGCTGGCGATACAACGAGCCTGCCTACAATGAATGGTGCATCGGCCCACCCCACGAACTAGACTACACAAAGTCTGTAAGAAGTGCAAGTGAATGGAGATGAGGGGAAAAGGGTACGTTCTGCGATTTACGATTTATGAACAGTCTGTAGACAATACATGATAAGCACAATATACAACGTTCTACAACTTACTGCGGCGGCGGATTGAGATCCAGTCCCTCGACTGACAGCTTGAAGCTATCTGATCTTGAGTAACTCCCTGCAGAATCAAAGTCCAATCTGCCCCTCTCACAGTCTTCAAAGTCTACTTCAGTAACCAGTAGTTCATCTTCCTTCTCCCAAACAGGCCCAGCAATTACTTCGCCCAGCGGCGAAACGATGCATGACCCACCTCTTGAGACATAGTCTTCGTCGTCAGGCGAGGAGGGCGCGACTTGGTTGGTAGCGGTTTGCTTAGGGCTAAGCGGCTGCTCAACTTCGTTATGGAGAGGCGAGGAGCCGGAGTCGGTAGCTGAGGAGTCGCCGTTGGTTTGGTGTTCGCTGTTGCTGTCGTGTAGGGGAAGGCAGATCTCGTTCTTCTCTTCTGTGAAGACGATTGTGCTCTTCCTTCGTCCGCCTCCTGTCTTGGGGGCCTCGGGTTGTGCTGGCGCGCTGTTGCTGTGCTGAGTTGTCTTGCCGCTCTTGATCCAGCTTGGGAGATGCTTCCTCTTGACGCATTGGTTTGCGCTCACGACGAAACAACGTCCTTCGCAGCCGATTGTGCGGACCAGTGACTCCCAGGTATCTCTAGCGTCTGCTGTGGGCGCAAACCAGAGGTTGACGTTCTGGCTGTACAGACTCTGTCGCAGGAGAGGCATGTAGTTCTCCCAGCAAATAGCCGACCCGATGCACAGCTTGACGCCCTTGATCTCCGTTGTGACGGCGCGCAATGTGGATGCTGAACCTTGGCCCCAGACTAAGCGCTCAGAGCCAGTAGGCATGACCTTACGTCTCTTGCCCAAAATACCAAGCTTGGGGCATACGAAGACAGCTCCACAGTACAGTGTGCCTGCGCATCGCTCGACGAGTCCAGTAACTACAAAGACGCCTGTCTCGCGCGCAATGCGCTCAAGCTCTTCTCTGACACCATCGCCTCTGTACTTCTTGCCACAAGGTAGCTCAAGCTTCCTCTCTACCCAGTCTTGACCTGCGCCAGTTGGTGTGTCTCCAAGATCTACAGCATCGTGGAAGTATGCCAGAAACTGCTCGCGGCCTTCTGGCGTGCGTGCGCCGACAGCGGCCCCGAAGTCGCAGGTGCGTGGGTAGCCTCCAAGGTAGGCTTCTGGGAATAGGATGATGTCGACACTCTCAGCTGCGGCGCGTTTTGTAGTGGCTTCAAGGGCGCGGAGGGTTTCTTGCGTAGTTTCGAGGGTGCGGGCTTGAGCGGAAGCAAGCTTGAGGAGTTGCGGCATTTTGTACGAATTCAACGAAATTATGGGATGCTTTTAAAGCTAGTTTGCAAGTTTTCTGCAATCTAACAAATTGTTAAAAGACTATAGCAACCTTTGTCTGAAATACAGAGTGTGGATGTGCTGCAGCCGTCCAGCGTTGGTATCGAGGTTCTTACCAGAAATTGTGTAGCCAGTCTTGCCTGCAATGCGAGAGGGCTTTTCGTGACACCGTACAAGAAGGAGTCAGGAGCTTTATGGCGATTGTGAAGAAGAAATTTGAGTCAACTCAGTCTTCGTCATTGAGTGATCTTCCCCCGCACACCCCTCCGGTGAGCTCGGAGCTCGTAAAGCCTTGGGAAGCTGACATTGACGAATCAGAAGGCACGCTCAGAACCGCTTGCCGACGGAACCGATCATCGGCAGTTGCCGACAATGACTGCTGGGTAAAGTCTTTGCATTGGTATCGCCGATGAGTCGTGATAGCAACAAAAAAACGCTGAAAATATGCTGCTGATAGCGCATTGTACCAGGCTAGAACCGAAATGTGGACGCCTTCGCAAGCAAAGTAAACGGGGTATACTGTCTTCTGTCCATGTCGCAATGCCAATGTTGCTCATCCGTTCGTGCATCGTACATTATGTGTGTACAGTCTAAAGAAAAAAGTGTTGTACGCGTCGTCTGTCTGAAACGTAGAAGCTGCTATACGCAGCTAGGTAAAGGATCCGATAATTCCTCAACATATACATGCGTGCTGAGCCGAGTGACAAGGGGCAGAACGGCGAAACCGAGAGTATGCGGCTAAAAGCGATGTCATTGAGCCGCAAAGAATTTGATACCGATGGCACTGAGGTCCGGCATCCCGAGTGTGATGAAGCGATTCGATTCGCTTGGTTGTCTGAACATGTGACGTGGAGCCGAGTAGCTCATGCGATGAAGGAGTTGTGTCGTGCCTTTTTGTAGCGAGTCGGTGAATGGATGTATTACTAGACGTGTGTGCTGAAGATTTTATAGAGGAATTTCGTCATCTTGCTGCGCCAATTTCAACATCCCTCTCGAAACTTCTTGTTTGTGAGCTCCCCCGGCTTGAGGGTCGCAGAGCTGCACACACCGTGCGACAGCCTTGTATCCACTGACTTGGGCCTTGCCATCCACTTTCTTGTGGCATGGGCAGAGCAGTGAGGTTCCCTGTGCTAGCAAAACTCTTTTGCGACACATCGTCCCTCTCGTCGATGTGGACATCTAGCCCCTGACTGACTTTGATGCTATTCATAGGCACTTCGTCGTCATATGTTCCACCAGCTGTGATTCGAGATGCCGAGAACGTGGACCCTTTGCCACGCGATTTCGCTGTCGACGAGAGAGGCGCAGATGTCTTACGACTACCACTGCCGGATTTCGCGTAGTCGGAACGAGATATAGTCAAGCTGAAGTAGCAGCGGAAGAAGATCTTGAGAGCCGGCGCAGAAGCACAGATCACAGCTAAGTCGGCCTCAAGAGCTGTCCAAATCCAGCCGTAGTAAGCGTACCATGTGATATCGTAGGCTATAAAATTTCAGAATTTGGCAGGCAAGAAGAGAGAGAGGTACATACTATAATAGTATACGTATGTTGCGTAATACGTGCGCAGAATACCGCAAACACAGGTACTGTACAAGTCAGCTGTTGATCGCCATGTTTCAGGCAACCACTTACACAAGACCCAATCCGAAGATACCACACAGGGCGAGCTTCTGAGTTCTGGGAATCTGCAGTTTCCATATGAGGAAGACAGGAAGCAAAGCAATGATAAAGTCCTGCACGGTGCTGATAGCAGCAACAGCCACGATGACGGCTCCCTCATCGCGGCAAGTCAACTCGTTCTGGAACCTCCAGGCAATGTCGAAGATATGGAAGAAGCCGTGCGCTGGGGTGCAAGTGAGAGCAATCAGGAAAATAAAGGTGACGCCGTATATGACGCAAAAGGCGATGGATCCCCAAACCCAGTACACGAAGGTGATGGTGAGCGAAGCAGTGATTCGTCGGTAGAAGCAGAGGATCGAGATCTTGATTAGAGTCGTGCAGATCATGTAGTTGATTTCAATTGACATTGTGATCTGGGACTTGGTCAGCATCGTAACAAAGAGTTTGTGCATATAAGCTGACCTGTCTAGCAGTGACCAAAGTCTCTTTTGTCTGGTCCCACACGTGCCATTGAAATCCATATATGCGGATAGCTGGGCTGAATGTTAGCCATAAATGTGACACGATGCGACCAGCTTACCAAGGACAGCTGATATGGTAAGACCGAAGAGTGGTATCATCGCAACACTCATAAGTACATCGTCAAGTCCAGCGTTCTTCCCAAGGCCTAGTCGTGCCCACATGCGTGCAATGTACACCAGGAAGGTAATTCCCAGGAACACTAGCAATACGATCGATGAACTCCATCCTCGATCCTCCGGATTGATGTAGTTCGGCTTAGGCCAGCTGAGGAGAACTTCTGAAGGAGGGTGGAAGCCGCCACCTCGAGCGAACAGGCGGTTGACATGCGGCATCAGAGCATCGATGTGTGACATATCGACGTCCGGATCCGTGTCGTCGAAAGGTGCAGTAAACGAAAGACTTCAATTGACAGACAAGCGGCGCCAGGGTATGATGTGGGATCTTAACGCAGATGAGAAGGAGCTCCTGGGGCTAGTGGATGCTCTGATATGCTAGCGGGAAGTGGATCCTGGGTTCAAACGTGGTTGCGATCACCCATGCCATGTATATGAGGATGTCCTGTATCCCGCTGACAAGCACTTTCTATAGCGCGCTGTGATCGACCTGGACCTGGATCCCGGTGGTTAAGTGAGTTGACTATACTTTCTTGGCAGTACACCGGCATGAGCAGGAAGCAGATGTCCGATAGCAAGTGGGTAACGGTCGCGTAACGAACAGTTATCGCGGCATACTTTAGATGTTCGGGCGCAGCAGCGCTGTCAAGCGCACACCTAATGGTAGCCGCATGCTGCCCGACTCTCTGTTATTTCTCCGAGATTTCGGTGCTTGTATGTTGTGCATACACCAATTGACGATCTTGGATCGACAGATTCGATGGTACCCTGGACCGCTAACGTGTAAAGTGGTGTGTCGAAACCTGTGAGAGTAGCGAGATGCCTGTGCTCAGGCAACTAGCTGCATGTGAACCAAACTCTATTATCCGTCCCTACCGCTGGTCAGAAGCGTTTTAGGTAAAATAACCGGCAATGGTCGCCAAACTAAGATTCAGGAAGTCTCAAGGAGTACCAGCCACCGTATGGTGGCGGTCTTGACAGGGAAATTCAGAGGGCTGGCTGGTTGAGGAAAGACCCTTGAAAGCGAACACGAGCTACATGTTCCAAATAGTCGGATGAGTGGTGTGTTCGCCGCGCATGCTAACAGCTTCAACGTTTGTTAAACGTTGCTGCACATGGGCTGGCATTTGATATCGCAAAGTGCTCGAGAGTCGTAACGTGATCGTGAGATGCTCCTTACGGTGCTCAAAGCGATCATGGAGGATCTGCACACCCATCCAAGACCCGGTGGGTCGACCTCGCGGATGTCTCCGTCGCTCGGACTCTCGAGCTACTTGGAAATATCGTCATTTACTCGACCAAAGTTGTGGTATTGTGCAAAAACTCGGCAAAGTGCAGCCATATCTCAAATGCTGTGAATAGCCATTACGGTCATGCCCCGCCGGACCTTCATCGAACGTGGTCGTGGATGTCATGCCTCTGGCTTCAGCAGGAAAACGATCTTGGCTGTGGGTCGTAAGGCAGCTGGCGTGCGGAACTGACATGATGGTCAACCTTCCCGACTCCTTGATGTTCAGCCCTGGTGCTCGTGAGTAATGTGTCCAGGCAATGGTGAGTGGGAAACTCACCAACCTTGAACGGAGTCAGCTCGGCTTCGAAAGACGCGTCGCCAAGATGATGAAATAGTGCTTAGCCTTTGACGCGTTCTCTTCGGCTCTTTGCTTGAAGGAAGATAAAGTTCCGGCGTGAGACAGGCAGCTCATAACAGAACCTAAATTGGCGGAGCCTCACTGTGATCGTCCATTCGTCCATTCGTCCATTGTCACTGTTACGTGCCACGTCGAGACAGCAGAGGGCGACTGCAAAAGGTGTGAGAGCATCCAAATCGAGCTTTGATAGAAGGAAAGTCGCGCGAGTCTGTGGATAGCACGTGTTAGGTGGTGCATCGTTCGCAAGCCGGTGGGCGCTGCTGCCAAAATTGAAGTGCGGACACGTGCGTCGTGGGCTCTTTCCGCACCTGCAGTTCCCGCTCCTCTCTACTCCACATCTGCTTTTAGACATCTCGCGACAACTGTCCTCCTGGCGTGTATTGGAAGTCCACTTTGTTGACGCTTGGCAGGAGAATCCTTCGTTGCGCACTTCGGCATTCCTACAGGCGTTCATCATGGAGCGAGCATTGTGATCATATGGTCTTTGCGCCCTCACCAGCATATCCAACTCCTTCTAGAGCTACTGCTTGAGCAGTGTGAACGATCGCAACGGCTTCGGAAGTACCAAGACCTACCCTAGGAGCGGGACGTCTGACAGGTATGCCACGAGTTGGCCCTGTGGCAATGCAGCCAGGAGCAACTGCCCGAAATGAACAAGCCTCCTTCTGTGCATGAACAATAGCGTCCAAATCCCTAGGAAACAAGAGACATCGTGAATTATTACCCCATGGGGATCCTCTCGGTGTCAAAGATGTCACTGACGGCCCGTAAATTGGCCCCAACAGAACGGCAGTCGAGGTTGTGACATCTTATGCCATGCATCCTTATGCGCTGCTGTCACGGATACACGTCAACCGAATAACTGGGTCTGGAGACACTGCACTGGTATCTCTCACCGTTCGAAGGACGTCGGTCCGGCAGAGCACCTTGCAACTCATCGAGTTTAGAATTGCATGTTGATCATGCAAGCACCTCAGGGGATTTATTACTCGCTATCGACTGTAGCCTCGATGGTTCATGCGAGCATACACCACTCCAAGGTCCCATCCTCTTCATCACGGCCACACGTTTCGACTATCATATCAGGTCAGGATCTTGTGGACAACTTTTATTGATGACTGCACCATAACGTAGAAGGATGACAGCAAATTCTGACCGTAACCGAAACATCGATTCTTATCCAAGGAAAACACTACAATATGCCAGATACCAAGTAATGCATATACCGTAGCTAGAGCAGATTACCATACTGCAGATGGACCTAGACTCGAGCACTGGATGGCGCTCAATCTCAACGGCAGCGCAATAAAGCCCTACACTTCAGCAGCCATTCAGTCCAGCTTCACTTCCTCCATCATCCCACGGACAAGCTTGGCCACTTCATCGTTGGTAATGATAGCCACTAACAATCGTCACGTTGCTCAACCTGCTTCCCACCAGCACCCCCTACGAAACTGGTCCATACCGCGCATCATAAGCCGTTGCATCCGGAAGCCGCACCTAAGTATCAAAACCGCCTGACTTTAAGCCTTGAGGATTCGCGCGCGTCAGCATGTTCTCCAATTTGTCATCGTACTTCGCGCCAGCTTTATCGATCTCGTCAGGGCCCACTTGAAGGGGACCGCCGTCCTGCGGACGAGGACCGTATGGCCAGGGCACTAGACCGTGTGTGACTGCAGGTAAACGCCACAAAGACATTGCGTCCAGACGCTGCTTAGACAAGGGTATCAAACCTGGAAGGCATGTGCGTTTCTTGATCTTCCATTTGTCGGCTAGTGGCTTAAGGATTGACTGAGGCTTTCGAGACGTGGTGGGGCGGTTGCGAAGGTGCGTTGGCCGGACGTAAGTCTGTGGCGCCAGAGTGCTAGGGGCGTGTGTGATGTTGCCAGAATATTCCCACATTAGAGTCTTTTTGAGGAACCGGGACTTGAAGAGCTGAAGTTCGTCGAAGAGCCAGGAATTACCTAAGCGTAGAGACTCCTCGAGAATCGGGAATTCACCATCTAACTTTGGCGCAGGCCTACAACGATGGAAACCCTTCCCATCTTCTATTGTGAGGAAATTTTCAGCAGTGGTGCGTGCTTTCTCTTGTAGTACCTTGTCTTGCAAGACTTTCTCTATCTTCGCCTCGATATCGCCGTTGGCATCTGTGGACTGCACTGGTGACTCAATCTCATCGACCAAACATGTCTCACACACGAAAGGATCCAATACCTTTCTGCTGACAGTTCGCAGCGTATATCGTGGCGTCGTGTTCGGTGGTGATCCGGTGTCCGCATTCCAGGTCGTGGTATCTGGAGAAACGATCACAACAGTGCTTCATATTAGTGCGAAGCGGCATCGTGGTCTTAATGTCTAAGCGGAGTCGCAGTCCAGTGAGACTTCTGTGCTCATCGCTGTGAGGGCTGGAGAAATCCATGTTGAGTGTTGAGTTGATTGAGAGTAGAGAGACGTTGTGGTTATTCGGAATAGAGGTGATTGTAACAGAGACGTTTATACTATTAAGGCAAGAACATTCGACAGAGCAATTGATATAGTGAAAGTCCTGCAGCATCGAACAGAGTCCAAGGGCACGCGTGAAAGCGTTTCTTGACTGATACTTCCGATACCTTGTTCGCCTGACTGGCAAACATGGCAGACGCAACGACGCAACTCTTGTCAAAAAATCAAACTAATACCTTGAGCTGATTCAGTTCAACAACATCCAGTGTCTCTTGCGCAGATTCCTGATAGCGGTCTTGCTGACTTTGGGGGGGGGGTTCCATCTTTGATGTTGGTTGTTCTGCATCAGTTTCATAGCAGAAACTCAAGACAGATGAATCATATTTCCAGATATGTTTAGTCAAATACAGCATGCAAGTGTCGTCTTCGAGGCAAGATGACCTAGTGTGAGAGGCACCGTACGCTCCCTGTAAGAATGATTTCATTGAATTTAGAATATAATAGATATCATTTGTCCATTCTTCATCAAAGATTCTAATAAGGTGTCCTGGCGCAATGGTAGCGCGTTGGTTTTCGGTTGACGCTGAAACTCGCCAAAGGTTGTAGGTTCGAGCCCTGCGGACATCGCTATTTTTGACTCTCGCGACCTTATCGATCGTACTAGAGTTATCGCTGCAGCTATGACGGGCTGCGGCTTGAGTTTTTGCTCCCGATAGGCACCGGGGTGTTTGGAATACATCATGTCTCTGTTCAACAAGGTCTACACTCGCATCACATTCAGCACAAGAGAAACTCTAGTGATCGTTCATTTGTTTCCATTCATACACGTCACTGCATGCTAAACCTGGGTATCTATTTTGCGGCTGTTGAAGTGCCTCACCCGTTCCACGTACGCCAAAACAAATGCTTGGACTTTTTACCCTCATACCACTCATTGCTGAGCGGGCAGGGCCTGATACGCACACCCGTATTCTGGGGCATGCTCTCGCAGATTGTTGAAATACACGAGCATTCGCGCTCAATCAGTGTGGATTGCGACGCTTAGCTGGAGTATGTCTGCTTGGGCTGGGGGAACGAGGGACCGAGCTCCTGGATCGAGAGCTTCGCGAGCCACTGGCCCATGTCGATGGCCTTCTCGAGGGGCTTGCCCTGGACGATACCGGCGACGAAACCACCGGCGAAAGCGTCACTGCAGACATGTTAGTGAATCGAATCTTGAGTCATTGGCAGTAGTAAGACGTACCCAGCACCGTTGGTGTCGTTGATCTTCTCCTCGCCGATGGCATGGACAGGGACCTCCTTGACGTCGGCCTTGCCGCCCTCCTGTGCGGTGACAGCGATTGTGGGGTCGGTGCCCTGTGTGAAAACGACAGTCCTGGGCCTCTGTGTGTTTTTCTTGGGGCCGTTGGCAATGGCCTCGGCGATCTTCTTGACGTCCTTGGTATCGATGTTGTGCGACTCAGCGAAGGCAGCGGCCTCGGTCTCGTTACCGATGAGGATGTCGACGTAAGGAAGGACCTCGTCGAGAGGGTCCTTGAAGAACTGTGCAATGAAGGGAGCCGACAAGTTGAGGATGAAGGGCTGGGTCGTGTCAGCTTTAATGAACCACGCGGAAATCCAGGCTATAACATACCTTGTCCTTGGAAGCAGCCTCCTCAGCCAGGGCCTTGATGGCAGGCACGCAGACAGTCAAGTGGAAGCCACCAACGTAGTAGACCTTAGCGTTTTCGACCTGCTTCCAGATGTGGTCTTGCTTCAAGTGTTCAAGCTTGTAGTTGTTGGCCGCAGCAAGATCTGTGCAGAGCGAGCGGTTGTGGCCAGTGATGACGACACCACAGCGACCAGTGGGGGTCTTCTCGTCGTAGAGGTACTCGGTCTTGACACCAGCCTCCTTGCAGATGTTCTCGAGGGTCTCGCCATACTTGTCCTTGCCGACGCAGCCAATGTAGAGAACGGACTCGGAGGGCAGGATGTACTGGGCACCACGGGCGGTGTTCTGCGCAGCGCCACCGGCGATGAGGACGGCCTTGTAGTTCTGGATCAGGTCCTCGTAGAGACCCATGTGCTTCTCAGGGTCGGCGAGGATGGCGTCGTTGGCTTTGAGACCGTACTTCTCAAGAAGCTTCTCATCACTGTATTGAGGTCAGAAAGGTTCCATAAGGGTACTCAACCCCAAACCAGAGCATCTTGCTTCGTGGAGGGGTTCAATTGACTTACCCGACACCCTGGATGTCCAGGAGAGGATTCTCGAGGCAGAGCAATTCGTAGTTTCCCTTGGCAGACATTGTGTATAATCTGTAGTGACGTTGATGTGTGAAAGTGTTCGGCGTGGGGCATGAAAATGGACGACGAGGGGCAGCGCTAACGCAAGCAGCGGCAGCCGAGCGTGGAGTAACACAAGGAAGGTGCAGCCGAGTGAGCAACTGCCGAGAGCGCAGCATTGAGGGTAAGATAGTTGTCATTGTAAGATGTGATTGTCGAACAGAGTGTTGTGGTAGGCGTGGTGCAACTACGGTGTAAGCATCATGAGCTGATATTGTCTGAGGATGGATTCAGTTGCTCACGAGATCTCATGCCACAAGGGACCCTGAATCTTGCTGAGCATACCAATTAGAGTATTTCATTGCACGTGGGGTGTGAATAATTCTAAAGATGCCCGAGGTTGTAGGGTGAGCTTGCGGTTGGCTTACGACACCAGAAACAAGAGAGTTTGATATCAAGAAGTCTGTGAATTAAGACATGCCACATGTATGTACAGGATTGTCCAGGCTACGATCTCCCCTTAATTCATGTACAACCGTCAATTTGGTCCTAGTCTTCTTCCCATACAATGTCGTAGAAAACATGAAAAGGGTTCATCAAGCCATGATCTTCATCGATCCCCATCTTCCTTAAGGGAAGCGTCGAAAACATCATACTGGTATCGTTGCCCGAAGGCCTTCAGAGAAAGGAACTAAAGCACAAGAGTGCTATTAAGAGTGCCCCGGCCGGCGGAGAAAGAAGGGTGTTGTGCGTAAAAACTGGGAGATGTGATGTTGGGGGCTGGCTTGGGTTGCGGTAATGCAAAACAGTCGAGATGCGTGATATATGATGCAACATGCTGGTAGATGATATTCGATGCTTCGCTCCTCAGGGGTGGTTTAGTATTGGTGTATGCAGAATGCGAGGGTAACAGAGATGCCGTAAACTCCGGGTATGCAAATTGCGAATTGTGGAGTGTGTTGTGTGGTTGGTTTTTGGGTCTGGGTATCAAACTTGGAAATAGGCCTCAATAGGAGGAGGGTATGTGCGTGGTTTGTGAGAAGAAGCGTATGCGTGCAGCTCTTCTTGGGTTTAGTGTTTGCGCTGGCTTTATCGGCGGAAGAGCGACTTGTGCGTAAGCGGCGAGTCGAAGGGGACAGGGCCTCTGATACGTCCACCTCTCGCGAGAGGCGTCTGGCCTGTGCAGAAGACACATACGTACACAGCAGGAAGCGTACTTGGTTTTAATCCAAGGCAGCCCATGTGCAACCATTTTTCGCAGCTTTCACACTGCACCATTGGCTGACCCTCATCTGTGCCATGGCAAACGCATCGTGTGCTGTCCGTCGAAAGGCTGCTGCGGTCCGTTGATGGTGTCGTAAGTCCTTCAGTGCTTGGCGAGCCGTTGAAATTATTGGTAAAGGGGTCATAGCGACCGTGACCGTGGGGCGTGGAGGCATTCGCGAAGTCGGTAGAGGCTTGCGCCCAGCGTTGGTTGTGTGCTTGCAGAGTGTTCTGCGAAGCACGTTCTACCATGATCAGCATCCTGTACGGCTGTATGCAATTCTCAAAACTTACCAATCCTCTCCTGCCGACTACCAACCACCTTCTTCAGGGCTCCCAAGGCATCACCTGGCGAGTCAGGTACCAAGTTGTAACTGCTCGCCTGGCTGCTGAACGATGAGGTTGTAAGGACGTCGACCATGCTGATTCTACGCGAGGCATTCTGGCTGGGCGGCCTTACAGTCCTTACGGAGTCGAAAGACGCTTTGTCAAAAGCACCAGAGGAGGCTCTTGAAGTCGTCCTTGACGCAGGTCGCGCCATCTTGAAGGAGTTGTTTCTCGAGAGCTCGTTGCCCTCGGTCCTGGCATGCTTCGAGGCACGGCGCTGCGGCTGTGGTATGCTGAATGAACTGTTACGACTCAGGATGGGCTGCGGCTCGTCTGAGTCTGACTCAGTGTCACCCTCTTCCCACAACGCTGGGTATTGATGTCTCATGGACGTCTGCGAAGTCCTCCGCATGTCTCTGGGCGTGGCCTCGTCCTCTTCAGCCGGAACAGTCTCCGTGCGAGCTCGACCTGTCTCGTCGATGATCAGTCGTGTGCGAGGCCTTCGAATAATCTCGGGGATGGCTTTCAGCACGCCGCTGTTCGCACGTTTCAGTGGCGACGACCGGCGTGGGATGTGGTAGGCAGCACTGGTGTCTGCCGAAGATCTTCGCTCTGAGCTCACTGGTCGAGCCCTTCGAAAACCGCCATCAGTGTTGCTGCGCTGTAAACTGGGGCGGTTCTCTTCGACGGAACCGGAGGACGAGTTAGTGTTGCTACGTGAGTGCAAGCTCCTAGGTTTCTTTGCTTTTTCCTTTTCGCGTTTAGAGTCTAGCATCTGAGTCTCGTACGGCTGTCTGTTCGGCTTGAAGGCGGCTTGCTTAGGCATACTGCCGAACGAGGCGGTAATGTCATCAGGACTTGTGAAGCTGAACAGCATACTTGGGTCGACGCCAGCAGTCGTGGACACGAATGAGCCTGGTTGTGAGGTCTGTCCCTCACCTGCTGTACTCGTGCCAAAGGACGCCATAGGTCCGGCGGATGACATGCTTTGCTGTGGCTGGAACTGGGCTTGCATCTGCTCGACGACAGGAATGTGGAATGTCTGCCAACCTATGTTGCCTTGGAGCTTGTTAGGCGTAGGCCCAAACGGGTCTAATGCTCCGGACATATCTACATCCATTTGACTGGTATCAGTCGAATCCCAGAACAGCCTCTGCTGGGGCATTGGCGGTGCCGACATTTGTCCAGCGTTAGCAAAGGGCATCATGCTGGGCGAAAATGGTACGCCGTCTGCGTACCCAAACATGGTCTGATTGAATATGCCATCAGACGTCGGTACTTGCTGATGGGGTGTCCTTCGTATTACCGTTGCTGGAGTTGCATTCGGGTTGCCCACACTCTGCTGCAGGTTTCTTCTTGAAGTAGCATCTCTTGTTGGAGGCGGCGTCTGCATCTGCGAAAAGTCCATCTTGACGGGACCAGATAGCAGTCGTTGACCTTCCTGGTTTAGTCCAACCCTCCTTAGCGAGTTCGGATCCGGTGATGACGACAATCTTCGTTGAGGTTCGACAGGCGGCAGAACAAGGTTGGCGGGAGCAAAATGGTTGACATGGAACTCTGGGTCCTCAGGTGTGCGAACCTTCAAGCTGTAGGAGCTTGAGGGTCGGTCGTTTGGCGTCGACAGCAAGTACGAGGGTGTCTGTGCTGGGGTGTGCTGCCCATTGACTCGAGGTGTTGCCCAGGCGTCGAGGAAATGGGTCTGGTGAGCAGCCCCCTCCGTCTTTGGCGTCTTGAGTGGTGTTGAGTCGGGAAACGTCACCGACTTGGGTGTGGAGGATGGACTGGGAAGGAGATGCCAATCCTTCGATCTAGCACACGACCCACGTTAGCGCTGAAACATTGTAAAATGTGAAACGAGCCGGATAAATGTATCGAGAATATAATCTTGGACAAGAGGTATCAAGACTGAAAACGAGCGTCGCAAACGCTGAGAGCAAGTTTTGCTGGAATGTAGTTATGAGGGGGGTTCTGATGGGTCGATGCCCTAGGGCTCTGGATGACATCCTAGCGCGGTGCTGCCTGCCCCTCGGCGTAGACCAAACCACGATTGGGGTAATAGCATAGCCAATCTCACTATGCCAGCAGGCAGAGCAGGCATCGACGGCTTTTGATGTACATCATGAGCTTCTGTGGCACCGACCCAGCAGTGTCAGGGTGATGACCCGTATCCTCAACAGAGGGGGGCACATGAGAGCTCGAACCGGTGAAAGAGAGGTCCGTACCCAAACATATGCTGATCGAGACTCATAGCAATCCCAGTGACACAATGTTCCTGCCCTACAAGACCATATAGCTACTGTATCAGACGGCCGACGGAGACGAGGTTCGAGGCGTTCGACGGATCGGCGGTGTTGGAGACAGCGATGCTCTGACAAAATTTCTCGCAGCCTGGTGGCAGTCTGGTGCAGACGCAAGCAGGATGGAGCGTTGAAGCTGTGATACCTTGAGTGACGCTCACCCAGGCCGGATTAGGGATATGTCAGTGCTGTGATACTGTAGATGCAGGTACCTCGGAGGGGCGTCACAACAGCTTCAAGGGCAGAAGAGAGGTCTGCAGGCCGGAAACGGTTGCAAGCTCGGACGCCGTTGGCGAGGAATGACGGTGAGGATTTCTTGCAAATGCTAATAGGCGAAGAAGCAGTGGGGCCGAGGTGAAGCTGCAGAAGAATGGCTGCAATTTGGCGACAATGATTGAATAATGAGTTGTACCGATCGTGGCCCGGAGCAACAAGCAGCAACGCAGGAATGCGTCTCCTGAGCCCTAAAGTTCGGGCAGCAGACAATCAGGAACCGAGCCGCAATGGGCTGTAGGCATGCTCGTGGGGATATAGCGAGGGAGTGCTCATTATTGGTAGTATTAGCAGGGAGACATGGAGAAGGTCTGATGCCAATTCACGCCTGACTGATGAGCATGCGAGCGAGGGCTTCCGCCAACAAATGCGGACCAATAGAGCAAATGAGAGCTAGGAGGCTGCGCCAAAGGTACCACGCTGTGCTAGAGCGCAGGCGGCACGGAACATGATGGCTGAGAAGATGCGTAGCGGAACAACGATTGCTGGGTTCGACAGGTCGCGCTGAGGTCCGCCCAGATTTGCATCCGCGCTAGGTACAACCTGGGAAAGAACCACTCGACATTCGCTGTTAGAACACCCGTGAACCAGTCAAGCTGCCCTGCAGCCCATCTCTCCTGCAAACTCCTGAGCTGCACTCCTGAGCCGGCCGCTGGGTCTCGTAAATGTTGAGCATGCAGCGAATAGGAGCTGCCGAAGGATGTCCACCCTGCCAAGCACCAGTTCGATCTAATCCCATCCGCAATGTTGGACCTGCACAGTCGTGTGCTTTTGATGCGATACCATGCCTTTTGAGCGCCCGCCAGGCGATACCTCCCTATCCTGTTCCTGGAAACTGCGCGTCCTAGAGCCAATTGCCGTATGCATGATCTCCCCAGCGGAGAAATGCCCTACTGTAGGCGTGCCAATTTCAGCACTTCCCACAATTAACCTTCGGCCCCTAACTGCACGTGTCCTGGTATACGAGGCCGTGCCCCATACGATCGAAGATCCTACGATATGACTTCGTCATGACATAAAAACACACGAGTACCTCTACGATCTCCAAACGCTACCAAACAATACTATCTGTGGTTGCTGGCACAACGGTGCACAAGCGGAGTTTGTGAGACAACGGCGGGATCGGCTCTGGCCTTGTCGACCCCCATCCCTGGCATGGCGTGTGAGATGATCGTACATCTCTACCCTAGCGTCGCCGGATAGATGTCGCTATCTCTTATGCAAGGTACACCCTCTCCCTTGATTCTGAGGGGGGGGGGGGGCGATTGTCATGTTATTTCAGCAGAGGCGATGCTACCATGCGGGCACATCGTGTATGTACGACCCAGGGTGCCCTTTATAGCTCACGACTCATCAAAGAGATTCATCAAAGAGAGAAGTTTCGGTAAGGGTTTGTGATCTTGAGGTCTTCAATCTGCCCTGTCTTTTTGACACGTACTTTGTGGTATCAACCGAGCCAAACATGCGGTCCTCGGAGCTAGAACGCCTCATTTCGTCATGAAATCATATTTGGACTAGGTAACTGGAAATAATCGCATCCTTTGCACCGGCTGCCGTTTTCCTGTCGAACCAACATCTAAACACCTATACATATGCTTTCGTTAGGACGCAGTAAGGTTCGCTGATGTAGAGAGAGAACTGTCCTCGAGTATATACATTAAGATAAGAAAGTAAAGTTCATCGTAACGCCTATCAGAATGGAGACCTGCCCACAACAGGGTCAACTTGATATGAAGAATCAGAAACATCAGACATCGCATCAGTACTCCTCCCCAGAGCAGGCCCTGAGAGTTCTGACACCTCGTCGTCCTCAGGGTCGTCGAAAGGCGAACGCTCGATGAGTTGTGTCCGTGAAGTCATGTGTGGAGGTGCAGCCATTCGAACGCTGCTATTGCGAGAGGTAGATGCGAGGCTGGCCGGGGGAAGACTGCTTGGTCGATATGGTGGTGGTGCTTCCTCGAGGCTTCTGCCGTCTGCGAAAGGATCTCGATCCACTACCGTGCCCTGTCTGCTAACGCCGTTTGCTGAAGTCATGGAAATAAGGTCGGATGTGTCCATGCCTGTCAAGTATGCACCATTGTTGCCAGATGGAATAGGTCCCAAGATGACAGGCTGTGAGGAGCTTGCAGTTGGAGGGTGGCTCGATGATGGCGTTGATGGGGAATACTGTGGCAGAACTGCTGGCGGTGGAGAAGGGGGCGTTATGGGCGCTATGTAGGGCAACGCGACAGGCTTCGGTTGCATCTTCATCTCTTCGATATGTCTATGTTCAGCAGCTGCTTGCCTTTGCCGTCTTCGCTTGCGTAGACAACAGAACACGAGGAACCCTATGATAATGACCACCACCGGCGTAACGCCAGCAGCAGCGTACATGGGCGTCCGGTTGGGGCCGTTGTCTGCCCCGTGGTTCTGCAGATCAGGGAAACCATCTTCTGTAGGCGCAGGTGATGATGCATCGTCGGTCGGTACCCTTGTTGGGGTTGCTGATGCAGTGGGAGACTGAAGCCCGTTATGGTCTCCCCATGCTGTTTGAGTGGACAGTGTTGTCGATGCCCATGGAGGTCCACGATATGTGGAACCGTCGTTCGTAGCCCAAGGTGGAGACCCGCTCCCACTTGGACGCCCATCGTACGGATTGTCTGATCCCCATGGTCTGTATGGATTGTCAGACATCTTGGAAGGGTAGTTCTTGGTCCAGGTGGGTAACTCGGTGGGTATCGTAGTGACCTCTTCGAAATAAGTGTTAGGTATCGACGAAGATTGCTTGTTCACGGAAGAGGAAGTCTCCTGGGGGCCCTCGTCCTCATCATCTGTCGGTGTTTCCAAGGGCGGGTAGCGGTGGTCATCATCCCGTCCAATCCGATTATACGCCATTGGGGCTGCGTTCATTCAACACAGCCAAAGATGCGCTGACGAGAGGCGTCCTTGTATGAGAGGGATAAGCAGTACAACGTCAGAACTTAAGCTGAGCAGGAGGGGCGCTCAACCGCTTGATAGGTCTCTGTGTCTTCGAAAGTATCGGTAATGCCTGCAATTGACCCTTCACCGAGGGCAGGATTGACTTTGTTGCTGATCCTCCAGTGACAGCGAATGCGGGGCCGGCTCACGGAGTTTACACACCAGTTCTTGGTACTAAGACTTCAGGTATCTAGGCAGTCGATGACGCGAGAGCTAACGCAGATACAGTGAATCCCCTCACAAGTGGACACGAGCATAAGATGACGGATAAGACAGCAGTGTACGCTCAATGTGCAGCCTTGGTAACAAGAGCAAAAGTGCGGGAGGGCAGCCCTTTCAAAGAACTGCAGCTGAGAAGAGGCGCAGGCATATCCGGTACGCTGGCAGAAGCTGCCGCAAGCTGACATGTCAATTGGCTTACCTCTGAGTACATATCGGTTGAGGCTGGTTCTGTGGTTGGCTAAGGACTGGGCTGATGGTGAAGTTCGCGGGCACAGCCTCCGCGCCCTTGAGTTGGGAAGCAGCAGCCGACCCCACCTGCTTGAATAGAGCTATATTTGGCACTACTCGTAGATCCACCTCTGTACTAACAATGAACGTCCTTTACTTCCGGTGGACCATTTGTATCTGCAATATATTGCTGCTCTTTGAATACCTTAGAGCTCTGCGGCTTCCCGGTGGCGTTCAGCTGGACATGCAAAGACAAAGCAACAACATGCATGCCAACCTTGAGGTTTTGCAGATCCTCTTACAAGCATGAGAGGGCTTGCGCCGGACAACAGACGTGTTCGTGACAGGCTCATCGTGCTTTCATGCCTGCAGCTACTTGGCCTAACCATTACCTCGGGAAGCCATGATATCACTCATCACCAACAGGCGCACCGCATCCTGAACTCTGAAACACAATGTCTCTCTTATCGGTAGGCTTTGTAGCCGGTACTCCGATGCTAAACATGTGAGCCATTGAGGTCTTACACAAAATACCTCATGGATGGTCGTACTCGCATTCCTGTACGACGGGTAAGCAGACAACGGTTTGTCCAGTTGCTGTGGGAAGAGTATTTGCCTCAGGCGATAATGACACGTAGCAGTGTAATTGCACCAAATACTGATAATGTTATCAATGTCCTTTAGGGAGAGCTTCCATCTCAGAGTACTGAACCTGAGGCTGTTCTCAGGACAGAGCTACTCGGCATGGTCGGCTCGACCCGTGAAAGTAACAGCTTAATCAGAGCCCTTGGCAACGTCATTGGGCCGCAGCACGCTATCGGTCGCAGTATCCACGCGTCCAGGATGTTAAACCTTACACAACTGCGCCAACATGGCTGATCGCTTCAAAAACCTCGCAAAGAATGGCTGGCACCCAGAGAAGAGCAAGACAAGCAGTTCAGGTGCTGCGAGCGACTCAAAGTTCGGTCAAGTGGTAGGTCCTATCACTTGCGTTCTTCAACGACCCAGCACTGATTGCTACAGAAAGGATGGGTAGGCAAGGCACAGGGGAAAGATACCCACGCTGAGGCTGCTCGTGAGCATCAGTCTGCACCGCTGTCAACCTTGAAAGACCCCGCGTCTTTTGCGCCCCCACCGAAACGAATCCCAGGAGCATCACCGGTCTCCGGTGGACTTGGTGCTGCACCGCCAGACTCGGCAAGACAACGCTTGCAGGGAAAGGAAGAGGCGCAGAGAAGAGCAGAGCAGGAGTCAGTACCGCAAGGGCCCTATAGAACAGACACAACAGGGCTCAGTACTGCTCACCTGCCCAAACCGCCAGCATTCAGACCAAATGCTGCCACGCCTCCTCCAGTGCCAGCCTCGAGAGCGAACCCCCCTAGCCTGCCACCAAGGCTCCCTCCACGCCAAACAGAGAACGTCGACGAGTACACACCGCCTGCACCCCCATCGTATGGAGAGGCTATACAACAGCCGGCGGCGCATACTCTCAATCAGGGAGCCATGAACCGTCTGGGTCAGGCTGGTGTAGCGGTGCCAGGCTTGGGCATTGGCCGCAATGCTTCTCCGCCTGTACCACCTCGTCAGCGCACATTGGCACCTCCTCCACAAGCACATCAAGCCTCGAACTCGTCCACAGCAGCGCCGATATCTCCCCCTGCTACAGCGAGCAACGCCCCACAGCTCAACGAACTGCACAACAGGCTCGCCAAGATGAACATATCGTCTACAGCAGAGACAGCACCGAGCGCAGGGACATCTTGGGCGGACAAGCAAGCAGCCCTCAGAACTGCCAGCAATATCCGCAACGATTCATCCAAAGTCTCTAGCTCAGATCTGAAGAGTGCAGCATCGACAGCCAATAACTTCAAACAACGGCATGGGGAACAAACAGCGTCAGGCTGGCGGGCAGCGAGTGGGCTCAACCAGAAGTACGGCATTGCAGGCAAGGTGAACAGCTTTGCAGTGGGATCAAACACACTGGCATCATCCCAAGCACCTGTTACAGGAGGAATAGGAAAGAAGCCTCCACCGCCGCCAGCTAAGAAACCAGCGTTGACATCTACCAATTCTGGAGAACCGCCGCCAATCCCATTGAGCAGCAAACCTAAGTTCTAATTCTTTAGCGTGTTATACTCTATATAGACTTGTCAATAACAATATCCTTCTCCCAAGAGGTATTTATCGTGTCTGTTCGGAACTGTCCTTCCCTGATACTGTGTGCGTTAACTGGGATATTGTACGAAGTGCATCAGGGTACACACCCCTGTCAGAACGACTCTCCGGATTCTACAGGCGGCACGCTGGAATTACTGCTTGCGACCTCAAAATACATAATTATTCAGAAGATTACCCGATTCTGCTAGCCTTGCGAGGCTGGAACTCACTTTAGCAGAACATTGGCACCCACAGTCTGAGGCGTGCTTTGCAAAAAATGGCAAGCTGGTACGTTCGTAGACCGTGCGTCTTGGCTTGTCCTGCCTCGGTTGATGTCATGTCTACGATTGGGTAAAAATTGTTGTCGCACCGCTAGCCTGCCGCAAGAGAGGAATTTCCATCACCAAGACGTTTGCCAACAGTCGCCTGCTCTATCCAGCCACAAGTCCGAAAGACGAGTGCCACATTCGTGCAGGGCCCCAGTGTGTTCGTGCTCCTGACTGAGCTTTGGGTATATCTGCGCGCACCCGCTGTTTGCCGTCCTGAGTGACTTGAAAACGGGTAAGTACGCACGCGTGCCAACAAACAAGAAACCGCACAACGTGTGGAGGCATCCAGAGCATCCAGATTCTCAGAATCCAGCCGCTGTGATTCGACTCTAGCGTCAACGGCTAGCCATTGGCGGCGCTCGAGTGCAGGAAAACTCCCACTACGACATCTCCTTCACCATTCTTTGTCCACGCGCGCGTTATCTTTAGTGCCAACGACGTCACCGCGAGAGCTCTACTGCAGCGCAACCTTTCACCGGCCATCCTGCACCGCTGTCTTTACGCGTCGCACTGTCGACGCACCCCGCGCATTCAATCTGTCGCGCGCCCACACAGCTCAACCAATTGAGAATCAGGCAGCGACGTCACAATGTCTGGCGCAGGGCCATCTCTCTTTCCTGGGGAGGTCCCTTCATGGTCTGTCCTGAAGTTTCCCCCAGATGCTGCACCACCGCCCATCACGAACCCCTACAGCGGCGAGCCGACTCTCGCAAACCCCTTCCAGATCCCCCAGGATATTTTCGAGAAGGCGCTTGACCCCAAGGTTCCCTTGACTATCGCCGCCGTCTACGCCGTTACCGTCACCTACCTCAACTGGTACAACCGCCAGCACGGTAACAAGCCGTGGAGGATCGCCAGCCACGGCTGGTTCAAGGCATTCGTTATCGCCCACAATGTCTTTCTCGCCGTCTACTCCGCAGTCACCTGCGTGGCTATGTTTCATGGCCTGAAAGCCTCCTTCCCTAACTGGAGGGAGCCCAATGCCTTCGTTGGCACCGTCGACGCGCTCTGCAAGATCCAGGGACCTCGTGGTCTCGGCGATGCAGTTACATACAACCCGGACGCGAACACTTGGGGAAGCAGGAATACCAACATTCACGTTGGCCCGAACGGTCTCCCAGACCGCACCGATGTTGGCAGGATGTGGAATGAGGGTCTTGCTTTCTGGGGCTGGTGGTTCTACCTCTCCAAGTTCTACGAAGTCCTTGATACCGTCATCATTCTGGTCAAGGGAAAGCGTAGCACGACTCTCCAGAAGTACCACCACGCTGGTGCTATGCTGTCTATGTGGGCTGGTATGCGTTACATGTCCCCGCCTATCTGGATGTTCGTCCAGATCAACTCCGGTATCCATGCCATGATGGTATGTACTTTGATGAACCTCGAATGGAGAATTACAGCGACTAACTGCTCTACAGTACACATACTACACTCTCTCCGCTCTCGGCTACCGCGTGCCCAATTTCGTCAAACGCACCCTCACCACGATGCAGATCACCCAGTTCCTCGTCGGCGCCAGCTTCGCTGCTCTCCACCTCTTCGTCTCGTACACTGTCCCGGTTTCGGTCGCACACAAGATTGCTGAGCAGGTCACCTCTAGCGTACAGCCTTCCTCCATCGCATCTACTGTCTCGTCTGCCGTCTCGTCCGTGACCGAGTCCGCTACTGCAGTTCTGCCTACCGCGACTGGCCCAGCTCTTGCTTTCCTGTGGAAGCTGGTCTACCGCGCAGCTGGCGACGAGGGTCTTGCTGAGAACATCCCCGTACCCGGGTCCTCTCTCATTCCTGCGCACCAATCGCACACCCCTACTGTTGTCGCTGCCCACCACGAAAATCCCGTTCAGCGCCTGCTCCACCCTCACACCACCCACACCGTGGACAGGGTCGTCTATCGCACTGAGTACCAGCACGCTCCCTGCATTGACACTTCTGGCCAGGCATTTGCCATCTATCTCAACTTGATCTACCTTGCTCCTCTTACGGGTCTCTTCATGCGCTTCTTCGTCAAGTCCTACTTCCGCCGCACAAACTCCCGGGCTAAGCATCAGTCCAAGCACACACCCATCTCGAAGGCCGCTGGTGACGCTATCCACGGTGTCGAGCGTGAGATCGAGTCGATCAGCGAGGAGGGCAAGAACGGCAGCGCCAACAAGGGCTCCGTTCGCGGACGCAAGGGTGTTAACGGCGACGCTAAGAACCCCCGTTCAAGTCTGAGCCCTTCGAACGAAGACTTCGTTAAGAATGTCAACCGCAAGGTCAGCGAGCGCCTGCAGAAGATCAATGATGATGCTCAGGCTACAACTGAGAAGGCAAAGGAGATCGCAACGGATGTCGTCAGCAAGGCCAGCGAGACCAAGGACAAGGTCCAGCAACAAGTCAAGGAGACAAACGACAATATCGAGGAGAAGGCACAGCAGAACAGTGACGACGTGAACGCTGAGCGGGAACAGGGCCAGAACGATGTTGCTAGCACACCGGCCGGCACGCCGTCGAAGAAGAAGAGGAACAGGAACAAGAACAAAAACAAGCAGGCGCAAAGCGTAGAGAGCCTGAATGATGTCTCCGACGATGAGCACCCCGAGCGCAAAACTGAGAAGGAGCCCGAGCCCAAGGACATCAACAACACACTTGACAAGAGCGAGGGCAGGGGTCTGTTCTAGGCATACTACCTCATGCCCTGAGGCTAGGGCAAATTCAACATGACAGTATGAAAAGCAATGAGGATTCCGCTTCGAGAAGTGTGTTAGTGGGCCTTATACCATTTCCTTTCTTCGAGTAGACCAATATGCATGGTGAAGGCGCTGCATAGAGGTTTGTCACTAAGGATCTCATCAGAATTGTATATAAAAGTCGACCAAGGTGGATGAACAAGTCAGCGTTTGGACAATGCAAAATTCCTAATCTTCATATGCAAATTCCTTGATGCCGTACGTGATGCTACGAAAATGCTGCATGTTGATCCTCTCTCGCAACTCACAAGCAAACTGCCTTCTCTAACGGATATCAAACCCCCCACTGAACCCCCCCAACTCCAACACCTCCTCCCTCTCCCTCCGTTCCCTCCTCGTCCTCATTATCCCCACCTCTCCCAAATCACCTCCCGTCACCGCATCACTAGCACTCACCTTCCCTCCTCTTACCGGACTCCTCTCACCCTCATCGTTCCGAGCAAATATCTGCAGCCCGCGCAAATGCGTATCCTTCCCGTTCTGATGATTCTCCAGGATCTTGATCTGCACTAGATGCGCTCTCAGCACCGGCATCTTTGGGCGGCGCGCTGCTCTAACGGGTGGGGGCGCGGCGTTGGGGCTGAGACTGCTGAAGGGGAGACGGGGTGTTGGGCGCGGTAGCGTGGGTGTCTCGTGGTGCGTTTGCGGTGTGAACTGTGGTGTGAACTGTGGGCGATGCTGTGGGAGCTGCGGCACGGTGACGGGCGTATCGAATGGCTGCGGCGTTTCGAGGTGTGTGGGGAAGTTACTTGGGACGCGCTGGCGCTGAGGCGGGAGGGGCATGTTTTCGCTGTCACTGGAGCGATGTTCTGATGTTCTGCGGTTGCGTGGGCGGTTGAGGCCGGAGAGCATGCGTGCTTGGAATGCGTCGTCGTCTTCGCTGTCTTCCTCTTCTGCAGAGTCATCATCTGATGCGTCGCCCACGTTGGAGAAGTCCGCCCATACCCAGCCTCGGGGTGATTCAAGTCGCATTTCCCCCCACTCTTGGAGGTTGTTCATGCCGGAGCCGGCGAGGAAGATGATGCGGGTTGGTGTGTAGGATTCATCTTGTTCGAAGTCAAGATACAAGCGCAGGCCGACGATGCGGACGAGTTTGAAGAAATGGATGTTGAGATAGTGTGGTTGAGGGCCATCGGATTGCCAGAAGAGTGATGGGGAGGGGTGCCGGAGTTGTGGGATTGAACAGCCGGGTTTCGAGGAGGATACTGTCCAGGATGCTAGCGTGCTGATCTCGCGCAGGTAGGAGGGTGGTGGATCAAGGTTTGGAAGAGGTGTATCTGGGCCGCCGGCTGATGCTGCGAAGGGTCAACAAAAGTTTAAAAATGAAGGTGCATCGCCGCGTAATAGTGACACTGGAGTGACCACATGTTGGCTTCTGGAAGCCGGCTTGTACAACATCTTCAAAGTACACGAGGTTGGCGGAGCTAGGCAATGCAGACAATCCGGTGGTATAGTCTCGAGACGATTTCAAAAAGAGCACTCAAACATGTGAAGGTCTTGTACTGTGTAAAGTGACACAGAATGAAGCCAGGGTATGCAGCAAGGAAAGACGGAAAGACTTACCGAGCCCATCCTCTTCTTCCAGGTCTTCCTCTCCCTCCATTGCTACCAGTTCATCTCCCATTACATCACCATCCTCCTCTTCGGGATCCATCCCTTCATCGTCTACATCTTCGTCGCTGCCGGGATATTCCGCTGGAGGTGGTGGCATATGATGCTGTGCTCGTCTTCTCGTTGAGGGCGGCATGTTGCCAGTCTACCGTTACCGACGAAAATGCCGTGTAATCAGCGGGCCCAAACAATGAAAAGCAGCGGCTAAGGCCGCAAGGATAACGGGTGTGAAGTGCAGGAGCGCAAATGCTGGGGTCCAGGGGCCGCCCTGCGTGATTGCAACGAGTGCTTTCAGAGGGAATGGCTGAATGCGAGCTGCTGGTCTTGGCGCATTGAACAAACGTTTTGAGTCGATAGTCGGCGAGCACGTCTCAACTCTGCAGCATCGTGGCGCTTCAACTTGAATCGGACAGCGCTCGCAGCAATTGTCGTACAAGGCGGTTCAAATGGCGTTGTTGATTGAGTGAAAGTAGCGTAAACAGCAGGTAAGAGTGTAGGCCCTTGCGTGGCCCTACAGCCTTTCAAATCCTTAGCTGCGCCCAGATCCCAACTCTTACAGACGTTTGATGATGTAGATTGTGCTTTTTTTTGTCGTAGATGTGAAGGTTTGCTCTTGCGCAATGTATGAGGAAGTCGAAAAGGTGATTGGCCCGTGCTTGTGGAGATTGTTTGGCTCCCAATCGCGACTTCCTGCATCGCGTCCTTCACCCGCATCTCAGGTTTCACGAATTAGCACGACATGCCTGCGAATACCTCCGTAGTATGAAAATCACCAGTGCCAATAGCTGTCAGTGTTCTCGAGGCCGCGGCGCTCCCAACGAACGCACGCCACCAGATCTATCCGCTGTGTGTTTCAGTAATGACAGGGCGCCAACCAGTGCCTGGATTTGCTTTTGATGGGCTTTCTAGCGAAGGTCCTGAACGCGCTGGAACTGAAACCGAAAGCTGTAGCTCCGGGGAAGAGGAATGACGGCGCTCGGGAGTAGGTACCGTGCAGGAAATCTACTATAAACGGTCTGCAAGCCTCACTGCGGAGAACTCAACACCAGTCTCCTCAGCTCTCAGCTCGAAGGATGCGTCTTGAATCCAGATGAAGGGTTGTCCCGCTTGTTCGGCGACCTTTCTTTTGCCTGGACCGATGAACGCGACCTAAGACTTCATCATCAAGTCTGTCCTACCTTGTGTACCTACCCTTCCCAACGTGGCGTCAAGGCCGGTGTCGTGGAACGTTGTCTATATACTCGAGCTGCATCCAATATGTAGCTATGGAGCCAACCGTTCGCTGTTCCGCTGAACGCCCGATCTCGTCTCCAGTCATTACATATCTCCCGTCACTCATTACGCCTCACGCTGTCGTCTGGGACGACACCTTCGCTGACAGGACGTGGCCCCTGTCCTCTCGTTCGACACCCTTTGATTTGAACATGGTGCATGGTTTTGATGAAATCGCTCAAGCGAGCGAGCAACAAGAGAGGATAACGATCGCATTCCTGGCGCTTGCTTGGGTATTCATTCTACTCAGGATATGGACCCGTACTTGGATCATCGCAAGCTTCGGCTGGGACGATGCGACTATGATCCTGGCTGGGGTAGGGTTCACCCTTGGTTCACGGACGAGGGCCACTCGTAGCTGACACGTTCTTAGATGATTTTCACAGTCTACTCCGGATCGCAATTGTACATTGAAGCGAATGGTGGTGGCACGCATGTCGCGAGCCTCGAAGGACTGCAGAAGCTCACGAAGGCAGGCAAATCTCGCCCATTGGATGATATAGCTGACTCGGACAGTGGGTTGTCGTGAGCGAAGCGACCTACCTTATGGCGATGATGATGGTCAAGATCTCACTCGGTATCTTCTTTGCGCGCATCGTGGTCGCCTCATGGCACAACATGCTCATCTATGTGACCATTGGTGTCAACGTATTCTCTTCAGTTGCCGCGTTCTTCTATTGTATCTTCCGCTGCGGACCAAACGTCAACCGATATGTACTGCAACAGTTGAGAAACCAGTGCACCTCGAGAGGCCTTGACCGGTTCATGGCGTATCAGTCAGGTAAGCAGATCCACAACCTGCCTTGTATCGGGACATCTTGCTAAAAGTTGAGATGATAGCTACGTTCTCTACCCTTACTGACCTTGTCTTCGTCGTGCTACCAATCATGGTCCTCTGGAACGCGAACATGGATCGAAGATCGAAGCTCTCAGTTGGGTTCATCCTCTGCCTCGCCGCAAGCGCCTGCATCTGCTCCATGATTCGCTTCCAATACGTTGACGGCCTCACTCAAATCAACGACTTTTTCTGGAACGCAACCAACATCGCTATCTGGTCCACAATCGAGTGCGGCGCCAGTATCATAGCTGGATGCCTCGCAACACTTCGTCCACTCCTGAAGCGCATATTCGCGACAGCAGGCTCAATCACCAAGTCTTTACGCTCTTCCAACATACAGTCGAATGGAAGCTCGAGACAGACCAACTCGACATCTATCGGTACAAATCTTGGGTCGAACGAACGCAAGACTGGCGGTTCAAGCACAGACAAGCCAACCTTTGCTGAGTTCATCGCCGAACCTGGTGAAGTCATCGAGATGTCAAGTGATGCGGGCGGCGAGCGAGAAAGTCAGGATCGTATCCTCCGGCAGCACGAAGAACCATCTTTAGACTTCCCTTGGCCGGTCAAGGTGATACAAAGCGCAAGGGAACCAGACCGCACTGCACCAATGCACTCAAAGCACAAGAGCTGGAACTCGAGACATAAAGCTGGAAATGATAGCAGAGTCGATCGTGCTTTGTCTGCACCCTCATCACCCGGCATCTTTGCGATGGGACAAAGAAACACATGAACAAATATTCGAAAGCTGCACCATACAGTGGACACAAAATTGCAAAAGTTCCATACGCCTGTGAAGGAATCACGTTCGAAAGCTGACCTTGGATACCGTCCTCACTGAGCTTAGTCGCCTCTGAGTCAGGCAGATCAGAGTTCAAGCACTAGATGCGTCTGTCACAGCATCTGTAGCTCAAAGGACCGTCCGAAAAAGCTAACGCCGTCCACAATCAGCTCATGGGGTCACTGTACAGGGAGCTGAGGGCCAAAGCATGCCCAAGCTATAATTAACTCACGTCTACACGGGCCTTTGAAACGATCTTGACGGCGCACAGTGAGGGTTGCAGTACACCTTGTTGTTCCACGGACGGCACATACAGCCAGTGATAGAGGAAGCGACTTCAACAGCTTTTGCGCAGAAAATAGGAACGAGCTTCCCTCTGATCACGTATTCAGACGCTGTGGTGCCGTAAGGAAATAGCTAGCACAGCTTGAACACATGCAAACGTTGCAGAATAATCTCCTGCAGTATTGGAGAGATTATTGTGATCAATATTGATTTCATTCATTCTTATCATTGCAGACTGGACGGGTAAACCTCCTCTTGGAGACAGACACATGTCGATGTCGTGATGTTTCCTTGTCCTCAATCCCTCAAACGCGTCCAGATATCTATTACTTCGAGGCGGCCTTGGCGAGGTCGTCGAGGGCCTCGCGGCGCTTGAACTTGGCATCCTGGATGACGCCTACATCTGTTAGCCTGTGTTTCAAGAGACCGAGTATATTTGTACGTACTAGCATCGGCGTCCGAAGAGAAGTTGCCAGTCCAGGTGATGAAGGTCTGGCCCTCATGCTTGCCGGAGGTGACGGGGTATGCGCGGATGGTAGAAACGACCGAGGTGTAGCTCAGCTCAGGCTTAGCAGAGATGACGGAGTAGGTGATGAAGTGGTCGATGCTCTATATTGACATTAGCTTGTGTCTGCGCGAGATGGGTGTAGAGACTTACGGAGTGCTCCTCCTGCTTGACCTCAAGGGTCTGGCCGTCCTTGAACGTCCACTGGACAACGTCGGTCTCGGGAGAAGTGCCCTTGACGAATTCGCTCTTCTCGAGCTTCGACCAGAACTTGCTGAAGTCCTGGAGCTTGATCAGGTGCCAGACATCGCTGAAGGGTGCGTCGATGACGGCAGATTCGCTGACAAAGGTGGAGGTGGGGATAGCAGGCATTGTGGAGGTAGTCAATTGGTTCTGGGGTGTTGTCTTAGTGGAAATTGCAGCTTTGGATGTGAAGTGTAAGTAGAATGGTGTGCTGAAGTTTGATGAAGCAATTGTTGGTCCAGGCTCCACTGGCGTCATGAGGAAACTGCCCCTCTACCCCACTTCAATCAAGCTAGCTAGGCGGGAGACATGTTCGCCACCAGGGCTTCCCTCAGCTTCAGCCTTGCATTCATGTTCATTGTACACAAAACAATTTCCAGGGTCTATGATTCACCGTGGAGCACTTTTGGTAGGCTGCAATTTGACTTATTGTAGCAGCAGAAGCCGTACCTTCAGGTCCCAGTTCACACCTTCCGTGCTCCCGAGCAGCTCCTGCGATCAACACTTTCCAGTCATTCATCATCTTTTTGGATCTGAAGCCTTTTGATGCATAATTGCGTCATCCCTGCAACAAAGGGAACCTCAACCGCAAACAGCAGCGGGGAATCATCAGGGTTCAGTTGTCAAACAGACAGCCGAAGGCTTGGCAACTTCAACACCTCCACAATTCAGTCTGGAAGAGAGTTGGTCCACACATCGGCATCAAGGCGCTTTCGGGCCTCCGAGAACAACGTTGAAGCAACTCATCGCTCGACGCGTCCGTCGCCACACTTGACGCCCCATTGCGCCACATCGGAGGAAATAATCGCCGTCGTCTCCCAGGCCTTTCCCTTCTGGGCCACTCGGAGGCCGCGCAACTACCTTTTTACCTACTACCTAGAAGGCTAGACACGTCCATGAGACGCGGCAGAGACGCCTATCTGCCATGACTCTTCTTGCAAATTCCGCCTGCTTCGTAGGATCTCAGAAAGAGCTATGCTATTGGCCTGTGACGCAACGGGGCGCGTCTCACGACCGGTTAAAGCTGTGGCGAGGAGGGGTGAACATACGTACGCTTGCCACGTGAAGCTTGATGCCTGGAAAGATAGATGTGTATAAGTGCCCGATCAGGTAGGTTGTGATGCTTCTTTTCTTTCATCATCAACAATCATCATGGCTTCCTTCAATTACATGAACAACACCGCTCCCTTCTGGGACTTCCTTGCTAGCCTCGAGCAGCAAGGCAACAACCATCCTTTCTTCGGTCAGCCTCAGAACCATGGCAGCACCTCCGATCAGAACCCTAGCGGCGAGAACGAGCGCGGTGAAGGTCACGAAGGTCAGCACGATCCTCCTTTCAACCCTTGGGGATGGGGTCACCAGTTCTTCGGCGGTGCCAGAGGAATGCCTCACCGTGGCCCTCCTCCACCACCTGGCCCACATGGTCCTCCTCCTCCCTCAGGGCCTCACGGCCCACTTCCCCACCACGACGAACACGATCCCCATCATGAGCATGATGGTGAAAAGGACGGCGAGAAGAGCGACAACGATAACGACAATGGCGAAGGTCCCTCCGGCTCAGGCTCTGACAGCGAGGGAAAGCGTACCTGCGGACGCGGACGCCATGGCCGCTGCGGCAGCCGTCGCGGCCGTCACGGATTCGGAGGACGAGGAGGCTTCGGTCCTCACCATGGTGGACCAGGTCACCACGGCCCCCGTGGACACCATGGTCCTACTCATGACGGACCTGGTTGCGGTCCTCGCGGCTCTCACCACGGCCCGCCTCCACCTCCTGAGGGCCCTCGCGGTAGTCCCCACGGCCATGGCCCTCGAGGCCACCACCACCACCACGGTCGACCCGGCTCGCGAGGACCCTGGGGTTGCAACGGCCCTTTTGGCGGACCATGCCACATGCGTGCCTCTGATAGAGGATACGACAGAGGAGCCGGCTTTGATCCTTCCTCCATCTTTGCGTCAATCTTCGACGCCTTTGCCGCCGAGCACCCCTCCAATAAGGACAACAACAACGACACTACCACTGCCAAGGACAACGAAGACTTCATTCCGGAAGCCGACATCTTTGATACACCCTCCTCCTACATTGTTCACATCTCTCTGCCTGGCGCAAAGAAGGAAGACGTCGGCGTGAACTGGGACGCTGAAAAATCTGAGCTGTCTGTCGCTGGTGTGATCTACCGTCCTGGCGATGAGGAGTTCTTGAAGACGCTGGCGATGAACGAGAGGAAGGTGGGACCCTTCGAGAGGAAAATCAGGTTGGGTACGAGGGCCAACCCAGCGCATGTCGATGCGGATGGCATCACAGCGAAGCTGGAGGATGGTGTGCTGAGGGTCGAGGTCAGGAAGGAGGATGAGGGGTTTGTGGAGATCAAGAAAGTGGATATCGAGTAAGATCCGCATCCGTGGAGTTGAGGGTATTGAGTGTGACTTTGGTCACATCGTGTGATTTCATATAGTTGGCAGTTTATAGCAGAAGGCGTTTGGCGTATCGGTTGCTTTTTCGAAACTCTTCCATCCATTGCAAGTGATTTGCCTTGTTTGTGATGTACATGTACCACCAAAAACAACGATCTGACACCACTAGCATTCTCTCAGGCCTTCCTTTACTTTCACTGTCCACCTCCACGCGGCTTTCGACGTGAACCTTCCCCAACATTCATTACGTTATAGTGTTACGATAGTACTCGTAGACTGAGCACGATCAGTGAATCACTTCTACCGACACCTTTCACTGCTGCTGCAAGGAGTGCCAAGGTAGCTGAGCAGTGTATTCTGAGTGCGCACGACGTTGTTCAGGATGATTGGAGACGCACTCCCTACGCTTGCAGTGCTTACGGCGACAGGCATCTTGGTACTGTGGCGTTGGTCCAGATGGTCATGTCAGCACACTGCGCTAAGCACAATATCGGGTCACCGTACTTACGGGTCTTGTGATGATGTCGCCAGCACCGGTTGAGCTGGGGCTTGAGCTTGACGAAAAGGCAGGTCAGCAGTCACTGCTGCGGCAGGGGCTTGAGCACCAATTTGAGCTGGGACTTGAGGAGGAGCCCGGCCTTGGTAGATGTTGTTGCGGTATCGGTTGGTCCGTACAGTGTCTGACTATACCCCTGACCACTACCCTGGACTAGGCTCTAGAGGCGCTCAAGGAGTAAGTCGATGTACTTGTTAATGGTGTCGATATTCTTCTGTTCTTGGCGTTGGAGTTGGATGCAAAGTGAGGCGATGATCTCGTCTCGAGGGCCCTGGTGTGAACCTGCTATGTTGTTCAGACTTGCGATGTAGGTAAGTTGAGATATGGCAAGAGTGGTTGGATGTTCGGTATCACACAGCTTAAGTGCAAAAGGCTTGAAGGCCTCCAGGGGCTGCTCTTGGGCGAAGTGAAAGAAGGCCTGCACGACTGCATCCGTTGCAATTGGCCAACATCATCCCATAGCCTGCTCCGATACCCGTTGCTTTCACTGATCTGCTTTGAAAGAACAAGTTCGTGGGTAGATGACATTATGGTTTCCAGACAGAGGGGGGTCAGCAACTTGTGAAAGTCATGATATGCTCCACATTCTTGCACCAGCCGCTGCTGTTGATGCCGTTTTTGCAGTTACCCACTGGCCTGCTATACTGAGTGCCACTGCGTCACCTATTTGCGATCCGCTGATCGTCGCAGTGCCGCTTGCCTGCATGAACGCAAAGAAGCATGAGCTGTGCTGGTGCGTGTCTGCTAACAGCTAAGTGCGCGATTTAATGTCTTTTTCGTTGACTCTCATGCCTTGGCGTGGAATTTGAAGAAGAAGATGTCGTTCAGAGGTGCTGCCGCCCTAAGCAAGTGCGACCGACTTGCAGTGTTCACCATCCTGCCACACATTGAGCACAGAAACGCCTGTTATGATGGCAACACCCGCTTGCCACATTTAAATCATTGTGCATTGTGCATTGAAGAATTCTGTCTCTTTCATCGCTTTTCGGCCTGACGCAGGTCCTGCAGACAGGCTTTGTATTTCGGCATGGCAGAGTCGACTTGGTCTTTGATGTACTTTGTACCGTCTTCGGTGAATAGTTCTAGCTGTGCGGACATGAACTCGACCCGTAAAGCAGGAAGGTCGATTGGCTTGCCGTTGATGTTCTTAACATCTTCGCCTGTTATGGCCTTGAAGTTGCTGAACTCGATCTTTACGTTCATTATAGATTCTTGTAGTCGTTTCGTCACGTCTGGGGTGTTCATGTAGCTGTAAACACCTAGAATCTGTTCATGTTAATGCGGTGCTACGAAGTCAGAGGCAAGGATACATCTTATCGACCGCAGCACAGCCAAGTGGCGGTTTCAAGGAATTGAGCCATCTGATGCATCTTTGGCAATTGTTTGCCACTTCTTGAAACCAAAGGGGTTAATGTGAGACCACAGTTTTGCTTTCATGGAACTGACGCCCTCTCCGCAAAGAGCGAAATCGGCAACATTGGTTGTTGAACCCATGGCGTCAAAGATAAGATCATTGAGTGAAGAAGCTCAGGTCCACATGTTCTGAAAGTTTCTCCACGCTTTTCGTCCTGGGTCGTGACTCCACCGAGCTGCACTTCCGGGCTGCATGAGCCCGGAGCAACGTCAGCAGTGCCTGCGGAGGTTAGCACTTCGGGGGCAATGCCGAAGCGAGAACCAGGGCAGGAACAGCGGAGCCTTGGCAGGAGCGATACGTAGTGTCTTTTTCTTCGAGGACCGCAATGCTGACTCTGTCTCGCAGCAAATGCAAGCAGTGGGTTGACTCCGGCGAAGAAACAAAAAGATGGCTCAGCGCGAATTATGGCGATCATTTGGGTGGATGAAAGAACAGTGGACCATGTGCTTGCGATGGAGAGAACGCCAGGGAAAGGCGATCCCAGGGGCTTCATGTCCCTTGATCTCGTCTCCGTGAACGACGAGGAAGACGAGGTCGCTGTCGGTAGAGGATACCTAATCCGCCGAGCGAACTTGTTGATTGAAGACCCCGGATGGTGGATCGTGTACAGAGACGATGGAGATGTGTCATTGTCGCAGAGTTGTTATCTGCCTTCGTCTTGTGAGTTGAAGATGATGAGTGAGGGGTGAGGTGTGGGGTGAATCGAAGTTCTGCCAAGGCGCATGCAGGGTCGCCGGTCCGCGGGTCTCAGCTATCCCATATCGCAACCACGTCTCCGCGCTCTTGCTCTGCTTTGGCTCTTGTATCTTGGACTGCCCTGTCGATGGAGAGGCACCCGCTGCTGCTACAGGAAGCTGGATTCGCTGCGGGGTGGTGAACCGCCTGCAGCCCGTACAGGTACCCCAACTCCCGGGCCACATGCCACTTCGCTGCCACAGACATGCCGCCATAGCCCTGGGCATGTTCGCGCATTCACTGCGACCGCATGCACAACTATTGCGTCCCCTCTCTAATACGCGCTCAGGAACGCCTCTGCCCAGCGAGGGAGCTACATTGCCCACCATTCAGCCCACTCCGCCAAACAAAGGCGCGCCGTCGCACCCAGCTGCGCCCTCTCGGTGCGCGTCCGTCCCCAAGGCCAAGGGATACACACATGCGAGTGCCACTGCGAGCTCGAGCTCCTCGAACACCGACACCATCTCCGAGTTGACCTCGTCGTCGTCCCGGGACTCGCTCCCGGCTGCCCACGCGCCCGGCAGCAGCACCACCACCACCGGCAGCACCACCACCGGCAGCACCACCACCAGCACCACCAGTACTACCAGCACCACCAGCACCACCAGCACCACCAGCACCACCAGCACCACCACCACCCCGCAGAAGCAGACGCGCAGCTACAGACGCACCAAGTCGAGCAAGGCGGCTGCCAAATGGAGTGAAGCTGCTCCCCAGAACAAGACTCCGCAGAACGCTGCCCACCCCTCGCCCAACGGCACCTTACACCCGGCACAAGCGCGTTTAATGGCAACGGCTTTTGGCGGTCCCTCGGGTGATTCGCGACGGGGAGTGTCTTCTCCTCGCCCAAAAGGTCGCGGTATGAGTGAGCCAGCGTGGAGATGTGTATTAGGTCTAACGCCAGTGCAGAAGCCAAGAACACCTTTTGCCGCAATGTCACCATCTACGGACACTGTCGGTACGAGAACAGTAAGTGCCGGCCGCCGCACCTGCTGAACGCTGTGGTGACTCTGTCCAGCCTGTCCATACATCCACGACCACTCCAAGTTGAACCAGAATGAGAACGCCAAGAAGCGGTTCAACGTCGACTCGCCCTCCTTCACACCCCTGCAGGCAAGCACGAATGGATCTGTGACGCCCTCCTCGCGCAGCGCGGCCATCTCGCCCAAGGCTGCGAATGCTGCTGTCTTCACACCCAAGTCGCAGCGCTCTAGTGAGTCCTGCATGCCTGTATGGCGCCTTTCGTATGCTGACTTCATAAGCCGTAAGCACGCCCAGCCTGCATACAAAGGAGCCCTCAACCGAGTGGCAGGCGCAGGACTTCCAGGAGTTCGTCCCTCAAACGTTCGACGGTCAGATGGTGCGTACTCATCCACTATATCGTTCCTCGTGCCGCTGTTCTGATCCCCGGGCCGCACCACCCGTCACTTTTCTTGAACAAGTGATTGGCGCTGCAGCAGCGTTGATGTGCAAACTAACGATTGCAGGTCGATCCAGCCTCGTCCAGCCTCAGTTTCGACCCATTCAACACGTCTTCAGGCATATCCACAATCGCTGCCTCAGCACCAGCTATCAATCCATATGCGCAGGACCCCTCAGGACTTGGCGGCGCATCCTACTACCAAAACGCCAACACTTTCCAGGCTTCGCCAGCATACCATCTTTACTGGCCGGTGGGGCCTCAGCCTACTGGGCTGCTTGCGTACCAGCGCACCGCCCACGATTTCTTCATTCCAGACAGTCTTCGGGAAGATCTGCAGAAGAAAGCGGAAATAGCACGTCAGATCCTTCCCAACACCTCCTTACCACATATTGAGCAGTACCACTCCCTATTTTGCCTCGACACATCTCCGCAAAGGAACAATGCTCCCTTCGGCTACGCGAGCTGGATCTACAAAGCCATCTCCAGCAAAGACGGCAAGACATACGCCTTACGTCGTCTCGAGAACTTTCGTCTAACGAACGAGACTGCAATGCGTTCGTTTCAACCATGGAAGCGGATACTGAATGGCAGCGTGGTCACAATCCATGAAGCGTTCACGACAAGAGCTTTCGGCGACAGCTCTTTGATCATGGTGACTGACTACCACCCCAACGCCAAATCGCTCGCAGATGAGCATTTCAAACCGGTGCCACGCTACCATGGCAGACAGGCAGCGTCATCACACGTATCCGAACAGACATTATGGGGCTATCTCGTCCAGATCGGCTCAGCGCTGAAAGCTGTACATGGTGCAGGCTTGGCTGCAAGGCTGATTACCCCATCTAAGATACTTCTGACCTCGAAGAACCGCATACGACTCAATGCATGCGGCATCATGGACGTTGTGCACTTTGACACCGCACGCCCCATAGCTGATGCACAAGCCGACGACCTCCTCCAGCTTGGCCGACTTGTTCTGTGCATCGCTAACAACAGCCCACAAGCGCACATGAACATGCAGAAATCCATGGACTACATATCAAGAAGCTACACAGGTCGTCTGAAGGAATGCATCCAGTACCTTCTCAGCCCGCAGCCCCAACCAGGCGCTCCCTCGTCACCTACCTCTCCCAACGTACAGAAGGACATTGATACTTTCCTCGGCGGCATTGCCGATCAATTCGCGTCTGTCTTTGACTCGGAGCTCCACGCGCAGGATACACTTACCAACACGCTCGGCCGCGAGTTGGAGTCGAGTCGCATTGTCCGCCTCCTCGTCAAGCTCAACATGATCAACGAGCGCCCAGAACTTGACGCCTCCCAACATGTGCCCGGAAGTACAGCAGCAAACCCTAGCTCTGGATGGGCAGAGACAGGGGAGCGTTACTATCTGAAACTCTTCCGCGACTATGTCTTCCATCAGGTAGACGCGAACGGGCATCCAGTCACTGATCTGGCGCATGTGCTTGACTGCCTGAACAAGCTGGACGCCGGGACGGACGAGAAGATCATGTTAACGAGCAGAGATGAGCAGAATGTTCTCATTGTGAGCTATCGCGAGGTGAAGAGGGGGCTAGAGTCGGCGTTCCAGGACTTGGTCAGAGCGGGACGAGCAAGCAAGAACTAAGAGCCTCTAATCCAGCAAATGCTACTTGGCAGCCTGGATCTGAGTTCGTGGTGCTGCAGATGCGAAATGTATGAGCGCGGATCGCCAAAGCAGAACGGGGAAAGAGAGAAGAAGAAACGACAAGAGTAAGAGGCAAAAAAGACAGGGAGAAGCGGAGGAAAGACAATGAACGGGACCGTGACGGCAGGAATGGGTTCCAAGATAAGGATGATGGCAAGGACTTGCTGTTATGCTGGCTGATGATGATGTTGGGATCAAGTAGGGATGATGAAATGAGATGAGGAAGGAGTAGCGTACACATCCATAATGCTATCAACAACGCTTCAACATTCATAATCATGTCCTTTTCAGTAAAGAACAAAGTCTGATGAATGCTAAGGTTGTAGCTTTACAGACGATGCACTCAAGCTGTACTCACAAAGCAGCCTCTGAAGAAGTTCATCTCTAGCTGTTGATCCTGTTGCAGGCGGCAGTCTCAAAACTGCAGCCTGGAAGTAGTCAGACGTTTGGCAGCACGGAGCGAAAGTCTTTGATTCGATGCTATCTCGGCTGTTGAAAACCATGTACAGTAAGTAACCCACGCTAAATCAAACAACAACAACAACAACAACAACATCGGTCGATACTTGACAGGTATCGGGGGATAAAAACGCCTTATGATGCTCTGCACTCCTCCACACCCACTTACTGCTCCTCCTCCTCCTCCTCCTCCTCCTCGTCCTCAGACTCGTCATCCCCGCCTATCCGCTCGACGATCAGATTCCCACTCCGCCCGATGCGCTCCTTGACTGTCCCGCCGGCGCTTAGCTCGTAGACTTCCCGCGGCATGGGCGAGACGAGCTGGAATGTGTATGCGTGCGAGAAGTGGGCTGGCTCTTGCACGGCTCCGGTGTCCTCGCCGGACTGGAGCACGTGGTAGCACTCGACAAAGGCATACAGATCCTCCATCTGCGCGTCGGCAGCAAATCTCCGCACCACGCGCTCCGCATTCGGCATCCGCAACGAGATGCGAACAACGTCCTTGACGTCCGGTCCCGGTTCGCGCGGAAGAGAGGCGGCGCGCCATTTCTTCCACTGCGCAAGCTGGTTTGCATGCCGCTCCGCGGCTTCCTCAGCTGCCCTCGCAGCTACTTCAGCAGCCGCGGCGGCTTCGGCGGCTTCCTTCTTCTTCCTCGCGCGCTCACGATCGGTGGCCAGGCTGCGCTCGTACGCACTATCTTGCTGTTCGCGAATGTTCCTGGTAGCGTTCTGCTCCGCCCGCTGCGCTCTCACGCGGTTCAGCGGTTCCGAGTGCGTCGCCATTGCGGAGCGCAGTTTGGCGATGTACTGGGAGGGTGGCATGAGCCCGGATAGTCGGGCGGCGATGCCCATGGCGGAGCTGCTGACGGAGGGGGTGTGGACTATGAGGCCGGAGAAGGGGAACTTGGTGCAGTTCAGCGCGGTGGAGACGCTGTAGGCTTCGCTGTCGCTCACGCTGCCGGCCCAGAGCAGTATGTTGTTGGCAGGATCGCGGATGAAAGTCACCACCTCGGGCGAGAGGAGGGTGTCGCGGAGGAAGGAGGGCGTGAGATCGTGCTCAGGCGAAACGAGGACGACGAGCAGGAATTTGAGGCCTTTCTTCGCCAGATCGAACGCGCTTGCGTACCCGCCCTCGTGGAACGGCAACTCATTCGGCCCATAGTCTTCCTCGAGTTCCCGCACGAAGCGCGCTGCCGTGTCGCGCGGGTTCAGCGGGCGCCGGCCAGCAGACGGGCGCGAGGGCGGGTGCCGGATGTTGGATGCTGTGAGGCGGCCCCAAGTGCGCGGGACGAAGGGGAAGAGGTAGCCCATGAAACGAAAGTATTTCGCGAGTAGCGAGTAGAGAAGCGATACGGGCGCCCAGAGCAGCGTGAAGACGAGCGGCGCTTGCATGTTGACCTGACTCTCTGGCTGCGGGACCACTCTCGGCGCGGGCTCGACGCCGACTCTCCTCCCACTGCTCATCGATGACCGCGGCGAGCCGAGGCCGTTCATCAGCGTTTCCTGCCGCCGCACGTCTTGCGGCGCGGGCTGGGCTGCTGCGGCGGCGGGCTCGCCATCGAAGAAGCGCGCAATGGCGATTTGCACGTTCCACTGGCATCGCTCGAGGAGCGGGACGGCGTCTTGGAGGGCCTGGTCGGTCACGGCGGTGAATTGCTGGAGGGCGAGTTGTTGGTCGGCGGAGAGCGCGGCGATGTCGACTTCATCCGCCATAGTGGTGGGGAGCTTGGGAGCTTGGGAGCTTGGGTGCTTGGGTGCTTGGGTGCTCGAAAGTGCTCTGTTCGTCGAGTGCTCTGTTGGTCGAGCGCTCTGTTTGTCGGGTGCTTCTCTTGGATCTCAAAGGTCTCTTTAGTCTGGAGTACGTGTGCACGATGCGCGAAGAGCAGTTCGGCGGTCTGGTGTTCGGAAAGGACAGTGTGGCCTCGCGTGGTTGTGTGGTTGATAAGTTGTTGACTGCCTGGCCTCAACGTCACTGGTCGAAGCTCGGAGCTGCAAGTTGAGGCTCGCCCTCGGCCCGCCACCACGCGACGCTAGCACCGATCCAAGCACCCGATATCTGGGGAAAGTGAACCCCGTTCCCAACGTCATGTCGTGCATGTGCTGATCTTTCGCGCTTCGAGGCTTGGACTTCCGTGTTGGGTGCCTCGCGTCGAGCAGTCTCGTCGAGCAGACCCGAACCGTGCCCGTGATCTGGAGCGCCTCAGGGGAACGGCTCGCGAAAATCATCACCCAGTCCTGCATCATGTCTGTCTACATTCCAGCGTTGACAGCCCGCAAAGCCTCTCGACCTCTCGACGATCCGATAGCTTCACTCATCCACCGCCTTCACACAATGGTGGCGAGTCTCCCCCCCCCCCCCCACCCCCCCGCAACGCCTCGGTATCACAACATGCATCCTCACATCAATCCGGAAGAACCCAATGCCATGGGCATCTGCAAGTGCTATCCTCGCTTACTGCATGGACGTCTGACAGGTACCGATGACTAGGACAGGCTTCGAGGTAGCGTTCTGAGGTTGCTTTTGTGTCAGGACCGAAGACTTGTGGCATGTCGTTCATGCACGAAAGCGGGTTCTCACATCACCTTGCTAGCGGGTCGAGCATGTAGTCGCAGAACTCCGAGTCGATTGAGACTATAATGTAAAAAGCATATAATGGCTGCAGGCGACCAAGCTCTCCCCAGATGGTAGCCAAGACACCCGTTGCAATGGCCCCAGTTGGGACGTTGAAGTATATAAATCCAAGCCATGCCACATCCATGTCCGCCGGCGGTGGTCCGCAGTTGGACAGTCCGCTTCCCCTTGTCGGTCCAAACCAATGTAAGATGACGGTTATGCCAATGTCACAGTCTCTCCCAGAAGGCTCAATGAGGGTATACCACAGCTGAATGAAGCACCATGCCTGACACGTTCCGAGGCAGGCGGTGTCGACTGCAGTACTCCCCACTGGAATCATTCAAACGCACGGTTGCCGGCATAGACTCTTGGTAGCGAGAGGCAGTGGCGCTAACAGGGTAATGGTCGATGGAGAAATGATAGCGAGCAGCCGATCAAAGCCGCAGCTGGGTTCGATCAACCGCCCTGGCCGTTGGGTGGATTGCGGCCCCAGGAGCTCTGGGCCTTGTCCTGGTAGGAGCTGAACATCAGCGGGCTGGCCATACGCACATCGTGAGCATAGCCGTTCTGAAAGCCGTTGTAGCTGCTGCCAGAGAATGATCCCCACGTACCGCTGCTGGCGTTCGGGTTTCCCCAAGCAGCGCCACTTCCGAGTCCACCACTAATAGGCCGAGAAGCCCTGACGGTAGTCGGCGTCGTAGCATCGGTGCTCAAATGCGAGTTGGCAGATTCACCGCGAACGTGGCCGGACATGCCGGAAGAGCCGATACCGATCATTGGGGTCCGTCGAGCGTCGAACCCGTTCCCATTCATCATCGCTGGCGAAGAGGGGTTTGGCGAGCCGTGCATTCCAGTAGCCCAAATCGAGTTCTGATTCCACTGTCCATCGGGAAGAGAGGGTAGGTGCGCAGGCCCGCGGATGGACGAAGTGGAGCCGGTCCTCTGCATAGACGCCGAAAGCATAGCGGCGCCTGGAGCCGGAGACAAAGGCTTGTAGTTCTTGACCGAGTTCACCAAGTCGCTAATGGAGAACGGCGCCGGGGCATAGGTGTTATCGTTGACCACCGCGGTGTCCTCGAAAGTCTGTTCAGGCGGTGTTGGCGGCATGTTCTCGTCTTCCTCGGGCAGGGGGTCCAAACCGTCATCAGCGCCGACCAGATCATCGACCATAGAGCGCATCGCCGTGTCCTTGGCGACGGTGGTTGAAGCAGACTCAGACGCCGCAGCAACGCCAAACGACGTCTGGTCGTCAGAAATGGGCGCTGTAGAAGGGAACAGTGGCATGTCCACAGCGCGCGGCGAAAGCACGGGTGAACCATCTGGGCGCGGGTTGGGGCTTGCGAGCAGCTCGGATGGCAGGCCTTCCTCGCGGTAGATGAAGCGTGTGCCGGCCAGGTCCAAGGGCGCATCTGCGTTCTGGGTCAGAAGCAGACCGTCGATCAACAGGTCCTTGATGCGCATGAGCATCTCCACGTTAGGGTGGTTCCTCTCAACCTCTGTCCACTTGGGCTTCAGCGCCTCGCCGTTGTACCAGACCTTCATGGTGTCCGGTGACATCAACGGCTGGAAGCCAATGGTGTCGGTATCCTCCTCCAGCATGTAGTTCTCTCGCGGCAGTTGATCGACCGGGAAGCTCGAGGTCAGAAGCGTCAGAGTCGCAGCGTACGCCTTCCACAGCTCTTGCACGTCGACAGTGGTCAAGGTGTCAGCGATGTTAGCGTTCAGCACCTGCCAGTAGCGTGCGAACCAAGTGCTGTAGAGGCGAAGCCCAGGGAGGATGCGGCGGGCAACGGCGGTGATCTTATCGGACAGCTGTCGTGCACTGTCGCCGTTCTGGTGGGTAACATCGTCTGCTTCGGAGAGCCGCTCGAGCTCGGGCTGCAGTACTTGTAGGAGGATGAAGAAGGTTTTGACGTTCAGTCGGAGGAAGTAGAAATAGGTGCGCATGATATGCTCGGGCGGGTTGGCGGCCTGCATCTGGACGGTCGCGAAGTACTCAGCTGCGAGGTTGATGAGTACGATCTTGGGTAGGATGGAATCCAAGGGACGCTCCTTGAGCTCGATGGCGAGCTGACTGAGCACCTCGCCCTCCAACTCATCGTGTGCAGCAAACTCCTCGCCCTTGTAGATCTTGCTGTGCAGTCTGACGAACCAAGCGACAAGGGCGCGACCTGTGTTGCCGTCGGCAGATTTGTGGTTGCTGATCAGCTGACCCTTGTCCCAGGCTGCAATGATGCGCCTGAACTCGGTCTCCAAGTTCGACTTGGCCTGCGGGTACGGCAGCTTGCATGCGAGCGAGCGGTAGAGGTGGTACACAGAGCGGAAGTGGTCGCCGTCCTCGCGCGAGACGACGGCAAGCTGGTTGTGTGCGTGGCCAGAGTCTGGGTATATTTCGGCGGCGAGGTCGTAGTAGCCTTTGGCAGGGCCCCAGTTGCGCTCCTTGTCCTTGTCGACAAGCTCGGTTTCGCGGTAGCGGGAGAGGTCCCCGAGGTGGATCAGCGTCTGGTGGCAGCACTGGAAGACGTTGTTCCTGAGAGACGCGGCTATGGGCGGGCGCGGGGACGTCTTGGAAGCTGGGGTCGTGTGAGCAGCGGCATAGTCGGTACCGAGGGTCCACGCACCATCATCCTTCCACTTCTGGGCAATCTTGCGCAGCTCTGGGATGCCGTCGAAGTGGGCATCGAGGTTCAGAATGTACTGGCGGTAGTAGCGCTGACTTGCCTTGATGAAGTGGAGGTAGTTCTTCTGGAATTTCCTAATTTCCACGACATGGTCCTGGGAGCGCTTGAGCTGTGCCGTGTTAGTTTGCTGCCGTGTCCGCAGTGCTGGTGAACGCACAATCTTATGCTCCTGCCTGAAGATGGTGTTGACCTTCAGGTGCGCCGCCCAGAGCTTCTGCTCGACATCGTTGGCCGAGGCATACTCGAAATTGGCAAAGGTCAGGCTCTCGCAGGCAGCCCGGTACCTGGCAGATATTAGCAATCGCCGCAGCATGGCGTTGGTGTGTCCCACTCTTGGAGCACAGCAGCTAGCTCTGCGCACGATGCCTGGCCATCGCTGCGCTTGTAGAGTTCTTGCTCGATCGCCTTGGCCCGCCTGTAGTACAAAGTAGTCAGCATCCTGCTGGCGGGAGTGCATCGTCCAGCGCGCACCTGTCTAGCTGTTCAGTGTTTGCGGCCATGCCTTCCTGGTGCATGCGCCGTCGAAGTTCATATGTGACCCCACGGTCGGCCGGGAGGTCAGACAAAGGCACGGAGCACGGAATGGCGTTCGTAGTGGCGGGCGTGTTCCATTGAGATCCGGTGGTATGCCCTGGGGTGAGGACAGACAGCGAGCGGGGAGGGCGGCAGCGGCAAACGGGCACCCAGGACGCGCGTGGGAGCGTCTGAGTGTGCGGCGATGTCGGGGTGCGAGCTGTGCTAAGGCAGACTTGTGAGTCGAGGAAGTCGTTGGATTCACTTCCGCGCGCCAGCTGCAAGGGTCCACTCGAGTGATTTCACTGCAGCCCCACTTGTACCTCCCCACTACCACACCTCAGCCTTCGCGCAGACATCATCGCGGCGTCAATCCAGATAGCGTCTGGGGAGGAACACCATCGGCTGACAAAGGTACTGCCCCCTTTCATAGCCTCACAGCAACATCCACTGCCAACGCACATGATGGGAGTCAAACGCTCACGCAGAGACTCCTTGTCGTCTTCAGAAGACCCCAGCAGTCCCTTCTCGCGCGAGCAGTCTGTCGATGTCAAGCTTGTACACCTGGATACAAAGTCTGCAGTGTCTGAGCAGCCAGCGGTCATGAAGTGCTTGCTGCCCCCACACGAGCCACTTGCCTTTACATCTTTCGAGGAGTATGACGTGCACTACCAGAAGACGCACATGAACAGATGCTCTGAATGCCACAAGAACTTTCCTGATGAGCACATTCTGCACCTGCATATCTCAGAAAACCATGACCCCTTCATTGCTGCCAAACGAGATAGAGGCGAACAAACGGTAGGTACATAGTTTTAGCACGTCCAAGTAGGGGGCCTTGGAGGAGAAGGCGGCACAGAGTGTATGTCTCCAACTGCACACATCACAGGACGTGCAGCGACGAGTAACTGACTGATTCACAGTATGCCTGTCTTGTCCCAACATGCGACCGTCTATGCAGCACGGCGCCCAAGCGTCGCATGCACTGTATAGGCAAACATCACTTTCCAAAGACCTATGACTTCTTCATCATCAACGATGGCATCGACCGCCGGAACAGCATGTTACGGCCCAGCCACCGGAGACGATCAAGCACCACAGCGTCGAACCCTGGCAGACGGAGAGGAGAGTCATTTGCTAGCGCTGCTGGTGATCGCATGGACGTGGTGCAGGACGAGGGTGGAGACCAGGCGAACCACCAGCAACAGCGCGAGTCAAGGTCTTCACACGTCAAGCTGCGTGGTCGCGGTGGGTTCAGCCATCCCCAAGGAACTGGACGTGGCCGTGGAAGCGAGGGTCAAGCAGCACTCGGCTCAACAATAACGAACGCTGACCCTGTCGACAACCTGGCCTCCAGCATGTCGGCGTTGCACTTCGTTCCGCACAGCGTACGCATGGCGAGAGGTAGAGGGCGTGGGAGAGGCGGATAACGGCAGCTCAAAATTATACGATGCACCTTGTCTGAAGGACTCGCTACTACCTGGACCACATAATCAAATGGGTATTCAAACGTAGCACAACGGGTCCTCCATGGAGTCAGCGTCCCTTTCTTGCCCGTTCAAGCGATGCATTCCTACCTTCCCATAGGTGAAGCTACCACGTGGCAATGTCAACATTCCATTCGGGAGCTTCCGCCCAGCCAGTCAGTGTCTCCAAAACAAAACATTTGCTCGCATTCGCGAGCAGTCTTCCGCAATCAGTCTTGTCGCGGGCCACGGTGCGTTACCCAGGCTGTGTACTGACGAATCATGGTTCCCGCCCACAGTTTCTACACCACAATGCCGTTCGCACTGCAATGTCTTTGCGCGCAACATCTTGATTACTTGAGTCTTCAAAAGTTCAAAAGTGAAGGGGGCTCGCCTGTTGCCATGCCACGCGATAACCCGTGTTTACGCTGCTCCTCACCATCGCCGTTTGCCTGCACAGTCAAAATTCACGTCTGCATGCTATGGCTCACAACAACCATGCAGAAACCGGCCGTCGTTCGTCGCACTATCGTTATCGAACTACTTCGACGACTGGACCAGATGGAAGCTCGCAGGCGTCGCTCGCGGTCCACGCCTCCGACTCAACGTCGCTTCGCAGACTTGGTGCAAGAAGACATTGGGTTCAAATCGACACGCTTCCGTTCGAAAAGTCACTGGCCGAGCACTCCTACGACAAAACCACAGTTTCGGCTGCCCAAGCAGGATGCTTGTCTAGGAGCAACGACAAGTCCTGTGGTTACGCCGAACAACTCTGACAGCTCACAAGGTACTGACCACAATAGACCTATAACACTCGTTGCATCCGTGCTTAAGACGAACCAAGAGCCGGTCTGGACTGGCTCTGTGCATTCGTCCAACCCTCGAGACGTCTTGCCCCTTACCTCCACAGATGTACGAGAGCTGAACAGACTCAGCCTACAAGCAGAGCACAATGAGCGAGAAGCCTCCGCCGCTGCAGGAGCAGATCTGACGCCACCAGCGTCGCCCTCCAAGGAAGCCAAGATACCAGACATGAGAGATGGCGCGCACAAGTCGACAGTCGAGCCTGGAGGTAGACAGCGCACAATCGCGCGAGGGATATCAAGAACCGTGGCACCGCAACCCGACGATGATCTCGATTCTGATCTCGATTCTGATCGTACACCACCGCTGTCCGATTTAGAGTCATCAGGCTCCGACACCAAATTCTGTCGGTCGCCAACCCAGCTGTCTGGCAGGATGGCTGCCGACTTGGAGGGCGATACAGTGGAAGGCGCTCAGGAGGATGACTTCGATAGCCCGGACCGCACCCTTGTCAGTACCACCAAGGAGGTATTCAGTGATATCAACGAGCCTCACATTTCCAAGAACTTCTTGGTCGAGTCTGAAGTCAGCGCTAGATGGAAGACATCATCAGCAACGCTTCGGGCGCGAAGCAAGACCAATGGAGGGTTGTTGGAGCTCAGAGCGAGTGCTACAAAGCCGAAAGACCCTATAGCTACCCGAATTCACCGGCGCAACGTGTCTATAAACCTCCCAATCCGGCCGATCTCTTTTCAGCCTGGAAGCACTCAACGTTTTCAACCTCATTCGTCTGCCCCGAGCGCGCTTACGCCAAAAACCCGCACTGATGAGACGAGCCCAGCCACACAGATCGAGGTAGAGCTGCAGTACAAACGTCGCCATATATTCGTTGGAACGGCCTCGTTGTATGGCTTTCTTGAGATACTCGAGACCTCCACGCTAGGCTCGACATCGAAGGGAGCGGTCATGAGAGCTTTCACGATCCTTGCGTCGAACGAGCAGCTGATGGCGCGCCGGAGTTCGTCAAGCCCACAGGACTGGAATCTTATCACTCGGACCACGGCCGACATTTCAGAGTTTGACTACATTACTCTGGCTCGAATACAATTGGGATCGATCTCACTGCAACAATTTGTAGACTCCATACCGTTCAATACCCACGACGAAGCGCCAACAGTGGTGGTCGCGGAGGCATTCAAGAATGCCAGCCACATGGATGCTGAAGAGGGTCGTAATGCTGGGAGTAAGGCACGTGCATTTAGAGCGTGGTTGCAGTCTCAAAGCGGCACCGTGGAGTAATTCAAAGGATTCAATGTTGGGTACCGACACAGTTTGTGTTTGTTTTCCTTGTTGTCGAGACTTTTCGTTGAGATGCGCTGACCTTTATTGTGGATGTGACATCCTCTGGGGTCTTGCTTTCTTTCTTGTCCGGCCACCTAGTCTGTTCTATCTCAGTTAAGCTATATACCCATCTGTTACCCCATACACTATATAATGCACCCCTCATTGGCCGTCACCTCGTCGTCACTCTTTTCTTGGTTCACTCACGTATGCACAGTGCAGCAGATCGAGTCTTCACTGTCGTCCACGATGTCAGTCGGCGACTTCATGTCCTCTGTTCTGGGTAGGAAACGATGCCCGTGAAAGATGGGGACTGCCTATGCGCATGATCACCTTTCCACTGTTCGGCCGGGCCCGCCAGACACGCTCACCATATTTTTGACGACCGACCTCCAGCCAACAACAACCACAGACTGACTCCATCATCACACCGCGTCAACCTTAGACTACTATCATGCCCACCCCTGCGGCTAAGGGATCAGCTTCCGTCCCACCGTCAGCAAAATCAGTCACGATGGAACCTACCCAACTCGAGTTCAAGCGTCCTGTTGGCAACAACGCTCGTCGCCAAGGACAGTTTGCCCATCTGTCCGCGAACGTCGACTTGAACTTCGGTACGTAAAGTCAGGGGCACTTCACCTTCGGTGGCTCGGGCACTGTGCCTCCGAATCTTCACGCCAAAGGCAACTTTTCTATCCCGCGCACCAGTGGCATCATCGACAACGTCAGCTTCCACTTGGCAAGACCAGACCCGCGATTACATCGCTGTCAACTTCCCGAATATGCCTCCGGACGAAAAGGCGGAACATTCTTATCGCCAGGAAGAAAAAGTTTCTCTGGTATCTTCTCCAAACGCTGGAACCACTTGGCTTTTCCAAAGACGGACTGGCAGAACCACCGGATCTGGTTCATTGCGAGCTTCTATACGACACTTTTAAGATCTTTTTGGACGGCGTTGAGAAAGAGTGCAAGGCTTGCGATGTTGTAATGCTTGTCAAGAGGAAGCCAGCTCCGTACCGCTATAATTCGTCGATATTTCCTAGAAATGCGGAGGCGGCAATCACAATTCCCACAAACACGAACACGCAAGAGGAAGATACGTACCTCAAGAACCACTGGGAGCCATTCAAGTCCTTGAAGAAACGCCAAATTCCAGTCACTACGTACGTGAAGTGGCTGATATTCGAAAACACCGCACTGCCGGGTGTGCTCTTCAGCGACACCAACATACACGAGCAGGTGGCAGAGTTCGCGAAAGACGTCTTCAATTCTGCGCTGGTGCTTCTGAAGTCTAGTAACATCGACATTGGTGCGATGTTAGACATGGATGATGCCGAGTATGGAGATGAAATACAGTTCACCATCTTCCCGGGCGACGGCGTGTGGACGAGATCGCTCAAGGTCATCGCAGAGCTTGAGACAACTGAGGCAGCAAAGGACGAGGCAATAGATGCTCAGCAAGGTGCAGCATCCGAAGCTGAACTGTTTAATTCCTCCGCGGAACCTCAGCACTGTTAATACCACGATCCATTTTGAACCGGCAATCTACACGATTGAGGGCGAAGAAACTGTCGACTTCCTCCCACCTCTCAATCCTACAGTTTTCAGCCGCTTTGTTTCCATCGGGCCCATTAACTTCGCACAAGCACGATCCCTCTACCCATAGAGTCGTTTGGGGAGGGGGGGAGGTCAGGCACAGAAAACAGACCCCTGATATCAATATGAATCAGGACCTGCAGTGCGACACGAGCCTCAGCCACCGCTCATATGTAAAACGCCCAACACGAAGCATGAAAAGCAAAGCCCTGAGATCAAAGTGCCCCAGGATATGCAGTACAGAGAGTGCTATCTCGGTCTCCCAGTTAGAAAACCTCTACCTGCTCAGCACGGCTCTCGCATATTCTTCCGCGCCTTGACTTGCTTGAGTTTGAGTTGGCGCAGGAAAGAGATATGCAGTTGAGACTGCGGGCAAGAGAAGTAAGTCTCAAAGACCGAAGCGAGAGCCTGGAGTGGATCGACGTGATATAGATGCGAGGAAAAGTCCCATTAAGATGTGTCCGACGAACAACGAAATGGTCTGGAGGCCTCCGGTAACGAGAAGCCAGATAGAAGCAAGAAATGTTGCTATGCTGATAGATACTACATACATGGTCTCGTGAATGAAAGTCCGTAAACATGGGGCACTCTGTGGTGTTGACATGTTGTTATTTCCGTGTGCTATTCTGACCTATGCTGTATGGCATGTGCTGATTCGCAGACGAAAGATGGCTGAGCAGAATTGAAGGTGTTGACGGGCTGCAGAAGGCTCGAGCGAGGCATCGCTCCTGAGATAGGCAAAACTTTAACCTCTTTAGGTCCGAGCCCACCTTTGCGCAGGGACGCTCGTTCCGCTCATGGCTCCTTCTCCAACTTACGTCTTTGGTTGTAAGGAACTACGACACACTCCTTCGTTCTTGCAGTAATGATCGCGTTTGCTTGTCGTTAGAATCGTCCACGTGCAACTTGAGAATGTGCCTTCACTACCCATCGAGGAAGACGTTTGAAGTCACGAGTGAAGATGTCGATACACCGTGATACATCCGCGAAAGCAGCTTGATAGTATATTTTAATGCTACTGGATATGCATTTGCCACTGATATAGATTGACGCAAACATCGCGGGGCCACAGAAGTAGAACCGCATGGCCATAGCGTGATCCACCAGGGCGGTGCCATGTATAGATAACGCTAATAAGCTAGAGTCATATTCTCCATCGTCTTCGCCAACGCCTGCGTATCTGCAGTAGCCATGTTAGCAAGCAAAGAAACCAGAAAGACCGTCAACGGCACAACTAACTCGCAGACTCCGTCGCAGTGTCAACTCTATCTGAGCGCTGCACTTTGCCCGTGAATCTGCCTGTACCGCCGCTCAGTAGACCATCGAACTCCACAGCCCGCGCGGCCTCAGCGTCTTCCCAGCCATGCTTCAGATTCCACCCAGCGTTCAGCGCAGCGAGCTCGCTGAGATCGACCTCCTGGATGATTTCGCCGAGGAAGGGCCACTTAGAGCTCAGCATCGCCGGCGACAGCGCGTTGTAGCGTTTCGTGAAGATGGGGTTGCGTAGTGCAGCTACGAAGCCGTTCCCTGCTTCGATGGCGGTTTGGTCGACCCCGAGGCCGAAGTGGGGTAGCTTTGCATAGCCGCAGGACTTGAAAGAAATTGATGTGAGGGAAGTGGTGCGGTTGCGGTCGGCTTGGGAGTGTGGGGAGTCGAAGTCGGATAGGTTGGTGCCGGGGGAGATTTGGTCGATGATGTCCATCCACGAGCCTTCGCGGGGTCGCGTTTTAAGCACAGAGTTGGCGCTACCGGTGGCATTGTTTGTGGGAGCAGCGGCAGGTGCATTTTGATTCGCCATTGCGTGTTGCAGGAAGTTAACTTGAGTAGCAGGGTGGTTGAGATGCATCATTTGGGCGACATTGTGCTGCTGCTGAGCTTGCTGATTTTGCTGCAATGGATTCTGTGTGAAAGGCAATACATGGCCTTGTGGCTGCTGTGGAGTCGGAGCCTGGGCGTTCTGCAATTGCTGTTGTAACTGAGCCTGTAAAGCATGAATGTGGTGCTGTTGCTGCATGCCACCACCATTGGCTTGCATGTTCTGAAGCTGAACAATCAGTGTCTGAATGTACATATTCAGCACTTGATTGTTCACCGGTTGGTGGTTCCCTGGAGCTACATTACCGCCAAAATTGTTGTTGGCGTGTGCCCACAATGCTCCTGCCATCTGCTGAGCCACAGCAGCGTTTTGCGGAATGGGCTGCTGGGCGGCATGCGCAGCTTGCGCATTTCCGTGGGGTCGTAGTATAGCTGTCAATGATACAGAATCCAGAGTCAAATGTTTGAGAGCACATCCATCGTGAACCTTAACAAATTGCACAAGGGCAGCTGGAGTGATCCAGCAATTACGCACTGTCAGCTCTTCCAGATGTGGGAGGCGTAACAGAGCTTGTCGAAGCGTGCTGGCTTCTTGCACCGTAGCTGTCTCAATCGGTAGAAGCGTGGGATCTGCATGTACACGAGCTTTTAGCGGCAGTAATGGTGCTGGCATCAGGAGCTTGTTTCTCGCGTGCAATCCTTCTGCATGCTCGCCACCTGCGGTAAACCCGATCGTCAACTTGGTGATCTCGGATCTTCGAGCTACCTGAGCTTGCAGAAGCGCGCAGAAAGTGTCGATTTGACCTGTCGGATCCACTCTCGGTGTATCGACAAAGCCAGCTTCATCCTTTTCCACTGTCCTCCAACCTGGCACGACCATCAAGGTAACATCTTTCAGGCTAGGTAACGAACTCCAAAAGTCTGCACGATTTAGCATAGAGACGTAGCGGTCGGACAGGCTAGATATGTTGAGGGTATGTATTGATTCAAATGTGGTCCGATTGTCGATAATGGAGAGCATGTAGGAGGACAGGAATGCGCGTTGTGCCCACTCTGTTTCGAGAAGCCATTCTTTCTGAGCCTTAGACAAAGTGGCGGGTACGATGGGGCTCAAGACTTGCGCGGCGTCACTGTGTTGCAATGTTGTACTGGTAAACAACACGCCGGCATTGGCAGAAGACGACCCTAAGGCCTGCCGAACAAGCATATCAGGATCTTCGAGTGGTTGTGAAAGGACAGAGTCAGCGGCGTCATGAGGTGTAGCTTCGTGCGGAACGTGAGAGTCCAAAAATGGCAGGCTTGGTTGAGCCGCAGCCAGCAAATTAGCTTCTTGAGCTTCAGTCATAGGGCGCGCGCCTTCCAATCGGTAGAGCGATGCTGTGCGGATGTCTTCCCCTGCGCGAGCATGCATGAGTTCAATGTAATTCCAGAGCTCATGTTGGGCTTGCGTACGACGGTCTGGGACATTTTGTCGAGACCCAAATATACCGGGCGACGTTTGCAGGATACGTGCGCGTATTGACCGATCTGGACCATTTAGCCATCCGAGGCCACTGTCGGCAGAAAGCGCGAGTTCCTTGACTTTAGTGAGCTCTGAGAACGCGGTCTTCATCCGCGGCGTCTCATCAGCTGCAGACTCGAGACCAGCGACAGCATCAAACCGCCGATACTCCTCAAATGGCCATTCGTAGTTTCCCCAAAAGCTGGTCTTCTGTTCTGTGACAGATTTCAGAGGAGGTGCAGACAGAGAGTCCTCGTTCACCTCGAAGCTCATCCCATACCTGAGGATGTGTCTCCCGAACCCGCGAAAGACGTCAAGACCATGACCGTTGTATACTTCGTCGCCATTAGCGTTCTTCCACCAGTATTCTGGCCTGCTGATCTTTGCACGTTTTTTGCCCTTCCGATCGGGGGTCGGTTCTTGTCCCAGCATACCGTAGATCTCAGTGTTGAAGGGAACGACGGCTGTCTTGAAGGCAGCTTGTGAGGTGTAGTCGTTGAGCTCACGGCTAACCAGACGGAGAGATTTGATGTCATCTCGGTTGAGATGCTCAATGATCTGTTCCACAAGCTCGACAGGAAGCTGCCATAGCGGACGTCCGTTGCTGGGAGCGACTGGGGAACATGGATCTATTGGTTTCGGAGATTGCACACCCAAGACGCTCGTTTGTCCTCGAAGTTCATACCTACTCTGAGTAGCAACTTGTGGTCGTCCATTGAATGCATTGGCTTCAGGCGAGCTCCGGCTCACATCGATTACAGAGTAACGGGCGGGTAGCTTCGCTGTGTTGCGAAAATTGGGCCAAATGTCATTCGCCTCAGGATCCGGTTCCGCAGAATGATAGAGCATAGCGGTCACCGCACCATGTCTTTTCAGAGTGTTAAGCAGGTCTTTCCCATCGTCATGCTCAAATTTGTCTCTTGACCGTTTCGATGATCCGCCCATTGTGTGATATGACCGACCGAAGGAGTCTCCTGGACCTGCTCTCCAGCGCTCGAACATGTTCGCACCGCTCGCGTGGGCGGAACCGTAGCTGTCGAGGTTGTCAAGGGGATACACGGAAAGGTCAGCGTCCGTTTGTAGTCTTTGCGGTGCTGAAGCCTCTGGATGTGATACAGAAGTCCGCCGCCGTAGATGCGCACGGCGCAGAGAGCTGATAGTGTTATTCTGAAGTAGATTGTCTTCGAGTAGGCCGTCTTCCAAAGCTATCGAAAGGTCGATCTCGTACGGAGACAATTCAGGCGCGCCGTCCACCCCGAAGCTGTTTCTCGTGGGAGAAAGATCTCCACGCGAAGGCGAACCAACAGCTGAGTCTCTTCCTCTTCTTGGCTGGGTGTCGCGCGAGAACAAGCTGAACCTTCGGTCGCGGCCGCGTGAAGACGATTCAGAGTGAAGGGTAGCGTTAGTATTCGTGGTAGTTGCAGGCTCGATGGGCGCTGGTGCTGTCGAGGACGACGACGTCAGAATCGCATCGGCAGTGTCAGTGAAGGAGGGCTCGAGGCGTGGTCTTGTACTGCGGCGACGTGGAGGCTGTGGGCGCTGGCATTGTCAGTCTTGCGTACGACAGGTAAAAGGCAACTAGTTGGTGATATATGACAGCTGATTGGGCGATCAGAGCTCATGCCCTGATTCACCGCATATGGGACAGAGGCGGTCTACTGGACATGCTACGTGCCGTCTATGTGCCACACATACCTGGTTTGAAGCATTTGCTGCTGCCTCGTTATCGCACCCACCGCCTTCTTCGCGGTTTCGGTAGCTTCTCAGCGTTCTTCGCCGACTACTGCCTTGCTCTTGCGACGCAGGAGAGCTACTGTTGCCATTCATAGCGGATGGTGCAGGCTGAAGCACGCCGTCTGCTATATGCTCTCTGCTGAGTGGGTTTCAGCCTGCCGAACCATGGGACTGTGTAGCGTGGAGTTCCCAATGTCTGCATCAGGGAGGCATATGCAGTATTCTAGTTCTGGAGTACACCAGTAGCGAGAGACGTGGTGGCATTAAAGACGGTGAACCTGAAAGTGAAAGTAAATGTGAAGTGGAGCTCGAGTTGGCTGCGGCTCTGCTTGTGCAGCGTCGCAACTTCCCAAGCTTCCCCGCCATGACGCGGGGATCACCCCCCCCCCCCCGGTCCTCTGCGGAGGGATTCATTTGCACCTCGCCATCCATCACAGGAATCACCGCATGCATTGCTTCTATCTAGTTCTCTGACCGCGCGAGAAAAATGTTTCAGTCCGACACAAATAACTGTGTGTGAATGCCTGTGATGGTTCCAGCTACGGTACGACGGCGAGTCCAAGACCGCTCGTCCTCCGCGACTGCCTTCCAATGTGCACCCTGACCCAGAGAACAACAATGCCAACAGTGTCAACGCCAGCAACGTCAACAATACCCCTAGTGAAAGCGGCACAACTACAAGGTCAAAACACAGTTTTGCTTTCGTAGCATTATCGACGATTTGGGAGCGTTTGCAATCCTGAACTTCTAGGCAGCAACGTTACGAACTGCTTTTCTACGACCACCTTGGACGCCTAAAAACAACCACCATACGGTACTCTGCTTTACAAGATCACAACTGCGCTGTCACAACGACGTGCACCTAAATGCTAACAACAACCATGTCTACACTTCTAGCCATACCTCGAGAGCTGCGCGAAGAAATCCTTCATTACCTCACCCTGCCATCGACCGTCTATACATCTAGCGCCAAGGCCGATACCCACTCACTTCACCAAATTGGTTCTAGAAAGACTGAAGAGACATACGTCGATACGAGGATTTACCTACCTTCGCGGCCCCCAGCAAATGTGCTCTCTACATGCAGACAATTGCGACAAGAAGGCTTGGAGCACCACACTCATCTGCTCAACTCTTCTTCCGTGGTCGAGATCGAAGACTCCAAAGCTGAAGTAGCCAATAGTACAAAGGTAGCCGAAAGGTCTGGCACGGAATTTGACGAAGCGGCCGAACGAGCTGGTGATGATGGCGTGACTCTTCGCCTGACTCTGGAGGTTCAAAGAGCGCAGCGCGGTCCGTTTGGCTTCTCGGTACCCATTCGCGAAGAGCTATCGCCTCGTTTCCTAGCGCTGCTGCCCCTTATGAAGACAGCGCGCAAGCTGAAGCTGGTTGTCTGGCCAGCCTTTGACTGGTGGAACGGTCCGCCTCAAGTCTCGCCGTTGGAACAGTGGAGGCAACGAAAAGCCCTTCTCAAGCGTATCAATGCTTACCAAGTCGGTCATACCGAGCAGCCAAGCGAGGCTGAGTCCGCCAAAACGAGCGATACTGCTCAGCCAAGATTGGATGCTGTGTCTGTCGCTGTTGGGAAGATTCTAGCTCAGCTGCCAGCAGTCGAAGAGTTGGACCTCGGTGTCTTCATTGCAACTGGCGATCTGTTCAGATGGGACTTGCCAGACGTCAAATGGGAGAAGATTCAACCTTGGCTTGATGGTCCTATTACCAGAACCGGTGGTGTACAGTTGCGCAGGGTCTCGAGAACGTTGACAAGCGTATGGCAAATGCCAGAGGTCGAAATTGCAAGCCAGCAGCCGTTCTATGTACAGAAGGAGACACGCAGCGACACCTTGAGCAACAAATGGCGCGTTGAGAGGCAGGGCGGACTACGTGCTGTAAGTGGCGCAAAACATTGGATACTCTGATGTTTCGACTAAGAAACGCTGCAGCCCATGTTCGAGCATCTCGCGCACTTGGCTGCTCTCGAATTGCCAGAAACTAGCGTTAACGAAACGTTCGAGCGAGTCGATTCGTAGCGCACTTGGCATTACATCGTAAAGCGAAACGGTCGACCTCACTCCTGTACTATCACAACGACATCCTACAGTCCTATTTAGAAAGGTCCCCGCGAAGTGCCGGAGAAACTAGACCTTCCAGTGAGGTCACGTCCATGCGTATATTAGCTCTTAATCAAGCATCGGGCAATTGTTTCAGGCGTGTGGGGTAGTCCTGCCGTTCCAAACCGTCACCTCGGAACGCCAACCCTACGATCCACCGCGCGCACCTGCCACCTGTCAAAGAAACTTTGATGCTCATAGGCAACATCGTATTTGGACGTCGTTTCTTAATGTATACACCCGCCGGCTATAGTACCCCGCGAAAAGACCATGTTGCGCATCGAAGAAAGCCACCAATGTGAGTCTGCGACTACTTGCTCGTCCTCCAATACCTCCTAGCTCCCGATTTCGAAATTGACCGTTAGGGGTACCAACGAAGGTGATTACCGTATACGGCAAGGGTTTATCTCACGTACCACCACTCGAGACCGTGGCGGTGATGTGCCAGCCTTAGTTCCTCCGAGAGCACGTTGTCGTAGCTCCTTTTTTCATCTTGTTTAGTCGCCTTGCCGTACATAGCAACACCAACGTGTATTTAAGGTACCTCAAGCCTTTCTAAGCCTTTGCAGCTCACAATCTGTTTCATTCCTTCTCTACATCCTCTTCTTCTCAAACAACGTCATTAACATGAAGTTCTCCACACTCTTTACCTTTGCCAGCACTGCTGCGCTCACCCTGGCGGCACCTACCACCCCGGCTACTGTCCTCTCCAAGCGCGCCGACTTCTGCGGACAGTGGGACAACCAGGTCCAGGGCTCCTACACCATTTACAACAACCTTTGGGGCCGCGACCAGGCCACCTCTGGCAGCCAGTGTACTGGTGTTGATGGCCTGAGCGGCAGCACCCTTAAGTGGCACACCAAGTGGTCGTGGGCCGGCGGGTAAGACCACACCGATCAATTTTTTGATTACACCACACTCATATGTATCCAGTGCCGGACACGTCAAGTCCTACGCCAACGTCGTAACCAAGATCAGCCAAAAGGCCATCTCCTCCATCACCTCGCTGCCCTCGACCTGGACCTGGACGTACACCGGCTCTAACATCGTCGCCAACGTCGCCTACGACCTGTTCACCGGCGCGACCGCGACCGGCTCTGCCCAATATGAGGTCATGATTTGGCTGTCCGCTCTCGGCGGCGCGGGACCCATCTCCAGCACTGGCAGTGCTATTGCCACTGTTACCATTGCTGGCAATCAATTCAAGCTCTGGAAGGGTCCCAACGGCCAGATGACCGTCTTCTCTTTTGTTGCTGTCAACCCCATTAACAGCTTCAACGGCGACCTCAACGAATTCCTCATCTACTTGCGCGGTTACCAGGGTCTTCCCCGCAGCCAGGTTCTGCAGAGTGTTGGTGCTGGTAGTGAGCCTTTCTCTGGCTCTAACGCTGTCTTCACCACCACTGCCTACACCCTGTCTGAGAAATAGATGGCGTAAGGTAGTGGTGAAGGATGAGTCTGGTTGGTAGTAGCAGTATTTCGATTCTTGGTATATATTTCTTCTCGCAAATGTCAATATCTCACATGGCCACATAGTCATGACAAGCTTCCTGTTATGCATATCCGGAGCTCTTGCGTACAGTACTCCCTATTGAGGATAATTGAGGTTACGACATGCACTGCTATACTGCAGCCAGAGATCTCGCAAGCGTGACCAGCGCACCAAGTCCGTCCATACCCGAACACCACTCTTGCCAATTAGCCGCGCTTTCTTCAGCTCCAACACCCTGAATAGAGCCTCCCCCATCTTCAAGAATGACCTGGTGTTCTCGAAGTTTCACCATCTGCCCGCTCGTCAAGACTCCGAACACGCTCGGAAAACACCCATCCAAACTCTTCTCCACCATCCACGATTGCTCATCCGGAGCATCCCACAACCGTTTTCTCGACGGCAAAGGAGCAAGAAGAAAGCCGTCGGGCTCCGCACAAGCAGTCGCAGGGTCCATGGAGTACATCATCTTGAGGATTTGATAGATCAGAGCGAGTCTGCAGTGGCAATCAGCATTGCGTCGAGGGGTATGAGTGTAAATAATGACCTCCGTCGCGATTCTTCGAAGATCCAGTCTGCATGATTGGGTTGGTAATGCAGGCCTGAACGCGCGATACAAAAGCCGAAGTTGATCTGCTGGTTTAAAGTGCAGGCGACTATCTACCTCCTATGAGCAGCACGCGACATATATGGTTTCCAGCGGACTTACCCAGAGAGTCGACAAGAGCAAGACGTCGTGGTTGTTGTCTGGTGTTTCTCCTTCCTGCAGCCTGACCAGGATATAGACCGTCAATGATTGCATGGCGGACAACAAAGCCTACTTATCAAAGGCGACCAGCTTATATCATTAGCTATATTCTATTGTTTGGAGGGTTAAGGGCTGGGAGATATGGTACCTCGACTTGCAACCTCTCACACTCAAGTCCAACGTTCTTCCAGAATAGTTTTCGACCCCCGGGTGCGCGACTGGAAAGCATTTGCATGAGGCTTGCGCAGGTTGTCAGGGACTCGAACCCGTGGCTTTGAGTGTGTGGGTGCTGCGACAGAGAGTAGGGGCGGATGAATGGCGGGGATGAATTTGGAGTATACATCATGAGCGGATATGAGGCTAGGATGTGTGTCATGAGCGTTGCTATGGCTGAAGATTTCCCTGTTAAGGCTTTACTTTGGGTGAAAGATCTTGAATTGTAGGTGGTCATTCTTAGAATTGAAGGCCTCCGTATCGGGTCCCTTGTGTGGATCTGGTAGTCTGATCCACTCGGTGGTCCGATTTGGGGCGGCGCGTAAGCCCCCAAGGTGTCAACAAGACTGATTCCGCTAACCTGAGGTCGCAAATCACTCAGGCCAGTCCAATCTCCAGATTTAGATCCGAAGCTCGGAAATTCGAGATCGAGAAAATGCAACTCTCCTTCGATAGGCTGCACAGCTTCGTCCATGGATTCATGAGAAGTCGCGGCTGACCAGGAGCGTTTCGGATTGACATTTTCGGCAGCGACCCAGCTATCCGCAAATGGCGGTTTTGCAGTATCGATTTCTTTCGATCTTATGATATTACCAGGATAGGAACAAGGTATATGTCGAGTTGCACATCTCACACAGGATGGTCTTGTTGTGTCGCATCGTGTTTTCGCCCTAATGCAAGCGAGACATGATCGCAATCGGGTTCTTTGGCTGGAGCCTTTCTTATCACGGCAGTAGTATCCATGTCGCTTTAATGTCGCTTCTACGTTATCATCAGCCATTCGTGTGGTAGGTGAGGGTGAAGCGAGCATGACGTCGACGTCAGCATTGACCTACCCTTATCAAAAGGTTTGTTACAAAGTTTACATCGCAACACTTCCCGTGGATTCGAGTGTTCCATTATCTTGGATGAAGAATTACAAGTTGAACTGTCCGACTGGCAGCGTCGGACTGCGAGATAGACATGTCAGCGACTCATTTGTCAGCACTGATCTTCCCCATCTTCATACTAGCCTTCGGACGGAACAGTTTGTAAAGTCTATTGTCACAATGTTTATGTCGCTAACCTATTGACTCGCGTTGGTTCTACGTGAGAGGCAATACGAAATTGAAGAACTCCGTTGCTGAGAAATTTGCAGATCTCGACATGGAAGCCATAGTATTAAAGCTCGTAATTCTACAAGGAGTTATCAAGATCACTCTCAATCTGCTAAACGACTTACATTGAATCATCGAATCGTTCGTCCTTCAACCCAAAGATGTCTGCACAATCAGCTTCTCCTACGAAGACATACCACAAGGCACCCTACCCCTCAATCGACCCCACCCGACCTGAACTCTCAGCCAAAGGAAAAATTGTCGTAGTCACGGGAGGAGGTACTGGTATCGGAGCTGAGACAGCAAGGTATTTTGCAAGAGCTGGTGCGCTGCGCATTGCAATCCTTGGTCGGCACAAGCAACCTCTCCTCGATACCAAAGCTACCATTGGAGCCGATAACCCGTTCACTGAAGTCCTTGCCATTCCCACGGATATCACCAACATAGACTCCGTCGAAGCAGCTTTCTCACACGTTGCCCGCAACTCCAAGATCGATATCTTAGTCAGCAACGCTGCTGTCATCGGCACCAAGGCGCCCATCATCTCACAAATAAGTTCTTCCCTGCTCTCTGGGATCATCATCAACATCCAAGGCAATTTCAATGTGGCAACCGCATTTCTCAAGCATGCAGCTGTAGGCGGTGGTGTGATCATTGAGGTCAACTCCGCCGCCGCGCACCTTACCATCGCACCGGAGTTTGCGGCTTACAACATCGCCAAAGTCGCTACTGCACGGTTCTACAGTTCCCTCGCATTTGAGCATCCTGAGCTTGCCGTGTTTTCTATTCAACCTGGTGCAATTGAAACAGAGATGAACAAGAATGCAGGATACAAAGAGAAAAATGAAGGAGAAGAGTGGGAGTGGGCGGAAGGCGGGGGTGCGGCAGACATCTTGAGCCAATATGATGATGTAGGTTTGCCAGCGGCTTTTATGGTTTGGCTTGCAAGTCCTGAGGCAAGGTTCTTGAAGGGAAAATACCTTTGGGCCAACTGGGATGTGGATGAACTCAAAGCACGAAGGAAGGAAATCGAAGGGACCAAACTCCTGGAACTAGGACTCACTGGGTGGCCTTTTCAGTAGTTCGGACACAACAGGCTAGAGTGGAGACTTTGTAGAGAGTGTGTCTGTAAAGACTGTCTCCGCGCTACCCCATTCCTCACAGCCTGCCTCCTCTTCTTCATCGTATTGTGACTTTTGCTCTGTGCCAGCTGCCACACTGAGCATAAGCGTAATGTCTCACCAAATATCGTTGTGTAATATCGTGAACGTCACCACCGGAAGATTGATGTGTATCGGAGGATACACAACGTGTTTCTACACTATTGTAGAACGTGACAGTGAAACTTTGGTGTATAACTTTTCCAGAGATGAAGAGGACTGACTATCTACTATGCAACTATGTGCATTCGCTGACAGTCACAGCTATGGATGCTAAGTCACAATGGCCATCAAAAATGTTCTGGATGTTGAACGAAAGACCTTTTTGCTCTTGAATAGCTATCTGTATCAAGCAATATTGAGCGTCATAGAATCTTGAATGAAATGTCACTTTCCTCGTTTTCATCCTTGTGCAACGGAGGAATGTCCTGCCTGGTTGAATGACGTCCCTGTTGACTGTAGTGTTTGCGCCGGGTTCAATCCTGGGAAGTCCGTGACCCCGCCTTGCCAGCACGTAAATCTCAAAATGAGCAGGCGCACAAGACAGCCTTATCATACTGGTAAATAAACAGAATGGCGACTTAGACGAGCGAAATGCTTTCCAGGTTCCGAAGTAATCCGTGAAAGTGTGGCATGGACTTGATCGAATATCATGCGTTGCATATCATCAATGTGCTGCTTTATTGACCTTCCTTGCTCTCACCTCTTTAACGCACTACCGTGCTGGTATGTAGCTTCGCACCGAATATCTGACCAGTCATGTCCATCTCTTTATGATAGCACTTCCACATTATCCCCTCAGCCAGCTTATGAAACTTTTCATGCCTGGTATCGCCAACATACACCTTACCTTCGTCTCTCAGCACTCCATCTCCGATCATAGAACGAAGTATCCTTTCGATTTCCAGCATATCCTCTCCGGCTACGGTATCTGGAGAAAGAAGTACCATAGAAATTCGGATTCTTGGTAGACAAATGTCATGAGGCATGATCCTTTCGAAAGTATACCGGGAAGGTATGCAAGCGTCTAAGGTCCTTCTGGAAGTTCTTCCGATGATATGCGGTAGACACCGGTGTGCATGTCGATGGAGTTCCTATGGCACTTGTCCTGGAGGTGCATTTCAATGCGTGTGTGTGCGTCTGCGACGATCGAGGATTGCGTAAAGCATTCGATGGGGTGATAGTATCTATCGTAAGGTGTGACTTTGACGATCTCTCTTGGTTCCATTGCGTAGGAATTTGTAACGAGAGTGCCAACCGCCATGGCATGTTGTCGACCCTCGTACATCGCTCAAGTAGATGGTGATGAGCAAGCAGTTTGTGTGCTGCCGTCATGCGAACTCTTTGAAACTAACGAAATCCTCTTCACATCGTGCAAACTTCGTTGTTCTTCTTTCCAGTAGCTCTTTGCTTCAAGAACTCAGCTCCAGGCTCTTGCTTTCGCTCCATCTTCCTCTTTCTGCTGCATCATGCTGCTCATCTGCCCCGTTCCTTTGCGTGACGGATTTGAACGTGACAACTACCATGCACGCCATGGCATCTCATGATAGCAACAAACTGAACGATTAGGGCGATATCACTGATGAGCGATGTGTAAGTAGACGATCGTGAAGGAGGGACCATCGAAGAGGCTGTGAAGACTTTGCCCTATCATGCCGGTCTCCGTGAGCGCAATTCAGCCCAGCTTTGACGTGCTTAAGCCAATGCACACCATCAAGGATGATTCGTACAAAACTCAGTCGAGACTGCGTGATTATCATGAGTTTGCCGCACAACCCTCCAAACAAACTATTGCTCAGCGACAAACCGACGGGCAGTCGCGAGTTCCTGCGCTAACGCCGTTAAGCGCCCCACCGAGGGTCCCTTCCCGAAAGTCTCAGTGACATCAGCTCCAGTTTCCAACCCCTCTATCGCCAAACACGGCTGTGAGATTTTCGGCAGTGGCTATGTTTGCAGCAATCCCGCAGCTATCCACTACGCGCCGAGGCAGCCGAAGACAGCTTCCTGTCTTTCGTTCGCCACGCGTACTTGGTACCACTGCACAGCGGTTGTTCTTCCCGCTTTGCTCGTGTCCGGTGCCTTTGATTGACCCAAGATGCTGTTCTAGGTCCACTAGCCCACCAGATTGACGAGTACCCGCGTCGAAGGATCTGCTCAACGATAATTGTGGATTTGCTTACGTCCAGTTGAATCCTGCTTGCCATAGTTTTCGATTTCCATAAAGAATCGTCGAACCCCTACTGTCCCAGAGCATTTGCGCGTTCAGTTTGGAACATACCTGAACCTCATTCACTATCCTCAAGGGATCTTTCTGGGAGTCTTGGAATACAGATTCTTCATTCAGCATCACCTCCAGATACAGCGCGATGCAGTCACAGAAACCGATCTTCTGTGCTACCCACCCCAGGGCCTGCTCGACGGCTTTCGAGCGGGTATGTACACCAAGTCTTTCAAACGGCTACAAAATACTGATAATCAACAGGTATTCATGACCCGCAAGGACCTACAATGCGTACACGAGCCATTCGGTGATGCATACTACTTTGGGCCTGAGCGTATTGGCTACCGGTATGAAGGCCTAGAGAACGAAAAGGCGCGGGAAGAGAGCGGCTACGTGAACAGCACATACCGCTCTATCTTCGACAGGATCGCGAAAGAGAATGCTGAGGTACATATGCCTCTTCAATACTCGCCATGTTGAGTCGTGTGCCTTAACAACTGGCCTCTTTCGATCAGTATGCGCCATTTGTGGCTTCTTTGAGCAGGAGTGTTGTTTTTCGCGGCAGTTGGAAAACATGTTAACAATCCATAGGGTAAGCGCGCTTTCATCAAAGATATGGCACAATACTGGATCCCTCCCCAGGACAAGCCTAGACCCACGACCATCTGCCCATCGATGTCCAACTACCGCCGCGGCGTTGGAACAAACACCACCGAGCTTTCGCCCGTACAGACAAGGGAAGATCGCCCCGGCGAGCCTTACCCGTATGATACCAGGGTCGAAGAGGGCAACCCGACCGTCCTTCCCAAAGACCTCCTCGCAACATACCACTTCATCTTCCTTATCCGTCATCCTAAATACAGTATCCCCAGCTACTACCGCTGCACACTGCCTCCCCTGAATAAGATGACTGGCTGGGACTATCTCCGCAAGGACGAGGCTGGCTACTCCGAGCTTCGCGAGCTCTTTGACTACCTCCGCAAGGAAGGTCTGGTTGGTCCCAAGTCTGCTGGTCAGGGTGGCGAGACAAATGGCACGAACGACAGTTCGCAGGGCGTTGAGATCTGCGTTGTTGACGCTGATGATCTGCTCGACAACCCGTCCGGCATGATCGAGGCCGTCTGCAAGACAACTGGTATCGACTACAAGCCTGAGATGTTGGTTTGGGACACCGAAGAGGACCAGGCGCTCGCCAAGAGGGAGTTTGAGAAGTGGAAGGGTTTCCATGAGGATGCTATTGACAGCACGGAGCTGCGAGCCAGGACTCACGTACGTCTCCCTTCAACTTCTAGACATTTGACGCAGATGACTGACTGCCAAACAGAAGAAGGCACAAACCACCAGAGAGCAGGATGACGCTGCATGGAAGGAAAAGTACGGCGAGGATGGTGCGAAGTTCATCCGCGAAACTGTCGACGAGAACCTGGAGCACTACGAGTACCTGAAGCAGTTCGCTATCAAGGTCTAAAACCATGAAGGTTGGCCTTGACATAACGACGAACATCCCACGGGTTCCTTATTTCCTTTTCCCAATCTCTTCGACCGGAGTGTCATCGAGACACTTATGGAGCTTTTTTTACGACTATACCAAATATCGACAAAAGTACAACAATGTCACACAGCATCAAAGATCGCAACATCTAGTTCGGCTTTTAAATCTCGCACGCAACATTGACTTTGTCAATACGAGGCATTTGATGATATTCCAGCGGCTAATTGTTGTATTCAGATCGCAAAGGTACTATTACAGCGCCGAAGCGCACAGGATATCTTCTTTCCAGCGTCAAAGGACCGTCCAAAACGCACACCTTATCAAACCAGATGAACTCCAGATGCGCCGAAACAGCAGGCCATGCCAGCCCTGGTCATGACAACTCCAAGAACACCAAAACTCAAAACACCCGTGTGCTGTATATGCGTAACCCAACAATCACGGCGGCGACCCGCTCAAGGCCGGCCAAGCTCGATCTCTCGCCTGCGCTCTTCTCTGCTCAACCCTCTCGAGTGATTGCTACGCAGTTCGCTGTTCGAAGGACGGTGTTGTGTTCGGCCTCGATCTTGCCACTGCTGCCAGGCTTGATTCTCACTCAGACTGTCCTGCCTGCTATTTGCGCGATCACGAGTCCACGGTACATGCGATTGCTGGGGTGTGCCTACCAACTCCTGACTTCTCTCGTGACGCTCTTGCTCCTCTCTGTCCTCCGGTAAGTCAATCCTGAACGTCGAACTATTCGCATCGGGGCTCGGGCGGGCGTCTCGCAGCATCAGCAATCGCATCTGTTGGTTGACAGGGTCGTCTTCGTTGACCGGGGGCTGTAGCGGTTGCGATTCCGCGAGAACGGCCGACGGGTACATGTTCGAGATGTAGTTCGTGTAGTAAGACTGCTCTGAGTAAAGGTTCGACCGCTGTGAGGCTGATTTGCGCCTCCTCGCAATGATGCGGCGTTTCCAGAAAAGCAACCCGGCATAAAGAGCGGTCGCAAAGCCGCTGAGAACGGTAGCGCTTATCGCGGCTGTACTCCACTTATAACTTCTGGTAGCGAGGAAATTGTAGATGATTACGACGAGACCGAATATGGAGGAGCCGAGGGCTGGCCTAAGGTGTGTCAGCAGTGACGATGATATTGGAAATGGGACACATACACGAAGACGTTCTCCGCCTGAAATTCATCATCGCGACACGCGAAGCACAACAGCGCAGTAAATGAGTACCCAGCGGTTAGAAGCGCGACGACAAAGACCGACAACACCGGTTGGCTAAGCTTGTAAAGCTTTTCGTCGTTCGCATACAAGCCTGGCAATATCAGGTAGCTGTCATCTGTCAGCATCCTCTTGATCAACGATTGAACGATGCGCGACTTACCCTCCTAAAACCATCCAGAATGCCGCTATCGCTATGAATCGCCAGTACCATGGCGTCCGCTCAAGGCCTCTAGACTTGCCATCGGTGATGTTGATGTAGTCACCCTGACTGGAGGGCATTTCGCAATTGCAACGCGCCAAAGGCGGCGGCGGGGTTGGTGACCGGTTCGCGATTCAGGTGCTGTATGCCTGACAATCACGGAGGTGCCAATGGATGCCAACGAAGCGTCGCAACAAACAGCTCGAAATGTGAGACAGAAAGCAAATGAATGAGTGACTAAGTCTATGGAAAAGACGAAATTTCCCTGCTCTCTACGCCGCAGACGAAGGATCGCACGTTGTCGACCTTGTTCAGCCTACTGGATGGCGGGCGGTTCCTGAGAGCTGCGGAGCGCTTCGGTTAGTGAGTGGGTAAGGCTAGCGGCCGAGGTAGGTGTGCGCTTGGGCAACCGTGGGTGCGTCGTCTTGTCACAATCACTGCTCCTACAAGCAGTCAAACTCCAGCAGTTGCGGTTTCGAGGGGAAGGTGGAAGGGAGGAAAGACAGTCAGAGCCAGGGCTGAGTGAGGTTGGGACCAAGGGCGCCAGCGGCCAATGTCTTCGTACTTCGCTGGGGCGGAGGACAGCCTGCTTCGGGCTCAGCCACGAGTGGTCCTGAGGGACAATTGCAACCCTGGCCCAACGATCCAATCGTGTGTGGCAGATGGATGCGCCACTCTTAGGCCAGCAGCTTTTCGCGATCTGTATTGATTGTATTGGTAACTATCTTTCGTTGTGTTGCGCGAGAAACGAACCTCGACGGAACCCTCATCATCATACAGCCCTCAAGAATGTTCGACGCAGGGCTCATCACGGGCATCAGCTTGTCAAACACTAGTCAAGACCGTTTGCGAGGGTGGAGTGCTCCGAACGGCTGACTTCTGCGCCGCATCTCACCCAGAGCATCCAACCACCTCCAATGTGAGGTGCAGCACTGACGCCACCAAGATTTACCATATCCAGATTGAAAGTTCGAGAGTGACGTAGCCGTTTGGTGCACATGGTCATGAGGGTCTTTGACTGGCCGCTGAATGGGTTGTCTCAGGTGGGCTATAAGCAGCATTGCGGGGAGGAATGGTCCTTTGGACATGACATTGGCTCATCCACTTCTCCAGCTCTGAAGCCGGACTGTGGTTCACCATCGGATTTCGACACAAGCAATCAAAATTGAGGCATTTGCTTCTTCAGTTGTTCGCTCACAGCAGTCTGCTTTGCTTCGCCTTGCTCCGCTCCAGCAACCAGGGATCATGATCACCGCGAATGCAGGTGCGGCTGATCCGTCCAACGTCGCATGTGGAGCCCATGTGCACCGCCGCAGTAAATTTATCAGTAGTTGCAGATGAGGAGCGTTTGGCGTTGTCCATGGGAAACATTTGACAAACAAAGTTGCTAACACTTCGTGATCTCCCAACACCCAGGGTTGTCCTGCCAGAGCGATCATGGATGCGCACATAGTTGCTGTGGAGGCACGAGTGAGACCTTTGTTTGCAGGGATTGCGGTGTGCAGAGCTTTGCGACAACAATAAGGCATGTGAGATGTTGTGCACATCTACTTCGATCGGTATGCATTGTGCTGTCGTGTCAAATGAGCAATTTGATACCACTGCAGTCAGTTCAAGTCGTGATTCATTTGTATGTCTTGTAGGGGTTGTAGGAGTTATTATTGGTCTAAGTGCATCTTCGGACTTGCTATTCGACTACCTGGAATGTATCTTGTTCTTCGTAACCTCTAGAAAGCTCTTTGCGATTGAGGTCTCTTCAGTGAACCCTGCGATCTCCACGTCGGATACCGACGTTTCTTGCATTCGAGATTCCGATTTACCGAGGATCGTAGCTGGGCTCACACACAGCCCTGGAAAGATTGGTAGCCTCCATAAAGATGAGCCGCATCCTCAATATATGATGACATTTTTTAGTACACATTATATATATCATAATCAGAATTTTTTTCATCGATCACATCTCTTCCCAACTGAAAGTTGGACATCTTCGATAGTATAGTGGTCAGTATTTCTGCTTGTCAGTCTTTGGAACAGCTCGCAGGAGGCCGGGGTTCGATTCCCCGTCGGAGAGATTCTATTTTTTTTGTCTTTGACACCTCCTTCGATACTGGTACCTGGATGAATGCTTCAGTTTTTCATTGTGTGCGCAGTCAAGGCTTTTGGGCCACAGATTGTCTTTTTGCTCCCAAGGTACTATAGTAGTAAATAGAAGCTGTTAGCCAGAGTCTTTTGCTTGTCAGGATCCAAGGTTATGGCGAAGTCGTAGCAGTAGATACTTCACGGTTGTAGTTTAGTCTGTTTCGCTCCGGATCGTGCCGGTCTGCTCGGAAACATTCGCTGGAAGCAGCCTCGTTTTTGACGACCAGCTGTTGTCTGTGAACTCTGCACACCACTTCCTGCAGGTTTTGTTTTAAAACCTCGATGCCTTTCACAGTGTGTTTGTGGCCGCTCCACGACTGCCTTCCATCGCTGCGGCCTTTGCCCATAAGTTGCGTTGTTTGCCCGTCCGAGCGACGGCCTTTGCCCGTTCGGCACCGAAACTTGAGCCTCAACGGCTTTCTCTCCGCTCGCAACAGAGCCTCACAATACGACGAAATACTGCAGGCTGGGCAACGACGCATTGACTCACAGACTTCTTCAGTTTCTTATATACGAGCCTTCCCCTAACGCTCTTGGTCTCTTGATAACTTTTACTACTCCCACCAAGCTATTGTCGCCAGCTTCCAAAATGAGCTCCAACCACCAAGACATGCAGCATGTCAGCGCTATCGATGCAAGATCTTTTGTTGAACAAGTCCTCGTTGGCAACGGAGCATCGAAAGATAATGCAACTATCGTTGCCAAATGTTTGGTGGAAGCTGACCTCCGTGGGGTGGATACTCACGGCATGTAAGAGTTGTGCTGAGATAGTCTGATGCATTTCTAACAATCCATACTAACGTCTGGGCACAGTAACCGCATTCCCAGTTACATGGCTCGCATCAGAAAAGGTGTGCTTGACGCGGCCGCATCACCGACTCTTCGCCGAATTACACCAGCAGTTGCTCAAGTTGACGGGCACAACGGATTTGGCTTTCTTGCAGCCCACATGGGCATGGCAGCAGCAATTGACATGGCGAAAGAATTTGGCATTGGTCTTGTCTCAGTTAAGCACTCGAACCACTTTGGAATGTCGGCGTGGGTTGTGCAACAAGCACTTGACGCAGGTATGATGAGTCTTGTCTTCACAAACTCTTCGCCCGCTCTACCCGTGTGGGGTGGCAAGTCCAAACTTATGGGAGTCTCACCAATTGCTTGTGGAGCCCCAGCGGGGAAAGGCAGACCCTTCATCATGGACATGGCGCCATCAGTCGCAGCACGGGGTAAGATTTACAAGGCTTTGCGAAGAGGGGAGAAGATTCCTGGCGACTGGGCACTCGACAAGGATGGTCAACAAACGCAGGATCCAGCTAAGGCACTTGAAGGTGTCATGTTGCCTATGGGTGGACCTAAGGGCTCCGCAATTGCTATCATGATGGACGTCTTCTCCGGGGTGCTGTCAGGCAGCGCATTCGCAGGCCATGTCATCAACCCTTACGATCCTTCGAGGCCAGCAGATGTTGGGCACTTCCTTGTCGCCATCAAACCGGACCTCTTCATGAGTATTGAAGAATTCAAGGAGCGGATGGACTACCTGTACCAGCGTGTCATTGGGTCCGATCGGATGTCTGGCACCGACCGCATCTACTTTCCAGGCGAGATTGAGGACCTAAACAAGGAGAAGCGCCTAAAGGACGGGATACCGCTTGTGGAAGCCGAGGTGGAAGCCCTGAACAAGGAGGCTCAACAAGTTGGAGCCGCATGCATCCTGACCTCGCCGCCTGCGCCGAGGTCACGTCTGTAACGGAAAACCAGGATCGGAATTCCTACATCTGCCCTTTTGAGTTCGTCTCGACTTGCGGACCCGCCTCGTGACGAGAGCCATTCGAGCTGGGCCGCCCGTTGAGGGCTGTCGATCTCCGCGGTACATAGTCGGTGGTTCCTCCTTACGCGCAGATTGGCAGCTCGTGGCCAGAACTGCCGAACCAGAGAACGTTGGGGTTAATGCGGGGTGTAATGTTTCTCCAGAATGGCATGTTAGGCCACCTCCGATGTTGAGATGACAGGGTCAAATAATTGTCATTGGGTGGGCGCTCCGATGCTAAGCTCCACAATCTGCACGAGTCAAGAAAAGCTTCCCCGCTTAAGGATAAGAAGCACCACGCCGCGCACTGGCAGCGGCTACATATGTAACCTTGTTTACAGAACCATCCGACGACAAGGATGCATGCAGCCACTCAAGCTTCGGCATTTGCTCAGCGGCGTCTGGTCATCCTCGGGGTAGAGGCAACATCTGTAAGCCTCATGCACGTCTCATAGGTTGGTTACCATCATGCGCACTTGAATTGAAAACTGCGAAAAGAATACGGAGACCATCACCTGCATTCGGCACCATCCCTTCGTGTTCTGCGCGTTCTGCTCGAACGATTTATCTGGTCCAGCCTTGACGGCCGCGCACAGGAAGAAGTTTCACAGAAGTATCCTTGCACTGTCTTCTCCGACGGACTAGCCTAGCGTTGACCACCGGTCTGGAGAGACCGATGAGAAGTCTGAATTGCTGTCTGGAGAAGGCCCACATGGCACCGATGGAGCATCGTGTTGCTGGATGACCGGTGGACAGGGTTCTGGCTGGGGAAAGCGAGGTGCTGCCCATACTTGAATACCTCCGCATTAGCACCCCACAGTCGTGCTGACGGTATAAGAAGCTGCCACCCGCCCTGAGTAACAGCTTTCATCCACTCCCTGTCTGGCCGATTATATCGACTCCCCAGCTCGTGGCTCGTTGAAACGTTGCCCCGAACCTTGAAAAGTCTGCCCACCATGTCTTTCAAGCTACAGAACCCATGGAAGGAGAACCTGAAGGACACACCGAAAGAGTCCCTTAACTGGCGACTCTGGTATGGTGTACTCGGTACGATACTTCAGATCGCCATGGCGATTTCTTTCACTAACAATGCATAGTCTTCGGTCTGATGGGCGCCGCCCGTGGTATCGACGAAGGTCTCATCGGTACGACCGCTGAACTCGAGCCCTTCAAGAAGAAATTCGGTCTCGAGGATCACCACAAGTCGGCACACGAGAAGGCTGAGCTTCTGTCCAACATCACTTCCATGGTGCAGATGGGCTCCATCCTCGGTGCTCTGGTCGCATTCGTCGTCACAGATCGCATCGGTCGTCTCTGGGCCACACGCCAGCTCTGTGTTATCTGGGTCATCGGTATCTCGATTTTTCTTGCTAGCAGCGCAACTGGAAGCATTGGCATGATCTACGCTGGTCGTTTCATCGCCGGTATCGGTATCGGTCAGACCACTGTCGTTGCACCCACCTACCTTGCCGAGACTGCTCCTCGTGCTATCCGTGGTCTTTGCGTGTGCGCATTCTCAGGTGCGGTCTACATCGGTATCATGTTGGCATATTTCGCTTCTTGGGGCTCTTCGATCCATATCTCATCCAAGACCGACGCTCAGTGGCTTGTTCCTAACAGCATGCACCTGATGTTCGCTGGTATCATCTTCATTCTATCATTCGGCGCCAAGGAAAGCCCTCGTTGGCTTATCAAGGTTGGCCGTCACGAGGAGGCCCTGAAGAATCTTGCCCAGCTCCGCAACTTGCCCGCTGACCACCCATACATCACCACCGAGGTCATCGATATCAACGATCAGCTCAACCGTGAGCGCGAGGCTACAATGGGCACGTCATGGCTGGGTCCTATCAGGGAGATGTTCTCCAGCAAGTCCAACCTTTACCGTCTCCAACTCTCTGTTATGTCTCAGTTGCTCGGACAGTGGAGCGGTGCCAACAGTATCACAATCTACGCTCCCCAGTACTTCGCCATGATGGGTACGACTGGCCAGAACGAGAAGCTCTTCGCGACTGCCATCTTCGGTGTCGTCAAGTTCGTCTCTAGTATGCTTTGCGCTTTCTTCCTCATCGACTTCATCGGCCGCAAGCGCTCTCTTTCGACCGGTATCACCATTCAGTTAGTTTCTATGCTCTACATGGGTATCTTCCTCCTCATCGACAACAAGATCTCCGACAAGAGCGTACCCCAATCCACGAGCCAGAAGCACGCTGCTATGGGTGCTATCGTCATGATCTACTTCAGCGGTTTCGGATGGGCTCTGGGTTGGAACTCCATCCAATACCTGATCAACTCAGAGATTTACCCGCTCCGCCTGCGTGCTCTTGGTGGATCCTTCGCCATGACTTTCCACTTCGTCAACCAGTACGGAAACTCCAAGGCTGTCCCTCTTATGTTCTTGTCCATGACTACTGGTGGCACCATGATCTTCTTCAGCTGTATTACCGCTATCGGTCTTGCGTGGGTCTGGTTCTTCCTGCCTGAGACCAGTGGACGCAGTCTCGAGGCCCTCGACGAGATGTTCAACCTCCCCTGGTACCTCATTGGTCGCAAGGGTGCCGCTCTTACCGCCGGATCGGGCGGTTTGTCGGAGGTCCTTGACCACGCTGGCGAGAAGGCTGCTACCGTCGAGATGGAGAACTCTGACACTAAGGTCCAGGGTGAGGAGCACACCGTTGAGCGCAAAGTTTGAGCGCGTGGGAAAGGCATATGTTGGTTGGAATGCAAGGGCAAAGCTCCATCTTTCTTATGAATACGAATCACGAACGATCGAAAGATTTCGATCAGATACATCTCATTCTCATTTTCACTACTTGTTGTGACCAGCCACCTCCATGAACGGGCTCCTCTCCCTAAGCTTCCTGCCATACATGATCAAGACCACAGGTATACAACTTAGCACCAATGCAATGAACCCCAACAGACTGCTCGCCCAGTTGAAGCCCAGCGTCCTATACATGCTCTGCGTCGCCAACGGCAAGAATGCAGCCATGAAGTTCTCCAGAAAGGCCACGCCCGCCACGGAACTTGCGGCGTACTTCGCATACGCATCGACAATATACGTCGTCAATGCGGTCGTGCATAGAAACATGCCAAATCCGACAAAGCCCAGCGCGATGGATGGCACGATCCACAGAATATTTGAGAAACTCGTCCATGCGAAGAAGAACAGGCCTCCCGTGAGCCCGATGAATGATGCTGGAATGCTGAGATATAGTCGTGCCTCTGGAAGAGGGTTCCCTGGATCCTCAGTGTTTCGCTTCGCGGAAGCAAAGTACACTCTGTCTTGCACCAACTGCGCAAACACACCCACCAACTCCCCAACCACTATTGCACTCTGCACCATCCCTGTGCCGAAGAACGTCCACCCGTACAGCCCCTCGTAGACTTGCATGATGCTTTGCGTGAACATGAATGCGATTCCGATGACGAAGGCGGACCACATGCCCAGGCTGATAAGCACGCCTTCGGTGAACAAGAGGCGCGTAGGACGAATGAGAGTTTCGGTAAGGATGTCAGAGACGCTGGTTTTCGTCTTCTCTTGCGCGGTGTGCACGGCAAGGCCGGTTTCGCGCCGGATTTTGGCGGCGCGTTGGTGCAGGATTACGTCAGGGCGGACTTCGGAAAGGGCGAGGAAGAGGATGGGGAGCAGAGCGGAGTAGAAGATTATTTGACCGATGAAGATCCTGGGTGGTGTCAGTAAGGTGAAATGAGTGAGTGGATAAAGGGGACGGACCAGCGCCAGGTGGTGTATTGGACGACGAGGCTGCCGAACACGGGTCCTATGCTTAGGCCAGAGAGGAGCGCGAAGATGTACATTGATGTGAAGAAGCTCTTCATTAGGCCTGCGTACCAGATGTCGCTTACAATGCCAGAGGTGATGTTCGCTAGTGTTGCTGTGCAAGATCCAGTAATGATTCGAACGATGATTAGAGTAGCGAAGTTTTGGGCTACAGCTTGTGGTATGATGAAGATGATCAACACAGCATAGATGCCCAAGTATGTCCATCGTACACCAAAGTTCTCCATCAAGGGTAACCCAACGAGTGGCGCGGCGGCACCGCCTAGGTTCCAACTCAACACGGGCCAGTATGAGTGTGGGAATACTTCATCGCTGACATGGAAGTTTTCGTTGATTTGCTCAGCTGCACTTGTCATCATCGTTCCATTGATCTGAACGAAGAAGGTCATGGCACATGCGAGAATGCATATTCGGTACTTCTTCGCGATGGGCCAGTTGAAGGGGTTCTCTGGATCGTTTGGTACAAAGTCAATGGTCTTGTTGGTAGCTGCTGGCGCGAGTTTCTCTCCGGTTACAGGTTCATCCTGTCGTGCTGGCAGCTGTGCTTCAACATCCGCCTCTTCCTTGGATAATTGCGGGGTTGTGGACCGCGATGTTTGGGCCAGAGACTCCGGATGTTCTACCTCTTGATTCGACATGTTTGGCAGTCCTAAGCTCCTCCAGGGTCGGAACGAAGCGTGGAGAACAAAGTCGAGGAAGGTTCACAAAGACCCTGTGGAGACTCAATGCCCCGCGGAGCAAGTGGATACGTCTGAGGTTGTTGGCCTGGAGAAAGTGGATATCGGAAGGTTAACTGTCGAAAGCTTCGTCCTCCAAGCTTCACCAAGCCTCTGGGTTTTTACCAAAGACATCGTGGAGTTGATAGTGTGAAGTGCAAACTTCTGGATAAAATGACGACATCGCTGCTCAGCTGCTCAGCCGCAAGACTCTGGGGCCTCAAAGAGGTTGTCGGAAAGCATTGCGCGCAGCTTTCTGACATCACAAAGCCAGCGGGAAGGATGCTCATAACGTAACAGAAAAGTGAGGAAGGCGCTAATATTGGAACAGGCTAGTGCGATTGACGGCATTCGGACCATCGAAGAGCCTCATCAACGTCGATTGTTAACTCACACGTCTCTGCAGCCTACACGTAGTTTTCCCTTGTGCCCTTTTCTGCACTTCGATATATGGCATCGATCATCTTGTGCCTTAAAAGGGCGTTCTCGAACGTTGTCACGTGATGACCTTTGTCCAGCCCGACACCGGCCCAGGCATCCCATGCTCTGCCCACGTTGAACGACATCTCGGACGCCTTCTCGACCTCGACAGCCTCCAGTTCTTGCTTTGCGTCTGATGTTGCGCCATACAAGGCCACTTGTGGATCAGATCTCGCAAGCTTGATTGTGGGCTGGTACATTTGAACGTGTCCGCCCATCGTCGGTCCCTCTAGCACCAGGGTGCCTTCCGTACCGATGATCTCCCAGTAAAAGTCTCGATTGCTGCGCGAAAGACCACCAGCGTAGGTCACATTAACGACACCACCGCCGTTCTCAAGCTGTCCTGTGATACTGACATGATCGTGTGCTGTCTTCTTGACCTTGCCTGCAGGCTTGCCGTCCTTGCCAACTAAGTCGAGCTTGGGAAGGAGGTTTGCAAGAGTAGCTGAGATGTCTTTGATCTCGCCAAGAACGTAACACAATGCGTCCACAGCATGGCCGAATGGAATAGTGAGCAGGTTTGCGCCCGCCTCGATGGGTAGGCCGTATAAGAAGCCTTCATGAATTGTAGGACCAAATATCATGCCATGTCCAAACATGGTGGTGGTTAGAATCTTGCCAAGCTTCCCCGACTCTACAATTTCTTTGGCCTTCACAACTGATGGGTTCTGGCGTGCTTGCAGGCCAATCATCGTCCTGACACCCTTGTCTTTCGCTAACTGCGTAAGCTCTTCGGCTTCAGCAAGGTTGCGAGCCAGCGGCCATTCGACGAACACATCCTTGCCAGCCTCAAGAGCAGGCTTGGTGAGAGCGTAGTGCTCAGGAACGTTGACGCTGACAGCTACGATGTCGACATTCGGATCGGATGCGATTGCAGAGGGATCAGCGTAAGTTGCAACGTCGTCCAAGAAGAACTCTTTTGCGGCGGCCTGAGCGGATGCCTTGGAGCTGTTTTGAAGAGCTGTAATCTTGTAGAGCGATGTTTGCTGCAGATACGGCAGGTGAGACCGGGACGCCCATGAGCTGAAATCCTGATCAGTATCTGGTGAGGGACATTGTGTATGCACTCACCCTTTGGCTGAGAGCCCGATGAGTCCGATCCGCTTTTGGTCTGTCATGATGTGTTTTGCAGTTATATCGAGCTTTGTTTGCTAGATCGAGGCATGAGTAAAATACATAGGTTAGTACATGCCAGTACCTTTATGTACTCATTGCCTGTGCATCTTGAGGGGTCGTGCGGCATTAGTGGCGGGGACTTTGCATGACGCAACGCATGGTAGCATCATTTGTCCGGAGCTTGCAAGACAGCATACCTAGATACTGACCCGCAGCAATTATACAGCACAGAGAAGGAGGAAGATCAGATGTCTGATCTCTATGCCTTATGGATGTGTAAGCAGACAACAACGTGCAACTTTACCCGGGGCGCTACAAGCGACCTGCATCTGCTGCATAGAGCAGGATATTGAGAACACAGATTCTCAAATCGTCTACCAGGTTTCGAGCAGTGAAATGTTGTCCTGGCAGATTCGCACAAGAAGCTGTATGTGCCGTGTACCTTCGGAGCGCTAATCGGAAGTGTTTTCGTTCTTTATGGCTATACACTACCGCCTGCGACACAATACTGCTGCGCGTAAGGGAAGGAAAGACGATTGAGCGCTAAGAACAGAGTTGTCCACAAACAAAACAAACAAAATTTGAGACCCCAGTTTTGTTTATTTGACAACTTTCATGGTGTTGTACTTTGTTTGTTTGATTTAACATGGCTGTGGAGGCGCACTTTGTTTAATTGATTGTTTAGTTTTCAGTGGGTTGAAAACGCTAAGAAGGCAGTTTTATATAGTGTTGTAGGCGGCGGGTCCTCCCATGTGTAATGCATGAAGTCCGCGGGCCGTTGTCATCCAAGGTTGGATCTAAGCAATGTCGATGACTGTATTACGGCCACGTGATCAATTATGCCACACATTGGCTCTAGTTTGACGCGTCCGCAACGCCCTTCTACTCTTCAGACCTCACCATCGAGCTAGTGTGCTCCCGGTATTTATCATTAACCACACTCGATCTGTTCAAGGATGCACATGTTGACACTCTTTTGTCGCTCTGGGTTGCCGGCAGCGCTCCGCCTCTTCACCAGTGACGCGCCATGCCTGAGCGTGCAGAGGCCACTAAGCCTATTCCAGCGCGAAACGCGAAACTCGAATGCGAAAGGTTCAAAAAGCGATGCCTGATCTCAAAGCCAAGGAGAGCTAACCCGCATGATTTTGTGCGACGGCATGTAAGAGTGTTTACATATAGCCTGGGGTCGACAGTCCAAGGCAGCCACGGATATCCTGTGTCAACATCCCACTTCCAACGCACCAATTAGACTAAATGGCATTCGACTTGCAAGCTATCGCTTTCATCTGCGGCATCTTTCTACATTTACTGCTGTTTTGCAGAGGTGAATGGGATCGACGTGCTCCTGCGGTCGTGTTGGCCTATAGCTTACTATGTACATCGGTCTTCGCAGCCTTCGCGCTCGACACGAGTTACTCTATCGTACAGTGCATTGTTGGAACCTGCAAGGCCAGCCTTGCTCTGGTTGGCGGTCTTTGTACTTCTCTAGTCACATATCGCCTCCTGTTCCATCCTTTAAGGACCTTCCCTGGTCCTCTTGCTGCACGCGTCTCCTCCTTCTGGGTTTTCCGAGAGCAATGGCCAGATCTGAGGTTCTACTTCAAGCTACGAAACATTCACGACCGTTATGGCGACTTCGTGCGCATCAGTACGGTCATGAGCTACCGATAGCCCATCAATTGCTGACAGGTTTGCAGAACCGAGGGAGCTATCGATATGTCACCCGGATGCGATCAACGACATTCATGGGCCAAGGAACAGGATCCGCAAAGGCGAGTTCTATGAACAAATTCATCCTGCGCACAGCCTGCAGTTCACCCGGGACCCCAACCAGCATAAACATCAGCGCCGGTACTGGGACAAGGCATTCCAGACCAAAGGCTAGTAGCTCCGAACGTGCTGTCAGCCGCATACACTGACGCATTTTATTAGCCCTACAGGAATACTCACCGCGTATCGTGAAGCACTACAAGATCCTTATGGGCATCTTCTCCACCGATGGTGCATCCAGCGCACCTGTCGACGTCAGCAAACTTTTCATGGACCTTTTCTTCGATGTAGTGTCAGATTTGACATTCGGCGAATCCTTCAACACGTTGACAACAGGGGAGCGAAACCCAATCATCGGAGAGTTTCTTGCATATCAACAAAGTGTCGGCTTTGTCATATTGAACATGTGGATGTTCCACTTGCTCAGAAGCATACCCACGGTCGCATCGCGTATTCTCTATTGGATGCAATGGTATGCTAGCGCTGTAGCAAAGAGAAATGAGGTACGTGAGAGATCTTCCCGTAAGCGACGATGGTACGCGAATGCTTTGAAGAATAGAGAGCAGGTCAGTCACTCTTCCCCTGACAAATATCACTGACTCCAGAAGATGAAAGACACATCGCCCGACCTGTACACGTATTTGTCACAATCGGACACATTCGATGTTGATGGCATTCACGAAGCTCAGCTGGCTATCATAGCAGGCGCTGATACCAACGCAATCACCGTTTCGAACGTCTGCTACCTTCTCTGTCAATACCCAGAGTATCAGAAGAAGCTTTATGAGGAGCTAGCAGATCTCCCGGTTCACGAGAATGTGATTGAGGATCGACATCTATTAAGCCAATCTTGCTTGTTGAGTTTAATCAACGAAACATTGAGGCTCTATCCGCCAGTACCTGGCGGCCTCCAGCGTGTAACGCCGCCAGACGGCGCCACCATCGCTGGCCGCTACGTCCCTGGGGATATGATCGTATCAACTCCCACTTATGCGCTTCATCGAGGTATTATCACCCTCTATTGGACCACACACGCATACTGACCTCTGCAGATTCTCGAGTATTCGTTCGACCAACTGAATTCATACCTGAGCGCTGGACTTCCCGGCCCGAACTCATTCTGCGCAAAGATGCATTTGTTCCGTTCTCCTATGGCGCCTACAATTGCGCTGGGAAGCCTTTGGCAATGATGCAGCTACGTATGGTCATCGCGATGGTGATAAAGAAGTTCGAGCTGTCCTTTATGCTGGAAAGAGAGGCGGAATACGAGCGCTACATTCATGACCAAGCGGACTGCTTCACGTTGCATCTCCACCCCCTGCCGCTCATTTTGAAAGAAAGGACCGTCCGAGAGCAAGTCGCATATAATTTCACGCGTCAAGAAGGGACAGAGTCGTGACTTCTTCCGGGGTACGCGGTGTTGAGATATCACTAGAAGCTACTTTCCATGCTCTTTTCTCCTGCCACGGTCCGGAAGGCAACTGCGTGCTTCCCTTAGACTTCCTTTTCAAACGCTCAGTCAAATTCATTTTGGGTCGGAGTCGTTTCACAGGCTGTCATGACACCATGTTTTTACGCATGAACCTATCCACAGCAAATTCGACAGCATTACCAGAATGATTTCATGAAGGCACATCTACGTTCACACGGTATATTATGTTATATCAAACGCATGCGCGAGGGGCCTAGTTGCAGCTGCACTCGCGCCGACTGTTTGCTCGCTGCCCTGTTATGGGGCTGATGAGCGTAGCCTAGCCGTGCCCTTCACCTTCACTGCAGATGAATTCGGCCCAAGCTCTTAAAAAGGCCTTTGATCCAACTTGACCTGACTTCACCACTACAGCTGCAGCTGCTTATTGACAAAGCTTCGGTCTCGACAGACATTGGTATCATTACATACGCACTCAGACAAGTGCTACCGCAATGGCACCCAACAGACAGAAGGTCGTTGCGTCCGGGCGGCCTGGCCGCAAGCCTGGACGAATACCTAAGGCGCAGTCCGCCACGCCAGCGCCAACACCAGCAACGGCAGCAACGCCAAAGCTCAAGCTCAGGCTGACCTTCAAGCCGAGCGCTCAAGCGGGCACACTGCCGCCCGTTTCCGCGTACCGGTTTCCTCTGAGTGCACCACCTTCAGATGATGCTTCAGAGAAAGAGGATGCCGAAGACAACACGTTACTAGGCACGTATGAGCAGGGCAGGAGACGTGGCGCAAGGCAGAGGACGAAGGCCCACGCACCTGACATGGTTTTTGGGAGTGAGATGGACAACCTCATCACGTCTTCTGCTACTATAGGCAAGACGGAAGACGAGGAAGATGTGCAGATGGTCAGCTCGCCACGTAAGTATCAACTGTAGCCAGCGCACGATTGTAACTGACAGCCGCAGCTACCATTCTCAGCATGCGCCCGCCCGAACGCTACAACTCGCCTGACACCATCCAAGGCTCTGGCCTACCTCCTCCCCGCTATACTGGTCCCGTCTCTCAAGACGTCTACGACATCCTAAACACGCTCCAGTCTTCGTCTAAGATCCAAGTGGATCTCCCTGACATGTTTGCTCCCGGCGGCACTGGGGTGGTTAAACCATACACCAACAGCGTCCTGACGCAACTCTACGTCCAATGCTACGAGACCCAGCTCTGGCACTTCTGCGACCTGATTGCCGACACATGGATCCGTGCACTTCAGAAGGCGAATAAGCGCACTCACAAGAGCAAGGACGTGTGGGACTATATGTGGAGGAAGAACGTGGCGCTGGAGAAGATATTTGCGGAAAAGAAGAAAGGGTTCAAGAAAGACGTCTGCGAATTCCGCTTAGATGTGCAGGATCCGGACATGGATCGCGGTGCGACTGATTTCAGCCCTGAGCGACTGCGCGAGCTGTACACTCACACTAGTCGGGGATGTGGCGCTAGGCTGCTGTGGGCGGATGCTATGGCGCTGCGTGGGAGGAAGATGGAAAACGACATCGTCAAGCGACCGGATGTGTGGCCAAGAGAGCTGTTCTTCGACGTCATGTGCGCCAGCTTGCGCATGGTGGGGAGGAAGTTGACCCTGAAGATCGAAGAGAAGTATGAAGGTGCGTGGTGCAGGTACCACGAGCATGTTAAGCATGGACTGCCATGTTACCGCGAGCTGGCGTGGATGCAGAAGAGCGGGAGGAAGGGGATGGAAGATGGCGATGAGGAAGATGAAGACGGGCGTAGACGAGGCCAGGGACGAGAAGCGGGCTCGTGAGGCTGTGGGCGGTGATGAACAGGGTGATACAAAGCGCGTACACTTCGATACTGGCGATGCTGCTGATGCTGGGGAGGTCATTGATTTTGGGGATATCGATGCTGAAGGCGAGTCCGAGAAGGAGGGCTAAAAGCCCAAGAGGAAGTTGAGATCTCGGCGAGATAGCGTTCTGGAGCCCTGAGCGTGGTTCATGAGAGTCATGAAGTTGTACGGTTGGATACGATGAAAAGCATACGATCATCGAATTGCTATCTTACATGGGGCACAACCATGTCGCCGTTTGAGAAAACGTCCCATTATAGACAATCCGATGCATGAAACGGCCGAATACTTTACACGATGGGTTCGAATGCGTTCCGCTCTTCCTCTCGACAACATGGGTGGTTACTCACTTCTTTTCAGACCAGGCGAAGGGCAAACATGAGGTGATGGCCAGCACATTTTGGAGAAAGCAAAAGTCGGACCATAAGATCAGGTTATTGAAGCCTTTGATAGCATGATCATTCGACGCGTGGTGTAGATAGCGCAAACAGCGAAGTCAAGCCATGACAATGGGCTCTTAGAGTTTCAGAACATTCTCTGAAGCTCAAGAAAGGTCCACTCTTTCACTGCCGTTGAGCAAACAACCTCAAGCATATGCATATCAACTGTGGCTTTGGACTTAACGACAAACACATGAGAACAATCGTTTCAGATTCGATACACAGGTGATCAATCTTGTAAGAAACGATGAGGAAATAGATCAGCTGGCGCGAGGAAGATGCATCCGTTCTGAGTTTCTGAGGGCAGACACATTTCCGGGGTGTATAGAAGTTTATGAGTCAATGGTTCCAAGATATCCAATCTCGCCAGTCGCACATCCATAACATCTCCCAGATACACTTTGAAGGTCCTTGTTCAAGAGATCATGGGAAGACCACAAAGCAGTTTCGGTATTCTTTCCAGTGCGATTGGCTTGTACGTATCTGAACAGGCCGTTCAAATTGTGTGTGTGTTTTCGCAATGTAACAGTGTTGAGATAGAGGAGGCAAGAACTACAAAAACAAGTGCTTTCGAGACGCAGAAAGATCCTTTCCCACAAACAACATGGTTCAGCTTCCGCTTGTTTTTGAAGTTCAACAACTTCGTGGTGCGTAGTTGAAGATATTGGCTAGGCTTATAGGGTGGGGCACGAAGTATTCATACATTACTCAGAGAACATCGAGGGTTGTTTTGAGGTTTCATATTGACTATGTACAAAGGGCGATCGACCAGTGCGGAAATGTACCTTTTGCGCTATCCGTAAATCGTGTCTCATAAATCAATCAATGCATGTCTATCCCATGCATTCATCCCAAACGCCATAACACCTATGCTTATCATCAATCATCAAACGTCTCCTCCCTCTACTCATCTGCTCCATTAGTCGATCGTCTAATCTCCTAGTCGTAAAGATCCATACCACCCTCCTCATCTTCCAACTCAGCGACTGCATCAGACTCATCGTACATCTCCGAGTCCTCTTCAGAATCAGTGTGGTTGGGAAGAACAACAATGTGTCCATCATCCAACTCCACACGCGCGACCTCGCCATCCTTGACAGCGCCACGCAAGATGAGCACTGCAAGACGGTTGAGCACCTCCTTCTCGATGAGACGGGCCAGCGGTCGAGCACCATAGGCAGGCGAGTACCCAGCGGAACCAAGGTAATCGCGGACCTCTGGTGACATCTCGATGCGAACGTTCCGCCCGTTGGCAGTAAGTCGCTTCTGAATCTCTCCAAGTCGTACATCGACGATCCTGCGAATCTCCTTCTTAGTAAGACGGTTGAAGATGACGATGCTGGAGATACGGTTGAGGAACTCGGGGAGGAACCAGTTGCGCAGGGCGCCCATAACCATCTCCTTGGTAGTGGGGTCGATCCTGCCATCCGGCGCGTTGGGGCGGGCAAGGTGCTCGGCGCCCAAGTTGGAGGTCATGACGACGATGCAGTTCTTTGCGTCGACAATGCGGCCCTGGCCGTCGGTGATGCGGCCGTCGTCCATAAGCTGCAGGAGCACAGTCAGGACTTCCTTCGCGGCCTTCTCAACTTCGTCGAAGAGAAGGATGGAGAAGGGCTTCCGGCGAAGAGACTCAGTGAGCTGACCGCCAGCATCGTGACCGACATAGCCGGGAGGTGCACCAATCATACGGCTAAGGGAGTGTCGCTCTTGGTACTCCGACATATCGAATCGGATCATGGCCTTGGCGTCGTCGAACAGGAACTCAGCCAGAGCCTTAGTGAGCAGTGTCTTACCGGTACCAGAAGGACCGCAGAAGAGGAAGCTGGGTGGCTGGTTGGGGTTGGCAAGACCTGAGCGCTGCAGGCGAATAGCGTTAGAGACAGCAACAACAGCCTCCTTCTGTCCAACAACAGTGGAATTGAGGTGGCGCTCCATGTTGAGCAGCTTCTCCTTCTCGGTTGTCTTCAGTCGAGTGACGGGGATACCTGTCCATCGAGCGACAATCTCGTTGATCTGGTCAGGACCGACAGAATCGCTAAGCAGAGCCTGGCCGTCCCCAGCCTGGTGTGCCCACATTTCGGCATCTGCCTGAGCCTTCTGCTTCTCCAGCTCTGCGATGCGAGTCTCGACATCCGGAATGGCGTAGTACTTCAAATCTGAAGCGGTCTGGATGTCGCGCATACGCTCGGCCTCAGCAAGCTTGTTCTTGAGACCGTCGAGCTTGACCTTCTGGTCCTGAATCTCTCGGCTGCGGCCCTTCTCACGCTCGTACATGTCGCGAAGTGGCTTAAGATCTTCCTCAATGTTGGCGGCTTCTGCACGAGCATCCTTGAGGCGCTGTATCGAGGCCTCGTCCTTCTCGCGGGCGAGAGCGTGGATCTCGATCTGTAGTTGACGGTGGCGACGCTCAAGGTTGTCAAGAGCTTCCGGTTGCGACTCTCGGGTGACACGAACAGCTGCGGCAGCCTCATCGACGAGATCGACTGCAGAATCGGGGAGGCGACGCTGTGTTAAGTAGCGAGCGGCAAGAGTAGCGGCAGCGACGATGGCACCGTCCATGATGGTGACACCGTGGTGAGTTTCGTACTTTTCCTTCAAACCACGCAGAATCGAGATGGTCTCAGGGATCGATGGCTCCTTGACCAGGACCTGCTGGAAACGACGCTCGAAAGCCTGATCCTTCTCAATGTACTTTCGGTATTCGGCGAGTGTAGTTGCACCAATGCAGTGCAGCTGACCACGGGCGAGCATGGGCTTGAGCAAGTTGGCCGCGTCCATGCCACCCTCTCCAGAAGAACCGGCGCCCATGAGCAGATGGATTTCGTCCACGAACAATACTATCATCTCCTTAGACTCCTCAATCTCCTTGAGGACACCCTTCATGCGTTCTTCGAACTCTCCGCGGTACTTGCTGCCAGCAACAAGAGCACCGACATCCAGGGAGAGCAGCTTGCAGGCTGCCAGGTTGGCAGGGACATCTGCATCGACGATTCGGCGGGCAAGACCCTCAACGACTGTGGTCTTGCCGACACCAGGCTCTCCGATAAGGACGGGGTTGTTCTTTGTTCGTCGCGACAGAATGCGGATGACTCGTCGAATCTCCTCTTCACGACCAATGACAGGATCAATCTTTCCTTCCCGTGCCATGGCAGTCATGTCGATTGTGAACTTCTTCAGATTCTCGTTCTCCTCCTCGGCATCAGCCGTCTTCGAGTCGACCCGCTTGGTGCCTCGCAGCGCCTGGATCGCGTTGTCGATCTGCTTCGCGTTCGGTACGTTTGCGTCGGCGAGACATCGCTGGATTTGGGCGTCTTTGCAGAGCGACTGGATGAGGTGGTCGACGGCGATGTAGCTGTCCTTCTGCGTTCGGCTGAGGTCTTCTGCGTTGCGGAGTACTTCAGCCATCTTGGGGGACGGCGACGTGCGCTCTGGCGGAGGGTCCTGGCTCGGTAACCGTACCAGAGCCTTCTTGAGAGCGCGTTCGAAGAGCTGTGCGTCGCCATTTGCGCGTTCCAGGACCTGCTTGAACAGCGGCGGTGGAGGGATGTCGACCTGGTTCGCCTGGTCCTTGGATGGATCTATCAGTGAGACGGCGAGATGTAGAGGTGTGAGTTGTGAGTGCGCATAGTCCTTGGCCAGCTCGAAGCTGTCTGCCAGAGCCTTAGCGGCGCGGTCGGTGTAGGCGTCGAATGAAGTCATTGTGGTGTGTGACTATAGCCTTGTGTGTATGGCGTAGAAGCCAGTGGGTATCGTGTGGTGTGACCTGTATTCAGGTATGCAGATGAGCTATGAGCTGTGGGTGTTGGTCGAATGTGTTGTGAGTTCTGATGAGAACAAAGACTCGGAGGTACTCGATTGTTATATACTTGCAAGGCTCTGTTTCGAAAAATGCCCAGTGAAAGCCAGCCGCATCGCGAGTGTTCTTGAACGTTATGGTGCCTTCCGCAGTTCCACCGAACCTTCTGGTGGCTGCTGCCAGGTTCCGCCTCGCTACGTCATGCCTGCCTTGCCAGAAAGGGGATAGTGCATTTACTTTGTCCCACCTGCCAGACCGGTCACTTCACCACGTGCACGCACAACACTGAGTTCGCTGTTGTGGCTTGACAAGAGAACCTCGCTTAGCCTTTGCACCGGTATGCAACTACATTGTAGGCTGTCTATAACACTGCAAAACTACACGAGGCAGACCAAGGACAGTGTGGGTAGTTCGCGCAGCCTGATCGCAGTGACTCAGCTCAAAGCCTCATCGAATCATCGAGGAACACCTCAATCGAGCCCCACTCGTGATAGCTACTGACGTCCCAGAAGAACACCTTCAGGATTCGAAGCTGCTGGGCATCAGACCACCGGCCATCGCCGTATCTGCGAATTATTACAGTGACGGTCGAGGAAGACAGTGGCTGTTAGGTCATGTTTAGAACACTTAGTACTGTTCAAGCCTAAGTACCTTGCTCTCAACGCAGCTTCAGAATGGTGCTACAGTCTTGTCGCACACCCGTTGCGGCGTATGTCTATCGCTGAGCCTGGGGCTGTCAACCTCGTCTGCCCTCTTGCTCTCCTCAGCCTCCTCTCCATTCGACCTCATGCCATTCTCCATTTGATCGTCTCGTTGTGCCTTCACTACTGTACTCTCGAGCAGAGGTACCGTCGGTGCATCGCCTTCTGCCCGTCTTTCGACAGGCACGAGTCCATCAAACCATTGGGCACGATGTATGACAGTAGAGCTTCTAATGCCGCCGGAAAGGTTGCGAGTATCTGCTCGTAGGTCTGCCCACAGCTCCGCATCCAGCAAATAAGATACTGGGCTACTGTTATGGTGTTCACCGTGCGTCTCAGGTAACTGTAGAGTAACCCAGCATGTTGGTATGTGAGCACTGAGCCGGGCCCGGTGTCGAATTACTGGGGGATCTTCCTGTGGTTGTGCGACTTGACCAGACATGCCCAGGTGGCGCTGTGGTCCGGCCTTGCCTGCAGCCAAGGTACCATCTCGGAAATTCGGAAAGTGCAGATAACGACTATCGCAAAGCAAAGGGCTGGGTACTGAGGGAGTAGTGGCGCCTTGAGCGCGGAGACGCTTGTTTGCTTGACGGTTGCTGGGCACACATGGCGGTACGTCATGTCAAGCTTGCAAAGTGTGGGGTTCTTGCCCGTGCCGCACCCGTTCCTGAGAGATCGTCAGAGGTGCGTCTGTCAGAAGTGCAGACCATGCCACTGGAAGGCTGCCGAATGTTTGTTGGTAAAGCCAGGGAGGGAAGGTGTGCCCTGGCTGAGTGCAGCGCTGTTGCTGGCGAGAGAAAGCGGTCAGCGGAACCTCTGCTGGGTTGATTGAGAGGGAGAATTCGAGAAAATGACAATGTATTGTGTCAGGTACATGAGCGCGATTGAGAAGGTGCAGGGTAGCTGCGAGCTTGAGGCCGCGGTTTGAGAAAAGGAAGGAGCAGGCGAGAGCACGTGGCAGCCTCGCCGTGACCTCACCTCCATTCTAAACTCGTATTTCCATCTCAACCGTTTTGCGCAAGCAAACATAAAAGTGCATCCTATCAAACCAGTTCTGGGCCTTGAACGCCTGTGTTTCATGCACAGCACATGCATACCTCGACCCTCATGGCCACTAATCGACGCCTACATCTCTCACACAGTCAACAGCATTACCTTCTGACTGTGTTCAAGCGACAACGTTGATGTACTCGCCTTTGAGTGCCGCCTCTGTGGTGGCCTTCAAGATCTCACCCAAGTTCTTGATCGTCCTCTGTGAAAGCCAAGCCAGATGTGGGCTCAAGGTGATGTTCAAATCCTTTACATCTTCCGCAAGAAGAGGTGTGTCCTCTGGTCCTCCAACAGGCTCGACTTGGTATACATCGGTAGCATAGCCGGCAATGCGCTTCTCTCTCAAGGCCTTCACGACAGCTGCCTCATCGACGATGCCGCCTCTGGCAATGTTGATCAACAGTGCATATGGGTGCATCTTCTCGAATTCGGCCGCGGATAACAGGTTCAGCGTTTGTGGGTTTCGCGGTAGCGACAGTACGATAACTGTAGCTTGTCGAAGGACGTCGTCAAACGGCACACGGCCATCTTCCGCATTCGGCGCTGGGAGTGCATCTCCCGGTGAGGGGTTGGAGGACGGTTTACGATCAGCCACGAGCACCTTCATCCCCAGGGCCCGTCCCACGGCCGCAATACGCTTTCCTAAACGTCCGGTCAGTCCTCGTTCCGTCGTGGGCGAGCAGCACGCACCAAGGCCTCCATAGCCCACAATTCCTAGGACTTCATCTCCACATGTCAACGGGGGCTTGCCATCGGGTAGTCGCAGATACGTGTTGACACTGCCCCTCTGCTTCCATTCACTGGGCTGACGACGCGTAACCTGATCTAGTAAAACGGTCCTGCGTCGCGCTGCAAAGTAGAGGCTTATCGCGTGCTCAGACACTGCCTCCAGATTTGCCCCTGGACAGTTGCATACACGGATGGCTCGGGCCTTCGCAGACTGGAGGTCTACGCAGTCCGTGCCAGTTGCGGAGACAATAACGTAACGCAATCGCGGTGTGACATTGTGGCTCAGCGTTTCAGCATCGAGCTTCACTGTCGTAACAACAACAATATCCGCATTGCGAATGCGGGCGTGCAGTTCGTCGCGTGTGGAGGTTGTTTGATATGAAGTGAGGCTGTAGGTCGTGTTGGGTGGAAGGTCAAGTGTCTCAAAGAGAGGCTGGTGTTGTTTCTCCAGTGCTACAACCTCGAAATGCATGCTGATGACGTAGCATGTGGAGTATCGAATTAGACAATTGAACTGGGAATCGTGAACTTTCGTATTCGTAGTGTGGACTTTAGCTAATTTCTATAGCTTTGGTACTGCTCCGCAGCTAACCGTCCTCTGTGGAGCTCGATTTCCTTCGACAACTGTAAGGAGTGCGCAGTGTGCTTTCCGAAGTCAGACATTTAGATGGTCAAGGAAAGAACAAAGTGTTGAGAAACATCGAACAAAGCACCCACAGTGCACATCTTGCAGCGTATCTTCAAACAATTCCCCTTTTCTTGCCTAGCTGCACTCACCACGATCTCTCGTCAATCGCAGCCTATCACGTGTTATCTCGAGACCCTGATGCACACGACCACCAGGCAGGATCTTTGCGACGATTTAAACTGAGCTTGCAAGCCCCCAAACAACGCCAGCACGCCGGGTCAGCCAGTTCGGCAATGTCCATTGGCTGCAGGTAAGCATGGTAAGATACGAAGTAGATAGCGACCAGCCGTCGACGTCCCAGGACCACTCCACCTCTCCGTTGAGGCCTTTCTTCCATTCGATGTTCAGATCTTCATCGCCGCGCACGGTTCGCTCGAGTTGTGGGCAATGCAAATTGCTGGCCCTGGTGTCGCCTGGACAGGAGATGAACCCCGGCATGGACGGCAGGAAAATTTGACGTCTTCTGTCCCACTTCCAGAAGCCTTGCAGGCAAATCGACTGGGTAGCTGCGGCTGACCTTCCGCCCCGGCTCGGTGGTGTTTTCGGTGCCACCAGTGCGCACCATCCCAGCAGCAACCAGGCTCAACCCACTGCCGACACGCGCCAAGGGGCGGGCGCTGGCTCCCAAGTGAGATTCGCGTGGGCGTGCTAACACAGCTTGCCCACACCAGGCTAGCAGGGAGCTGGACCAGGCGCGGCCTGACGTCCATCTACAGCCCTTCAAAGCTCGCGCGGGCCCCGTTCGGGATGTCGCAAAGCTTTTCACGACAACACAGAGGACCCCTTCACTCCCCGGCCAGCCTCAGGACAACTCCACCACACCGCTCACCATGGCCAGTACCACCCACGCGTACGGTACGCAGTCAGATGCGTATGCCGCCGAGAACGATGTCATTCCTCGCACTTCTGAGAAGGGGAGGAAGGTTAGCCTTGGCAAGGCCCCTTCTGAGGGTGCTCTGAACGATTCCGACGATCTTCTGGCGGCCATGGGCTACAAGGCCGAACTTGTACGCTCAAGATCGACTCTCCAGGTTGCTTTCATGTCCTTCGTTCTGGCCTCTATCCCCTACGGATTGGCCACTACGCTCTACTACCCGGTCGTCAACGGTGGTCCCGTTACCATTATCTGGGGATGGCTTGCGGTATCTCTGATTATCCTCTGCGTTGCAGCATCGCTAGGAGAAATCACCAGTGTCTACCCTACCAGCGGTGGTGTCTACTACCAGACTTTCATGTTGGCGGCTCCTTCTTACCGAAAGATCGCCTCATGGATTTGTGGTTGGTGCTTCGTCGTCGGCAACATAACGATTACTCTTTCCGTCAACTTCGCTACTGCTCTCTTCTACGTGGCATGTATCAATGTGTTCACCGATGCAGAAGGAAACGGCATCTTCGCAGGCACAACATGGCAGGTCTACCTGATCTTCCTTGGTGTCACACTTTTGTGTAACATCGTTTGTGTCACTTCGAACAAGTGGCTCCCATGGCTCGATGTGAGATTCCCTCCAGACTCGTATAAATGCGTTACTTACCAAGCGTAGACCTTTGCCATTTTCTGGACTTTTGCCGGTGTCATCGCCATTGTCGTGTGCGTGCTTGCCATTGCGAAAAACGGACGCCACAGCGCCGATTACGTCTTCACCACCCTCGACACCTCTAGCTCTGGATGGGTTCCCGGATGGTCGTTCATGGTCGGACTTCTCCACGCAGCCTACGCAACCTCCTCGACCGGAATGATTGTCTCGTGAGCATGCCCTTTACTTCTGCCAGAGCGACACGCAGTTCTTGCCCAAGCACTTCACCCCATGCAATTCTCCAAAGCAGCCTTCCCACAGCAACTTCGTCGTGCTACCCAAGCGACTTTTCATTCCCATTGCGACACATGCTTCAAAGAGACATGGTAATTTCAAACTGGTAATTGTCCACGTGCTGACTATTCTATAGTATGTGCGAAGAGGTTCGTCACCCTGCGACCCAGGTTCCCAAGGCTATGGTTGGCACCATTGTCCTAAACACTATCTGCGGTCTCATCTTCCTCATTCCCCTCGTTTTCGTCTTGCCCGACCAGGCTTACCTCGCTGGACTCCTGTCCGGTCAGCCAACCCCTGCCATCATTGTGGACGCCGTGGGCTCTTCAGGCGGTGCCATCGGCCTGCTGCTCCCGCTCATGGTCCTCGGCCTGTTCTGCGGTATCGGCTGCACGACTGCCTCGTCCCGCGCCATCTACGCCTTCGCTCGTGATGGTGGTATCCCTGGTTACAAGATGTGGAGGGTCGTTAATACCAAGTTCGATGTACCCGTCAACGCTATGATGATGAGCATGGTTGTTCAGCTTGCGCTCGGTCTCATCTACTTCGGTGCTGCAGCCGCTTTCAACGCTTTCTCTGGCGTTGGTGTCATTTGCTTGACACTCAGCTACGCTGCACCTATCATATGCTCTCTGCTCGGCGGTCGCAAGCAGGTCGTTGAGGGCCAATTCTACCTCGGCAAGCTTGGTCTGTTTTGCAACTTTGTTGCCATCGGTAAGTTGAGTTTCCTGTAGATCACATTACAGTAGCTAACATAGGTGACAGCCTGGTCTGCCCTTGCGACACCCCTCTTCTGCATGCCTACTTACCTTCCCGTCACCCCTACCTCGATGAACTACGCTTCCGTCGTTCTTGCTGCCGTCATCCTCGTCTCTACCGTCTGGTACTTCGTCTGGGGTAAGGCCAACTACGAGGGTCCCCCAACACATGAGGACGCCGTTCTCGAGGCCAGGAGGGCCAGCTTCGTCAGCACTCACAGCAAATAAGCGGTATCTACAGGCAGGCGTTCAGGAAGATTGTACATAAACGGCTCTCTTGCTTGTGGAGAGAGGGCCGCATTTGATTTTGTGGTGTTCGCTTGAGCGACAGCTCGTGAGCTCTATTGTACAGTTCTACATTTTTACCAATATACCCAAGTTCTCGCTTTCGATCTATCTGTCCTTCTGTCGTGTTTCAACGAGTTTGTTGTAAGTCTGGAACACAATGGTTCCGCAGTTCTGGTCATTGTCGTCACTAGCTTTTGCCTCATCGACTAGTTCGAGTCCGTCGAATCCGCAATCAATGATCATGATGCACAAGCCGCGCTCACCGGCGCTCCACACAAGGGACTGTCATCGAGTCGCGTCTCCTACAATCTCGATTGTCGACTCAGCACGGACTGATTATAAAGGCAGCTATTATCGAGGCGCTCACGTGTTCTACTCAGTCAGGCAAGTGCGCTTCACCATTGACATCGATGTCTAGACATGCAATGCAGGAGCGGCATGTAGCATATTCACGGGCAAGGCTGAAATAGTTGTCACAAATTCACTAGTCGCTCTCAGTCCCCACATGCCCAAGAGTACGGTTAGCGACCTCCGCACTGCACACAGCCCTGTCGCACCACCCATGAAACGGTCATCCAGGAGAACAATCGATTTTCAGTAACAGTAGTTCATTGAGTGTCAGGCTGACAGACCAAAACATGAGAGGGATGGTGGTGATGAATATGCCGCGCAGAGAAGATGCATCGACGACATCTGCGACTCACTTTCTGGCATGACCGCACCTTCGGGGATGAAAAAGACATGAGATAGCATGACGTTCATCATGGTGAGTCACATCATTGCGATGTTTGATGGTGTTGCACAACTGCGTTTGCTGTATGTCAACCGCCGATCACCTGCCCAATCGAGCAGCAGGCATCTGCATTACACGCGTGTAGACTATTACAAACACACAACACCACTTGCGCATTTGTAAGCTTCACCCACTTCTGTATGACTGACAGAAAAATAAATACAACCTCAGAGCAACCGGAAAGCTCATCACAACCACCATATCAGACCTACATCGCACAGCGCCAATATGACATCATCGAAGTCCTTTAGCAACGTGCCAGCCGGTGCAAGCCAGCAGCCAACACCTTTTGAGCTGCATATCAACGAGCAGAAGCTCCAAGACTTCAAGACATTGCTCAAGCTGAGCCCAATTGCGAAAGAGACATACGAGAACCTGCGAGAAGATGGAGAGTTTGGAGTCACCCGCAAATGGATGCTAGATGCGAAGCAATACTGGCAAGAAAGTTTCGATTGGTATGTCAGGGTGGTCTATCTGTACTTACTGCTCTGACATGGTACAGGCGGAAGGAAGAGGATCGCATCAATTCCCTGCCCAACTTCAGAACCCAGATCAAGGACGATGATGGGAATAGCTACGATATCCACTTCGCAGCCCTCTTTTCCTCAAAGCCGGACGCAATCCCTATCGCTTTTCTCCACGGATGGCCAGGGTCTTTTCTTGAGTTTGTACCGCTGCTAGAGCTTCTGCAGAAGAAGTACACGCCGGATGACTTACCATACCACATCATCGTGCCCTCGCTTCCTGGCTATGCTCTTTCCTCAGATCCACCACATGACAAAGACTGGACTACCATCGACATCGGCCGCACGATCCACAAGCTGATGCTTTCCCTCGGATTCGGTTCAAGCGGGTACCTTGTTCAGGGCGGCGACATTGGAAGTCTGGTCTCTCGTGTGATTGCAGCAAGATACGATGAGTGCAAGGGCATGCACCTCAACTTTATGCTCAACAATGGGATCCAAGACAAGGCCAGCGAGGATGATAAGCTTACTGAGCAGGAAGAAAAGGGTTTGAAGCGCATGGAGAAGTTCTTTGTTAAAGGCAGAGCGTATGCGCACGAGCATGGAACGAAGCCTGCTACTATTGGGTTCGCAATGGCAAGCTCGCCTGTTGCTCAGCTTGCTTGGATTGGAGTAAGTCGAAAAGCTTTTGGGTGTCCCTACAACCTACTGACAAGACCACAGGAGAAGTTTCTTGCCTGGTCCGACCCAAACACAACGCCCTCTCTCAATACCATCCTTACTGACATCACACTGTACTGGCTCACCGACTGCTTCCCCACATCCATCTACACATACCGACAAGACAAGAAGATGGACCAAGTAAACAAGCCTACCGGATACTCGTACTTCCCGTATGAGCTGTGTCCTATTCCGCAGGCCTGGGCTGCTAAGACGTGTGATCTGGTGTTTTTCAAGAGCCATGATAAGGGTGGGCATTTTGCGGCGTTGGAGAGGCCGGAGACGCTGTGGGCGGATGTTGAGGGGTATGTGAAGATTGCTTGGGAGTGATGGGCCATGCCGTCACTCGGAATGTAGGCAAGTGCAATACGACTGCCTCTTCGGCTATAGATCTGCCGGTTGTTGTGGCGTATAAGTACCCCCTCCTACTACTTGACTGCAGCAACACCTAAAAACCTTTACCTGAACGCTCCAACTCTCCATACACAACTCACGCAACTATCAATATGTCGAAAAGCACAGGTTCCTGAATCTGCGGCAAAGTCACCTACGAGATCGAGGGCGGTCCCTTAGCAAGGTAGGCACCACACCTCACCTCACCCCTCTGCCCACACCCCTTCACTCCTTCAAATGCCCTCTCTGCCTACCAACTAACTAATTTTAGTGAGGATTTGGGCGGAACATTGAGGGGAGTTGTACTGTAAGGTGTGGCATAGGAGTGGAGTTGAGATAGTAAGGCGTTGTGTGTTGAGTGAATGTCGGTGGGTTGGCGTTGGGTGTCTGTTGGGAAGAGAGGAAACTTTGCACGAGTCTAGGTGCACAGCAAGAGCAACAAATGAAAGAACAGGGTCAAGCTGAAGTCATGACCTAGCGTAATGGTGACACCGTGAGCTGAGCCAACGCTGCGTTGTTGCAGAGCGTGGTAACCCTTTATATGCCCCAAGATCAAAGGTTCGATCCTGGGCCGCGGTGCCCCAGGCGTCAGTAGAATGTCTGTCTTGCATCCCTCAGTAAGGGTTTGAGCTCAGTGCGCATGCTTGAACATGATCTCTTCGTAACTGTTTGCAACCTCCAGATAATCCGCATCGAAGCCGCAGTGTTTGGTGAAGTCTGCAGGGTACGGTCCGTAGCAGGAAACGTTGAGGCTTCCGTCACCGAGCTGTTGGCCAAACAGGCCCTTCCTATCACTATATGCAAACACACTGCCACAGTTGACGAAGGCATACGCTTCTGGTGCCGTTTCCTTGGCGTTCGAGACCTGCATGCTCCATCCGCTGAGTCCAGAATGATGTGGTCGATCTTGTGAGAAGAGACTTCTTGTCTTGCTCCATGCACCATCTGCACCAACAAGCAAGTTGAACCCGGATAGCACTTCGGCGTTGCTGAAAAATACATTCAACCCAAAAGATGCCATTTTTCGCAGAGATGCAAGCTTCCAGCCCCATTTCACGTGTTCTGCTGGCACATTTTCGACCAGCATCTTTCTCAGTACCGCGCGATTAATCTCTAGCGATCTTGGGGAATGACATGTCGCTTTTAAGCTGAGGTATGAGTGGTCGTGTGATGTGCTCTGAAGATGAATTGGATTTTGTAAAGGTGTGTTGATGATTTTCTTTTGATGTAAGACCGAATCTGGGAGCCTGGTTGATCGAATACGGAAGTAGTTGGCCAAATGTTCTTTCTGCTCCTGTCGCAGTAAGTATCTTAGAAGATAGGACCACAGTACCCTCCATTATCTACTTTTCATGTATCACAGTCATCAAGCGATGCAGCTGTATCGTGGTGCCTGCTGTTGCTCATTGAACAGTCGTTAATTCGCTCATTGCATACTGACGGCTGAGTAACGCGGCGTGTCAGCCATCTTCATGCGTTCTGTCGCAACGCTAGACACACTGGGACTAGTTGTTAATACGACAATGTGACAAAGTGATCAGTTCGACCGTGTATTTGCTTGAAAGTATTTAATATAGGGCGACTCAATGAGATGATCGTTGTTGTCACTGAAGGATGAAGGATGTGGGTGCCAGCCCATTGAAGGGCTCCTACTGGCATTAGGGATGACGTAAGCTTGGCAGATCGCTATCGATAACGAACCTTAATCTTCTCGCGTTTTCAACACCATTAAACATTACAAATGTAGGAACTAAAAGCGGTGCTGGCTCGGTTGAGCTCGTCATCTTGGTGCCCGTTCGCCTTTGGCACCTTCTTCTTTCGCACAGAAGCATTGTCAAGCTTTCCTTGCGAACCATGTTCAACGCTCTTCGTTCCTATCCACCAATCAAGCCGAAGCCTGCTGCACACGTTCTTCTTGGTTTCGTATACCCCCGAAACGACCATACGCATTCGAGCAGTAGCCGAACAGGACTTCACGAACAGCAAATCAGGGTTGAGCTATCTCCGCTGATGGGTCGGTGGGACATCGTTTGCGCAGCTGCCACCCCGGTATTACTTCTATCGGCACGGCTCACCGTCGAATGTATCGCAACATGCTTCAATCGAGATCTTTGATTGGCATTTTACCGCTTGAAGGCTCCCCAGTGCTCCCGTTCCTGCAGAAATGACGCAGTCAATGCAGAAAACAGAATGGGAAACAGCCCATGATGCTCCGAGGAGCTTTGAAATTGTGTGGTTCTGGTTGGATTACAAAAGGTCCAGAGTGCCGGTAGCTTTGCTCTGCAGGCTGGTCTGACTACACTTCTGTTTTCTAGAAGTCAATTAGCGCTATGAAGCTCCAGTTTCTACCATTTCTGCCATTGGCGTCAATCGCCAGCGCCAGCTGGTCGAAGAACCTGAACTATCGTTCACCCTCAGAGCACCACCCTGCTTTGGGGATTTCGATCCATAGGGTTGTCAAGAGGAATGATCCTCAATCCAGTTACGATACAGCGACCCTGAACTTTACTCATGGCGTCGCTTCCGGTGATCCATACCCCAACAGCGTCATTCTTTGGACCCGTGTTGCGCCGCAGAGCGACAACTCACAGTCAAACTTGACAGTCACTGGATACGCTCCCTTGTATGATCACGACAATGAGAAGTACGTTCACGTCTCGAAGTCGCCTGTTTGCGTGGAGTACAAGGTCGCCTCGGATCAGAATCTTACCAGCACGGTGGATTCTGGCAAGGTTTACACCAGCTCCGATGTAGACTTCACTGTCAAGGTACGGTACTACGTAAAAACTCGGATGGCCTTCAGTTGGCTGATAACGCCCTAGGTTGAAGCCCAGAACTTGAAGCCATACACCACGTACTACTACCAATTCAATGTCTGCAACTCGAACAACAAGAGTCCACTTGGACGAACGAAGACAACACCAAACGCAGACGACGATATCACTGAAGTCGGCATTGCTGTGTACAGCTGCGCAAATTATCCCTTTGGTTTCTTCAATGCGTACGGCAATGTTGCACGAAAGGTTCGCCTTACTGACCGACCTGGTCATTACCATGCGCTAATACACGTTACTACAGGACTCGGTTGATTACGTCGTGCATCTCGGAGACTATATCTACGAATATGAGAACGGCTACTATGGCTGGGGCAACAGCCTGGGACGAATTCCCCTGCCCGACCGCGAGATCTTTACTCTGTACGACTACCGCAAGCGCCTAGCCACATACCGTACCGATTTGGACCTTGTCGAAAGTCACCAGAAGTTCCCTTGGATTCCAGTGTGGGATGATCACGAGGTAGCGGACAACACATACCGTGACGGCATGGTGAGTAACGTGTTGTACTTAGCTGCACTTTCGGGTAGGCTTACTGATCTCTTCTAGGCTGAATTGAACAACACAGAGGACTCCTTCATCAAGGATGGCGTAGGCGTGGCTGTAGACCAGCGCAAGATGAACGCCGTCCGTGCTTACTTCGAGTGGATGCCGATTAGGCAAGTCGACATGGACGATAACCTCCGTATCTGGCGATCGTTCTCCATTGGAAAGCTGGTCGACCTGACGATGCTCGATACTCGTCAGTACGATCGATCAATCACCGACTTGTACTGGAACACCGATTACGTTCACGAAATCTCGAACGATGCAGGCCGATCACTCATGGGCTCGCGTCAAGAGAACTGGTTCTACAGGAAGCTTTCAGAGTCAGCCAAGCGCGGTGCAACATGGCGAGTGATAGGGTCCCAGATCGTGTTCTCACGCGTGAACCAGTCGGCAGCTTATGGCAACGATAACCCTGTGAACTACGACGCCTGGGACGGATACCAAGCGAACAAGAACCGCACCCTGAACCATTTGTACAGCAACAACATTAACAACAACATCTTCCTCGCCGGCGACAGCCATGCTTCATGGGTCAGCGACCTCGTCTGGCTAGGCGAAAAGGAGTACAACAAGAGCACGGGTGCTGGCAGCATTGGTGTCGAATTCGCCGGTAGCGCTGTTACCTCACCGTGCCCATACGGCGCGAACATCAGCCTCGCCACCGCCAACAACTACTCCACATGGCTGCAAAATGCGAACGACGAGCTTCAGTGGCAGGACTTGTACTATCGTGGATACTTCGAGCTCCACTTCACGCATGATAAGGTCGATGCAAATTTCTTTGGCTTGCCTACCGTTGTCACCAGGAACGGATGGGAGATCCCCATTGCGAACTTCACCGTCCTTGCTGGCGAGAACAAGCTGCAACGGCCTGTGGCAGGAGGAGTTGTTGAAAGTGGAAGCTTGAAGTTCGGCAAAGTCGTGCAGAACAACGTAACCCTCGATACGAACAACGGCACCTGGTTCGTAAGCCATGCTGACTTAGAGGTCTTGTAAGGGGCGAATTATAGCCATCGTGCCATCTCTGGTCAGTCAAGAGAGTTAAAATTGTATGCATCAACGACCGAAGCACCATCAAATGCGAAACCACGAATGCACCAGGGGCCCACTTTCACATTGTCACATCTACTGACGTCTTCTCTATTTAAGGTGTTCACTTCAACCAAGCCCACGGAAAGGGTCTGGACATCTGGACCCCGGAAACCACCACCGTAATCTCACCATGCTCGTCATAGAACACACGGCACCACTTCAACACAGACTACAACATTAGACGCAACAGGACGAATGCAAATCAAAACATGCTTTGGCATGTAAGCTATCGACAATTGTTACCAACATGCAGGAAAGTTGGAACAACAGGGTTCCAATCAAGTAACGCGCAACCCGAGTCCAGACCAAGACTTCGGGGAGCGCGACACGTGCAATTACGAAGTTGACATTATGATTTCAGCCTCAAGTTGGGCAGGGGTAACTGGTGGCTGCCATCGTACGACAACATTGCAGCAGAAGCGGTTGTGATCTTCTCGACAGCGAACACATGCCTGACTTCAAACATATTGAAGCACAGAAAGCGAACCCACTTACAAATGTCACAACAACAAGGCTGCTTGTTTGATGGATTCCAGAAGAGTGAAATCCACGTTCACTCACAGCTGCTTAGGTAAGTGCAACCTCCAGGATCCGCACCAGAAGAAAGTTCCACTTCACATTTCGGAGATTGCTTTCATCTCCTCAAACTTTTCGCCATGCTGCCGATTGCCGTAGTTTCTTGCGGAGAAGAGCCCGTCCGTGAAAGTCTTGGCCGACGAGACTGTGGTGATGTCATACCTCACTGGTCTTGAAAGGTCGACAATGAGGAATCCCTAGGTACCAACGTATCTTCTGTTCGCTTGTCTTGACTCTCACCAACCCCACTCAACACCATCACTTTCTTGCGCGATGTCTACAACATCTACGGCGAGTTGCTTTGAACCGTGGTGTGGGCAGAAGTCTGGGCTCAGCCAAGCCTTCCCCGCGCCTGAAGATTTTACTTTTCTCGTGACAGGAGCCCAGCGCAGGGTCGCTCTCTGCACGCTGGCCTGCCAAGAGGATCAGAGCTAGGCTACTGGCTCTCCACCTCACTTCCGCCCCACACAGCCACATCGACCTTCACGTCAAGGCCGAATGCGGTAACGACGCTCTCACGCTTGTCCGATTTCGAACTCGATGTAGGTTGGGGCCTCCCGCTTCTGGGCAGTAGGCGCTACGGAAACCAGACCATCCGTACCAAGTCATCTAGGCGATATATTAGGAGGCAATCACGGTTTAAAGGAACACAAACTCAGTAGTCTTGCTACCCAGGAGGAATGGTACGTCTGCATCTAATGCCAAGCAATCGTATTTTTGGCCCGCAGTCCATCGTTGTCATTCGCCGGAAGTTCAAGAGTCGGTCCCTGATATCCTCCCATTGGCTACACATGTGGGTATGGAGATCGTATGTCTGGGCAGCTTGACAGCGGGACGGTCTCCCAAGACTCACTTCACACCCATTGGGCACTCCCTCAAGGCAATCGCCGTGCTGTAGTGCTTACTACGTCCTACTAATGTGAGCCTCAATAAAATTCACAAGTAGCAGTCTTGGCTCCAAAGCCGCTCGAATCTCACTAAGGCACTAAACACCAACACCAAGACCCTACGACTTTTGCCCAACCCATCCCGTGGTACACCAACGTAATGGCACTCCTTACTGCTCGAGCAAGTTAGAATCTTATGGAACATGTAGAGGGGACCCGCGATGTTATAAATGAGGGCAGAAGTACCTCCCAAGAGTTCTCATCATCAGCCACTACAACTCTCACCTCCAACGATCACTACCACATACACAACACACATTCAAGATGCACTTCTCCGCATCTGCTTTCGTCACTCTTCTGACTGCGGCTCTTGCCGTCGCCGCTCCTACTGCTGAGCCCAACAACAAGTACACCGACAAGAAAATCAGCGACTGCAAGAAGGACCTCGACAACGAGTGGAACCAGAAGGATAACGAGTGGAAGAAGAATGAGAAGGCCTTCTACTTCGATGCCGAGTACATTGTCAAGGCCACACCAGACCAGGTCATCAACACCACCCAGATTCCCACACCCGGCGAGCCCGGCGCCAGGGGTCTATTCAAGTACGGCATCAACATTGCTGACAACACCATCTGCTACGTAAGCCTTCCTTCCCCTTCCATCTTACCACATTTCAGACTAACATATATATCAGAACATCACACTCTCCGGCGTGACCGGCGAGTACCAGTCCCTGGCCCTAACCTCAACGCACATCCACGAGGCCCCCAAGGGCCGCGCCGGACCTCCTCGCATTGCCCTCCCCAACCCCAAGGGTCCTGATGAGCGTCGCATCTCCACAGGCTGCCTGACTGGCCCCTTCAAGACCGGCATTCTCGCCAATGGCGTCGACACTGGTGACAACTTCCACGTCCGCCAGATTGTTGCTAACCCAGCCAACTTCTTCACTGACACTCACACTGCCAAGTTCGTCCCTGGTGCTGTTCGTAGTCAGCTCAAGTAAGCGTCTCGCGGTCTGCGGTTCGCTGCTTGAGTGTCTGATGTATTGATTCATGAGGACTCGGAGATTCGCATTAAGGTGCCCGTGGGGCGGTAATTGACACGGCTCAAGTCTCTGACTGGGTTTTTGTGTATAATGAGCCTTGATTCAGCATGATAAATTTTCACTACCATACCTTCAACCCTAGTTCGTGAATACTTGTAAGTGTCTTTACAGGATGTGATTAGCTTTCTATCTTACGCGAATAACTCAGCAGTAGAGCTAACGCCCTGCTAGCGTCAGACAACGTACCCAATGGAGCTATAGTGCAGTCAGACTCTCGTTGTCTAATAATAGCGGTTCAGAATATGAACGCTGCTCACGATACCATCGATGCTGTTGGCTGAGGATCGTTTCTTAGTGCTGGTGGTGCGTGCAGAGCATTCCGAGGTCTGAATAAATCGTTTGAGAGGAACTAATCGCTCACAAGTATATGAACATTGATGAGAGAGACATTCAATGTACAAGTGGGATCTGGTGAGAGAAAGCTCGCCCTATCCCTGATCCACTATTTCTTTCGTATACTCAAGCCCTGAGAACGTTCACATGGATACAAGGACAACCTTATATACGACGCACCACCAGATCAAAGGAGCACGACATAAGATGCATTTACACAAGACAGTACCAATACTCATTCAGATCCTGCGTACAGGATTCCTTGCGCCAAACGCCTCTCAATAAATCCCCAAAGTTTGAGTCAATTCAATAGCGGAACCCTTGTCCGGTTATCTGCAAGTAACGACGGCCAATCTCTGCCTAGAAACGAGACTCTTACAGCACTCACGGTGCATACGCCTTAGGAACGTATGAAAGCTCTGCAACACTCCCCTCTCCATCGACCCCACCATTCTTCTTCGCCTGCCTCGCCGCGTACTTATCAGCACCCCAGCACAAAAAGCTAAGCACCATGCTGAACCCCAGCAACAAAAACGTAATCAGCGTGCCGTACAGCGCAAATCTGCTCTCTCTACAGATCGATCCGAAGTTGCTATTGCCCATGTTGGACTGCAGGGACAGGTCTTGTTTAAGTGGGGACGAGTGCTGGTACTTGCACGCCCAGGTCTGGATGGTGTCGATGTCTGGGGTCTGGCGGTTCAGGATGTGGCTCCAGATGACGGAGATGAGGGTAAGGAGGAGACTCGGTAGAATAGTAGCCAGCGAAAGAGCGGCGCGGAGAGTGTGTTTCTGCTTCAGTTGCAACTGTTACTTGTCAGCTTTTATCCCTCTTCCTCTTCCTCTTGCTGAAGTGATTGGATATTGGAGGATCGTACACTAGGGATGAAGGCTGCGATGAGAAATGCGCTGGATAGCACGAGCGCAATCACTGATGAAGCGAGCAGCGCTTTTGTCCCGTGGATGTCGAAGTGCTGCGGCCACATGGGGAGCCACCAGGGATTGGAGGTTTGCTGCTTGTTGAAGACATGGAGAGTGTGTGCGCTTGTGCCGAGGATGGCGATACTGAATACGATGACGAGGGCTGTGAGGATGGTTTGCGCGAGGTGGAGGGGCGCTGGGTTGATCTTCATTTTGTCGGGTTTACGATTATGTCTCTTGTGATCGTGGAGGTGGTTCCGTGGACGCTGGCAGATGGCGACAACGCCGGTATGTAATAAACAAGATATAGTAATTGTTTGTATAGGAGTGCCTGACCCTTGAAATGAATGGATGACGAGAATAGAAGTTGCCTTTGTGTGCCTGAATATTGGTGATTTGAGGGGGGTCGACCATGCTTTAAAACGAGGTGGTCTCAGTCGTTGTTTCAAGCTCATCAATACCCCATGCAGGCATGTCAAGCCCCAAAATAGCTATACTGAGGTACAGAGTCGACGCTCATTTGCGTTGCCGCTTACCTTTGGTCGAGGCTCTGCGGTTGGCGACGCTGTACTCTTCAGCGCGTAGACGCATGTCGGCACCAAGAAGGGAGGTTTTGGTGTGTGAGTTGCAGCTGATCTTGCCGGATGGAGCCATTTAGCAGTATTATATCTTGAAGGCCTGAAAAAGGGCCTGCGATTCGTTCATGTAATCGTTTTTTGACGTGCAGTTAAGCACCGTGACTGTCGTGTCGCTCCGCTCGTAGCACAAGCTAGGATGCAAATGGCTATAAATGTGAAGGGCGCACACAAACTTGACGAATGAAAGCGAAGAAACGCCTGTCTGTGAGCATTGTCGAGCTTCTGAAACTAATGAATGCATGGACAGCGCTTCGAGGCATGTGAGCAGGGGCGTGCAGTTCGGCGCTTAGTGATGTGTGGGCCCTTGGTGACGCCGCGTAACGATTGGCTGAAAAACAAATTGCAAGATACGTACCAAAATGCAACACCAGAAATCGATCAGAAGCAAACAGTGCAGTGCAGAAGCTCTGTCTGGGCCACTGGAAGTTGTTGAGCAGATTGAAAGGTATAATATGACCAACGTTTACTCGAGCTTCGAAACTGTGTATAAGTGTCTACCTATATTATCAGTAACGCCGTAAATGCTCCAAATGCTCGCACTGCAATGGAGCCAACAAACAATAGACCGGAACTCAGCCGAACGCCCGTATTGCCGCCCCTGGAATGGCAAAATACAGCGATCAACTAGCGCCTCTAGAGTTGACCAGTGATGCCGCCGCCACTCCCGCCGAACCATCTTTGCTTCCCAGAGCTCTGCAGAGCAGGTGCCTTGCCCTTCTTCGCAGCTTGTAGAGGGTGATCCTTCTCCCACTTCTCGTCGGCTCTGAACGCGGTCATGGCATTCTCGAGGTTGAAGCCCGCTTGCTCGAGGTATAGAACGGCGACGTCATATCTGCGCATCGGTCAGCCTTCTATAACCTCTTTTATTCGTGCACATGGTGTGCAACAACAGCACCTACTCGGCAACCTTGCATCCTACCATGAACTTCCTTAGCTTGATCTTCTTGATCTCCTCCTCTTCACCTTCCAGCGGCCGAGGGCTGAGACTGACTCCACCCTTGTAGTACTCTCCTGGTATCAGTACTGTCCTGCGCGCCGCTAACAAATGGTCTGCAAACATCTTGTTCGTCCGGCGCAAGACATCTGGAGGTACACCATAGGCGAGGGATAACGATGCTATCGAGTCGTGGTTCTGGTCGACGAAGTGTAGGACATCGAGTGAATTCTCTGTGCTTGCGGCTTTCTCTAGCGGTAGCTGTGGAGCATTGTGTGCTGTGTAAGGCGGTAGATCGTCGTCCACTTTCTCGTCGACGTGTGGCGAATACGTAGGAGGATCGCGTAGACCTTGCGCTGGCAATGGGGAGGGACCGGTCGATATCTGGCAGAAGGGGCAATAGTTTGCGAATCGAGGGTTGTCAGTCAAGCAGCGCGCGCATATGGCGCGACCGCAACAGTCAAGCCGGCGCTCGAACTGTGTTGGCTTTTCGGTCTTCTCATCGTAGGTCGGAGGAATAGATGACAGCAATGTAGCGCAGGTACAGCAAGCTTCAGACATGGTGTACTCCCTCATGATGCAGAGGAAAGACTTGACGCTAGGAAACAGGATGCTCGTGAAAGGTATTGGGAGGCAAAAGCGAGAGATAGCACGTCATGACTAAGGACGTTGCGGACTCGCGGGAGCACGTGAGGGTGTGTCTATGATGGCAAACATCGAATCGAATGTCGCTAGTGTGTCGCATACATAACGCATAGGAGCGATTTACTGTACTTATGGATTTGATGCTCTCTGTACGCAGTGATGGTGATGTTCAAAGCTCAGGGTCGAGGTGGAAGGAGCAAGGCTCCACCGCGGAAAGAACGACCCTCGGCGCACAGTCCACGCCAAGCCCACTCGCTAGCCGAGCGCGAAATTGCACCCACATCGAACTTTTCCACCGCTGGTTACGCACATCTTTCGCTATCCCATCCGCATCCTCACGAGGTATGTTTTGTTTGTTCCGATGAGTGCCCTTCAGAGAGCCAGGGGAAGCAATCGCGCCTGTCCGAAAGGATAAGCCTGACACTGCTCCCCTCTGCGACAAGAGCTGAAGAACCCTCCAAAGCTGCTGGCTGAGGGCACTCTCCATGCTCTGGCATCTGGAGGCTAACCACAATTTCTGCGCAGATACCTCAGTCGCCCCTCGCCATTGAGAATCTTCGATAAACCGCCAAAATGGTCAAGACCTCCGTCCTCAACGATGCGCTCAACGCCATCAACAACGCCGAGAAGGCCGGCAAGCGCCAGGTCATGATCCGCCCTTCCTCCAAGGTCATTGTCAAGTTCTTGACCGTCATGCAGCGTCACGGTACGTCGAACTCCCTCTGTTGCGCATACATCTGGTTCTCTACCCCCTCTCCGGGCTGATAACTTCCCAATGATCATGTCTTCTCTACGGTCTTTGGGCTTTAAGTGTCCGGTATATCAACTGCGGAGAACTTACACATCCTCGGAACCCTTCCATGATGTCCGATGTTTAATTTTGCGCAACATACCAGATCTTCACAAAGCTAACGTTTGTGTCAGGCTACATTGGCGAGTTCGAGGAGGTCGATGACCACCGCAACGGCAAGATCGTTATCCAGCTTAACGGCCGCATCAACAAGACCGGTGTCATCTCTCCCCGTTACAACGTCCAGCTCCGCGATATGGAGAAGTGGGTCGTCAAGCTCCTGCCCTCGCGTCAATTCGGTTACATCGTCCTGACCACCTCCGCCGGTATTATGGACCACGAGGAGGCCCGCCGCAAGCACGTTGCTGGCAAGATCCTCGGTTTCTTCTACTAGACTAGTTTTGGATTGCGCGATGTGGAGGGATGCATATACCCGGGCTTAGCTAGGCACGAGAATTGTTTGGCTAGACAACCATCACGGCCATGCTAGACGAAAGAATGACCAAAAGTTCATGACAGTCAAAAAGACGCCATAATATCTATTTCTCCTCTGCTGTTGTGATGCTTGTGTTTGACCGCTTTTAAACCACTAGGAGTTGTGATTTGGAAGTAATCCACAGCACTCGGTGGTATACGGTCACTTCTTCCACCAGATCGATCTTGGCAATGTCTTTACGTCTACTAACAGTTCATACGAAACCGTCCTCTTTGCAGCCCTGCGTTCCTACAATAGCCCTTGCTCGGCCACCGTTGTTGCAATCATGAAGTTCTGTACATTGCCGAACCTGGACTTTGTCCATGTTACGCATGGACAAAGTCCAGGTTCTGCAGAGTCGGTACCCGAAAAACTGTTACTTGGGCAGGCTTGTACCAAGCATAGCAGACGCACGTGCTCGACACGTTTCGTTGCCATGCTAATGTTTTCTACACAGCAGTCAGTCTCTCGACGAACTGTCGCTGAGGGGCCGAGCGCAAGGCTGTGCTGCACACTGGGAGCAACCGCGCACGTGCGCGATATCCAACCCGTTGCTAGAGCGGGAGAAGGAAACTCTGTGATAGGCCCGAGACACGGGAATCCCAAAGCTATCTACGTCAGGGGTTGGACTGAAGCCCCGCTGCTACTGAACAAGTGCGAGCTGTGAACGTGAAGCAAACAAAGATCTAGCGCCTCGCTCGACTGGAGAATCAGCGACATACTATGCCTTTCGTCGTGCACACCTAGGAACCTCCACACCGTCTACCCCTCTATCCTCCACATTTAACCAGGCCGTGCTTCTTGGCCGGCAACGGGCGCCCGCCGTGCCCAATCACAGCCACCATGGAAGGGTGAGTGCCCCAAAGCCCGCGTGCTGTGCGACGGTGGGGGGACATGCACATGTCAGGCTCTGGCTGAGACTGACGTTTACCTGTAGACACAAGCGTTCCAAGTCGCAGAGCGTCAAGCACATGCTGAGTAGGGTGACCTCGAAGACGGAAGGAGGATCATCGACACCTGCAGAAGGCAGCACCACGAACACGGCCAACAACTCGCCGCCCAACTCGTCGCAAGCGTCGCTGAGCTCGCCAGTAACGGGCCACCAGCGCAGTCTCTCCAAGAAGCTGCCCCCGAATCTGCCGGCCACCATGTCGACAGCGGGCGGCCCCAGCGAGGGCAGCAGCAGCAGCAGCAGCAGCCAGCAGCCCGCATCCCCGACATCGCCCACGATCAAAGGTGGGTCGATTGAGCAGTCGGTCAAGCTGTTCCGCGTCTTCGAGTCTCTGCGCAACGGCGACACGGCAGCCATCTTGCGGGCCATCCGCGAACAGTCGGCGCCGGGCGACAGCGAGGGAGGCAGGACTTCGCTCCAGCTGCCCACTGCGCGCACTGAGGGCACTTCAATCCTGCATCTAGCTATCCAGTGCGCCGAGCTCCCCGTCGTTGAGTTCGTGCTGTCCAACGCGACGGCCACGCCAGACTCGCCCATTGATGTCAATGGCCGCGACCGCGACGGCAACACGCCTCTCCATCTCGCAGCCACGCTGGGTCGCGCTCCGGTAGTGCGACTCCTGCTCGACCAGCCGGGCATCAACGACTCCATCACCAACCACAACGGCCAGGCTCCTCTGGACCTCGCCCGCACGCCTGACATCTTCCAGCAGCTGCAGCTGGCCCGCTCCATCTTCATCGATACCAACGTGAAGAGGATACAGCAGCTGGTGGGTGCTGGAGACTTTGATACATTGGAATCAGTGCTGCAAGATGCGCGCGTACAGCGCACGCTGGATGTCAATGGTGGAGAGATTGCAACGGACCCAGTTGTCATCGATGCAGGAGGCACGCTCCTGCACCAAGCAGCCAAGAACAAGGATGTGAAGCTGGCTCAGCTGCTATTGCTGAACGGCGCAGACCCTTTTCGCCGTGACCGCAAGGGCAAGCTTCCGCAGGATTACACCAAGGATGACCGCACACGTGCTATTCTGAAACGCTCGCCTGCTGCCGCTGCTGCTCAGCGAGGCATTCAAGAGAAGACAATTCTTGCCGGTCAAGCGCAACCTGGGGCTCCTGCCGAAGGTGGCGTGGGCTCCAAGGAGTCGCGTGAAATGAAGGGCTACCTTAAGAAGTGGACCAACTACACAAGCGGCTACAAGTTGCGGTGGTTCGTGCTGGAAGATGGCGTTCTCAGCTACTACAAGCACCAGGGTAAGTTCTTGCGATAAAGAATCCTGCTTGTGAGCTAACTTTGGAAGATGATACCGGTTCTGCGTGCCGTGGCGCCATCAACATGCGCATTGGCAAGCTCTACATGGACCCGCAGGACAAGCAGCGCTTCGAGATTCAGGGCAAATCCTCAGTCAAGTATCACTTGAAGGCTAATCACCAAGTTGAGGCAAAGCGCTGGTACTGGGCTCTGAACAACGCCATCCAGTGGGCCAAGGACGAGGCCCGCGAGGAGGAGAAGCGTGCAACGCAAGACCAGGAAGCGCTGAAGCAGGCTAAGGTTGAGCTGCTCTCTAAGGAGGGTGACTCGTCCAGTCTTAGCAGCTCAAGAATGACGGGGTCGAGGAACCTGGCTCCTCCATCCTCCAACAACCTTGGTGTGCCACTCACCAGCCTCGACACGTCTTCGCGCTCCGCTGTCTCGTACACAGAAGACCCTGGGAGCGCATATGAACCCAGTTTGGGTGCGCCTGAGTTGGGCAGATATGCTAGCCACCTAGGTGCTCCCACAGTTGACGATGATGACGACGATGATTTCCACGACGATGACAGCAGCCACGAGGTAAAACCGCACAACAAGGACGCGTTCAACATCACGGCTCAATCTGCAAAGCTGCAACTCGACCTGCTGACTTCAGTCTCTTCTGCTTTACAGGCAGAGAAAGCGAAAAATCCCACGATGCAAATTGCCGACCCTGCCATGCTACAAGCCTTGGCCTCTTACGAGTCCGCCATTGGCAATCTCAAGGGGTTGATCGGAGATCTGCTACGCATATCGAGGGACCGCGACGCCTACTGGCAGTACCGCCTCGATCGTGAGGCAAATGTGCGCCGTATGTGGGAGGATAGTATGGCGAAGGTCGCGCGGGAGCAAGAGGAGCTCGAACAGAAGATTGGCGAATCCGAGGAGAAACGACGCAAGACGAAGAAAGCGTTGCGAGAGGCCCTCGAAGAGTACGAAGGTCCCGGACCTGCCGCCAAGGATGTTGATGAGTTTGTCGAAGCACCTGAGAATGAAGCACAACAAGAGGACCTAGCCCGGTCAAAGCCAAGGTTCTCGGGTCAGATCAAGAGGAAAGCCACTCTTGCCGACCTTGCAGCAGACATCTCGGATGATGAGTCGGAAGACGACGAGGAATTCTTTGATGCTGTGGGTGCTGGTGAGGTCGAGGTTATTGAGATGCCTGGGCTGCACCAGAGTGAAGAGAGGAAACCATCTGAAGCACCTGCTGCTGGCGCTATTGGTGACATCTTCGAACAGAAACATGCAGAGATCGCCACAGGGTTCAAGGGTTACGAGGATGGGCCGCGAAAGAAGCTTGCCATGGATGCCGACGATAGACCCAAAATCTCGCTCTGGGTAAGTTTAAATCACCACAACCTACCTATCAGATCGCTGACCATGTGCAGGGCATCCTCAAATCTATGATTGGTAAGGACATGACGAAGATGACTTTGCCTGTGTCCTTCAATGAGCCCACTTCTCTGCTGCAACGTTGCGCTGAAGACATGGAATACACCGACCTCCTGGATGTTGCCGCCGAGCGCGAAGACTCCAGCGAACGCATGCTCTATGTTGCTGCCTTCGCTGCCTCTGAGTACGCTTCAACCATCGGTCGTGTCGCAAAACCCTTCAACCCTCTCCTCGGTGAATCCTTCGAGTACGCCAGGCCCGACAAGGGCTTCCGCTTCTTTATTGAACAAGTCAGCCACCACCCACCCGTCGGTGCTGCATATGCCGAAGCAGCAAAATGGGACTACTACGGTGAGTCCGCCGTCAAGTCCAAGTTCTATGGCAAATCCTTCGACATCAACCCGCTCGGCACCTGGTTCCTACGCCTCCGCCCCGTCGCAACCGGTGGGAAGGAAGAACTTTACACCTGGAAGAAAGTCACATCCTCCGTCATCGGCATCATCACGGGCAACCCCGTGGTCGACAACTACGGGCCCATGGAGATCAAAAACTGGACCACCGGCGAAGTGTGCCAACTCGACTTCAAAGCGCGCGGCTGGAAAGCTAGCTCTGCGTACCAAGTCGTCGGCAAGGTGCTTGGCGCAGATGGCCGCGTCCGCTGGTCCATTGGTGGACGATGGAACGACAAGATCTACGCACGCTTCACGCCCGGGTTTGAAGACGCAGATATCGACAAGGGCGGCAAGGCGAGCAAACACGACGACAACAAAGCGTTCCTTGTCTGGCAGGCGCATGAACGTCCCACAGGTATCCCGTTCAATCTCACGCCCTTCGTCGTGACGCTCAACGACATCAACGACAAACTACGCCCCGTCGTCGCACCCACCGACACACGTCTCCGTCCTGATCAGAGGGCCATGGAGGACGGCGCGTATGATTTTGCGGCCACGGAAAAGAATCGCGTTGAGGAAAAGCAGAGAGCAACAAGAAGGAGGAGGGAAGAGAAGGGCGAGGAGTTTGTGCCGAAGTGGTTTTCCAAGACGAGGGATGCGACGACTGGCGAGGAGTACTGGGAGTTCAATCATCAGTATTGGAAAGTTAGGGATAGCGTTGCGAAGGGGGAGACGAGCTGGGATCAGCATGGGTTGGAGGATATCTTCTAGAGACTGGTAGCTTCTGAATATGTTGGTATTGAAAGGTTGAATAATGAAAAAGCAATGACTTGATTCGATTGAGCGGCGATTCGAGATGTGGTCGGTGTGTGATGCCATGTGAAGCGAATGTTGCGAACACATGAGCCGTCTCTTTGTGCCGCGCAAGCAGCAAACATTACAGAAACCTATATGAATATCTCCTTCTTTTCCCATCGCATTCTCAAATCCGGGCCCACACCACCAAGATCAACATGAGCGCTTCCCAAACTCACACGACATCACAACAGGCGTCTACAACTACATTCCCCACACACCTCCCACCCCGTCCACCAACCATCCAGGAGCGCGTCGGCCGCTGGTTGTTCCCTATCCATGTTGAGAGCTACCAAATGATGCCTACACGAAGTGCAGCAGCGGTACGGCCGGAGGAAAGGAGGAGGATTGATTGTGGTAGAAATATGAACGGAACTGGAAGCGGTGATACTGATGAAGAAGGACAAGGGGTGGAGATGATGGTAGCAGTGAGGGCACAAAGAAAACGCCGGCTTGCGTGCTTGATCGGGACACCGGTGTGTGTTGTTGCGGGTGTGGCGTTTGCGGTGGTTGTGTATGTCACGGTTGTGGACTCGGTGGAGTCGAAGTGAGTGATATGCATGTAGATGCATAGGGGAGGGATGTGGTGAGGCTGGAGGGGAAGGTGTGAGGTCAAAGGAAGATTGAAATCAATGCATACTTCACATACCTAACCGGATTCTATACAACACACCCAAATGTCGTCGGTATGCTACCACCCATCTTCTCTTTGAAGATACCATTAGCTTGCTCAAACTTCAACTCGTCCCCTGCAATCGACACTGCCTGCCCTTTGTACTCCTCCGGCTGCATCAGCGCCTGCGCAGCGAAGTAGCCGCCGATGGCAGCTTGGTTAGACGTGTGCTCAGACATGTCGTGCCACGTCCGGCAAATCCGTCATATCCCTCGAATAGAGATTCTTTTACAGATCCAATGCAGATAGTAGGGTCTGGAGATCTCGGTCTTGCGTTTACGAATGAGGTCGTCGTTCTTGGGGCTCAAGCTAGAGCTGGTTTAGGCAGCAAGCTAGACCTAAAAGAGTATGCATATCTCGAAAAACACGATCGCAGAGGGCCAAGCTTCTGCCACGGCAAACCGTACTGAAGAGTCCTCTTCTTCAGCTTCATCAATGTGACGGTTTATGGAGTGAAGAGGTCATGTCTGCCACGTGTGCTGGTGCAGTGCTCTTGCCTGTTCCAACAGCACTTTCTAGCTGCACGACAGATACGTCATGTAAACAGACCCTGATGGCCCGGTGAGAGAGACAGAACACTGAACAAGAAGAACAACAATATATACCGATTTTACTGCTTCACGCGGTTACCCCTGACTTACTGCCCTGCGCAGTTACACCTTCACTTATTGCATTTACTGCAACAATCAACGTAGCCTAATCTCTTCGCCCCAAAGGAAAAGATATCGACTTGCTAGATGGATCTGCGCGCCATAGGTGTCGAGCCAACAGAGCCGATCTTCTTTATTGTGATCCCTTAGGCTGTCAAGGAGGCTTGAAACGTAAACAGACTAAAAGCGTGAGAATCACAGCGCCTCGATTAAAGTCTCAATCTACTACCATTTAAAGTAGAAGGACCGCCAAGATTAATTTCTTGCAAGCGAAGTTCCCGATTCAACGAGATAGAGTGCCCAAGGCGCTCCAAAACTTGGCTTGAGGCTAGATTATGTCCAATTTATATTTCAGGCCGTACCTTAGACGATCAACTTCACCTTCAGCTTGTCACATTCCACAATATCCTCCTTCATCCCCTCCAAAGCATCAACATCCCACGTGGCACTCACGTACCTATAGAAAAGTCAGATTTGCACAATATCAAATTATCGCGCTCTTCAACATACCTCCCATTCAACCAGCCTCTCTCTTGACTACTCAACCACACAACAAACCCACCACACAGCTCTGGTGTATCGGTCAAATCTGTACAAGTAAGCACCTCTTCTGTCACGATCCACCGTATGTATGGAACTCACAATCTTTGATCTCCTTGATTTCGTTCGCCAGCTTCGTCACCACAGCACCAGGATGCATACCCACAACGTTAACCCCCTTTCCCCCATACTCCAATCCGACAAACTCGCTCATTCGCTGCAGCGCTAGCTTCGCAAGCGCGTATGAGCTGCCGCCCGGCACGACTGTGACGGCGCCGATCGAAGTGACGTTGATGACATTGACGTGCGAGTTGTGCGTCTCGGCGGTTTTGACCAACAGAGGTAGGAATGCGTGAAGAAGCAGCAATGGGCCTTTGAGGTTGACTTCGAGGACTTGCCAGTAGTCTTCTGGATCGGTGTCGCCGATGGGCTCCCAGGGGCGTGAGAGACCGGCATTGTTGATCAGAATGTCGAGACATCCTTCCTCTTCTCCTACTCTTCTTGCTAGATCTTTCACTGCGGCTCCGTCTGTCACACTGAGTGCCTCCTTCCTAACACGCACACTGGCGTTGGCTTTCTGAACGGCAGATTCGACTTCGTCTAACTCAGACGTCGTTCTTGCACAGATAATGATGGTAGCAACATTTGCGCGAGCATATTGAATGGCCATGGATCGCCCAATACCGCGGCCTGCTCCGGTGATTAACACGACTTTTCCGGGTTGCTGAAGGTTTGCGGTTTTGGAGACGTCAATGGCTGGGTAGATGTCATCATGTAGGCTTTTGATGCCAACGAAGTCGAAACCGCTGTCTGGGGGAAATGGCGACTTTTCTAAGGGTGCCATTGTTGAGTGCTACAGTACGGTTCGAAATGGTTGGGAATTGGAAATTCTCGATAGTTTGGTAGAGGAGATTGTCTTAGTCTTGGAGGTAGATGGTAGGGAAGAACTTTGATATAAAACTATACAAGTTATGATCTAGTCGGTCCACTACCGCGGGTCGCACTAGCGTCCCCTATTTGGCGCTATCTCGAATTGGTAATATGAGTGAACGGGGCGTTTGGTAGCAACACGAAACTTTTCCCACTCGAACACACGGCTCTTACTTATACCATCGCAAGACAACATTTTTATCGTCTTGAATAGATATTTCGGCTTCTGTCGCAGTTACACGCAACATGTTTTCTGCTTCTCGGCCTAACCCTCGGACATAAGCCCAGGACTTCATCAATCCCGAATACCGCATGACAAACACCATATATCTTTTTCGGCAGTGCGGTATCGTGCGACATATTTTCAGACTGATTTGAAATTGTCTCTATTTTGCAACGACCAAGCAGTCCGCGAATCCGTCACGCAGTCACATTAAGCTTTCAAGGTTAGCATCAAGCGGTAATAGATCTAGGTGTGATCGAAGTATCGCGTAGCATCCACCTAGGTTGTCTTTTTCTGTGAGTTTCACATATAGGGTGCATCCCTGTAATCATTTTGTAGGGTATGTATGTACGTCATCAAGGATAGGAACTCCACAATTCCGATGGGGCTACAAGTTCGATTTTCGGCAGTTGAGCAGATGTGCTCTGCCCACAACATGAACATTTTGATGTCTAAACGTAGCGTTGAAAACACCATAATCGAAGCATGGCTTAACCCTTGGGAAATAAGGCAGTGCTTGTACATTGGAAATTTGAACCAAAGGCTACTTTGAACTTCCGGGACGATAAACATATGGAGAAAAGCGCACAATTCATGGTACAGTATACTCAACCCGTATGTACATTCCCCTCGATCTTCTCACCCAAACGCATCGATTCTGTACTTTCCCATCACTCTCACTTTGACTATCCGTACTTAATCACCGAACCACAGACCACCGTCAGCATCGTACCTCCACCGACACTAAAAGTCACCCATACCTATACTGAGATACTCTGATACATCATGCTTCTTTCCTTGACTGTGGACTGCGGCTGCTCCTGCAGACTATCGTCCTCACATTGACGTTCCTGCTGTTGATTTCGCATCGTCGCAGCCGCTCCGCCGTTGAACAGAGGTGGATGGCGCACTAAAGCGCGATGGAAAGTAGTCATTTCAGTGCCATCGTTGGGTATCGAATTGGCTCTGCGGAAGAATCGACTCACGTTACGCTGCATGCGTTCCAGTGTTGTATAATATCGTGGCCCACCCCCCCCCCCCTGATTTTGCGCATAAATAATCTGCAACAGTGGCTGAATCCCACATGCCTTTGGTACACCAACCTTGATACCTTTTTAATCGCATGAAGGAGCTGAATCTGACAGTAGTAAGTATATATAGGTGTTGCGCCTTAAACGTAGGTGGCAGACCTAAATAGGGTGTAGAGGTGACAGGAGGGTAGGTAGGATAACGGTAGCGATGATAGCGATGATGTAAGGTTGATTATGTGCAGGCACTGTGAGTGGCTGTGAATGTGTGGTTCAGGGTCTAGCACGTGAGGAGCCCCCATATATATCTATACTCTTGACACACCCCGCGCTATGTCCTGTTAGTTCCCAAAGATAGGGGGAGGGGAGGGGGGCACGATATTGTACAACTCAAAATATAATGATTGTCAAGATGTACGAACCTCCCTGAACTTGGAACAGTGATGCAGACAGTGAGTTGATGCTGTTGGCCTGACTTGTAGAGTATCAAACCCGTTACAGTTTAGAAGGTGTAGAGTGGCTGGAGTCGGTGGAAGATGAGGAGTATGGAAAGAGGAAGGAGTGATTGGTGCATTGGTGTTGCAAAGGAAGGGCTATGGAGACATGACTTTCGTACATCGACATGAAAGAAGGTTAATTTGGCAATGAGCTTGTAAGATGCTACGAATAAGAAAGAGCTCTTGAAACGCAGAAATGTAGTGCTTTGCTTGACGTCTCGTTGTTAGTATACGAGGTCACGCAATGTGTTATCGTCGTCTTACTGTTAACCTAACGACTGGCGAGAGGGGTCCGTGACACTGTCATATGGGTCCCAGATAATTTCGACGTAGGCATCATTTAGCTATGGGAGGATCGATCGGTGGCGGGAGATCTGGGTCTCGAAGTGCTTCTGATTGCTTCTTCTGTAAGTGCTGATTCCACGGAGCGCCGCAGCTCGTTTCGATTACGGCGAGCCCGCTGTAGTGTGTAAGCATTCAGGCTCAGCGGTCGCGGAGAGCCGGAACGCTCCATCCGTGAGTGCTCTATCCAAGAGTAGCGCGGACCAGAAGCAACGGTGATGGTGTCGTCGACAGCCGTCTCTGCTTCAGAGATTCTCTCGCTTAAACTTGCACAGCCTGGGTAGTATCCGTCGAGATGACCATAATGAATTCCCATTCCAAAGAGGTCGAGAGAGCGTCCTCGAAGTGAGTTGACTTCCTCATATTGGAGCCCTTCTGTAGCAAGACTTGGCGTGATTGATTTCCCTACAGACACCGTGACAGGGACACGTCTCGAACTCGTGTGCCGATTCTTGAACTCGGTATATTTTGCTCGCACCCAGGTGGCCTTCTCTTTCTCAGTCAATGTACTCAAGTTTGTCGAATCATTCGCCAAAATTGCTAGGAATTGGGCTGCAGCATCACTTGGTGTAGCCGCAATGTCGACCGAACCAGGACCTTGACTGGGTGGTTCATGCAGGTAATCTCCCTCATGGGGCTGCTCTGGAACATTCGCATCCAGCACCTGGCTTGCATTCATCGTGTTCTCAGTCGACGTATGGTTTCTGACGGGCTGTTTGCCCCGACGTTTGGCCGATATCTTTGACTGTTTAATGATGCCAAGCCTGCGGCTAAGGTTTGCTCGATGAAGCGCAGGAAATCGCATTCCCAGACTCTCCTTCAGATGGGCGAGGTGCTTTTCTGTATGTAGTCCGTACTTCTGGCTAATGCTTGGCTGTACGGAGGGAGCCGTTGGGAAGTTTTCTGGCCCTTGTAGTGGCAGGGTCGTGATATTCTCGAACTGAGCTGAGCGTACTAAATCAACTGGCTGGTGCCTAGGTGAACCGTCGATTTCAGCATCATCGACTGGAGGGGCGCGCAAGGATTGTTGACGGGACGGTCCAGAGGATAATTCGGCGATCTCAGCTAATACAGGCGACAGAGTTGCAAAGGGAATCGTCGTCCGCACCATGTTGACGAGTGAATACCGGACCTCACTCGCCACAAGATCTGGTCTAGTGGAATTGATGGAGAGCAAGGAGAGCTGAGTAGCATTGCGACCTCCAATAGCGAGCCATTTCTCATTGCAACGTTGACATCTAAGGTCGGTAGTGACGTTGGGGTTGTGAGAAAGGTTCACTTTAAACCTTGCAGAGCTGTGGTGATGATGGCATCTTGAACAGTTGCCATGGAGGGTGAGGGTAAAGAGGCCATGTATTGATGGGGCGTAGGCATCGCTGCTATAGGACGAGGACGAATTGCGTCGTGCGGGGCCTGGACCAGAGAAATTACTGCTTCTATTTGAGCCGGAAGGCTGTGGATTGGCACCCGAGCTGGCCATGATGACCGTAGCTCAGCCGGAGCTTGTGGCCCTGCTCAAGGCCGTTGGCCGTGGTAGCTTTGTCTGGCTTAACCTCCGGTTAAACGCATTGACAGTACCGCCGAGGATGTTGGCTGAGGTCGAAATTCAGGATCCGTGGGTGCACCACGAAGAGTGGTAGGTGTATGCGCCACACGAGGCTGAACGAGAAGAGGGCGGAGATCTGCTAAGGCAGCAAAACCCAGCCTCGTGAGTAGTATTTAAAATCCATGCGGCTCTGCCAGTACATAAGCAGGAAATCGCATTTACCTACCTTTGAGCCTGACATTAATCGAAATGTGGTTACTGCAAAGTCATTTGTTGGGGGAGGACTTTGTGGCGGAGTGCATTGGTGACGAGCATCAGCCTCCACGAGCTGAAGAGCGGTGACACTGGAGGCCTAAGCATAAGAAAGCGAACAGATAAATTGTGTGAGCAGAAAGGAGAAACAGAAGAGAAACAAGTGCTCGAGCTGCAACTATCAAACCTTCCTTACGGGTGGTGTTCTTCAATCCTAACGTTCGCGACGGAACATAGGTGCATTGCTATGTGGAGGCTCAATTCTTCGACCGAGAGCGCGTTGCAGCGCACCCTCGCCTCTGTCTCAGCGTGCCAAAACGCGCAGGCAGCTACACGGTGTGAGTGTAAAGACGTAAATGCTGTCAAAATTATGTCACGGTCGTCCCGAAAGGGCAGAAGCGTAAGGTGAGGCATATTGATTCAGGTGAACCGCAGCATCGATTGCACAGCCCTCGCCAAAGCTGGGGCAGGCTGGAGGCAGATTGCGAATGCCGCAACGCGGAGGGCATCCTGCGAAGAACATTGTCGCTCAATTTCAAGAAATTACAATCGATTGTGTAAGTTGACGCGAAGATGCAAAGTCGCATTCAATTGGTGTTGATGACGGTGGTGTTGAAGGAATGGAAGAGAAGAGTGAGCGCGATGGAGACACCAAAGTAGACCCTGGCCGCACCTGAGCACCCATGCCTATTACGAAAAAGCTCCCAGCACCCAGCGCGACCTTTTCGTAGACCAAAGCGGAACATTGTGGTGCTTGTTAACTTTGAGAGCTCTCTTACCTATGATTAGTCTCTGTAAGGCGAGGGGTAATTCGGTGGATCCTAGACGGGGTCTGGCCTTGTATCATGGTATTCCGTTTTGCCAAGTTGGACATCTTGTTCTCAAATGATGCGCCTCTCAAAACGAGCTTCTTTGTAGGGTAATGACGCAACGATACAAGGTTAGGCATAATTGTTGTCAATGAATCATGGTGTGTTCTTTCAAATTGATGCTTATACGGGACTATCAGAAATCGCGCTTACGGGAATGCTTAGTGCATCTTAGCCAAAACATGCCTAGAGCTCGCTATACCTACAACCAGTTTACAATCTGGATGCTAAGGAAAATGTCAAGGAAAGCATCTACGACTCCCAGAAGTCACCAGACAACCACCTGTTGACCATCTCGAGAGAAGCTTCAGGCTGGTCGTAAGGCACCATGTGGCCACCAGCGTGCAGCCTCATGAAGGTGAAGTTGCCGCTCGACTTGACCTCACCGACCTTCTTGCCGTCACCGTCAATCTTGAAGTCCTTCATCTCGGCCTTCTTGTACTCCTTCTGGCCGGGCCACTCAAGGGCCTCAGTCCAGGCCTTGTTACCGAGCCAGTTGCAGATGTAGTCGGCGTCACCAGCGTAGACGAGAACGGGGATTTCCTTGAGGATACCGGGAACGACTCGGTGGAAGGGTTTCATCCAGTCACCACCAAGAAGGAAGTTGCGGTTGATGTCGAAGTTACAAGACTCGTAGTTGCTGACCTCAGCGCCGACGGCCTTCATAACCTCCTTCTTGTTGAGGAAGCCCTGGATCCAGTCAAGCTCATCGTAGCAGAGGCTGTTGCTGCCGCAAGGCTTGCGAACATCGTAGACGTTCTGACCAGTACGCTGGTAAGGTCCGATCATAGCGTTGTTGCAGTAGATGGAAGCAGGCACACAGCTCCAGACAGACTCGGAGTTGTAGCAGTTCTCAATCAAGCTGAGGCAGCGGGGAAGAGCGTTGTCCATGGCCCTGCAGGAGCTCTCGTCCAAGACGGCAGGCCAGCCACCCTCACCACAAGCCATAGGGCGGTACTCGGGGTATTGGGTGAGACCATCGGTGAGACCGTTGCCGATCAGGACAGACTGGAGGTTGATGTTGCGCTTCTTGTGAGACAGAATCTCAGAGGCGAAGACGGGGATGTAGTGGCCAGCGTACGACTCGCCAGAGATGTGGAAGCTCTGCTTTGAGTACTCAGGGAACTGCTTGAAGAAGAGTGTGAGCAGGGCGTAAACGTCCTTGCCAGCGGCAACTGTGTTGCTGACAGAGCCACCGGAGTATGAGTAACCAACGTTGACGGGCTGGTCGAGGAAGATGACGGAAGCATTGCTGTTCCACGAGTAGTCGTTGTGCTTGATCTTCTGGTCCTTTGTGATGGAAGCGGGGCCAAGCTCCATGAACAGACCTGTCAGCGAGGAACAGCCAGGTCCGCCGTTGAGCCAAAGCACTACGGGGTCGTTCTTGGGGTCGTTGCGGGACTCGAAGAACCCTAAGAGATGATAAGTGACTGTGGGCAAATGGGTGGCCATCAGGGTGCTACTTACAGTAAAACAGGTGCTTGTCCTCCTCCTCATCGTCAAGGTAACCGCTGTACTGCTTGACCTTGTCGACGCCGAGGACACTTGGATCGACGTGCTTCGCACGCAAGCTGTAGTTCTCAAGCTTGCCATCGACCTCGCGCTCCTTCTCGCCGTTCTCGTTCTCAACCCAGACACTCTGCACGTCAGCGCCCTTGACGACGTAGTCCCACTCAGAGTCGTGCTTGCGAGTGTGTGGCTTGGGGTTGGAGAAGAAGGCGGCCTTCTCCATCTGCTCAGGGAACATCATGGCGACTTCATCCCAGATGGCGCGTGCCTCGCCAGTGAGCGACTTGAGGTTCTCCTCGAGGTTCTGCAGCGGCTTTGTCCACGAGCTGGTGTCAAAGCCCTTGAAGGACTCAGGAGCCTTAAGGACCTGCTGCTGCGGGATAGCAGCGGACGCTGCTCCAAAGAGCAGGGCCGAGGTAGCTACTTTCATGGCGATGTACGATAGAGCTTCCGGAGCCCAACGATAGCTGTGTGATGAAGAAGGAATGGCCCAATGAAGTGAATCAAAGGGAATGGATGTATGGGGAAGGGGTTATGAGCAAAAAGAGATGTGGGGAGGATGGGGTATGAGAGATGGAGAGTGTTGGAGTGATGGGAGCTTGGTGACCCAGGCAACCTCCAGCCACTTCAGTGACGAAGCTAGGCTTATCAGCTGCAGGGCTAGTCCGAGCGCGGGCAGCTCACGAGGCCGAACCATTAGCGTTTCAAGATGCCCTGGCGGTTATGGAAGCTCTTCCCGAACGCCTCATTGTTACATCTAGGCATCATCGTCTTTGAGCATGTGATGCCAGAGCTTGGATCTTGCATTCCTGCTGCCGCGTCCCGTCCATTGCCCCGTGAAGCCTGAAGTTTGGGGCGTTCCTGCATGGCTTCCAGATTGGGCCTAGCGCGCCTCCGTGAGTCGAAACGATGTCATCCATCCCCGCGCCGTCCGTGCGCAACTTTTATATCTGCGCGGCAACACGTTTGTGCACTATCTGATACAGTGAACACGAGTGCACAAAATGCCTATTAACCAGCCATCAAATCAGATCAAGCTCACCAACGTCTCGTTGGTGCGCATGAAGAAGGGTGCGCATACACCCCCACTGATATTTGTTGCTGAACAGTCACTGACGCTGCGCAGGCAAGAAGCGCTTTGAAATCGCCTGCTACAAGAACAAGGTCCTCGAGTGGCGCAACAAGATCGAGAAAGATCTCTCGAATGTCCTCCAGATCGAAAACGTCTTCCTCAATGTCAGCAAAGGCCAGGCGGCACCGAAGGCCGACCTCGACAAGGCGTTTGGCAAGAAGCCCATGGAGGAGATCATCCTAGAGATCTTAGATCATGGCGAACTACAAGTTGGAGAGAAAGAGCGCGGTGCCGAATTAGAGCGCACGAAGAACGAAGTCATCGACATCGTTGCAGGCAAGCTGGTAGACCCCAGGACGAAGCGCGTCTATACTACAGGCATGATAGAGAAGGCGTTGGATCAGCTGAGCTCGCAAACTCAGGCGCAACAGCAAGAACATAAGGCAGGGACGGAGACACCAGATGGTGAAGAGAAGGGCAAGGCTGCAGCATTGCCCAAGTGGAGCGGTATCGTCACAACAAAATCTGCCAAGTCACAAGCCTTGTTCGCCATGAAGGCTCTTATCGCCCACCAGCCGATCCCGGTCGCACGAATGCAGATGAAGCTGCGGGTCAGCTGCCCCACCTCGGTGCTCAAGCAGGCCGTCAAGAGCGCACCGAAAGCACAGGCAGAAGGTGAAGAGAAGGCAACCACCGGCACAGTCAAGGACACAATATTGGCGTTCATGGAGAAGGTCGAGAGCCAGGACACCATGGGCGCTGAGTGGGAAGCTGTCGGTCTCGTCGAGCCTGGTGCGTTCAAGGGCCTTAATGAGTTTATTGAGAGCCAAACCAAGGGCCGAGGAAACGTCGAGGTCATGGAAATGGCTGTTGGCGCCGACGATTGAGTGGTGACACGTTGAGGGGCGAGCTGTGCGCAGCAGTCTCTACCTCACGTGTATGCAGTCGGTCGCCTCATTGCATCGTGCCTGAGCGCCTGAAGACCCTCCACCTCCAGGGCACCGAACCGAATTCGAGTTCGTTTAGGCACATATGCGTGCCCCTTCCCCATCCGCCGGCCCGACCCACACAAAACGATACCCAACGATATCCGGTCTTCGAGACAAGGGATTTCGGCAGTACCGGGCAGACGTGCGATTCATCAGGCCTTGGGGTACCTCCAGGCACTCAGGGTTCGCGCTTAACTGTGTTCGACACTAACTACGGTTCTATGGTTGTTCCCCCCCCTTGCAACAGGTGAGATGTGCACATACATTCAGCAATTCACACTATTCTTACCCAAAAAAGCACTTTTCCTTCAGTCACTTTCCATTGCCTATGCTCATACACTACCGTGTGCTCCCACTTCCAGCAAGTTTACCTCCACCACTCAGAGCTGGCTATTCCATCGTTATGCATCCTTCGTGCGTTGGCGCCAGTCTATCTGCTGATTAGCGAATAGCATTTGAGGCTGCATGCACAACCATCCCCTGCTCACCACGTCACTCCGCCAACGTCGCGACTCTCTCACGGTATCTCGAAGTCGCCTGACTTCCCGACTATTCTATAGCACAGTCAGCTTTTCCGGGACGATCCGCAGCCATCGCACAATCGTTTGCAATCGTTCTGTGAAGTCGTTATAAACCTCCACGTTCAACTCCTTGACTCGTTTTATTTCCATTCCTACACCTTGAGCGGAGCGGCACTCGATGCTAATTTCCTTTCGAATCTTCAGTCCTGGTCAGAAGCATTTCTTTCGGTGTCCTCTCGCCGTATCTCACCCGAACTATCTCCTCCACACAGAGTTCAATGCAGAGTGCGTTGTCCCCCCAACGCACTGCATCTCATCTATTGTCCGTCCATTGGCATCTTAAACCCCTTCCCCGTATTCCGTGAATGTGGACATTAGCGTCCTGTAAAGCGCCTCATCGGGTGCGTGGGCGCGTGGTGTGGTTGCATATCGCCCTGCAGGGCCAGCGAAACGGCCGCATAGGTGTCCTATGGTGTGCGATGGAAGGACATGGTGTAAAGAAAAAGAGAATAAGAAACCCACTAGCGGCAGCCTTGACGGGCAGGCTTAGGCCTTCATCTTCCTCACTATCCTTCCCTCTCCAGGAGAGGTCAGCTACTTGACATTGTTCATACCCTATTCACGGCTTCAGCTGCACTGCATCGGACCAGCAGCCATCATGGCAGCCTTCCTTGCAGCACCACCGCGGACACCAAGCCCAAAGGTCCGCATACGTTCACAGTCATTCTCTTTCGACTCACCTTCATCGATCAGTAGACTTAACGCCTCAACTCCCATCGAGGAATCACCTTTCTCAAAATCCACCGGCAGTATCAATACCGCAAAGACAGTACCTCAGCACCATGTCCTCCTGCCGCTCAGAACCAAGATGAGCGATGAGAGCATGTCGGATACAAGTAGTGCTATGTCAATCTCTACAGCAAGCTCACCCACGAAGTCTGAACATAGTGTGGAGTTACAGTACTTGCCAGAGGGAGACGCAGAAGACGAAGATACGGACCAAATCATGGATCTACCGGAGGGGAACCTCCTCGGTCTCTTTCAGAGCTCACGTGCGCCTCGACCCTCAGACGCCCTGTCTTCCCACCCGCCTACCAAGCGCGCCCGCCTCTCTCCACCACACCTCAGCCTTCCGCCTCTCTCGTCGGACATAACTGATATTAGCCCTACCTCGCCATTTGCCTTCCAAGACCCCGCCTTCCCTATGACGTCCCCGTGGCTTGTAAGGGTTGTACTGGATTTGTACGATGTTCATAGATTGAGCTGGATGGACATCGGCGATGTTGTGGGGAGAATATATGGAGTACAGACAGGTAGTGCTGAAGTGCTTAATATCTTGAGCGGGAATGGGAGGGTGAGGAGGGTGTGGTGGGACTAAATCCCTGATGGGATGAGGTGTGTGGAGAGGGAGAGACAGCGTGGTCGATGAGTTCACGCCTCTGGTGAGGGTTTCCATCCGTCACTTTTGATTCGGTTCGCCACTTTTGCCATTTCCTGGTGCACGGGTTTTCTTATGTGCATGTCTTCGGCGCTTTTTTTTCACGACACGAACGAGCGAGTACGACTTACGACTTGACGACACGGTTATGGCATGATGGTTACGACTGACGACTTATGATTACGACCTCACGACTAGATGGCTCTGTTGTACTATGTAGAGTACTCGAGATTCAATTGCATTTGGGTAATTACAATATCGCATTTCCTGAGATGAACCACAACAATGTCGATACGGGTTAATGCAGTGAGATCACGCATACGGGATCGTGCATCATGCGCCTCGACAACAGCTGTCATGTCTTGAATGGCTGCAGATGCAAGATGCAATAGCCGCTTTCGAAGAGCGATGCAGTAGTGTCGAATGTTCGATAAGGCTTGATAGCGTCGTGGTGCCACTCGGAGACCTAAGCATACATGGTCAAATTGTGTGAGGCAGAAAAGCATGCAAAGTGAACTAACAGACACAGTGAAGATTGGAATCGTTGGTAATTTTTGGTACAGGCTGTATTTTCAACCTTACCCTTTCCTTTCGCCATCCACCGTTGAGCTTCATATGAAGTGTACATTCCAGCCAATGAATGCCACTGATGAACACCGTAAGTGCTCGATCCGTTTCGTAAAGCCTTGATACACCACACAAGCCCGTAGCTGACCCCAGCTGAGAGCGCATAATATTTAGCCCTTCTTCTTGGAGACACCAACGGTTCGGCCGCGGCGACCAGTGGTCTTGGAGTGCTGACCACGGACGCGGAGGCCCCAGTAGTGACGGAGACCACGGTGAGCACGGATCTTCTTGAGGCGCTCGAGGTCGTCACGGAGCTTGGAGTCGACACCGTTGGCGAGGACCTGAGTGTCCTTGCCGTCGACAATGTCGCGCTGCCTGTTGAGGAACCAGGTCGGGATCTTGTCTGTGGAGCGTTAAATCAAGGAGTTGTGAAGAGATAAGGTACAACATACACTGCAGAGGGTTCTGGATGATGGTGACAATGCGCTCAAGCTCCTCAGAGGTGAGGTCACCGGCGCGCTTGCTCAGATCAACATCGGCCTTCTTGCAGACCAAGTTGGAGTAGCGGCGACCGACACCCTTGATCTTGGTCAAGGCGTACATGACCTTCTGCTTTCCATCGACGTTTGTGTTCAACAAACGGATGATGTACTGGAAGCTGTGGCAAGTCAGCATTGCTGTTCAAGCACACGCATTATAGTCAAGATGTGCATTCGTCGGGCTCCTCAAAGGCTTTCGCCCATTGAGTCTGCCACGCCGATGCAAGCACCTCTCCCGTTTCCAGACAGTATGCTAGTCCTCCACCATTGTGTATGTTGTGTTCATTGCCACGACGGTCGGTGTTGAGTTCCTCCTCTTTCAGCATGCTGTCGAAGATCGAGGAAAGGCCTAGCATCGAGTGTCGGGCTCAGACGGGCGCAGGTGCGATAGCGAGGGCGCGCGAGGAAGGCATCGTTGGCGATTTCAAGGCAACGTGTTGCTGGGAACGTACTTAGACTTCTCTCCGGAGACGAGCGCTATGAAACTGTCAGTTTGTCTGCTCGAGATAGACTGCTTGCGATCTGCAAATTTGCGATCTCGCCTCCCGGACACTCGAGAATTTCGCGGTGCCCAGGAAGATAATATCGCATTGCAGAAATGTGTGAGACACGGTAGGGCTTATACTCACACATGATGGCGGCTTGTCGAGGGCTGTTGGTTAGTCGAAGCTCTGTCTTTCGAATTCGATCGATGTGGAAGGCGCGTTTGTGAATCTCGCTTCGCATTCTAGCGCCACACGTGATCGTCCATTTCCTATCGTTGAGCCAATGGCAGACCCGCGCTAGCACTAGCTTAAGTAAACCCAGTGGCCAGCCACCAACCCTCAACTCACTCAGACATTGCACTCGTTGCAAGAATCATCGATTCGCATGCTGTTCACGACCTCCTCTTCGGTAATCACTCATCGTGTTGTGACCTTTCCGGTCTGTCTTTCGGGTGCCTAAGTCTATTGAGTGGGCGGTGCAAAGCAGGAAACTGCTTTTAGCGTTGTCCGCAGCACGTAACCTTGTCCATCAATACCTCCTATCGACGACTCTTCAACGTCTTGCGAGTACAAAGGCGATTGACCGTACATTGCAATCGAGCTTTCTTCCATTACTGGCTCTGCTTTGACTATGGCAAATCCAGTCATCCATGCGCACTATGTCCAGTATCCGCAGGCCATTCCGCTCATGAAGCGCTGCGCCACACCGCAGTCTGACTTTTGGTGTCTGCCGATTCATACGTTGCTAAGAAGTACACTCAAATTGCGATGTATCTGGTCCGCTCTTTTCGGGATCATATCCCTTGCCCTCTGCTGTCATGTCTACATCTGATTCGCTGCAGCTGTCTTCAGCTTGCTTCCTTACCCTTTCATCAGCCTGCTCTATGATACCTCAGACGTAACACGGAGGATTATCCATAGTTGTTACCAGCCTCTTCTTAATCGCAAACGATTAGGCTGGCCATAAATCCCGAAAGAACTCGTGATGGCTGCCATGACCGATGCGGATGCTGCTCAGGTGCAGGAAACAATGGATGCATTGACTGTTATGGATCAACCTTTGGCGACGAGCTTCTTGAACCTAGAAGGCCTTCGTGGACTTTCGACAAATAGTGGCCAGGCGATATTTTGGCTCGTAGAGACTCCTTGAGCATTAGCGAAGGAAGTTCTGGAGGAGAGACAGCCGTCGACACTACTCTACGCACCTCAATAATTGATGCCTTTAGGAGAACGCGAGAGCGTTCCGACTCGCCGCGACCATTACGTCAGACTCCTTATTTATTGCAGCCGGCTAGCCGTGATCGAAACGAGCTGCAGCGCTCCATGGGATCAGCACTTTCAGGCAAAGATTACCGTGATCAAATATCCCGAATTGCAACGCGTACGAACATTGTTCATCATCCCTCTTTGGAGTCATACATTCATAACACGACAGCTCATACGCCACAAGAAGCGACGCAGACAACCTTGCCCTCCCAATTTCTCTCTATTGTTCCAAGGGTAGTCGCTGGACCGTCGTCCGAACCCTCAATCTGGAGTCTTATCCACAGCGAAGCCGATATACCTGTTGCCAATGTGAGCGATCAAGTCCCAGTCACGGCCTCTAAGAACGTATCAACGCCTTTGGCCACTCAATTTACAATTGCCCCTGCGAAATTGGCGGTCAATTTAGATACAAGTGACACAGGTTCCAGCGCTTCACCACGATTCATCTCCCGTTTGAGACGCAGACTTGGGGAAGCCTCTCTGGGGCTCAAGGCTACCCACTTGGGGCGGTTGATGAATTGCTCCGACTCGAGACAGTTGGGCGCAAACAAGCGCGGCAAACAGCCAGCTTTTGATTCAACGCTAGCACCCGATGGCCGACCATCGCAAGTGTTGATTATGTCGGAACAGAAAGAGGTGGTATTAGGCCAGACCCCAGATCATGCAGAACGGAATAGAATGAATGTGAGCGCCCGAGCCTTCCACCATGTAGAAGTTCCTGATCTGACGGATGTTGACCAGGAGGTCGTCACGATGAATACTGAGCAACGAGTCGAACTAGACAGGACCGCTACAAGGGGGTTCGTCATTCTCTCAAGCGATGGAACCGCAATAACCGACTTTGCAGGCCATGCAACATCCAACGGTGCAGATGATAGAGTTGCTTTTCGTGACGAGGACCAGGAACACATCTCGGAATGTTTTGCTCGTGGTTCACTACTTGCTGGTGTCGGAATTGAATTTGGTCCATACAATCACTTCGATACCATCCAACGCAATGATCCTGGCTTCGATCGTCAATTATTCATAACGTCTAGTTCACGCGTTTCGGAGGCGAATACTGTTGTAGAAGGACGAGCGTTTGCTCCACCAGATCTTATGAGAGAAGCACTACTTCAAGAACTCGGCCATCAGGCTAAGCACGTACTTCCTTCATGGACAATGACACGCAGAACTGTGTACATACATATACCCACAGAGGCGATTGGTGGTTCTCACTCGACTCCGCTGTCCGGCTTTCACAGTACGGGGAAAGTGTTGCCACTTGCCCTCGCATCGTCAGCCTTCGCCGAAGTAGCAGTGGTCGTATAGTCAAGAAAACTGGCACATGCTCCTTCGTTTTAGACTTCGAGCAATCAACCGTTGATGATAGCAACGGGAGCGGCTTGTGTGGGGCATGTTTGCTGCGAAATCCCATTCTCGTCACCGGCTTTCCAACTCTCCTCAAGCCAGATTCGAGGCCGGGTCTCGAAATTTCCTTGTGCACAATGGCCAGTCTCGTCCCATCTGCTCAGGTGGTACTTGTTGGTGAGAGGGTCATCATGAAAGGCTTCAATTCACTGTTAGTCGCAGCTGTCGCCACGGCAAGTGTCGTGATATGGCACTGCTTCGTCAGTGACAGCCCAGAAAAAAGGATATCTTACTTCGACAGTCGTTGGATGCGCTGGATATCAGTTCAAGCAAAACTCAGTCGCTTCGATCACTTGTTTCAGTACTTATATCGTTGGCTGGTGTTCTGGATCGACAGATCTCTGCGGTATGTGCTGCGACCAGCTTTCGAGGCTTCTCATCTGACACATGTGAAGGGCATCCAACCTCCAACCTCGCCATCTCAGCATTGGGACTCAGGCGGTCGCTGTCATCAATTGTTATTGACCGCCAAGTATGTCGAAGCAGGTATGCATGCGATTGGTGGTGCCAGCTTTTGCGTGAACCAGAAAGAGCCTTTGGTCAAGTTGCATCGAGAAAGCTTCTTTCCTGATCTTCTTCAAATAACAGTCACTCATCCCATTTCTATCTACGATGTTGCTGATTGGAGAGTCTGGCTGGTAGATGGTGATTCTGCATTGCTCCATCTCGCCCGCATTTCTTTGCATCTCGACGGCACAGACGACGTGACAACCTACGACTGGGTGTTCGATAGTAACAAGCTAGAAGATACCAATCAATGCTCGGAAAATGGCCCACACACTTCCTGTCCATGCTGGCCACTGAGCCTGCCCACAGCAACCAAGCCAAACTGTCAAAGCCATTCTCCCATCATACTCCACAAGAGCGAGACCACAGGCCGCAACAATCTTGCCCGGATGCGGTCGTTTGGGAAAACGCATTAGCGATCAACGCCATCCAGCCCTTCCCAGCATACCAATCTTCATCCAACCCGTCACTCCACCCAACTCTGTCAAAATCATGCAAACCCTCGCTCCTTTCGAACAACACACACACCATTCACATCACAGTGTCTCCTTAAGGATCCACTCACATCCTCACTAATATCCACACTGCCTTATCTATCTTTTACCACTTAAACTCACGCCAGACTCAACCAGAAATACCCTCAACCAAGAAGCTCGCAGCTTGCTATTGAAACACTCTACGAGGGATACAGCGTTGACCGTAATCGTTGACTTTTCTACATAATCGATCGCAGATGATTGGCAAAGAGCAATAAACCGTGTACAATGGGGTGGAGCTCATGCAGGCTAAGGAAGGGAAAGAACCGATGTGAGGTCAAGCCGAGGTGTGGTCGCACAGCGTGTGGTGCGTAATGAGGCTGCGCGTAGATATGCTGTTTGTGAGGAGCGTTGGTGTTGTAGGGCGAGAGATACGTATCCGTACGTGAGATCAGCACGGCGCGGACTTTTTCTGGATAGCAGGAGGCTGGCATGATCTCTGTTGACAAGGATCATCGCGGCGGTTGCGGCGGTGAGGTGCTTCGTCGGTTGCTGATCGATGATTCGGTATATTTGATGCTAAGTCAGACATTCACCTCACAGCGTTTTCTTGGTGGAGTGGTAAGAGGCTGGAATTCAAGCGGAGAGAACACCGCAATATTGCTTTCTCAATTACACAACTAGTCGGCACAGCCCACGATACGCTCAAAAGCCATTACTACCGTCGGACCACTGAAGCCAGCCAAGTGAGTCCAGTAACGAAACTCGCATGGACGGACTGCGCAATAATGAGATAAGGAGGAACACAAGAGAGCGCAAAAATGACAGCAAAAAAACCGCGCCTAGTGATGGAGTTTGCTCGCAGGGGAGTAGTAGTAGAGGTAAGAAATATTTCAGATTTCGATCGGGACCACTGGTAGAGATTTGATAAGGAAAGAAGCAATAGAGAAAGGAAAATGTCGAGCTGGAGCATTATGTCCTTCGCTTGGTGGTTCCCCCTTTCCATGCTTCTTCTTTCTCTAACTGGTTGTAAATGCTCGCTAAGACAGAAAAGGACAAATCCGTCGTAACCAGAAAATGGAACTTGAGCTAACGGTCAACTCGTAAATGCTGTGTGCTCCAATTCCCAAGTGCTGAGGTTGGAAGGTATTCGCCAAGACGCCATGTCCAAGAAGTGGATGCATAATCATTAGAAGAAATGTGTGTGAGGTTTCGACGACTCGTGTACTTCCATCTCCTGAGCATGGTTAGTCGAAGCCATATGTGAGTTGGACATGGGAATACATACCATTTTGAAAGAGTTGAGCTCCTCCTTGATTTGTTGCGCAAGCATAGGTGTGAGTCTGTTGCATGTCGCGATGTCTCCTCGGCGGTCGTAATCGTGAGGTGACCATGCGTCGTGAAACTGGATGCGTGGGCTGAAAGTTATATTCCTAGAACCAGCCGCTGGTGTGACCGGGAGGCTTCTCGTGCTTCCGTTCGTAATCTTCGGGGGCTTCGTGAAGTAATCATCGCTGTTCGCTTTGCCCTTCTCGTGAGTAGGGGTGATCGGAGCATTGATGGCGAACGTTGGATTGGGTCCGTCGAGAGGTCGCATGGTGGGCGAACCAGAGTCCGAGTTGGTTCCATTGCCTATGCGCTGTTAGTAATGTCACCCTAGAGCGTGGTGAGCGACTATGAACTTACGCTTCAAGATGCCCTTCTTCATATTCGAAAGGATCTCGGCACGCTCACGGTCTCCACCAACGATGCTCTTCCTTGCCATGTCACTGGCGGACGAGCCGTCAGCATTGACCATCTCTGCCGTGCGCCCAGCATCAATCGAGTTACGTTCGAGCCTGGGGTATCCGGTGCCACCGCGGACTTGATCGTGGGCATTTGCGTTGACGTTGACCTTCTGACGTTCTGCTTCGACTGAGACCATAGAGACCTGACCGACACTGGGCCTGGAAATGGGCCCGTCAGCAGCCGGTACACCAATGACAGATTTCGGTCTGAAAAGTCCCTTGATAGACCTGGTGCCCTTCTTCATCCCACTACCCATCTTTCGAAGCATGATCGAGGCGGACGAAGCAGCTGATTGGATGGACAAATTGTCGTTCGAGCCCATTCCACCCTGACCAGAGTAGATACCAGCACCAATACCAGCAGCTTCCTGCTGTGCAATGATGGCAGCCTGTTCCGCATCCTCATCAGTCTGGTACTTGTCTTTCCTCAGTCTTGCGCGTTCAGCTGCAACAGCGTTTTCCGCAGAAGCGCGTCGCAGTTCGGCAGCACTGCCGAAGGAAAATGCTCTCCTGAGACGCGACTTCATACCCTTATCCTTTTCGTTAACTGCTGCAAGGTGCTTCATGGCTTCGCTGCCAATTTGCTTATTCGCCGCATTCGATGGTTCGGGTGGGGAAATTGGTTGTGACAAAGGAGAGGGTGCAGTTCGTCGTGCAGGCTCTGCTGCCTTCGCAGCAGCATTCCCGGGCTTCGATGCTGCAGCGGCTGGGGCTGGTGGTTTCGTCGACGTACTCGACTGTATGCTACCGGCGCTGCCTTGCCTTTGATGGCTGTGACTCGAGGCTGGCCGGCTGCCAGGTCGACCTGAGTTCGACCCAGGTCGCCCTGTGCTGGGGGCCGCAGTTTGCACTGGGGCAGGCCCAGCAGAACTGGCATTGGGTAATTGCGAATTGCCTTCCACGCCGGCGAAACTGCGACGCCTGTAGCGCTTCGCAGAATCTTGCGTGCCAACTTGCACAAGGGTGTTGTCTGCGCTGTTAGCCCGGCTGTGCCCAGGTCTGCCAGTTGGTGTCAGATCATGGTCACCAAGTGATGTGTCGTGGGTCGAGTTCGTGGGGGTGCTTGCTATCGATGAGCGTTGGGTCGCTGTTGGTGTGGAACCACCGGTTGATATGCTAGCAGACGAGTCCGTTCTTGCAGCAGTTCGCCTGTAGCGGCCTGGTGAGGCTTTGACAGGAGCATCGTCGAGAGAGAGGGAGAGGTCAGGGATGGCGGTCGATAGCGTGATGCCAGTGAAGTCACCAATTGGCTTCATGTCGCTGTCATCTTTCGAGGCATGCGCGAGCGAGCGACTGGAAGAGCCGGATGTCGACACTGTCGAGTCGGATGAGGAGGAGGGATGAGAGGGATGGCCGAGGCGAGCTTGCTGTCGATGGCCAGGAAGCTGCTGTTGTGCGGCCTGGGGGTTTGGCGACGACACAGATCGGTTGTCCTGCCGGAGCTGGGGAGTGCTAGAGAAGGCGTATGGTGCTATTGGCGCAGAGGTGCCCCTGTACCCTGTGCCTGCAGTCTGCCCACTGTAGTTTCGCTGCATGTGCTGGCGCTGCTGGTGGGGTTGCGACGGCGCATTCTGGTAGGTGTCGGGAGAATATGGCATTGTAATGGGGGAGGTCGTCTGGGAGATTGGCGCAAGTACCTGAGCCATAGGGAACTCGTTACAACACGACTGTCGAGGCTCGATCGAGGTCGGCTTGGGGGTTGCTGTCGACAGGGACGGCGACTTGAGCAGAAAGTGTGAAACCTACGCCGAGCGGCAGCGTTAGCAGCGGTACTCTAGTCATGTGACGCTTTCGTTGGATAGACGATGGAAATGGACGTTGATGACGGGGAGTTCGGCCATTGGCGGTCGTAGGAGGGCACAGAGTGAAGGGAGGCGGGCATCTTGGGCGACAGTCCACCAGGACAGGCCACAAATGGGCACAGCAGGCAACGCGGAAAGCAGTACCTGTTACAAAGGAAAGCAGAAAAGCTATTAAAACAGAGAATAGAAGGCAACGACGGCGAGCGGGCGCGGAGAGGCTGTCGTGGGTTCGACGGAGATGGCAGCAGTGTACCAAGCCTCCCGAGACGATGTTCAAGCGTGCATTGGACGGTCACTCGAGTCGTGGGCGCGGCGAACGACGAACGGGTCAAGAAGCAAGCAGAAAAGGAAAAAATATGGAGAGAGGGTGCGCAGGCTGCGGCAACGGGTGAAGAGTTGGTGAGGTTGCTGCTGTCTCCGAAAGAAGGGGGTAGACTTAGCGTCGTCCTCCTCGCGTCCGTGCCATGGGCCCCAGCAGGCCAGTTCAATAAGTTACCCTCACGCCAGCCATTATTATTTGCCCATGGCCGCTGCAATGCGGTCACAGTGCGTCTGGCGGGCAATTGCTCTCACAAGCCCACGACAATTGCTGTGTTCACGTCGCCTGCTGTACGCGCTGACACGCACTGCGCTGCAAGCCCTCTCTATTCTCCGGCCTGGCAGGGAGGGGAGCGAGGCTGCAGAGGGTGTAGGGCGTCGCACGCACACCATACTTGCAATCGAGCCGATCGCCTAGGCAGTTGTCTATTGTAGGCTGCTCGCCCGTGGCCTCTTGGAACAGCGTAGAGCCGCCACGGCACTCAGTGCATACATCCAGTGGAGCGTCCCTCTGCTGCCCCCCCCCCCCCGGCACCGTCCCTGGCCTATAGGGTGCTCGAGCGCGCCTGATGTTGAGCAGCGCGAGCACCATCCCTACACCATCTTCACACCTCTGGCTAGCAGCCGCGAGGTGCAGCGGCCAAGTTTTCGCATGGCGGCCAGGGTCTACCACGCCAGAGCCTCGTCTTGCTGCCGTGCGGAGCGCAATCCGGCGCGAAGAAACAGGACACAACAGAAGTTCACGCTCGTCTTCACCAACTGGGAGGTTCTCGCGCATTCCGAGCATGCGTTTGCGTCGCCTCGGAATCTTGATGCCCCGGGAGCAGCCTTGGCCCAGGGTCTATGCACCAGCACCAAGAGCTCTTGACATCAGTCATTGATTTTGTGCGTTTCGTGCGTTTATCAGATTCTCTGTGCGCAATTGCCGTGCCATTGACTCCGTAACTCCATTGAAGCTCGCCAAAAATACACTGCTCGACGCCTCTAGCCCCGACTAATACGAAAGGGATCCAGTAAACAGTTACGAGACCGGTCTTTCACGAGAGCGAGTAGACGCAGTTGCCCAACTGCAGGCCGCGTTGGGAGGGCCCACGCAGCAGCATCCACGCGGCTGAGCGTTTGCAGCAGATGGCGCAGGCGGTGGGAGCGCTGCCGTGCATACGATAAGGAATCTAACGACGCTTGAGGGCCAAGCCCGCGACTTCAGACCTCACCGACATGTTTGTACCCCGCTTCGTTGACAGGGCAGCTGCTCTCATTCAATGTTGAATTTGAGGATGATATAACCTCATCGCGGCTCGCGCACCCGGCGTGCATGCAGTTATCGAGAGCAGCCAGTGCAGCCATCACGGCACGGCATAATCAGGGTCCTCCACCGAGATCGCTGCAGGTCTTGCAGCTTCGTCAACTGACCGCAGTCAATAAATATTCCGCGTCTGGCGGGGATAAACAATGCGGCGCTCGCTAACGCGTGGGGAAGCCGCCCGCGCCCAAGGAGATGAGATCGTGTTTGATGTACATTTGCTGTCATCTTGTTTGATTGCGAGACACGCCTGCTCATACAATTTCTGACGAGAAGTTTGCCAATATCTTGTGGCCTGATCTTGACAATCACAGCGTGCACTTGGAGGTGGATTCTGTTGCTGTTGCACCATGCAAATAGACCCCACTGTTTCGCGCAGGACGAACCGGGATGACGCGACAACCACGGCTAATTTTGGGCAAGCCACTGCCGTCAACACCCTCCTGCCACTTTTGGTGCATTCAGATTCACCGCTAGACTCGTATTTCGCCTCACCTTTCAGGAGACGACAGGACTTCGAGGTTCAAACTCCACAGCATTCTTGTATCACGCATGCTCAGCGCAATTCGCAAACGTTTTCTAGAGTCTTACCACCAGCTTGACCTTGTGTGCTCTCAGCTCAGAATTAAGTTTTCGCGTATCCAAACTAGCGGGACCCTGGACGGAAACACTGGGCGGAAAGAGCATCCGCGGTAACCCGTCTGCCTGGTTGCTTCGAAGGACTGGACGTCAACGGTTTGATCAGTCAAGTTTAGAAATCCGTCCTTTCTTACGTTCATGTACAAGAGCAGGGCCGATTGGGCACATTTTTACCAGTGGTCTGACCGTAATCGTCGTATAGCGCATAGATCCACTACTAACTCACGCTTTACACAGTCCATAGATACCGAATTGAATTCCTCCAGGAGCCGTTTCCAGGATTTGTTTGTGTTCGCGCAGTCTCAAAGGGTTGGACGGATTGTTGTCGTGTTCTGCGTTTCTTGCCGCGGAGAGCAATTGGCTCGAACGCGCCAGCTGGTCAAGTTACAGCTGTTCTTCTCCACCCGAACCGACCAACATGACCAACAGCATCGCAGAGCTTTACCGTGCTTACTACGCGCTATCATGAAGGCTGGCCTAACGCGTACTTCAACCAAATCACTGCAACCGCAAAGAAGAACAGTGTCGGGCGAACGACATGGCTCCCCACATGGCTTTCCCCTCCACGTAATTCGACACTTCCGCATTGGGTAGTGCGCGATACTATGACCTCAGCAACAACAAACACCCCGCTTCGGAGTCTTTACATTCCTCCACACTTTCTACAGTTTTCCATCAACATATTTTCAGCTGCCTTTGTGGGCCACTCGCTGCACCTTGTCAGTTTCTATCACGATCTCTTGCTCAACATTTCATAACAAGAAACCCATCCGTACGCTTGCTGTCAGCCGGTGACCCCACCAGCCAATCCGCCTCGTAGTGAACCAATCGCTGCTTTACCTCCACCCAGGCCACGCAACGAACAACTCGGCAAGCCCGTTCAAGGTTGCACGCAGCTTGCGACTGTCGAATGGCGTGTCAGCTCTGCCCGAAATCAACCAATCTCAGAGTTGAAACTTGCAAAATTCACTGCTGAGGCTCTAGGCCTGATCGACAGGCCCTCGGTCTAGCAGCCGCCACCTGCGGGATCTCAAAGAACAAGCGCAGCTGGGTGCCGTGGGCCTGGGATGACCGCATATGCGGAGTCACTCCGTACAACAGGTGCCATTCGTTGTCTTTGCTCTTCAGCGACTACTGCACCTCATCCGGTCGTGAGCGTTTCAAACTTCCCAACGTCGAAGCAGGTCTTCAGAACCGGATGAGTGGAGATTGTGTGCAAACTCTGCGCACCAATAGAACATGTGTTGAGCTGACGCCTCCAAGTCCAACGAGCCACAGTCCGTGGAGGAAGTCGTCCCACACCTGAGACGATCAATCTCGAATATTGCAGGGCAAGCAATTCGGAACACCGGCAAGACCACTTTGAATATGACTGCAACTTAGCAAATCGGCACTTCACGTCTGCAATTATGCAATGAATTTTATCTCATTGGCGCGATCTCAAAAAGCCGCAGCTGTTGCTTCGAGACTCTCACATCCACAATTCTCCAAGACATTCTGCAGCAAATCCCCCACCAAACCCCGCGAAACAGGCTGAAGACGGAGATCGAAGCAGTTTCCGGGGAACCTCGTCCTTGACGCGTCCTGGCGGTTACTCTCGGTTGCGCAGCTTTGTTGCATCCAACATGATGCCAACACATCACCAGCTGCCCATCCCAATCTCCCTCCCTCTCTTCAACCTCTAATCCTCCATGGACTCGTCACAATAATCGCGAACTGACGTCACAGCCCTTGAATACCTAAGCCACGTAAGCTGTCAGTCCAAGAGCTGAGACACAACGACGGTACACACAGGTACCCGGACCCACAATTTCCAGCTTCTTAACTTTGGTACGACCGTTTCATATCAAAAACGGTCAGCGATCGACCAGGTCTGTAAACGGATATGGATGTCGAGTCGCAATCTCCCGCCCGTGTATCGCCGATGAAACGTCGTGTAGCCGTGTGATCGTGTTCCAAGGGAGGGGATGGGGGTCCTGGGGTGACGACATGTTGTCGATTGTCATTTGAGGTCGCGTGCTGTTTGTGCCTTGTTGCTTGCTGCGTTCAAGGTTGTAACTGCTGGTAAAAATCAATGATGCGTAACAAGCAGTGAGAACGCCGTACCGTCACTGTCATGGGTGCGATGTAAATGCAATCATACTCTGCACGGCATTCAACCAAAACATCTTCGTATGCAAAAAGCGATGTCCGCAGGGCTCGAACCTACAACCTTTGGCGAGTTTCGGCTGAAACCGAAAACCAACGCGCTACCATTGCGCCAGGACACCGAGACTGATGCTGATTTGATAAAGTTTTCCTTAATTATAACATTTATATCCTTGTTTTCAAAAGTGCAAACGTTTCTATAATATTGACATTTCTCGCAAGCCAGAAGGAATCGGCAATCTCCAAATCCAACCCGCGTTCGTGCTCCGCCGCACATGTACGCTTGAAGCTTCGTGCCACGTTGGCGAACACGTGACCCACACGAATGACCAAACTTCAGGCCCTGCACGCCAGCAAAAATAACAGTAACTCTACCGCCCCGATTCCGAGACTGGGGCAAAATGCATCGGCCGGGAATCGAACCCGGGGCTAGCCGAAACTGTCCTATAAGGATGGCAACGGCTAATTTTACCACTAAACCACCGATGCGATGAACCATTTTTGTTGAATGTTTTCAAATTCTAAATAATATAACCTGAAATTTTATTTAAGCACTCCTTGTTTCCACATGGTCCCTCCCACAAGCCAAAATCTTTGCTCTTCAAACACTTCCAGAGGTTGTTGTAAGTAGGGAGACTCAGCGGTAAATAACTGAATAAGTGCAAACTAGGATTCCTTACTTGCAACGTAAGGGTCATTGAGCCTGCTGAATGCCCTTAATGTCCAAGAACAAGTTGCAGATATCTGACACGACGCTGCGTTGGCAGATTACCTCCCACTGGCTGAAAATCCGGTTACGAAAATGAAATCCCAATAATTGAAACTGTTGAGGTAACAAATGTTTCTGTGCTTGATCGTTGAAATCAGCAACTGTACTTTGCGTTTCTCGATTCCACTCCACTGTGAAATGTCTGGCAATCAGTTGGCGACACCCTCAGCGCGAGATATCGCGTTTGGCCACACAAGGAACTCATCTCCATAAACGAGCCTCGTTCACCGCCTTTCGATAACGCTCGGGACCAACCACCGCGGTGCGATTGTGCGGGGTTGTGCAACGAGAATAACAAACAAATGCTGTAGTGTTGGTTGGTTCCAAGTACGCTCACCCAATGCAATGGACGCCAACAGACCTTCTTCCGCACATTAGGACGATTTCATCAACTCATGACTTGCTTCTGCGATCCCCACCTCCCCTCCAGTTACCTCGCCACTCGACAGCAATTCTAAAGCTGGTACAGCCTCAAGGAAACGAAAGCGTGCCATGTCTCTGCCTCTGAGCGCCCCAAGTACCAGTTTGCACCGTAGCGAGAACCCCAAACGTTGAAGAATCCATGAGGTTGACGAGATACACCCGATCAACAGACGGTGGGACACAAAGAGCAGGCTGGGCGTGGGGATGTAAACTCGGCCAGCAGTCCATGCCACAGGCTCTTGTTGTCCAGATGCGCCCACAGAAGCAGCAGGGTTCCGGCCGCATCGTTCCTTCTCCGGACAGCCGTGTATGATTGTTACGATCAAAGGGCAACCCGCAACAACCACTGGGGTACTAGGCCGGGTAAAAAACACCGCACTTTTGTCGGTGTAAATAACACTGAAGAAAGTCCGCCGTTTACACCGCATCAGGGGTGTAATTTACACGTAGATGAGTGTATTAACACCGCATACTGATGTGAAAGTGTGATGTATTTACACTGCTAAGCGGTATCTTTTACACTGCGCAGAAGTACGAGTTCAGGTTCATTTATGTGCAGCTAATGCTTAGTGTAGATTTGTTCCTTTCTGTACATATAACGACGGAACCCTGCTTGAGCTGCCTTAACTAAGTACTATTAAAACCTTGCTCAGTTGAATCTTGCTCAGTATACTGTGTAGTTCAGTATGTTGCTGCCAACCCTGACCTAATACGGGATATATGCTGGGGGACATCCTCTTCGGAATAGCTGTGTTTGTCTACCAGGAACAAGTGTTTTTCAGTTGACGCTCCCCTCAGGTAGTAGACCTGTGCAGCGCCCACAAGATCGACAATTCGGTCTATTGGAATGCAGAAAAAGTCAGTGTCGTGCTCATTGAACATCCTCGGCTGTGGTATGTCCTGGCTAGGTGGCTTGACCTTTCGATATCTGGCAATTCCAGCCCACTGAGATGAATTGCTTGGTTCCTTGAACAAAACAACCACAGTGCCAAACGACAGTTGTACAGTTTCCCTCCGGGCGGCTGCAGGTGGGTCTGCGTAGTACATGACCAGCGAATTGTTCCTTGACACAAGCCTTTGGTGAGCTGGTGAAAACGTTCCAACCCTCGCACCAGATGGTAAAATTAGGCTACGGTATACGACTAGATCGGCCGTATGGGTTCCAGTGTGCCAGGATGCCAGGGGGTCATCCACTTTCTGAAGTTCGCGTTGCCAGCATAGTTCCATCGTCTTTGTAGTCCTACCAGATAGTTTATGAAACAGCGGCATGTAGTCATCTGCGTATAGTAGATTGTCGTCTGATGTTGTTGCGTACTGTCCTTCGAATTGCCATTGGGCGTGCAGTCGTTGTTCGCGGTTGAGCAGGTTGATCTCTGCACTTCGATGCTTATACGCTGTTGCAGTGGAGAACCGCCGTACTGTACGAAGGAATCGCTCTAGTGTCCATTGCGCGAAACACAATGGTGGTCCGAAGTCGCGAACATTCTGTCCAAGGTGGAGTAGGTAGTGAAGCTGTATTGTGCACGACGGGAGAAGCTCAGAGTCGCCATAGTAGTAGAGTCTTTCGTACTCGTCCACAAAGGTAACCGCGAGGCCCTCTACCTTAAGAATATCTGCATAGGTAAAGTTCCGCACACTTGTATAGTGCAGCAATTGGCGATAGCGTAGAAAGTTCAAGGCGTAGGGTTCCTGGAGGTAGTGATATAATGCAGGGGCGCCGTATGTCATAAAGTGAGATCGCCATTCGTGCGTAGTCCAGTTACCGAAGCTGCCTGTTCCTCTAGGGGCCGTGCCTACGCGTGTTGGGACCGTGGCTCGCGATGTTAGCACACCATAATCAATCAGTTCCCAGTCGGCTTCTGATATGACCCACGGGTGCCTTAGGACTTCTTGACCTCTCTGCTGATATTTGGTTCCCTTCCAGAGTTTGAACATGGATTTTGGTATATTGTGATTCATTGAGTGCATCGTGTCGATGGGGAAGCTGCGTGGAAAGTGGATAGTTGGCAGGTCCATTAGGATAGACCTACAAGTTACACCAAGGTCTCTTAGAATGTTGGCGTACTGCTGTTGACTGGTGGCGGTAGTGCGATGGTGCTCAAGGCCCTCAATCTGTTCTCGCATGTCTGTGTGAAGAGCTGGCCGTAGGTTCCCGTTGTTTGGATAGTAGTACTTGCCACCTCTTCCCCGTGTGCCGGTGAGTGGACACAGCCGGCAACTTTGCTTTGATTTACCAGGGCTTTTTGTGCCCATCACGTCGGCGATAGCAGGCCCATCTCCAGTTACCAATATCACATGGGCCTTTAGGATGAAATCTTCTCTTGATTCCCCGTCGTGAACGTTGACTCCACTGTGTAACTCACGAAGCTCGGTAACCAGTGGATCCAGCCATGTGTCAGCGAAGTCCTTGTTGAAGCCTCCAGGTATAAGGTGGGTAGTTAGTGCGTTTGAAGCGTTCTCCCTTATACTTGGGTGCAGATTCAGGATATATAACACGACTGGTGTTACTGTTTGACGCTTTTTCGGCTGCTTGACGGTCCCGATAGCATCTAATGTAAGTCGCAGGGCTAGATGCCTGTCGTCTTGGAAATAACCAGCTGACCAGCATTCTCGAAACCAGTCACCGTCAAACACATCGCCTCGGTGTCCGTTATCAGGCTGTGCAGGGTCGAAGCTTGCTCTGTAAGAGGTTAATTGTTTTGACCTCCCAGCATCGCTGTACTGGAGGCGAAGTCGTGGTAGTAGTGGGATGTACTGGAATGAATAAACTGCACATCCATCCTGGTTGAAGCGGTGTTTACCGCAGGATGGACACTGAGACGCAGCTGATAGTCTACCCGTGTATGCTACGCAGCCGTCAGAGCAGCATGGTAGGTGGGTTGGCGTGATAACATCTCCAAGCAAGTCGTCAACAGCGTTACGCCCCTTCCGTATTGGGTCGCCAATGTCGACACCGTAGTGTTTAGTTATAGCCTTGCGCATCTTCTTCACTCTTGCCCTTGGTGTACCAACAAAAGCATCGAACATGTCCAACGCCCTTAATTCCAGATCATGCGTTGATGTTTCGAAGCCTCTGTTGGTATCGGTGTCGACGGCGGTGATATCTTCTAACCAATCTGCCACGTTGGGGATATCATCAGCCTCTTCCTGGCCTTGGTGAATATAAAGGTCGTGCGGATTTTGGGTGTTGGAATCAACGTCGGAGTTGCTGGTCGTATCGTAAGCATGATTAGATGATGCCGCCTTGTCTGCTAACTCAGCTTCAAGATCTGTGAAAGGGATATGCTCGTTGAGACAGGCTTCCTGGTGGCGTCTTTTCTGCTTCTTGGTTATGCGGTGCCGCGAGCCTTTATGGAGAGGGAGTCGACACTCGCACCACACCCTTCGTGTGTTACGAGAATCTCTGCGGCCCGATAACACTGGTGATCCAGCGTTTATTGTAAACATAGTAATTGTTTAAAAGTATGTGTAACAGAGATATGTTGCGCAATAGCACAGAGGTATTGCTACTACTTGTAGCTGTAGTTGTATTCTGCAACGCGCCGAGAGAAAATCTTCGTAAGACATATAGAGCCACCTAGCAGTAGCGTAAGAAAGCGGGGAAGCTGAATTACAGTTTAGTCTAGATAGAGTGAGTTAGCTGCTGCACTGTGATATCATACAGGACAGTGTTAACGTTAGTTCCAAGCGTAGAAGCTAAATTACACTCCAGGGTCCGGGATAATAACCCGGTCAGCCGTGTATTAATATTATTCCAACAGACCTAGACTTAGGGTTTTTACACTCACAGAGCAAATTCTGTAACATGCCTACTGCTCCTTTAACCCCCGAGCCTACACCAGCTAAATCGTTGGCAACAAAAGCTGCTGCGGCAGTAAAGCCACCAGACGCTCTTCTCCTTACTCCTACACGGCCAAAGCGAGCAAGAAAAGCCGCTCCTGTACACGTCCCCGAATGCGAGAAGACTGGCAACGACCACCCTAGGAACTCCCTCTACTTTCCGCAACTGACCGACCTGTCAGTACAGCTTGCTGGCGTGTTCCGACATCTCAGTTTGGACTATATCAATGTGGCTACGTACAACAAGACCGATACTCTCCTTGCACGGAGACTGTTGGAGAGAGACGTTAAGGAGTATCGCAAGCGTATAGCAACCGGTTCAGCTCGAGTTCAACAGAACACTGTCCTTCGAGCCCTTATCCTGTTCTCTTCTTGCAGCCACCACGCTACGCAATACTTGGAACATAGCGCAGATGACCGGATTGCTTGGTTGACACAGCTGAACACTGAAGGAGTATGGCTTAAGCCCTTGTGGGAGAAGGACGCCGCAACACGGATGGTGGGCTTGATGGAGCAAAACAACCAGGATCTCTCAATGTTCTGCCCCCTAGAAGTCGTGTACAGTGTTGTATATAACTCTTACTTTCTGATGCTGTTTGCTCGGTATGAGTACAGCGAGTTGAGTGAGGAGTTGCGTCTACTAGATGCTGCACCGTACTCATGGCATGACTTATCAGCCCTCCGAAAGGAGTATTTCCGTTCGAATTGTGCTGGGGAGCTCCCTCTCGATAAAGCTGTATAAATATTATACCAGTTCTGTGTGTCTGTATATTGACATGTTGCCTAATGTAGATCAAGAATAGCACACGGCATCTGGCAACTCTCTCTACAGTGTTATTGCTTATATAACTTACAACTTCGCCTTCCCAAGCACCTTTTTAGGACTTCATTAGCTCAAAAGTACTTGCTGTATATTATAGTCTGATAGCAGTAAGCTGTGACGACGCCTGAATATTTGTTAGCTAATAGCATGCCAGAATCTCGCATCTTCACCTTCACCGTGAGCGTTGGCCCTTGCGTTGCCAAGAGCTTGCCAGCCATTGCCTTTATAACAACGAGCTCCCCCATCGCCCATCGCCCAAACACCAACTCACCAGCTTCCTATCGAACCCGCTAAGTATTGCCCTTCCCAGTATAAGCAACGCTGATAGCCTGCAGGACAACCTAACCGAACGCCGCCTTGCCCCTATCCGCTCACCTAACCCGCTGGGAAGTACTCCTCTATTCGACGCTGACAATCACTCACATCACACCAGCTACCGCATACGTCCATCTCGGAGCACACCTCATCAAAGCCCCGGAGCAGACCGAGTCAAAAAACAAATACACCCCAGAGCACAACTGGATCGTCCGAAAGCCCCGGAGCACACCGAGTGAACAAGCAACTACACCCCAGAGCACAACTGGGTCGTCTTAAAGCCCCAGACGCACTGGGTGAATGGAGTAAAGCGGGCTTCGGCTTGCGCAATTGTGCTTAGGCACACACAGTGCTTCGGCACACAGTACCATACTAGCGGTAGTTATACCTCGCCTCAGGACCCTTGGGCTATGTTTACTCTGGCTTGGCTGATGGCTCGTACGCTACCACCACACATCTCTTGGTCGCTGGAGCTCCGGCTCCTCAAGTACTTACGCTTGA